CTTTTTAGCCCTCGAGAGTGCTAGGAAGCTAGAGAGCTAGAGGCACTGTTATATAACCTAGATTCATTATTGTAAATGTGTATAGTGTCATGTAGTTTGCTTTTCTGCCCTACAAAAATAGGTGGGGAGAGGAGCATGCGCTATACGCTGAGCCACAGGTAGGACCCACCGCTCGCCGATTAGTAGAAATGGTCTCCCCGTTTAGCAGTTTCGCTGCCCCAAGACCCCAGGCTCCACAAACGCCGTAAGCGGGGCAAGGCTGTTGCTTCCCGGGCATCCTGCCTCGCCTGCCTTGCCCATCACGCCCCGCGACATCACTCAAGCACAAGACCGGCGCCACAACCAAAACCGAAACATACTTTCTCTTGATCTTATCATATCCACAAACAGAGCAAGAATCAAAAGACCTAACTCTTCATCAAAACTGTGTTAAAGCACCTCATCAGACAATATGGCGGCTCAGGCAGCCAACGAGCTGCTGTCGGTGCAGAAGTCGTCTGATTCAGGCCTCCAGGTTGCACTGCACCCTTTGCCCATCCTCGAGATTTCCGATTTCATCGCTAGGGGATACCAACGCGGATTCAAAGGAGCCGTTGTCGGCGCCCTGCTCGGCCAGCAAAATGGCCGTGAGATCACCATCGAGCACAGCTTCAGCTGCAAATCAACCAAGAACGCCCATGGCTTCTATGAGCTTGACTTGGAGTGGTTCAAGCAGCGTCTTGACCAGAGTGAGAAGACGCGCACTTTCCTCCTGCCCGGACATACCAGCAGCTAATTCTTACTAGTGAAACTCGTCCACAAGAGCCCCCTCCTCGATTTGGTTGGCTGGTACACGCTGGTGCCCAAGACAGGCCCTACCGCTCTCCACCTGCCCATCCACCAGCAGATCAGCGCCGTCAACGAATCGGCTGTCCTCCTCGGATTCCATATTGAGGACATCCTCTCCCCGGCTGCCGGGGACCCCTTGCCCATCACAATATATGAGAGCAACATGGAGGCCGAGGACAGCGCCAAGGAGCCCGCCGAAGGCGAAGACAGGGAGATGAAGGACGCCGAGGCACCTGCGCGGATGGTACTGCGATTTCGCAAACTGCCCTACGCAACCGAGACAGGCGAGGCCGAGATGATAGCGATGCAGTTCATCCGGGAGGGCGGCGCCAACGCCATGGTGGACACCACCGAGCGGCACATCCTGGAGCAGTTCGATAAGAAGATCGCCGTCGACGACGGCAAGGGCAAGCGGCGGGCCGTCGCCTATGACGAGGCCAAGCAACAGCAGCAACAAGCAACATCCAGAAAGGAGGCACCCGATCAATCCACTGCCGTTACAAACCCCGACGCCAACCTCGACCGCGTCGAGGCCGAGTACATGGCGGCTCTACAAGCCAAGTTCAACGCTGTCAAGATGATGAAGTCGCGCCTGGCGCTTATAACAGCCTACCTGCAGCGCCTGCCCCCGGGCGGTGCTCCAGCCGACCAAGCACAGCAACAGCAAAAACAGCCCTCCTTCCCCCCCAGCACCACCACCGCCGCCACCACCACCCCGTCAAACACCATCCTCCGCCACATACAGGCCCTGGTGACCAATCTCGACCTGGTGGCCCCCGCCGAGCAGGCCACGCTGGAGCGCGAGATGCAGCGCGAGGCAAACGATGTCCATCTGCTCTCGATGCTGTCGGACCTGCTCTCCAGCGTCAGCCAGGTGCGCGAGGCGGGCAAGAAGTTCTCAGTGCTGGAGATGTCGCGCCACAACAGGCAGGGTCGGGGCGGCGGCGGTCTGGCACCGCTGACCGCCTCGCCCTTTGATCCCGGTTTCGGGGTGCCCCCGGGAGAGATCGGTGTTGGTGGGGGGGATGCAGAGCCAGGTTTTTAGGGGCAATCTGGGCCGGGATGGAGCCCTACGGCCATCGCAGGTTGGACCGTTTTGGCCGGTTCTGCTGGGCAAGGGGAAGAAGAAGAAGAGGGAGACGGAGGGGATGATGCTGGAGGTGGCCAAGAACTTGCGGCCGGTTCCGCCATGGAGAATTTCCTGGGCGTTAGCAACCTCATCTCGGTGGCATTTTTGCTCCTCGGCATTGCCTCAGCAATCGCTGCTCTTGTGTTCTTGGCCCCTACCAGGGATTTTGTCTCCTGGATGAGGTCGCGGCTTGCCGGCTGGACTGTTCCTCCCCCGGGGCGGCTCTTGCGTGGTACGTACAACCAAGGTCAACCCCATCCCATCAGCCCTCCTTCTTCAACTGCCTACAAGTTTGAAGAGTATCGAACCGTCGCCTCAGGGTAACTGGTTTGCTTTCATGAGGAAAGCTATAGAACTGACACTTGCTGCCTAGTCCTTGCCAGACCGGCTGGCCTTGCAATCTCATTTGCCAGAGGAATTTACAGGTGGTGGCGGCAGGCATGATCATTGAGAGGGCAGCCAGCGGAACACTTTTAGATACATATTGCATTGAGCAGGAAGTAAGACATGGCCGGTTTTCTTTCTCCGCGGGTCGTTTATCTGTTAGGATTCCACACGGGGCTAGAGAGGGTTACCACTCTTCAATCCTTGTTGGCGCTGGGCAAAGTAGATCGCTGGCTGGCTCCTTTTATCCATTGGATCGCAAGGCAAAGGACTGAAGGGTGAATGAAATCAGGACTACAGCCCGAATCGCGGACTCAGGGTTGCTCTGGTACTGTAGAGGAGGCACCTAGGGGCATGATTGTGCTGCATTGTCAATGCTTAGGAGCCAGAGAGAAACCGGATAGTTTAGACATGAAGCTTCTACGGCTATCTGTCCGCAGTCTTCTGGTCTTTGCAGAGAGGAGCAAGGAGGCCTTGATTACATGTAAGGAATATCTACCCCTCCCCTCTCTTTCCTTGATGTGAATCTTAGGGTCTTCTTAACTGCAGTACACACCGTTCTCACCAACAGCCATCCGGTCAAAGACATCGACCGCGCAATGAAAGGGACAAAAACAAAGCCGTACCTCATCTATCTATCCCAGTCTCCATTAGCCAAGTCACCTACGTTCTAAGACCCTGCCAATAACCGCCGTAAGCATCGTCGTGATTCGTCGTCAAGCCATCCCGTCCAACCTTTCTATCGCTGCCCGAGTTGGAAGGGGGAAAAGAGGGGGGAAAAAAAAAAGGGGGGGGGGGGAAAGTAGAAAGAGTAAAAAATGTATGAAAATCTCGAATCGTAGAGGTTGAATGAAATAAATAGGAACACAGTATGGAAAGGGGTTCAGGCCTCAATGACGACCTTGAGCACCAGGTTACCATCATCGTCAATGGTCCTGCTGGCAAGCTCAAAGGCTCCCTTGGCATTCTCGAGGCCCTTGAATCGGTGCGTGACCATCTGGTCGAGGTCAGGAAGGATATAGCCGGCGCCCCGGCCAAGGCGATCGCGTGCGCAGAGCAGCCGGATGCCAGTGGAATATGTGTTGGCATAGCGGAAAATGCCCAAGATGTCGATCTCGCGCAGATGTGCCACCGACATGGGCAGGGTTTGGATCGGCGTTCCCATACCCACCATGATCACTTTGCCGCCCGACCGTGTGGCGTAAAGCGAAGTGTGCATGCACACCTCTTTGCCCGTGCACTCGAACGTAACGTCGACACCATCGTCCTCGTCATCAACCAGAAGAGGGTTTGAGGAGCTTGTTAAAGCCAACATCTCCGCGGCAAGTGACTTGGCCGAGTCGAGCTGGCTTTGGAACGATAGTGTACTAGCCGGGGTCATTACCCCATCCGGGGTTGACACGCCAGAGCTGCTGCCACTGTATATTGAAGCGCAGCTCGACGACGTGTGCAATGGTCTCGGCACAACGTAGCCATGCGTGGCGAAGCCCTTAGCAATGGCGAAGTCAACGCGTCCCTGGTCCACGTCGGCAATCGTCACTGTCGAGCAGCCGGCTTGCCTCGCCATTGCTGCGGTAAGTAACCCGACCGCACCAGCTCCCAAGACCAAAGCCGTGGAACCCGGGGTCGGGCTGGCCCGGTTAACAGCATGGATAGCTACAGACAGAGGCTCTAGGAGGGCAGCTGTGTCGAAAGATATGTTGTCAGGAAGCCTGCGGACGTGTTAGTATTGCTACCGATGGCAGGTTCAGACAGTGAGCGATGAACGCACTTGTGGCACCACACAGCAGGATGGTTGATGCGTTCCTGTAACGTGCCCTGGAAGTGGGGGACTGATTTGGCACTACTCCTGAATCTCATGCGCTTGCATAGGTTGTATCTGCCACGGCGGCAGATACCGCACTGGCCACATGGGATGCCAACCTCGAGCGCCACACGGTCGCCGATGTTGAAGCCGGTGACCTGAGGACCGATGGCGACGACAACCCCTGACGACTCGTGGCCAAGCGAGAGAGGCATGCAGGCGCAGAGGTCGCCATTGGCAAACTTCTTGTAGTACGAAACATCGGAGCCGCAAATACCAGTTGTTTTGACAGCAATCTGCAGCTCTCCAGTTCCGGGATCCTCGATGCATCGACGTTCCTAAAGAGAACACGGGTCAATTGGGATACGAGGGAAAGGGAGAATTGTCCTAGCGAGCTGTCGTGAGGTGGGCCGAAAATAGCGGGGCCAGGGGCTCTGCTTTGTGTAACAGCGAGATCTAAGATCTCTAGGCAGGGCGGGGGTGACTTTAAAAAAAGAAAGTCTTACCAATCGCAGGTCGCGCGGGCCATGCAAGACAGAAGCATTGATGGTTGAAGCCTTCAGTGCGGCGGGTAGGTGCATTGGCGCCGGCTCACCTGTAGCGGAGGGCGCCATCTCGATTAGACGGCGACGGGGAAGTGGGATGAGAGTGGGATAAAAGGCGGGATAGGGCAAGTTTGGCCAACGAGATGAAGCGAGAGGGTCGGCCCGCGGGGTCGGTCTGGGGCGTCCGGGACGCAGCCGGGCAGCCAGCGACTCGCTACGATGTCAGAGTGCTGATGCGGCTCTGCCCGATGCCAATGGGCGCGGGATGCGACAAGGGAGTGGGTGTGAGCGACCGAGGAGACGAGCTGCCGATATGATGGGTGGCGAGCTTGCGCACTCGGGCAGAGGACAGGACTTTTAGCACTCCAGCGAACTACGCCACGAGCAGAAGGGAGAAGCTGGGCGACCTCGTAGAGTTGGCAGAAGCCTGGAGACAGACCAAAAGCCGGGACGGACCCCCACCCTTTAATGGTTTGGTCATTGGTGGCCATGATACGGGCAACGGACGAACTGCGAAGTGCCAATCTGGATGTGCGAGGTTCCGGGGGCAGCGAGCCGGTTGATGAGAGTGGAACAGACACCAAGCGCATGGCAGGGTCCAGGAGTGGATGTCGAGGTGCTGGCTCCTGGGGTAGAGCAGTCTGCTCAGCCGTGCTCACCAGTCAGCTACCGACAACTTATCGCCCGGGTGAAGAAAAATGTGGTTAGGCGCAATGCGCTTCAGAGGAGTCCAGAAAGTACCCCATACCTTCGGGAGAACATGGGGCGCGTTAGCGACGGGTACCCATCATCCTTGCTGCGCCGGCGCATCGCGACATTCATGGGTAGCGCTAGAGCTCGCCGGGGCCGGAGCCGGCTGCAGATACCAGGAAACCCCAGCGAAGCCACGCATGCGTGTGTCCGTCTGCTGGCAGCCGTGAATGGTTACAGTGGTCACGTCGAATTGAGCATATCTCCAAAACTAGCTTCCGCCTGGGACGCACGGCATGCTCGTGGCCCGCGGTCGAGTCAAGCCAGTCCTGATGTGATCCGGGAGCACTGGGGGTCACCGTCTTTCCTGTCTGGGCATGTTCGAGCCGTGTGGTGGAGCTCTAGTAATGGCAAACCGCCACAGAAATTAGGTGCTTTGCGGGCACCGGGATCTCGAGGCACGGGGAGGGATAGCTGCTTCCATGCAGCAGGCATGCAGGAGGGGATGGGCAGCCGGCCGTGGTTGGAGAGGAGGCCAGGGTGGGCTGCACCGACTTTACAGTACTTGACAAGCGTCCCTCGGGCCACAAAGTGTCTTGGCCAGCCGTCCATCAATGGCGGGGAGAAGCGGTAGCGAATGGGTGACGGCCAAACGGGCACGCCATCGCTGGGACAGGACAATTATGGCAATATCAGACGGCAGAAGGTGTCACGGCCGGCTGTTCCAGGGCTTAGCGAAAGTGCATACTGTAGCTCCCGGCTGCCGCGATTTCGTCCAGGATCTGACGATATATCGGTAGGTCAAGGCGTGTTAAACTCACTCGCTCCTCAACGATGATCCGGTGCCGGAGCGACACCTTGCACTTCGTGTTGTGCAGATTTCAGGAGCTGCGTCGTTGATCGTCCAGCGACCCGCGGAACGAGAATCGATACGATCCGAAATGTCTCTCTGACACAGGAGGGGAGGGGCGGATAGAGCAGATATTGGAGATAAGGGCCCGAGATTGGAGAAGGGTGTGTGTGGGGTCGGCTTGTGAGAGACCATGACAAGAGCGGAATATCGGGATTTTGATGAGAATGGGAGGGCGAAAAACGTCAAATGTTTGCAGAACGGTGTCAGTGCCTCGGTTGGACGACTGGATTACTGCAAGGACTGCAATGTAAGGGCATTGGAATCCAAGAGAGACAGTGCACCTGCCTCCCGCCCACCTACCGCCTACTTGAACATTCTACCTTGCCTAGTACTACCATGGGCAGTATTGTACCTTATCTTAAACAGGCCACTCCTTCCTGGGCGTCCCTTATTTCCTCCCCAACTGGCAACAGCGAATGCAGCACCGTCCTCATTAGGCTCGTTCTTGTCCTCGTCCAATCTATTCGGCGACCGACCGAATTGGGAGACATGGATCGAGCGTTATCTCAACTCCAAAAGTCAGCCAGCTGCTTCTGAAAGCCGTGACGACACGTTCTTTGCTATTCCCGTGCCTCTGCCGCGCAGTCGGTTCTGCAGCACATTGCCGAGAGACAAACATATGACCATCATTGAGGAAGATCCAACCAGGAGCTAGGGTTGCGCCTTGACACCTGAGCTCGTTCTTGTGCAACTCTGTACGACAAGACAGATCTCCAATGCGACCCCTTGCTAACCAGCGCTGGGCATTGCCAGACATTGGATTTCCCTTCCTCCGCCGTTGCCACCGCCGTCTAGAGAAGTGATTGTCCTCGAAGGCTCATAAATCCGCGGCGATTATTCGTGTTCTAGTCTCCAACTCGACGACCCCACCGGTTTCTACCCCAATCTCACTGACACCTAGTCCTGCTCCACGTCAGGGTCCTGCTAAACGGCCCGGTAGAGAGTAGCGTTCAAGGCCCACAGAGCCGTGGGCAATGGACATCGCGCCGTCGTTTGAGAAGCTACCCTGTAAAAACTCGTTCTTGACATCCACAATGACGGAATTCCTCGTTATGGCCAGTCTGGCTTCAGGAACCACAAGTTACCTAGCCTGCGACTGGGGTCCCAATTGACATGCACCACCCATTTTGCCGGCCCTATGGCCAACGGTCTCAGCACATGGCATGACAAGGGTCCGTCCACCACCACATCAAACGGAACAGCAGACTCCCAGCAGGCTCTAGGCTGCGAGCGTCTCAATGATAGTCGTCGCCCGGTGGTATTGATCCGCCATGAAAGTGCCATATTTGCCACAGTCAGTGCAGAATCCAACAAAATATTGGACTGTGACAGGGGATAGACGGCTTTGCGGCGACGGGAACCGGTTGGACCTTGCTTGGGTCTCGGTTCGGTTGCATCTAACCGAGGACCTGGGCATTAGGTGCGATGTGTGTCGGTGCGGAGGCGCACATGGATTTATCGATCCCTTATCAAGCTGCTGTTGCCTCGTACCGCCGAACGGCGCTCGGCGATGGATTGATAATAAAGCCGCTCCGTGTGTTATCAGACGCAGTAGCACTTCCGATGGTCATCCGCAAGTCGTTCGCTTTCCATCGTATGCGTCACAATTGAGAGCTGTCGCCGGCAGAATCCCCCCGTCCACCAATCAGCGACAAACAATCAACGTTGGAGAAAGTTGGGGTCGCTAGGGCCAGATGGCGGCTCAAGAAGAAAAAGAAACGCGTGCTGCCCCACGATCTTCGATTTTCATGTGCTGGGCCGAGCCGCTAGGGTCTTGGACAAGCTTCTCACAAACCTGCTCACCTACGCACGCAGAAGGCACAGCGAACGCTGGATCTCTCTACGAAGTACAATAGTGTACAGCACAGGAACCGCTAGTTTATCCGCCGCCGTCATCTACACTAGCTTGTCGATTCTCAAACAGCTCGTCTTCCGTTGGGCTGTCCGCCGGCGTGTTTGCGCCATGAGCCAATCCCATCGAGGAAACACTTCCGGTACGTCCATACCGTAAGTTTCGTACATAGAGGACACCCCTGGTCCGGGACCTTCACCTACAAACCTATCCCGCCGCTGCCGGCAACATGGACGTGATCTCCAAGGAAACAGATGACTTCCATTGGACACGGCTGAATACGGAGCGGTTCTGCGGCAACACGGCCGAAGTGCTTGATACTGCAGTGTAGCTGTGATAGACCCCCCAGCAGGCCTTGATTCGGCACAGCGACCCAGGCGACTTTTTAGATGATCGGAGATATCCGAGACTCTTGGACTCTCCACCATCACGCCAAACCGACCGATCACCATCACCCCGAAAACAGGCGGTCTAATGATTACTTACCATTGTCCCCATTCACAGCCCTAGTGAGCTCCGATATTATCTCAGAGCTGGCAGGGCTGTAGCGGGCCTCCTTCTACATAGCAGGTATGACATGTTATGCGGGTCAGGGCCGCGGCAACGAACCTGCAGCCTCGACCGCAGCCCTCCCGGTCGGTTCGCCAATGCGTCTACGCTAGCGTTTGAGATGACACTCATGTATGTACATACAGTACAGGAACGGATGAAGTGGGATCCGCGAAGCGGTGAGTGTCAACTCTGGTGCTGTCAAACAGCAGAGGGGTATTCAGACATGGCTAATGGCAGCTATAGACCTGTAGCGCATCCTGGATATTAAAAAGCGCGTATACTGTAGCATACTGACGAGACTGAGTGTTGCACCTTGATGGATTGCGCAAGAGTTCATAGCATATGATCCTGCCCACCGACTTCCCGAACCCCCCTCCCCCCATGATGGAACGGCCCTGTCGGATATCTAGCCGGATGTTCGCTCATGCACGAGTTTATCGACCAATGTACTGCTGGGTATGTACGATGATTCTCTGCAGCACATAACTTGCATCGTAATGTGGTTCCCTGCCTGCGACATCCTACGTTGCACGAGACAGACAGTCTGACTCAGAGGGGAGCGGAAATCGGTGATCTTCGGCGCACCGCCATGATAACAGAATGCCCCAAAGGTAACATAACGTAATGCAAGCCACCCACGCGGCTACGCCACAACCGGCAGCAAGCGCAAGCGCGGTAGGTAACAGTACATACAACGGACCTCAGAACCACCTTAGAACGTGCTCGTCGCCAACCGACTAGCCGCATTCCTCGCATCCACCCTGTCTTCATCGTCTTCCTCCGCTAAGCCAGCGAGCCCACTTCCGCCCCTAGCCCCGCTCAACGACCTCGCCCTGCCCCCTTGCCCTCCCTCTTCTCCCTCGCCAGCAACGTCGTCGGCTACAGAGCTGGTACCGACCAAGGGGCTCCGCAAGCTCCCGGCATCGGCGCTGCGCCTCGGAACGCCGCTCCACGCGTCGCCTTTGGGGCCCTGCGAGGCGGCCAGGTTTGCGCGGCGCACGGCGGGGTGGCTCTCGCGGCCAAGGCGGCTCAGGCCGCCGCTGGCATCGATGGACCTGATGTCCGGGCGGACGCTCTCGAGCAGGGCGAGGGTGCGACGCTCGGCCTCGATCTCGCGGAGGACGTACTCGCGGATCGACAGGCGCAGGTCAGCAGCGGTACGGGCAAACCACTTGCGGCGCTCGTGCACGAGGTTCTGGGTGACGCGCGTCGTCTTTTGGTACAGAGCCGCCTCGTTGTGGCGGGCCTCGTCGAGGGCGGCAATGGCTTCGTCGACTTTTTCGCGGCGCACGTTAGACGACGCCTTGAGCCGGTCCGCGGCGTTAAGCTTGCTGCGTGACACCTCTTGCGCCTGGAGGAACTCGCGGATCAGGATTTGCCGGTTGGTGAGAGTCTCCTTGACGATGAAAGCGTCTTGAGAGTGGTACTGGAACGGGTCGCCAATGGTCGTGGCTTCGGCCGTCGCCTGCGCCGCGTGGAAGTCGCCGACCGTCTGGATAATCTTGCCGAGCTTGCGGTATGCGTTAGCGAGGCCCTGGTGTGGTTCCTGTACGCTCATGCCGCCTAGCTTGACGCCAAAGTCGGATTCAGCGAGCCCAAGACCTGGAACGGTTAGTGTTGACTGGGGAGAGAGTTGGGGTGGGGATAGCTTGCCTCTGCGACACTTGACCAGTTTGTCGACTTTGTGCCCCGCATCCATAGCGCCCAAGTAGAACAACTTGACAATAGGGCGGGCTTCTTGAAGTTCAGGGGTATCATCCGGAGGCGGCGCAAACTGCTTGAGGATCTTGCGCCGCACGCCTGTCGCGGGCTGCTTCTTCTTGACCATGGGGCTGTAGCCAAAGTCGCTTTCGACAAATAGCACCATCTCGTCGTCCCGCATTAGGACCTCGTTGCTGCAGACGTAGTTGAACCACCGTTGCATAAGTGCCTTAACCCGGATCTCGTCCTCATCAGTCCCCGCGCCGGCAGATGTCAGCGCAGGCGGCACCGAGGGAACAATGGCCTCAGGGTTCGCCGAGATGAGGTGCTCGGCGAGCTTGATGAATTCGGAGTGAAGGCGTCGCACATCACGGTACTGCGTTGTCCGGAACGCGGGAAGGTTTGTCTGCGACAGTCAGCATTGCTCGAACTTGTTCCGCAGTCGGCGCCATACATGCACATCGAATCTCAGAATGGGATCCTTGCGCCCGGTGCGTTCCAGCCCGGTAATCTTAGCCTGCAGCTTGAATTGCGGCGGCGGAGGTTTCCGAGGCTGCTGGTGTTCCTGTGGCCGCGCCTGCTCGGCTTGCGATTTATGAGCCTGTTGCGGAACAGGCGAGATCAGACCCTGTCCGCCCGCTGTAAAGCCTTGATTTTCCGGGGCGCTGTCAGCCGTCGTTGGCTCGTCTGACCGAGGCTCAGTGGTCTGCGAGACGGTGCTCGCAGTGTCGGGCCTCCTGTACTCGGCATCGCTTGCGCCGAAGCCGCCGTCGTCGAGGCCGTTGTTGGAGATTTGGGATGGATATCGGTAGGGTGAGCTCGGCGGTTCGCTCGCACCGAAGCCGGTCCGATTGTGTCGCGGTGACGAGGTGGGCGAATTTCCCCAGGGAGATGCCTCAGCGGGATTGTCCTGATCGTGTATTGATGTACTGTAGTCCATGGTGGGTGGTTATTCGAATGATGCTGTTAAACGCGATGATGATGATGCGGGGTGAGAGAATTGAGGTTGTCTGGGTGGGCAGTTGCCCGTGGGCACTCCTGGCCAGCACAAAGTTAGGTCCCGAATCAGCCTGCCGTGCGATGTGAAGTTCTCGATGACAATGAATCATGGAGATTGATGTTGGTATTGTGCGTACGATAGCCTTCTTCACCTAGGAAGGAACTTCCCTCACCATCGATCGGCCTGAGAGAACGACTCGGAACGTTGCGTTGATCATGGGTACGTACCCATCCGTAAGAGTAATCGGACGGGACCATCTTAGCCCCAAGACTTCAACTGAATGGCGGGGATGCACGGACCCTTGACGCCTTCCCTATTAGGTACACAGTACGCTATCCCTTAAGTGATCAATATTCAAGACATCGAGGAAACAATCCCATGATCAACAACGGGATGTGCGAGACGCCGTCGGGTGATTATCGTCCAGAGGGCGCATTGCACGTTCTGTTTGTTCCTAAAGAGCCGCCTAGGAACTCATAGTTTTGATATCTGACATGCACATCAAATTGCCATTTGCAACGCAGGACCAAAACTCTGCTGTGTCCGAGTTTTGACTTTTGAGCTCTGACCGTCCGACTGAGTCTGAAGAGAGTTGGGATGGTCATGGTCCTAAGTGCTTCTGTCCATGGCCAACGCCGGCTGCTGGGCCTGTTGGTGCTGAAAAATGCCCAATTGACCCGCCAGAGCAGCATTGCGAGCTTCTGTGCAGCTGTTCGGAGCTACTCGAGCGAGCATGCCCACCATGATGCGCGCATCGAGAACGTCCGAAACATTGGCATCATTGCCCACGTCGATGCGGTGCGTCCCGCCGTCCTGGACTGGCTCGACTAGGCAGCAGCTAGCGTGGATGCTGACATCTGGCAGGGCAAGACGACAACCACAGAGCGTATGCTCTACTACAGCGGGCAGACCCGCCATTTAGGAAGTGCGTTCGTTACAACCGGAGATGGAAAAGTGTTGGGGCCAACAATGCAACGACTCTGACTAACATATCCAGATGTCGACCATGGTAACACCACCACCGACTTCCTCCCCATGGAGCGGGAGCGGGGCATCACCATCCAGTCGGCTGCCATCACGTTCCAGTGGCCGCCCAAGTCGCTGTGCCCTCCCGGCGTTGAGCCAAAGACGATAAATCTGATCGACACGCCGGGGCACCAAGACTTCCGCTACGAAGTCGACCGCTGTCTGCCTATCCTTGACGGCGCCGTGTGTATTCTCGACTCGGTCAAGGGCGTTGAAACGCACACAGAGCGTGTCTGGGAGTCAGCACAGCTCTCCAAGATACCCCGCCTGCTCTTCGTCAACAAGTTGGACCGCGATGGCGCGAGCTTCCGCCGCTCCGTCCAAGAGGTCGCAACGCGCCTCAGGACCTGGCCACTGCTATGCCAGATTCCCTGGTGGCGCAAGGACGAATTTGTTGGCGTCATTGATGTCATCTACGGAGTCTGTTTGAAGTTCTCCAGCAGCGGCGAGATGACTGTCATTCGCAAGGAGAGCATCTCCAACGAGAACCCAGCGTTGCTAGCCGAGATAGAGACGGCCCGCCTGCGTTTGGTCGAGACATTGTCGGAACACGACGACCAGATCATGGAAGAATTCCTTGAACTGGAGAAGGACGTGCCCTCGGCGTCAATCAAGCGCGCCATCCGGCGGCTGGTTATGGATGGCGAGGCCAAGTTTACGCCCGTATTCGCCGGCGCTAGTCTACGGAACATCGGCGTCCAGCCCCTTCTTGATGCTGTCGTTGACTACCTCCCGAGCCCGACAGATAGGCCCGAGCTGAAAGTCATGGTTGGGTCCAAAGCATTACCCATGTCCGAGCTCCTTGAGCAACAAAGCAAATCGGAGGGCAGGCACAATAAAGCTCAGGGTCACCACCAGCATAATTCGCCTGTTGCGGCGCTTGCCCATGTTTTCAAGGTTGTCGACGATCCCCGTCGCGGCATGCTGAGCTGGGTACGCCTTTACCATGGGGCCCTCAGCAGAAGCAGCCACATGTGGAATACCAAGATGCACTGTTTCGAGAAAGCTCAACACATTCTGCACGTCTCAGCGAAAGATCATCACGAGATTCAGCACCTGCCCACTGGGCACATTGGTGCCTTGACAAACCTCAAGTCCGCCCGTACCGGCGACACGCTGATTACGTTCCCCGGCCACTCGGGACAAACTGCCCCTGAGGCTTTGCGGAACGTCCGCATCAAGGCGCCCGAGACGCCCCCCGCGGTCGCCTTCATCGCCATTGAACCATACACCAAGACGGCGAGTGATAAGCTCGAAGACGCACTCAAGAAGCTCACACGGGAGGACCCCAGCATCCGGTGGAGCAAGAACGACAAGACGGGACAGCTGATCCTGTCGGGTATGGGCCTCCTACACCTCGAGATTGCACAGGACCGGCTCCTGCGGCACTACAAGATTGAACGTGAGTCGGCCATATGGGGCAACATTGAAGTCGAATACTCCGAGTGCGCGCTGGCACCAACTGGTCCGCACCGCGCCGTTTACGACCGTGTCCTGCGCGACAGGGCCGGCAGGGCGGCCTGCACGGCCAGCATAGAGCCCCTGCAGGCGCACCACCACGATTCCCTCCTCGAATCCAGCATTGAGCGCGACGGGAACATCATCCACATCGCGCTTCCCCTCCCAGAGGACTCAAAGACCCTACCGTTCGACCCGGAAACGGTCCGCCAGCAGCTCCTCAACGGCGCCATTGCAGGCCTCGCCCGCGGGCCGCGCCGCAACTGTCCCGTTCGCCGCTGCCACGTGCACATCACGTTCGACTCGGCAACCGACTTCTTCGGCGCCAACTCATCGACGGGAGGGCACATCACCAACGCGGCCCTCCTCGCGGTCCGCAACGCGCTCAAGGCCGCCCACGGCAAGGGCCAGATGGGTATTCTCGAGCCTTTCACGCATGTGCGGATCCACTGCCCGGAAGAGGTTGGCCACGCGATCCAACACGACCTAGCCTCGGTTCGAGGCGGGCATGTCATGGAAGTGCGCAAGCCCGAGTCTTTTGACGAGGACGAGTCCCTGGACGGAAGTAGTGGCGCCGGACCACCCATTGACGTTTCAAAGGTATACGTGCCGCCGGACCCGTACGAATCGGTGCAGAGCCTGCGGGACCCAAAGAAGGCGGTCGTGAGGATGCTGACGATTGTCGGCAAGGCGCCGCTGCGCGATATGATGACGTACGATGGGCAACTACGCAGCATGACTGGGGGCAGGCACACGCTGCAGTTGGATCCGGGCGGTTTCGAGCTGGTCACGGGAGCGAGGGAGAGGGCTTTGGATGGGGCGCTGTAGCTTAGCTTTCCTTCCTTCCTAAAGTACCCGGCTAGGCATTGGATATGGTACATACATAGCCTGTGTGCGCACATGTGTGTCTGTCTGTGTCGTACTGTGTAGTACCACCCGTGCCTCGAACATTATGTTGTCTCTGGATGAAACCCACTCGTCTATGGCGCTGCAACGGAGTTCAGATTTCCGCCCCGAAGATGTCTGGTTGGTGTGTACGTGCCGCTATCCCCACCCCCAGGTTATCGCTGTGGTCTAATATCTGCACGTACCCCATGATTTGACGCTTCATGCGGCGATGCAGAACGGATAGAGTAGCCGAGACCCCCGCCCCATACACAGTAAAGCGGGGGCACTTCGGTACTTCGGTACTTCTATTCCCACTTCCCCCGGCCTGCGCCCCCCATCACTGTCCCGTGTGACCCCCACCAGTTCCGCTCTGTCCCAAACGGCCGGGCTTGACGATTTGCCGAATTAGGTGCAGGCGGACACGGCAGCCGTCGTGCCGTGCGGGGGTCAAGGGCTGCGGGGTTGGTGTGACGCTGTCAGGGGTAAGGCTATGTTGTGTGGATGACACATGTTGTGAATGTGGAGGAGCATGGCATTTTCCGTTTTATCGTGGCAAGAGATCTCTCCGCTTGTCTTCTATCAGCTTTGCTGACGTTGAACTAGGTAAGAAGGGTGTGTTGGTTGGAAGCTCGCCTATAAGCGGCCTGAGTTGTTGCTTTGTGGCAGTTCTGCTTTTGCTAGCCGTGATTTGTTCCCTATATTGTATAGGACTCTGGGAGATCCCTGGGCCGTTTGAGATAGGTATTGTACGTCTATACACTGCGTAAGTTCATTCCTTTTGGATGGGTAGCTGCATAGCCTGTCTCCTCGGCCTCAGCTGGAACCGGGCATTGCTCGAGGAGAATCCTCTGAAGAATATGTCATATCTAATGTAACCAGTGGTTTCAGTCCGCAAGGGGAACAAAATGGGAATTCTGGCTGACTTGGTCAGAGCAAACAAATCCGCTTGAGGGGGATAGACTGAGATGTAAGACCTCTGAAGATCCCTGGAGGCTGAAGGATATTCGGCTGGGGTTCTTTGTTGACTGTGCTGCGGTATCCATCGCCATTTCGAGAGTCTAGTCCTTTCTCTTATAGTCCCGTCGGTTGGAATGATAAGCGATGGATGTCAACGACTTCTTGTCCATTACCATTGAGGGTTTGTCCTCACACGTCTAGACAGTTCTGAGGTCTCCACCTGAAATGATCAAGGGACATGCTTCCTACCTGTCGTTGTACCCTCTGGTCGCACCCGTTCTTCGTATATTTGGTACTTCTTTGGTTGTTTACACTTCAAGGAGCTGCAATGTGAGCCTGCTGTGAAACTACTAGTAGACGTGTCCGATCAGCCGCATGATTCTAAAAACACAGGAGTCTTGTGAGACGAACAAGCCCCTGCCCAGGGTTCTCGAATGAATAAATTGAACTCGAACTCATAGGCTTGTTCCTGGTACTCTGGGGTCAAGGCTCGGCATGAAGAGTAGCTCGCGACCCATATGCAAAACAAGCAAATTATGGAAGAGGAGGTTGTACTTAGCGGTGGCGATTACACTGGCTTCAGATTGGGCAACGCCATATCCCACAGAGATGACCTGAAGAAGATTATCGTCGTTGATGTATCATCCATCATTGCTTCGTGCGCACAGAACGCGTATGCTGCGAGTCTGCGACGCTGAGCTCTGTCCCATCCCAAGATTCCATTCTGAATCATCGGGTTTGCCCCCAGCACTTGAGAGGGTTTTCTTTTAATACCGGAGGTTTGCGTTTGGATTCTGGCTTAGTTGTCGTGAGCCATGTACCAAGTGGCACACGGGACACCAGATCTAGACGCCATCTTCAGCCCAAGAGTTGTCAGTGACTCCAAACCAAAGCGCGAAAGTGGAAGAAAAGGAAGGCGAAGAAAATATGGGAAGAAGGAATGAGAGGAGACGAGGGCAGAGAGGAATTACCTTAAATTTGTGACTGTCCCTGGTGGGCCTGGCGGCCGGAATGTCCAGAATTCTTGAAGAGGTGGGATCGAATGTAGCCGACTGTTGTCATCGAAGGAGGAGGCTATTCGTGATTTGGAAGACTTTCACTGAAATAGAAAGTGTTTAGTAGACTGCTGGAAGAGTAAAAACAGTGCTGCCTGTCCGTGGGTGCTTTGAGAGCCGGGTTGAGAGGAAGGAGCGAGCAGTGCTTGCCAACCTCTGGAGCAACCAGCTTGCTCAGAAGTTGGGGATAGCAAACATAAAAGTGGCGCCAACTTATCCTGTCTTCAACAATTAAGGCTCGCAGATGGCTCAGCTGGCAACCGTCTCGCTCGTCAAAACTCGAATAGGAAGCACCTATGCTAACTGAAACTGACAGAATCGTGTGCTAGTCTTGTCCCTCTCGCTGCACACGGGTTGCTGGCGGTGCAAAGAGCCCCCCAACCTAAACTTTGCATCTCCCATCAAGTATTGCTAGCCTTGCTTTCTCTGTATTTGCCCGGTTTAGCCAGCGTGATAGCGGCTGGGCAACTAACTTTGCTCTCACTTGCTTACCACCCTCCCCCCATGTCTGAGTTCTGTTCATGTTCGCACGAGCACCACCCGACCGTCAGTGTAAGTAACTCCCCCTACCTACCCAAGACGTTCGAGTTCGAGTCGCCAGACGAGCCATCGCGAGATTCTTCTTTTTTGACATTTCTTCAACCCCATGTTGGCACCCATGACCAGGAACATGTTATTCAAACCCTTCACAACGAGTCGGTGTTGGGAGCTCGTTGGTTTCGTAATGTATGCGATAGCTCGCCACATGGAAGTGAATCTCTATTTTTGGCTTCAGGTGGCCTGATGGTTCATAGTGGTCACCCGGCCCAGTGTCCTCAAGCATGGGACGTGCAAGTGAGTTCCCTCGCAACCCAGCAACCCAGCACCCCAACAGCCCAAACTTTGGCACGTTTTGGAAGGCTCTTTCAGGTAAGTTAATCCTTGACCACGGCCATTACGCAGATAAACACGATCAAAGAAGATTTCGCTTCGTCACCTACTGCCCTTCACGTGGCACATCTTTGTGCCTCCTGAAGAGGTGGAAGATTGACCTGAACCTTACTGAACCCCCAAGTCCCCTCACCAAAGACCCCGAGGACATAACCCAAGTCCCATGGAGTGTGTCTAGTCTATTTATCACTTGCTCAAAAGCAGCGTTGTTCATTTCAAGTGCCTACCTATACGGCTTATTCTGCTCTGGTCTGGCCCTTACCCGGAAAGCTGAGACCCATACAGGTGACCCCTTTTCTCGATGAGCACAGAGGAGGCGGCAAAGGCCTTGGGAATACCCGATTTACCAATGCGCCTTGTATCTGAACTACACGTCTATACGCTTACAAAACGTCTTTTGGATGAAGCAGCTAGCCAAGAGAGTACTTTACCTTGAAGTGCCATCTCGGCATGTTGCTATTGACCCCTCTGGTAGTAACAGCCAACATCGATCTCTACCCATCTTTGCTGCATGCTTAGCCCATGTATGCTGTGCGGCACTGTATACAGCTTCACGCTCGTAACTGCGTTCCAGAGTCCATGTAGATATAGAAGAGTGAGAAGGTAATGCAACTCGACGCCGGTAGCTAAACCACACAACCGATAGGCAAAGTGAAATCCATCCTAACTTAGCCCAGCAGTAATCCCACCACGCCCCCAGCAGCAAACGTCGTAGCTACTGTGAGGAAGCTCGACGTCGACAGCAAAGAGATGCCACTGATGCCATGTCCCGACGTGCATCCTCCCGCCATCCTCGACCCTAGAACCATCAGAAAACCGCCCAGCCCAGCCATAACCGGCGATATGGATACCTCATTCACCTGTGCCAAAGCCGGCACTACCCTCGACAGCGCCCACGCTCCTGCCACGACACCTCCAGAGAATAGGATATTCCCTGGCCCTCGCGGGCAATCACCCATCAACAGCCTTCCCATGTCCTCATAGGACGTCGATGTGCCCAGCAACCTGCCCCTCAAGACCAACGACACCACCTGCGCCGCCGCTATCAGCAAACCTCCCAAAACAGGCGACAGCTTGGCCTGAGACGCGATCCTAGCCCTTGACGAGGCAGCCAGCACTGCCAGCACACACACTACCTCAAACACGCCAGCCGCCATGATCCTACTGACCCCTAGCGCCTCGTGGACCGTCACCATTTCCTTTCTCTTTTCGATTCCCTTTCCTTTTGCTGTCCCTTCCCCCTCCTCCCCATCCTCCGTAACAGTGGTCGTTGTCGTTGTCGTCGCCACGGTGCCGTTGCAAGGATACTTCACCAAGTTGATCCCCTCCGGCTGTTGACGACGACGGCTCCGCGGCCTTGGCACGAGCAGCGACCATATCAAGCCGGCCAGCACCGCCCCGCCAAAGGCATACACGCCCGACCGGACACCGCCCACCCCGAGCTGGACGAGCACAGTGCCCGGGCAGGCGCCCGACAGCGCCATCCCTGTGCCGAGCAGCGCACCGCCTAGGATGTTCCCGTCGTAAGAGGGCGAGGTGGATAAAAGGCCTACGGAGGAAGGTGGCTTAGGGGCCAGGTGGGTGAGCGAGAGGGTTTGTGTGGCTGTCAGGAGGAGGCTGGGATTCATTGTGTCAGTGAGTTACTAAGGTGAGGGTATGCGGTGGTTAGTAAGGGGTTGAAAAGGGGGAATATGGAGAATGGGGAAAAGGCAAGTGCAAAGAAGGCAGGGACATACGTGCTGCCCGCGGCGGCGGTGAGGAAGGTCTGGAGCATGTGGAAGTTGGTGAAGTCGAACTGGGAGAGGATGGTGGCCGGTTGGTGGACGCCCGAAGCGGTAAGGGCGGCGCCCATTGCGGCGCCGGCGAGGACATTGTTCATTGTTTGGATATCGTGGAGGGTGTGCGATACCTAGACAGAATGTCTGCTGGATTGACGGCAAGACCTCGCGTGCCATCACTTCTGGAAATTTCAGGAAGGCTTGGGACCGGACACCAGACGAGATTTATTCATCCATAGCTATTCCAGCATACATGCATGTTGTGGCCATGGCTCAGCGAGCGGGGGCGAGGAGGCCAACACCATCGGCAACTCGGCCGCAGGGATAGCATAATTTCATACGGATGGTTTTCATCGAAGATTGCTGAACGCGTCGACAGGGGATGCTAAGGTTTCAGCCCGGCTTCTTGCCCCATGCCTGCCACGAGCCGGCGATTCCTTGGGCCATCTTTTCCAAGTTGCAGTGTAGTGTGGCGGTCAACTTGGCAGGAGCGTGGAAGATCCGACAGGAAACAGCTCCTGCAGTTCAAGTTCTGTTTGGTGCAATAGGTGGCTGCTCCTGCCCTCCTTCGCGGCACTGTTCAAGAGAAAGGAAAGAGAAAAAGCATGCAATGCAAGTGCTCGAATTCAGCATCCCTCAAGTGTGCCCGGCAAGGCATCCTCGAATCCTGTGTAATCTGCCAATGCAATAAAGATGCACAAAGCCAGCCGAGCCAGCCATGGTGGTTTCCTATGCTTAATTAGCGACATGTGGCACGACGCGGCGACCACATTGTTGGGTCCTGATGGATCCATGGGTCAGATGGGGTTAGATGACACTGGTGGCCTCTTATTCGTGCCCGTGCACCCTTTCTCCCAGCACCTTGAGAAGCTTGTTGGTCGCCGATGTGACGAAGGGTCTCGGGCTCCTGCACCTGTAAATCCCCACTGGAGCCGAAACCCGGGTTGAGTGGAGCCCTAGGCCGGGCACCTCACTGAGTCAAACTTGACGGCCGTGCCATCTCCGTCCATCAACGTCGTACATCGCCGAGCAGCATGCACGTCATTGTTTCAAGTTCCACAGCAGGCCATCGCTTCAGGTCGCCGACATACAACAACAGAAGAAGATCGCGTTGGGCTCGGTTTCCGAACCTCAATGCGCTTCGTAACTGATGTGGCGGTTGATACCTCCGTACAGTCACTGGTTTCATACACAACTAGATTATCGCAGACGGAACAAGCTCCGGAACCACCTCAGTCAAGGGCGCACTTCCAAAGCAATGAAGCATCCGTTGTTGTGTCTCACGGCGAAACAATGCCGTTCCATGAGAAAGCGAAACCAACTAATAATATTGCTAGGACACTGCTGCTTTTCGGGGTACATACATCAAGGGAGTTATGTCGATATTTCGGCCTTATATTGGATAGGGTGGCCTTCATCATCTTTCTTGTCCGTTGAGGATTCTCGATCTAGGTACTCCAGGAAGCCCCGCCCGACGATACTGGATTGCTGAGGTACTCTTGATTTATTCGATTTACTCAAGGCAAAAGCGGTCTACTTGCCTGGACGCACGCCAGATCACATACAGGACGAGATCTCTACTTGACGGGGTGGCTTGTTCCTACGCTTCTTACTCAAGTGGGTTCTTACATACATTACCACTGACTCCAACCCTCGCGCCCACAGCTCGTTGATAACCAAAACATATCCTATGCGGTGTCTTCCTGGCCTTATACACGACTCATCATTCCAACGCTTTTATGTTCTTCAAACTCTTCCCCTTGAGATCCCTTCAGACCTCTCCCCTCTGTAAGCGAGGTAGTGACAGAAGAAATCATTGACAACTCTCCCTTCCTTAATATTAGTGCATAGGTACATAGTGCACAATGGATACAGAGCCCCGACTACGTACCTGTGCCCGCCGGCGGTAAACCTCCATGAAGGTTGCCCAGCCAAAGCTGCTCAGCAACCACCTCCAACCAGCGGACAACGTCCAGTTATCCCGCTGCCGGGCGCGCCGAGCCGGACAGAACCTCGCCGAACCGAGATTGAACCCCCCGCCTTCATGTGAACACTCACCGGCGACCAGTACCACCGGGGAAGTTGGCTGCCTCGGCGGACTGGAAAGGAGAAGGACGAGGACAGAAGAGAGACTATTGCAAGTACATACATACGAATACACGTACCTATCAATATGTGTAGAGCGAGGGGGTTCGCTAAAGTGTGGTGACAGCCTTAGTAAAATGCTGTATGTGGAAGTTGGGGGCGACATGTCACGATGATAGTTGTCTTGGCACCGACCAACCCGGGTTTCCGACAGCAACCACGCAATCTCTCTTCCCGTCCCCTTCTTGGGCATGTCTTGCGGCATGTCTAGATTGCTCACCGAGGCTACGTAGTTGTATGTTTACCCGCAAAGGCCGGAAGATTGACAAACAACACCAACACCATCACCCTGATAGGGCTGGATCATGCATATAACCGCCAATCACACCCAACAACACGAAAGGGTCGGTCTGTTAGGCATAAGCCACCGCAAACCAAAGATTTCCATTGTTTATCGCAACTTGTTGCCCAACTGGTTGCTTGGTCTACCCATCCTCGATAGCACTGCATGCAACCAGCCCAATCCCAATTAACCCTCCATCATTTTGACCAGGAATCCAAACGGCCTTGTGCTTCCCAACCGAGCACTAGCATTCCCATCATCCTCCCTCCTCAAATACACTCCCCGGTTGCCTTCCATCTACCATATATGTCCAATTCAGTGCTGCACGAGAAATGAGTGACATGCCCCCTAGACCCAAACCTGACCAGACCATGCAAAAGAGTGACGTGCATACTCTTCCGAAGACAGAGTAGCGGGTATCTCAAAAATGTTATGCCAAAAACCCAGACCCTTATCCAACAATGCAAATCACAAAAAAGGGTCGTTATAGACATTACCCCAAGGAGCGTCATGAAGTTCGTAATTATCCATCCCCATTCCCATCATCGTCCCTCATCGATCCATCAGGCGTAAGGACTGTTTAGAAGGGGGAAAAAGACTCATCCACCCATTCAATACCTCCGCATTAAAAATAGCTTTTTTGACACAGGAATTAAGTATTAAGAAGTGAAGATGCTCGCGAAACATCAAGCTGCCATCTAAAGCAAGAAGATGGCGGCCAGGAAATAAGCAAACACATTGCCCGGGCCAAAGATGCCACGCGGGGCCATCCTAGCCGGGGCAGCGGCAGTGGCAAGGGGGCGGGTCGTCGTAGGCGACGTGGGTGACGTCCCATTCCGCGAGGTTGGACCCACCGTCAGGCTGGGCGTGAACGTCGGGATGACTTTTGATTCCGACGAGGTCGAGGTCGAAGTCGAGGTCAAAGTCGAGGTCGAGGTAGGGATCGAGGTCGAGGACGGGGGAACTTCCGAGGCGACTTCTGACGAGGTCGGTGATGGCCTAGCCGAGGTTGTGGTCGAGGGACTGATCGGCACGGGAGCCGTTTCCGTATTCGGCGCCTCCTGCGTCCGGGAAGTGAGCGTCGGCGTTCCTGTCACTTGGGTTTGTGGCGGCGTGTTGGTGACCTGTGATGCCCCGGGCTGAAGGTCGCAGAAGCCAAGGAACTGCTCGAACTTGGAATCCAAGTAAACCCTCTTGGTAATCACAACATCGGCGACATTTGCCTCAATGCATATATGACAGCTGTCATAATATTCCCTGAAAACAGAGTCGGGCTGGCATAGTTCTGGCGACTTGCCGACGCGCTGGGCCTCCAAGTACGCGTTGTTGCAAATGTCGAAGCAAACAGCTGGTACGACCGTTTCGTCCCGCTTCAATAGAAGATGCGTATGGTCCCGTGCGTAATGCTTCGTCGTAGTTGTCACGGCGGACGTCGTGGTCTGTGCCGGGAAGTGCGAAATGCTCGTCTGAGAGGCCCAGTCGCCTGTCGTGACCGTTGTCTTCTTCCCATCAATCACGGTCACAACCTCGTCAAACTCGAAAATCTCGTAGCTTAAACCAAACGCATTGGGGTTGAGGTTGAAATAGCCCTCAGTAGGAGGATACCAGCTCGTCTCGTTCTCGGGCCACTCCACCCGCGGGTAATAAGGCGCCGGCAGGCAGCGACCTGGATCGCAGACATAATCATCGCTCGGAGAGTCTGCCCACACATTACAAGCTCCGGGCTTTATGGGCATACAGACCAATCCGGGATCGCAGCCCCATGTCTGATCCCGACGCGTTGCACCAGGTGCCGCGGCGTTCTGGGTCGGAACGGCACAGACCACCACCTCAGTTGTAACGGTAGGACCGGGGACGGACACGGTAGGACCCGGGACGGATATTGTGACCGGGGGAAGAGTGGCGGTCGTGACTTCGGTTACCGTGGGTCCGGGTATAACGGTTGTGATGGTCGTTCCGTCCTCTGTCACGGTGATGGTGATTGCAGGCAGAACTGTAGTGAACGTGGTGACGACAGTGGAGGCAGGCAGCGTAGTGAGGCTGACGACCGTGTTCGTGACCGTATCCGTGACCTCTTCGGTCAAAGTGCTCACGCTAACGAGCGTGCTCGTGACTTCTCTCGTAAATGTGCTCACGGTTGTAAAGGTGGTGGTGCTCGTCGCCGTCACCGTCGACGTTTGAGTGGTGAAGATAGTCGTGCTATCGGTCACGGTGACAGGGAAGGAGGTAGTAAATGTGGAGACGGTGGTGAAGGTGCTTGTCTCTGTCAGTGTCGTTGGCACAAGTTCTGTCGTGGTGACAATAGAGGTCAAGGTGGTTGGGATTGTGGTTGGAACGAATTCGGTGGCCGTGACTGTGTCAGTCAACGTCGTCGGAATCGTCGTTGGGACAGTCGTCGGGACCTCAGTCGTCTATAGCGGTCAGCAACCTACAAGGAGTGAGCCCTGGTGGCATGGTTTCCAAGTGCTTACATATGTTGTCGTCACGGTTTCTGTCTTCCATATCGTGTGATTGTTTACGACAGTATACGGGTAGCTGGTTGTGAAGGTGCTTGTCTCAGTTCGCGTTTCGGTCGTTGGCACATATTCTGTCGTCGGGACCGTCGTGGGGACAGTAGTGAAAATTTCGGTCGTCTAGAGGCATCAGAAACAGCTTGCCGTCAGGGGGGAGCGCAGCATTATCATTATGAACTTACATAGGTGGTCGTGGCGGTCGTAGTGTGCCAAATCGTCTGGTTGTTTATGACTGTGTATATATAGCGAGTGGTAAAGGTGCTTGTCTCCGTCAGTGTTGTGGGCACAAATTCAGTAGCCGTGACAGTGTTGGTCAATGTCGTCGGGACCGTTGTTGGAATTTTGGTCGTCTGTTGAAGTCAGTGGACAGCTCGCTAGATATGCAGTGGTCTTCGCCGGCGCGCTCTCATGACTTACATAGGTTGTTGTGACGGTATCTGTCGTCCATATTGTCCGGTTGTTGATCACCGTGTACGGGTAGCTGGTCGTGAACGTCGTAGTTTCAGTCCTGGTGACAGTGAAGCTACTTGTTTCAGTTGTGGCCTTGGTGATTGTGGTGGGAATTGTTGTCTTGACTGTTTCGGTTGCGGTGGTCGTCTCCCACTTAGTTGTCGTGCTAACCACGCATTGGTCCGTATGCCTTTTGCAGACAGTGAAGGTCTCGGTAACCGGGTAGGACTAGTCGAGTCAGCTATGTCGTTAACATGGCTTAGAGAACTCACCGTTGTATAGGTTGACAGGTGCGTCGTGGTGATGAACTTGGTTGTTCTGCCTTCGAGTCAGCCTGGGGCGAGTGTATATCAAGGCTAACAGCCGGCACTCACCCAATGGTTTGTGTAGCAGTAGCCGTGGCTGTTGCAGTAGCCGTGGCAGTCACGTTGACGCTGACTTCGTGAGTGGTTAGCCAGCTCACGGTCGCCGTCGCAGTGGCCGTGGCGGTATCCGTAACCGTAACCTAGGGCTGTCAGCAAGTACGCAGCATGCAAGGGGCGGCTGTTCTGAGTGCGTACGGTGGACGCCGAAGCCGTAACGGTAACCTAAAACCGTCAGTAACGCAGGCGGGATGCGAGGGTGGTTCTGAATCCATACCGTGGCCGCGGAAGCTGTTACAGTCTCGCTGAATTGCTGTTAGAAGGCTTATATACAAGTGAATCAAGGTCTCATACGTTACAGTGACGCTGGCCATGTTAGCAGAGTTCAATTGCTAGGCATTCCGAGCTTGTACTCACGTTGCTGCGCTGTGCTTCTCCGTCATCGTCTTGGTCTCGGTCGTGGTGACCGTCATTGTACTCGTACACCAATGGGCCACGACGTTCTCTTGCACCTCGACCGCTTCGCCCGAGTTCTCTGTCTCATTCGTCCTCTTGTACACAGGTTCCTCCGCTGCAAAAGCGACATGAACGAGGGACAAGACCCCTAGGCCTTGGATCAGCTTCGAGAGAAGCATTCTGCTCAGATGGAGCCGTCACACGAGCAGAGAAAGCCGTCTCAAAGCGAAACGAGTGCGAGAGCAACGAGTGAGGTTGGCATATGCTATGCGAAAGGCGGCCGAGGGTCGGCGGTGCCTGCCGATCATATAAGGCTGGACAGGGTGGGTGCGATGGCAGGCAGCTCACAAGTGCGCTTTCGGTGGATGTTACCGGTACGGCTGAGCGAGGCTTGGCAGGCTGGCTTGACTCGGAGACGGTTTTCAAGCTGCGCCGCGTTCAAAGCCTTGGAACGTTGTTGATCGTCACAGAAAGCGCTCTTGATTTTCGTCGACCCTGATCTCGAGCGGAGCGGCCACTGCTTCCCGGAGGGTCACGATAGAGGAACCGAGAAGGAAGGAAGAAAAAAGAGCTTGGTCGAGCTGTTGGAACTCCCAGCGAGCACTCGCCTGCATAGTCCCGCGGGGACCCTTGGCTGCGGACTGCCCCATAAGGATGGTTACCTGATTGCGTACATAATGGAACTCCATGGTTGCCGCGATGGGATGGTGAGCTCCGTACCCCTGCTCGAGATTTCCACCCAACCTGGAGCCCAGGTACGAAGCACGATAATTACCTACCCCATAGCAGTATAAGCCTGTAAGGAGTATTGTACGGTACAGTACGTATTCCATGTCCGAGAAGCGGGAAGCCAATAACATGAAAAGCAGGGCGCCGCCTGGCCGCAGCCCCGATGTTCACCTCAGCATCAACCGCAGCAGCAGCAGCTCTCGCTACTCGCGCTTTTTAACAACGTTAGGGCTCTCTCTAGACTCGTTGGACAGCACTATGCTGCGATCCTAAGTTAGACTGTTGCCAGAAACAGTGTTGTCCGCGGCCTGAGAGGTCCTCAAGGTCTCGATGGGCTTTTACCCACGACAAGCGGGGAGGCTGGCGTAAGCATACACCGCAAACAACACGAACGGGTGAGGCGACGGAGGAATTGCTTTTGCCTCGACGTTGCATTCCCGGTGGGGCTGGTGAGTGGAACGTGAGCAGAGGTTGGGCTGGGGTGGAAACCTGCTGTGAGTGGCTTGTCAAGCCCCCGGGTGGCTCGGGCTGAGCATTGGGACATCCGAAAGGACTTCACTTGTCCGCGTTCTGCCCCTCCCGTGCTTTCTTGGGGGCCACCGTCACTATCTGGGGCTCCCATGCCCAGCAACATCTCCAGGCAAATGTACGGAGGTAATGGCGCGCCAAATCCATATCCAGACGAGAAACACACAGGTCTCCCCGGATTGCAGTTGCAAATCGAGCGGCAGGATGGGCCGGCAGTCCATGTGTGCGACCTTGGGTTACTTCACTCCACCACTTGGAGCAAGACCGAAAGGAAACGGGCAGAAAGCAACCGGGTACCTGAAGGGAGGCGTATGTATGTATGTACGTCTCTCATCTGCCGCTGTCCGACGGCGACGGTTCTGTTGGTCGATTCAAAGCATCCATAACGTTATTTTTGTTTATTAGCCGTGATGGGCGTCGAACTTCCGGAGTGTGCCTTGCATAGGTAGTCAACGTGGGGTGGAGAGCCAACAACGCCTCGGCTTGCTCGGTTGGAAGGTGACCAATCCCAAAGGTGACGCGACCCAGGCTGGTCTGCATGGTATCGGGCCTGATGAGTCGTCTAGGCGACGGCACACCAGTCTATACTTCGTACATCAGGACGCTCTCGGCGCGCCCAGCTCCAAGTTGGTGTACTGTACACGTGTAAGCCTTGTGTTGTGAGGAGATGGATCCGTAGCTGAAAGTTATTTTCCCTCATGTTCGATGACATTGAAATGGTTAACAACTGAACGCAGCCAAAATCCCGATCAAGAAGGAAGGAGGAGTTTGCTAAACCTGGCATTGAATGATTGGATGATTTCCGTCCCAGTTTAGCCAAGGCTGGAAGGCCAGATGGCGGGACCCAATATGGCGGGCGGGGCGGGAAGCGCTAACCAGCCCTAGTAAAATCCCTGCCGATTGCCCCGCTCCCCCGCCGTCAACAACACTGACAGCAAAAGCAATGCACAATCTCACATCTCGTCAGCCTTCTCGGGATGCCTCTGGAACAAAGTTTCTCGGGAAACACCGACTACTGTACTTCGTATTCTACTGTATGTATATCTCAATAGTGCCTCCGGTTGATCTTGGACGATAGGATCACCTTCACCATAGTCACCAGAACCGCCCTTTGCATATCTGTCCGCTTACTGTACCCGGGTCGGAGCAAACAGTCTCGCCAGTCGTCCCAGGCGCATCAGGGGCAATGCGAAGCAAAAGCTAACGTTACAGCTCCCGGTCACGGCCGGTCCGTACACAGACCAAACTGCCTGCACCTTCTCGAGCAGTCATTACGGCTTGTTCTAGGCGCGACTGTTCGCCACTTTGAATATTAAAGAGTATGGTGTTGGGTCGAATGCTTGGAGGGCTATATGAGAGAGCATCCCGCACTTTGCCACAGCAGCCGTCCATCTTCGACACGAAGACGGGTTTTGATCGTGTTCTATTGGTGGGGAAGGTTGCACTCATTGGGAGCGAGCGTGCATCCCGTCCGTCCTCGCACGATGCTTGTACCGGTAGACCTGGATAACGCACACCCTTGTAGTGTGGTTAGTTATCGAGGTGTCACAGCAGCTGCCAGAAACAGACACGATCCACGGCAAGTTGGCAACTGCGAGAAGCGACGAAAGAGGTGTAGGTAATTTACACAATGGATTTATTGTACTGTAATTACAACTATTTACATATAATCGTGGAGCCGCAGCCTCGGGTTCAAAACGGTTCATCCCGTCCCTGATCAACCGCAATCGGCTGATTCAACCCGGGCATGATCCCTGACATTAATTGACTGAATTGCGAACAGGTTCAGTATTTTCCTTGTTTCACTGTTAAGTCGATCTGCGCTGCCATCGGGCATCGGGTTGCCTAACACCGGTGAAGTATCCGTAAAGCAGAATGAGTGAACAAGGTGCAAAGCACCGGTCCTAAGTACTGTAGGGAGACCCGGCATGACACACTGAGACCGAGACTCGGGCCGGGCTCAATGAAGCTGGGGCGGTGTGGCCTTGGAACGCCGCACTTCTCGGCGACGCAGCCATAACCGCCACAGCAATTACCGGAAAGCCCTAAATTCACTAGATCGGCGCCGGTCCTAGGAACTGACATCAATGCAAATGGCCAACCGAGTCACTTAGGTTTATTGATGAACTGAAGGGTGGCAAGTCCGTATTTGGTGGTGTACTGTACTATACACGTAGGTCAGGTACTAGTCTGCAGGCCTGAAAAATAAACTTAGGTAAGTACCGGAACGATCGCCTTCATGATGTGCTGTATCCGTATGTAAGGTAGGTATGTATGTCATACATACAATACATTGAGTGCAATGTAACTTCAGGTTACCGTACGGAGGTATACAGGATTAGATAGAACTGCGGGGAGAACCTGTCCCCGGCGCTTGTGTATGTAACTCGGCATTGCCATTCCGTTCCCGAGCCGTCTTGAATTATCCAGCAGAGGAGATAGGTAGGGTAACCACTGATCGGCACATACAGCAAGAGGTCTTTGAAGTTTACACTACATGGCGAGCATGGCAACCAACAACAAAAGGCAATCCCCCCCTCACTGCTGGTCTGGCTGCTAGGCCGAGCCTTGCAGGCATAGGGCCGGCTGTAGCGGGCCAGGCTAACAGACCGGTAAGCTAACAAATAGTCTTAGCGGGTCGGCACGAACTTGCCATACTGACCGAGTACCTATGTATGTACTTGTACAGTAAATACAATACAGACGAACATGTACTGTACGGTACTGTACTTCTCCGTAATCAAACTTCCACAGTAGGGTACGCTGACTCCCAGCGTTCTGATGCTCACAACCCATTGATTATTCACGTGAACACGTCGTGGCGGTGAGGGGACGAATTGAACAAATTCATATCCTGCCACCCAACCTGCACTGTAGGCTGTTAGCCAGTGAGCAGCCACTCTCGGGCCACTCCATCCAATAGACAGAAATGTCTAGACTTCGGTGAGAAGTGTGTGAGGGTGGCTTGCCGATGTGGGAAGGAACACCTCCCACACGATTTGTAGCACTCACTTTTGCGGGGTTTGAGGCAGGTTGGCTCAGCCTGCACTTGGATGAGGTTTGCTTCTCCATGCCTCTTACCTACCCTACCTACAATAATAACCTTCGCTGCTGAGTTCGCCTTTCTTCTTATCAATCGCAAAAAGGTGTGGCTCAGAGGATGGGTGTCTGGGTGGCTTACTTCCACCATCTCCCCTGCTTTCCCTAGAAGGCCATGCTGCAACAGAATGTGGCTCGTTCGTTAGCGCACCAGACGTTCTTGTGTTCGTACAATACATAATTTGCTGTCTTCGAAGATACGGCAACCCTGACAGGGCACCTCTGGCATTGATTCCCGCTGCGCATGCTGAGTTGACCTGGTTTGACCTGGTTAGCATAGATGCTGGCGTGACAACAGCTACCCCTTGCATCGTTTTTCCCCTCCTCCGCCTTGATTAGCCGAAACCGCAATGTATGGCCCCGTCCTCGGCAGCATCTCGCTGCTGACAGCCTCGGCCTCGCTCGCCCTGAGCCAGGCTGTCTGGCAGGAGAATCAGGTCGACACAAGGATATGCCAGTGGAAACAACTTCGAGGTACGCTGCGTGGCCTAATCTGTAGTTGTTCGAAGAGTCAAAATAGGTAGCTGACATGCCCCAGCCCATGTCATCAGAGACACGGTCTATCTGGACGGCGGGGATCTGTTGTGGCAGCCGGGCCTGGCGGACGGTTCCCTAGTCAGACCCGTCAACGACGGTGAGTATTCGCGCCGTCTTCCATCGCAAAGATGGATGCTCATGTGTTGCAAGACAACCCGCTGGGTCTCATTTACACGCTCAATTTCAGCACCCCCTTCAACACCACCCAGAACATATCGGCGATTCTCGGAGCCATATCCAAAACCGGCGGAGCCGCCAATAATCTTGCCCCAAATTATTTTGACGGCGCTCTTCTGGGCAACCATGAGGAGTTCTTTCTCTACGGCGGTCTGACGCCGAAAAACAGTGCCCTCACCGACCCCCCGGGAGACACAGTGCTGCGTTATGAACGCTATTGGTATGGCCCGCCGCGGGAGAACTTCATACCAGGGTTTGTAAGCCACAACCTTGGCCCCGATACGACCCGTTATGTTGCTTATGGCGGTGCCGCGAGTGCGCCGTCCGAGAATATGGCTTGGTACTTTTCGGGTCTGCGCTCTGCGAGCGGAGGCGTCATCTACGATGTCGGCGGCAGGGACCAGTCAACACAAGCCGTCAACGTGTCCAACAGATTGATCACAGTGGACATGGCAAGACAGCAGAGAGAAACATTTAGCAACGTGACACTGCCACCTGACATTCCCGGCAGGGCGAACCCGGAGCTGGTCTGGGTCCCCGTCGGTTCCCGAGGTATATTGGTTGTGCTTGGCGGCGTCGTGTTTCCGGATTTTGTCAACATCACCTCGAAATCCTCGAACGAGGAAGCTAGTGTGGGTAACCTCCGAACAACGTTGATCTGCCAGCGCTGATCGGCATACAGAGAGCGCAAAGCCCTTCGTTCATGTCCACGATCGACATTTACGACGTCGCGAGTGGCAATTGGTACCGTCAGAACACGACTGGCGGCCCTGGCCAGCTCACTCGTGGATGTGCAGTTGTCGCGCCGGCCCAGGACGCCTCAAGCTACAACATCTACTATTACGGCGGATACGACGGTCTGCGCCAGAGGGAACCTTTCAACGACGACGTGTGGGTTTTGTCTTTGCCGTCCTTTACATGGGTAAAGTTGACGTCCAGTGACGCTGAAGGACGTGCTGGACACAAGTGCGTCATGCCGTACCCGAATCAAATGCTGGTCATCGGAGGTTATCCCGCCGAACCAGCATCGATTCCCACGTGTCTCACAGAGACAATTCGAGTATTTGATCTTTCCACGGGAGCTTGGAGAGACCGGTATGATCCCGCTGTGTGGAGCAATTATACCGTTCCTAGCCAGGTTGTCGAGAAAATAGGCGGTTCTGGCACAGGAGGTGCCACAGCGACGACGCCGAGCCCCTCCGGATGGGTTTCAGATGAACTCGCCAGCGTGTTTGCGACTCAATACCCGGCAAGCAAAATCACAACGTACTATCCGTACGCATCCGTCGGCCCGTCGAACACTACGAACCCGAATGTTACTCCGACCCCTGTACCAGATGGCGGCGACGGCGGCGTACCTTCGTATCTCCCGCCCGTGCTAGGAACGGTTCTGGGTCTAGTGTTTCTCACTATGGTTGCCGTGCTGGTCTTGCTCTGGAGACGGCGAAGGCTCTTGCGCGGCGCTCCAAGCGAAGCCGGCACGGAAGACACCAGGGGGAACCGCATCGCCTCGTGGCTGCGTGGGCAGCCCACGCAACCCAGCGAAGCCAAGACACCCACCGTCGTCTCGACAGAATACTCGCCCTCGAGCAGTCCCGATGTAGAGCGTGTCGCTGTTCCCCCACAGTCAATCGTCGAGATGATGAATACCGAGGTTTCATTGCCTGTTGAGTTGCCCGGTATGCCTCGTACTCTTTCCTACTAGCCATTTTAGGTCAACCTGGCTAACTATTCTCAGACAATTCTCCTCGAGCAGAGCTTTACGGCACCGGCTTGACGGGCAACCGCTCGCAGCTGGGCGGCTCGCTCAACAACGGCTCCTTCTACATCACTGGCACGCAGCAGGCTGACCACGCCAGCCTGGGGTCCAGCCCGACGCCGCACCCTCCGCCGCCACCAGCACCACCAACTGAATCACCCGTATACTACCGCCCAGACTCGGAGGCTCTAGGCAACGCGCCGATGACGTCGGCGATGACGTCCCCCACCACAACAACCACGGCCAGCCCAAGCACGGTTCGCGGCAACATCCTCTCGGGAGTGTCGAACCTCAGTGAGCGCGACCGTGCGCACCTCCGTCAGATCAGCGACGCCACCGTCAGCTCGGTGACGTCGGCGCCTGGCGGCGACGGCCGCCTTTTTGCCGGTGGAACCGTCGCAGCACTGGAAGGGTTTGTTGAGAGCCCGGCTCCGGTGTCACCACCTATCGGGGCCGCTGGAGGGGGCGATTATCTCACTGCGCGGCTTGGGCATGGGCCGGCGTCTGTGTCGACGTCCGCGTCGAACGAGAGTTCCCAAAGGAGGAGTGTATTTACGGAGAGACGGGAAGATATGAATGAAGGGAAGAGTGGCTGATTGTGTGGTAACTTTACCGTTGTTCTTTTTTTTTTTTTTTTTTTTTTTTTTTTTCTTTGTGTGTGTTTACGATATATGGCTGATGATAAAAATGGGCGACTGCTTGTCCAATGGCTTGGTTACCCTGGGCGTCGTTGGATCTACGCAGTTCTGGGTTTCGCTCATATATCGGTATTTCGCGGTTTGGACTGGGTATGTACATCTGTATCTGTCTTGTATTGCTCTACCATCTTTATGGAGGAGCAAGATGGAATGGGCACACTCATCACCCAGTATCTAGTCTAATGTTTGTCGTCCGAGGCGGGTGGAAGAAGGGCACGTAGAAAGTACGACGATGGCCATTCAACCCTCGGATGGTATATACATGCACCGGTTAATAAACCCCCATGTGCATCTCCTACAGCCGTTATAGCAACGTCTTGTCATCGCCAGAAACGCCTGCCTCGCCCGCCCCTTTCTTCGCCGTAACTTCAATCTCAATCTTCATCACTTCTTCCATCAGCCCACACTGGATCATTGTCGCCGCCGGCCGCACCTTTCCCAGCCACTTTTGCAGCACAGGCCTGTATGGAATGGTTTTTCAATACTCTGTCAGCCAACCGGCAGTCTGCTAATTCTGAGAGAGGGCCTGCCGCTAATTAGGGGCAAGACACATGGATTATGCTCGCAGGCAGCAAGTCGCCTGCAAAAAAAAAAAAAAAAAAAAAAAAAAAAAAAAAAAAAAAAAAAAAAAAAAAAAAAAAAAAAAAAAAAAAGGAAACCTGAAGCTTGAAGCCAACCTACGTACCACGTCTTTGGGAAATCCGCCCGGTCAGGCAGCATGTACCGCACCCGCACAATGTCGTCCACCGTAGCCCCGGCCTCTGCCAGCGCCGACGCAATGTTTTGCATGCACTGCTCGGCCTGTGCCGACACGTCGTCCGAGATGGCGCCAGTGGCATAGTTGTATCTGCGGTTTTCAGTCAGATCGCATTTTCAGGAACTTAAGGTGCATGCAAAATGCGGAGGGAGCGCAAACTGAAAAGGGGTGTGAGAGGGGGGAAATCCGTGACACGACGGACCCGGAGAAGGGCCCTAGTGAAGGGCCCCAACTGAGTCACTCAGGGCCAGGTGCTACCGTGCAGTGGTCTTACCCCGTGCAGCCAGACACAAACACCATGTCCCCAGAGACGACGGCGCGGGAGTAGCCGATTTGGGCTTCAAAGGGGGAGTGAGAGGAGATGTTCCTTCTAGACGCCATGGTCATGAATGTGCCTCTCACGTCACGGTGCTTTGGAATACTGAGGCTGTGAATGGATACAGACGAAGGAGTAAAGCAAATGGTATACCGAGCGGTTGTCTCCCAGAATCTTAAGAGATGGAGTGAGTCACTGAGCCAAGAGGTGCTAGTCGTGTGACCCTAACCCTATTAGTGTCTACCTTCGTTACCCCTTTTTCTCGTCAACAATAGGGGCTAGTGATCATGAATGGCACGATTTTCAAGGGAACTTGAGGTTGCCAGAAGAACTAATCAGATTCCATGCGGCAATCTCTTCAGTTGTTGTAGATCGGGTAGCAATAACCATTAATCTGCGTTTGTGGCAATGTATCCCGGGGTTTACCAAGGCCAAGTCCCGTTATACACGAGCCCACGCTGTTATATGCTCTTCATGCTAACGTTTCTAAGGCGAGTGTATGTGTTGAGGAAGTTCAGAGGTGACTTTATAGGTACGTTCCCGCAATGGCCTGCGCAGATTGCACAAAGGGGCTCCATCATGACAGCCACCATATCATCTGGCTGACAGGTACTGTACTGTATGTACATACAAGCAGTTGACTTGCTTTTCGTCCTGAGGAATTTCATTGACGACGGCCAAAGCTTCCTCCTGTATCTGTCTCTTTTAGTCAACGCCGTAGTGCCCAAACCCGAACAGATGCATTCATCCCACTCCTCATTTCGGCTCTTTATATTGCACAAATCCGAACACATTCGCCTGCACGGAGCCGCTGCCACCGAGTTGTTTCTCTAGGCCCAGGGCATGGAAACGTTGATTCGGGTGCCCGGGTCATAATGGACGCTCAATCATACATCGTCGGCATGCTGTGAGTATCCTCACCATACATACCTAGGTACTGTACCAGGGATTCGGAGTCCCAGTACCACACACAAATCCTCCCTCCCCAGAATAACAGTCATCCTAGCACTGCGCCTGCCTTTCCTTCTCATCTCCGCTGGTAAAGTACTTTTGCCCCAACTCCGTGGATCTTAGCCAATCTCGCTATCAAACTGTGGCTCCACCGGTGGGTGACGCCTTGGAGATCTAATACGTCTCCGACATCCCTGGATAAATCATGACCAGTCCAAGAAAGGCCTCTCATCCCAGCATGGAATGCGATCTGATGCCCCTAGGGCCCAGCTCACTGTAAATACCAGTCAGTACCTGAAATCACTGCAGAGAGAAAGAGATGCAGTAGAAGCTTACTTGTAATCCACCCGACTCAGGCTCATCAGCCTTTGACTTTCCAAGCCCTGTGCGTCAAGGTTATGTATACAAAATGCCAGCCGCGCGGCAACCTGCGCCCCCAAAAACATGGCCTCCTCGAAGCCATGCTTTGACCAGTCGCTCAAATAAGCCGGCAGTGGCGCCAACCGTATATTGGTCGGCGTCTGGCTGTGGAAATGGTGGCTCGTCGCGCCGCTACCGCCGCCGGCGTCGCCGCCAATACTGGAGCCGGCACCGCCGACCCCGCCGCCGACACCTCCTGGGACTTGCAAGCTAGCCGTCGTGGCCGCCTGCAGGAGGGGGTTGACGCTGCTGCTGGTGGGTATCTGACCGCCACCGGCAAACGAGCTGGTGGGCGTCTGGGATCCTGTGCCTGAAGGGGTGCCCATGTTGGAGGGCAGTTCTGAGGTGAACATGGTGGCCGAACTCGGGGAAACAAGGTGGCGCGCCTGGAGGGTCTGCATGATATTGTCGCGCAGACCGCGGATGCGCGCGCCGTTGCCCACGAAGACGATGTTTTCCCAGCAGCCCGGGCGCATGTACATATCGTCGATGCCCTGCACAGCGCGGTAGATGGCCGTGACAATGCGGTCTATCTCCTGGCGGTCCGCAAACTGGAAGCGCTCCAGGCCAACCTCAATGTCGCGGCGCACCCGGCGGCTTACTCGTCCGGATGTTGTTGGGGCTGTCTCGGACGTGGGAGCGTCGTCGGCGGGTTGCGGTTGCTGTTCATCGGACGTTTCTGTCTTTGGCTCGGTCCCAGTTGTGTCTCCCGTTGGAGCTGCTGTTGTCGAGGCAGCGTCGGTCATGACAACCTCGTTGGCGCCGTTCTCTTTGGGCGCGGGTGCGACTGGAACGTCCTCCGTCACTAGCTCCTCGTAGTGGAATAGGTTCTTGACTCTTTTCGAATTCGGAAGCCTGAGCGGTTTTGCCCCGCCTGCATCGGCGCCTTCTTTATCTTTTCCCTTCCTCCCCATCTTGGCTTTCTCCGCCTTCTCCTTTTCCTTCTTGGCGAGAAACTCTCTTGTCTGGCCACTGGCGACGATATTGGCAACATCTAGAACGCCATCTTCCTCGATTTCCTTAACGTCGCCATTTACGCCAGTGTCGTCTGGATCTATCGGGGCGTATGTCCGCGGCGGCTCCACAATTTTCGGGCCTTCGCTGGTCGGCGCCGGCACGACTGACCCAGTCTCGACCGGCAAGTCCATCAGCTCGGGGCTTTCGGGCGAATACGGTAGCACCTCGCAGATGGGGCTCTTCTTCAGCTGCTCGGCCATGTCATAGTCGAACCCCTGTGACTCAAGCAGCTTCAATAACCGGCGCGTGAATACCTCACCGCCACTAATCTCGTGCTCGACACCGGGAGAGGGGCCGACGCTCTTGTACGACACGACCCGGCCATCGTAGATGCACGTCACGTCCACCTTCTCGTAGCCGACATCGACAACCGTCATGTTGGGCCATTTGAGGCCGTACTGCGTCGCGATTCCGCTGTGGATCAGGCACAGCGCGGGGGTTTTGGTTTTCTCGAAGATGTATCGAGCGATGGCCTCACAATCGGGGCGCGTCCATTGCGGCGAGGCCATGAGCATAATCGGCGTGTTGTGGTAGGTACTTGTCAGTTGACCGTGGACGTGCTCGAGGAAGGCGAGGAAAGCCTCCATGTTTACGATGCGCCCGGCTGAAGGGAGGTCAAGTCAGACAAGCTGGTCGCCCATGGCATCGGGGCGCATTGGACCGAACTACTTACCCTGAATGGGGTACACGGCGCCTTCGATCGAGTCTATATCCTCGACGTATTCCCATTCGTCACCTGTGGTCCCCCCCTCCTTCTTACGCTTGTAGGTGTAGTGTGGTCGCCAGCCGTCCGAGTCCTCATCTTTAAACATTCGCGTGGGGAAACGGTGGGCTGGTGGTGTCAGTTCATTGCACCCAAGCTGTGCCAGCGTGGTCTGGCTGCCGGGGCATATGATGAGGACTTGCTCCTCGCGCCATTTGCCAGTTTGGCTCGACATTGCGGCGGGCGCCTGCACGAGCAGCGACCAGCGACGTCGATTCTAATGCTACTGAGTTTCGTGAGTCGGCAATTTTGGCGGGGGGTTCGGCAGTGCTATCCAATTGCTAGAATAAGACCCGGTCTTGAGTCGATGGTGCGCTGCGTCTTCTCAAAAGCAGGGTGAGTCGGCTATCTTAGTGGTTGCTGTGCTGGATAGTGCAAGCTTGCCGATTTGGTGGGTGCGCGTTGCGCGTAGCAGAGTGGAGAGCATTGACACGAAATCTCGAGCTTCAGCTGTCAAATGTGAAATGTGCTTACATAATCCATATTCGTACAGTACATTGACTTTGACCTTCAAACACACCAACAATTCACTGACAAGTCCAAGATGGTAACATCGGGCTCATGAATCTGTGCAAGTACCTTATGTAGAATAAACCGAAATCCCAGGTATGTATTGCCAAAACACGCCGACGCCACCCAGTGCAATACACCCCCCAGAATGCCCTACCATTATCATTGATCTACAGGTATTTCACGATCGCACCGTCCCACCTACCCGACAGGCTATACCAGCACATGCTCCAGGATCACATCGCAGACCTCCGCCAGCGTCGGCCATCTTCCCTGGCGCAGAACCGTCTCAAGCCCCCGGGGCCCTGCCTGCGATGCCACGCCCGTCTCCAGAAACGTCTTCTCTGCTCCCGACAGCTCCCTCCGTTCCATCTCCTTCCACTTGCGCTCTGCCTCCTCCTTTGCCTTCTGTAGCACCTCGTCCGTGTTCTCTGCTTCCCACAAGTTGCACTTGCTGCATTCCTTGCACTTGCGGCCATCTCCCTCGGGCCGGAAATGCTCACAAAAGTGTCTATACCCAGCGTCCGGCCCGGTGTCGGAGCCAATGTCTTTTCTGCAGACGTAGCACATCTTGTAGCCGCACGGGCACGTGAGCTTGTTGCACCCGGCTGTCTTGACAAACGACGTGTTGCAGCGAGGGCAGACCCGCTTGATGGCCAGGCTCATGGCCTGCTCAATCTGGGTGCGGAGCGCCACGAGAGACGATTCGTTGCACACATGCACGTCCACCCACGCCTTGTTGCAGCTTAGGCACGACGCCCGCTTGCACTTCGGGTTCCGGCACTCGAACCTGAGCCCACGCCGCCGGCGCCGGTGGCGAACGAGGGCTTCGCGGAATTCCCTCTTAAGGCTGTCGTCAAAGGTCCGCTTGGAACTGACGAGGAGGGCGACGAATGACGACAAAAGCACCAGGGGGATCAGGAAGGGTATGCAACACAGGCACAGGATGATGAGGACGAGATTGTAGATACCGTGAGCCTGGAGGCGCAGCTGCATTTTGCTCACAGGTAGGTAGACGTCGTCAACTTCAGCGTACGAGCAAAAGGGGCAGCGCACTAGAGGCAGGTTACTCGACACCAGACTGTAATCCGCAAGGCGCTGCTCCAATTTATGCAACATCTCGGCACCGTTCTTCTCTTCAAGCATTGCTCGATGCATTTGTTCCTGAGGGATAGACCCCTGGCATTCCTCTGCATCTACGGCCGGGCAACGGAGAGTGCCAGTCGACTTATCGATGCTTCGCTGCCAGCCTTGCCCAAACACAGCCTCCGAGACGGAGTGCTGCACGCACCTGAAGCAGACCATGTGGCCTTGAGTAGTGCACGATGTGAACTCCTCAAACGCCGACTCGGTGAAGCAACAAGTACACTCGATTGTGCTCTCGGTCGCTTCTGCCTCGGCGCTATTCAGTGCTACGGCCATCTGATGGTCTTTGGCTTCCTGGTCGACGCGGCACCGCTCTTTCAGCGGAACGATAAGGGCTGCAAAGAGCTCCTGATCGAGCTCGGCATTGCCAGTCGACTTCAAAGTGGGTATGATGGACCCCTGACCTGTGGATTTCCAGATCACCAGAGGATGCGTCTCGGCCTCGGCGGTCGAGACAGGCTTCCGGCGCAGAAAGAGAGCCGAGATGGTAAAGCGCCATGACTTGGACGACAGGTCTACAAGCGTCTGACGGGCGTCGAGGTAGGAATAGTTCGACTCGGCCAGGACGGCGTTGATGGTCGACCGGGACAGCCCTCTAAATTCGCGCCAAGCCATGGTCTTCACCGCCTGCTTATACTCGGGACTTCGAAATGCCTCTCGTTTAGGAACTTGGATACCACATGACTGTCCGGCGGCTCCCGACGAGGCGAGGTTGGATGTGCCCTCCTTGTCTGCTACCCGCCAGCGGCCTTTCACCCAAGTGGCTCGGTTCTTGAGCAAGGCGTCGGCGACCAAGGCTAGTCTTGATTCACCGTCGAAATTGGTGAGCATCTCTCGAAACACCTCGGTCTGGATGTCGGGGAACACTGCTACGAGCGCATCGAGGCATGCGTTTAGCTCCCGTAGATCCGGGGCTTCCGGCGGGATGGGTCGCAGGTGGGCCTCATCCGAGATGTGGTCAGATAATACTGACTCGGCGACTGTCGCAGAGGATGATGAAGCTATGCTGATGGGAGCTTCGCCCTTTGCCTTCGCGGCGTGGATGCTCGAAGACCCTAGCAGTCCCGGAAAGCCCATGATGCAGCGTGTCCGTGTGCTGGATACACCATGTTGAGCGCAGTCGGGGTCAGTCGTTCCGAGCAGCTACGTGGTCATAATGTCGGCCGCCGAGTTTTGGCAAAAGGTGCAAGTGGTAGCGGGTGGTGAGACTGTCAGGATGTGTCAGCTGGGAATTGATGTTGCAACTGCCTTCGAGGAGAAAGTTCAGGATACGGAGTACGGAGTCAACCAGAGTAGCTTGGCATTCCGTCAGAAGACGGTCCGTGCGCCATAGCCGTTCCGTACTTCCGTACTCCGTATGTAGTCCGTGGTAGGTTCCATTTGGGCAACTTTCTCTGCCATTTCGTGATTTCTCTTTACATAGAGCACCTAATTACACTACCTCCCTACATTGCATGTAAGTAAAATACCCTACGGAGTCCAGTTCTAGGAGAACAACCGATGGCTGCTATTTTTTCGGACTGCTTACACAGTACTCTACACGTAAGAAGTGTAGGTATACCAGTTACCAGTAGTATTCCGTTCCTCACTTCTTTTGGTAGGCTCTCTACCAATCACTATCCTTTCCTCCAGCGTACGGAAAGCAGCATACGGAGTAATTCATCCCTCCTCTTCCCTAATGGCCTGCTAGATTAGATCTGGTGGATGACTTAGCGAAATCAGGATCAGGTACTTTAGCAGTTACCGTTAGGCATGTCTTCAAGAAGCGACCGGGAAGTGAAAAGAGCTAACATCAAATTCCAGGTTGTCTGTATTCACATAATGTATCCGTATATACCTCCGTACACAAGATCTCAGTTGGTGCGGGGATCCACCCGAGCTGCGGAATGTGGAACTGTCACTTGTCGCAAGCTGCACCCAAAATGCCCGCCTTTTGGAGACTTGGCAACCTCCATCCCGCCTTTTGCATGCTCGAGACAACCAGCCTGCTCGAATCACGAGCGGACGCCTTTTCTCTGGCAGTTCGAGTTCTGCCCCAGACTTATTATGAGCTCAATCTGTACTTCATCATACGGGTCTGCTCAGGAGCGAGAACATGGTTACACAAGCTTGGAAGGCTTTCGCACCGGAATAGTGCCGGCTTTGCAGTGAAGGTACAGTACGTAAGCAGCCAAAACGCCGGTACGGATACCTCCCCTCGAAGTAGCAGGCCGCTTTTTCTCGAAGATCTCTCGAAGCAGTCAGCCCTCCATTCAGAATAGTTCGGATCCGCAACCGGTCACCGCACATCGACGCCGCTTCACGTGTCGCCAGGTACAGCGTGCCATTAACGTTAGGGCTCCCCTCCCAACATGCAACTGCCAGGTGGCAGGAGCGAACTAGACGCCGAAAGCGGGCTTCATCACCCGTTCATCACGGGAGCCGTGGCACCGAGTTGCGCCCGTCCTTCCCTTCGTATTGAGGTCTTGCCTACTCGGCGTCTGGCACTGAATCCATATCCAGACATCCGTTTCTTTCGCTCGTTCATATCTGTCTCTCTTGTTCTACCTGCAAGACAGAAGGTTAAGCCATGGTAACTTGTTGATTGGCAATTCTACACTATAACCTTCTGCGAGGTATGTGCAACGTTTTGGCTGGTGTATCGGTTACCGGGGGTTATACTCGTCTAGTATACGAGCAAGGGTACGGATATATGTACACCAAATTAGGCTCTGTCACACCTCCTTTCCGTCACGCAGGGCTGGGCTCACCGCCCCTCCGCCATTCCGCTCTTTTGGGAGCGGTGTTGGGACCCAAGACGAACCTCCCATGTGGTGGATCTGTCGTGGCTTGCAGGTGTTTTCGAACGACGACCGATTCGACAGGCCGCTAATGCACGAACTCCCCTGTTTTTCTCGGAATCTCTTGGCCTGACGAATCCCTCTGTTGCGCGTGTTGTGGTCTGCCCCGGCCTGTCTTTGTGCACACCGACTTCTTGCCCCCACACTTTTTTTCGGTGACTCTTGCCTTTCGATGTGCGTGCCCGACCTGCTGGTCCACGGCCTGGTAGCGCAGGGAGTAAGTCAAGTTCACGTTAGCAGTTCCCCCTGTTAATGTTCACTAACGTTAACATGCGCTACAGCACCGGCTGGTCTCGAATGGTCTGCTGCGTAAGGTACTACGTAGTAGGAGGTCCCTGCCTTTGTCAGCCGGCATTCCGCCTGGCGGCCTATAAGTCCGCCTCTTCCTCACCCATTTCCCGTACATAACATTCCCCCTCCCTTTGCCTTGTGTATCCTATTCATCGGAACCGATGGGCAGAGCTGGTTGTCTCTGGGCCCTTTGGATGGTTCGCCTTGCCCCAGCATGGACTTCCTCCCCATCGAACTAGTCCGACTCGTCTTTGACAACTGCGATCCCCCCAGCATCAGAGCTCTCCGCCTCGCGTCGGGCAGGTTTGCTGACGTGGGTTATGAATACCTTCTCCAACCGCACTTCAACGCGGTCGAGTGGAGAGATGACATCAAACGGCTGCGCTCCATCGCCGGCCACGACCGTCTGAGAGGCAGCATCCGCTCCATCACCTTCAACTTCTCAAAGGTTGACGAATATAATGCTCGCCATACCACCTTCTTCCAGCACTGGCTCCAGGAGCCCGAGGAGCGCAGCTCACTTCTCCAGGATGCCTGGCTCAGGTACTACGAATTGGAGGAGAAAACCCGCAGGCTGCCGCCATTCCACTCCCGATCTGCTCTGGTCGAGGAGTCGTTCAAACGGCTGCCCAACCTGAAGGACCTGGAAATCACGCTTACAAAATGTCCCTACGATATCGAGATCCTCAAGGAGGTCTTTGAAGTCCGCAACTGCCGGAAGCGGGACCGGGACCAGGTGTGCAAGAATATGAACGCCATCGTGTCGGCCATCCGACACGTCCGACTGTCATCGTTGTCAATTGACCAGTTGCCGCTCGAGATCTTCCGGCTGGCCGACGACAGGCGGCACTGGTTCGACTGTGCGCGGTCTTTCGCGAGCCTCTCGCGCCTGAACTTGGTGCTGGACCCTCCCCGAAATCTCTTCCCGTCGGCTAGGTTCCGCTCCATCAACGGCCTCGGCCACGTGCTTCAATTCAGCGTCAACCTAACCCACCTGTCGCTCGCCTTTCACACGTACCACGCACCGCTCGAAAAGTTTCAGCTCTCGTTCAAGGAGCTCTTTTGCGGCGACTTCACATACGAAAAGCTTACCGACCTGAAGCTCGAGGGAATCAGCTGCGCCGAAGAGGATCTGCGGTCGTTTCTGGTGGGGCACGGCAAGACGCTTGAGCGGCTGCGGCTCGGCGGGCGCGGGCTCGCCAAACCCTACGAGATGAGCATCGGGGGAGTGCACCTTCACAAGGGCTCGTTCCGCTCACTGTTCACCTCGTTGCACGGCAAGCTGCCCAAACTCAGCCGGTTTCACATGGAAGGGGATGCCGAAGCGGGCGATTACATGGCCGCCTCAAGAGAGGTTTATCATTTCCGGCCCGTTGCTGACGATAATTGGGCACCCATCGCGGCGGCAGCGTCGCGGCGGCGGTCCGTGCCGGGGTCTCCATGCGTCAAGACTGTCGATTGCCTTGGGCTGGAGAGGTTTCTGGTCAATGGGGGCAAGTACCCCGAGCTTGTCCCAGGGGATGCTTAATGATTGGACATCCTTTTATCTTCGGGACTATTCACGACGGATTTAATTTCACGACGAAGTAAATACCACGACTTGAACGACTCTTTTTCCGCAAAGCATTAGACCTGGCGGGGGCATGTTCTGGGTTAAAACGGGATGGTTTGGGTTTACGGCGGCGACATATTAGACAGAATGCAAGCAATTGTCGGTCTGACATTTTCACTATACCTAGCAGAACATACTCGAACTAAATATTATCGGTCTGTCTCCCATCTTGGTCCTTTATTCGATTATGCTTAGGTTGTCTGCACTACCAGTTCAGACTCACCTTTCGCAATGTTTTTACGTAGTGCTACAGGTGTCATACCTTGACGTTGTCGACCGGCCGCCAATGTTGGGTGAAGACATGCCCACCGGTCAGATGCGCTTAGCAGAAGAGCGGGCAGCAACACTTAGCAAGCACCAGTCTGCAGCGACAGCATCCGGAGCTGGCCAGCATCGCGTTGTGCGAGGTACTGCAAGCTGGAAATGGTATACCATCAGGGGCAAGGCTGCGGGCAGAAGGCGGCGCAGCTTGACAGCGGTTGTCCGTCTGTGCCTCGCGGAATACAGCTCAGCCAACTGCAGTGGGAGCTGTTCACGTCTTGCTGCGGCAGCACAGACAGGTGGTGCAACATGGACAGCTTTGGGCTCCGGCTATTGATAGGGGGACTAGGTTGCAATGGCTGAGCCTCTTGTGCTGGAATGCCTGGAGCCCTGGCGATCGAAACACGGGATTATGGGACGAAATTTTGTGTATATATTACGGCTGTTGTTCCGGGTTTTGCAAACTGCAAAAACACCGTGAGATAAGTTGTGAGGTGAGAGTCACACTGCAGACGATGACACCCACCGCATTGCCGCCGGAACAAGCGACAACAGCGGGAAGCTGGGTTACTGCGCAGTGATTGAGCAGTTGATGGTGGTGTGAGTTGTACGACACAGCCGACTTACGTGCAATAAGCAAAGCTGCATCGAGAGAGGCAAGTAAGGACGGCTGACTGACTTCCTGAGTGTAAGGACGGGAGCTACACAGCCTTCTCAGAAGTCAGGGTCACCCAAAGTCAGGACTCAGCTGTCCCTTCAGTCGTGGGAACCTCTGATGGGAGACTGCCTTGTTAAGAGGGGTAGTAGAGAGGATCGTTCTGCATATAAACTGTTGGCTGCACTAACATTGCTCTTGGCCGACCCAAGTACCGTGAGTCCGTGACTGAGGTCCATGGTGGTTTCCGGTTAGGTATGCTACTTTAGGACTGCTTCCCGGTTGACTTATCTCCTCAGTAGTACTTGCCATGAACTTAAGCCCAGTTTCAAGGCGGAAGAGCGCGCCATCGCAGGCACACTCTTTCCCCTGGCAGCGTAGGAGTACTTGATACTTCGGAAGGATCGACTCGAAATTGCACATCTTTCCAACCTGCCGGGAGCTTGCATACATCTGGCAAAGACGATATCCAAGGCAGGAAAAGCAATGTTCAGAGCATTGGGATAGACACCGAGTGTCTGGTCACAATCCAATTATTAGGTTTGGCTATTGGCTGACAAGCACCCTCTCCCAGATCTGAATCACAATCCTCCAGAAACCTAGCAGGGAAGACTTGAGCTGACTATTTGGATTATCAGCGGTTGTGTGTCGGCTGACAGACCGCAAAAGAAAAGACAAAGCACATGACGACATCGCTCTTATGCAGACTTGCCCAAGCCCGGACGTGAAAACTTTTGGGCGTTTGAAAACCAAGATGGTTAGGTCCAGACCCAGAGGGCAGCCAATGCATGAGCCAGGAGCCGGGACAAGCGAGTGGATCTCGATGCGCTGCTGTGCCGATGCCGAGAACTGTGATCCCGCCGGCTTCCTGCGGAGAGGCAGAGGAAGGGAGCTATATCACAGGCCGCATATATTGTACTGTATCGTACGGACGGAGTGTTGTGGTGTAGTGTAGTGCATGTCCATGTAGGAGGAGCGGGACAGCCTAACGGTCTCAACGGCAATCGATGTTGTGGTTGCCATCTAACTGAATGGGAGAAATGGAAAGAAAGGAGGAGGCAAGATCGTGACCAGAGATCCTGCCCAAGGTCAGTATCGATATGTAAGGTATTGTGTGGTACAATACAAGGCACTGAATGGGGCAAAGCCCGCGTATCTTATGAAAGCGAAATTGCCGGAGCGATTCCAGTTGTACATATTCAATTGTTGCCATGCCTGCGCATTCCGCGGGTATGTATCCGTATGTAGGTCACTTCAACGAGGCACACATCGTGTCTTTCTTTGTTTGTTGGATGTCGCCTCATTCTGCAGCCCTCGCCGTATGGCCGCATCGAGGTCCAATAAGTTCTCCAACGGCAATAGCACCCGACGGCAGGTTGATGAGAAGGACCTTCACCCATGAAAACCTGTGGCTTGATGATCGGCACAAACGACGGTAGAAGGACCGGGCTGAATGAACTGCTCGCCGAGATCGCTTGTCGCAGCACTTTGCGTTCCCATTTAAATACGCTGTTGACTGCTACGTTGATAATATTCGATCAATTTGCAGTCAGGCACAGGCGCGAGCTTCCTGCAGTTGCCGACCATTTCCACACCCTCAACTTCAAGGCGAAGGTTGAACAGTGGGGTGACTAGGGTCTCACTGCGCTTTACTGTGGTAGGGAGTCGTCATTGCCTTGCAAACTTGCAGCTAGACCCTGTCGGGCGGGCGCCAACTCCACTGCATGTGGCCCTGCCTTGGGCTTTCTTTTCGGCTTGCGCATGGCCCACGTCACTGGGCACCCCTAACTTCTGACACCCACTGGAACGGGTGGCTCGGACTTGCTTTTGGGGGGGTTTCCGATTGAAAACTCCCACGGCCGCTCGTTCGGTTCGTCAGGTTCCCTTCCCTACCTGATCCTTCTGCACAACACAGAACACAGACTCAAACAGACACGGCGGACACCGCGGTCAAATCGGGATCGGTGCCCGACCACTCGGCCATCCTCGACGTCAGCGAGCATGCAGCGCGTCTCGGCTCTGCTCCCCTCGTGGGACCGGTCGAGACAAACCGCCGCGGCGTCCCGAACACCCGGTGCTCTGGACAAGGTCTTTGGATGGGCCGAGAAGATTGTCGTGCCCGTAGGCCGGAGCTCCTCTGCCCCGACTAGCGCAACAGCCACCCGCTACGGCCGAGAGACATATTGGCCGACCACGCTTGACAAGGAGTGCGACAAGGCTGCCAGGATACTCAAGTCCTTTTGCTGTACGTAATCTTCGCCTTGCGCCATTTGACCCGACCCTCAGGCTAACAAAGCCGTCCACCAGTCGATGGCTTCCTCTCAGAAGAGTCAGGAGATTCCGGGCCACACACAGAAGGAGCAGCATCGACACCGAATTATATCACTAAGCAAATACCTTCACGGATAATACAAAATGCCGTCGGCCTCGCGGTCTTTTCGTGCATGCGGTCCGGTCTCTGGATGTCAGGGTCCGGGGGTGCTGGTCTTATCACGGCTCGTAAGGCAGATGGAACTTGGTCGCCGCCGTCTGCCATAATACTCCACACTGCTGAATTGGGCTTTGTGATAGGGGTTGATATCTACGACTGCGTCCTCGTCATCAACAGTGTTCAAACTCTCGAGCTTTTCACACGTCCCAGGTTAACACTAGGCGTCGAGGTCAGCCTTGACGTTGGGCCGCTTGTTGCGATGGGCTCACGGGAACCCGAGATCAAGTGGAAAGAAATCAACGAGACCGTCCTAACGTACGTGAAGGCTAGGGGCAAGCATCAGGCGGTACAGCTGGACGGGTCCCTTGTCGCGGAGCGCGGCAACGAGAACGAGAGGTTTTACGGATGCAGCGTGAGCGTCCTGGATATCCTTGCCGGCAACATCCCAAAGACCATCCCCGAAATGCGTCCGCTGTTTGAGGTTATCAAGGCGGCTGAGGGCCGGTCCGACTACGACAAGGCGCTGATGAAATGGCTAGCACAGCAGCCAGCGCCCGGCGATGCCATGATCGAGACCCCGGTGCTCACCCCCGCCTCCCCCACCAAGTCGGCTTTTGGTATGCCGGACGCTGATGACCCTGACCCCTTTGGCGTGATTGGCTTGGAAATGGCGGGCATTGAGATCCGCGAGGCGGGTACTAAGCTACGGCCGACAAGCACACAGTTCGAATATCACCCCAGTCCGACAAGTCCAGCATATGCCCGATTCAACCGCCAAAGCGTAGACACATGTGTATCGCGGAGCAATCGCGGCAGCTGCATGTCGGCGAAGACCCAGGCCACCGCCATGACGGATGCCTATACGCAAACGGACGTGGCGAGCACTGCAACGAGCTTCAGCCGCGCCAACAGCGACGACGGGAAGGATTGTGTCGAGAAACTTCCCACGGTAATGGAGCCTGAGGAGGTTGACTATACCCAGGTCGACTCGAGCATCATTGAGCGACTGCAGCGGCGAACGATTGAAATGCCTGTGACCCCCGAACAAGTGCAGGCTGTAGAGGTTATGGAGGGTGAAAGGAGCCGGATAGCCCCGGCAGCAAAACGCGAGGAGAAGCCCAAATTCACCGAGGAACTCCCCAGAACCAGTGCTTCAGATAACAATACCATCCCCAAGTTTACAGATGAGCGGGATGAAGATGCTGTTGGTGACCCCGACGCCGACGCCGACGCCGACGCCGACGATGAAGAGGAGGAAGAGGACGAGGATGATGATGAAGAGGTCATCATCTGCGAGGTTGCGACTGCCTCAGCCCAGCCGACGCGAACATCGATTCGGTCGTCTAACTCGTCTCAACTGACGCAAGTTATACAAGCCAAGGGAGCCATCGTGACCATCCCGAAGCGAATCCCACCACCGCTGCCGCCGAGAAGTCCCGCACGAACGTCACGGGGAAGCAAGAGCGACTACGGCGACGTTTCATCCCTGCGGAGCCCCGCCAGGAACTCGTTCCTTTCTATTGAGTCTCACATCGACGACTTTCAGACACCCTCGACCCCGATCTCGATTGATGAGGCACTCACCCCTACCAAAACTGGCGGTCACGGAGAAATAGGACCGGCCAAAGACGAGTTGAATTCGCTCACAGAAAGGCCTGCCAGTCCACGGCACCAAAAGAACTCGTCATCTGTCTGCACCGCAGTGGCGGTACGAGAAAATTTGGAAGGGACCTTGTGGCCCCCCGTCCCGTCTGCCCCACAAACGCTCGAACCTGGCTCTTCGGCCGAGGACGAATCAGAGCGGGAGCCCAAGACTCCGCGGACAGAAATCGGCTTTGTTGACACCGTTGATGGTCACGATCGTGACGGCAAACAGCAGCAGCTTGAAAACAATACCTATGCCCAGAAAGGGGTTAGGATTGCATCATCTACGGGGAGCGCGGAGTCTATGGAAGCTACGGAGGGGGTGTGAAGCTCGCAACAATGACTCAAAGAAGCGGATGCCGGATACCGAGGATTTCTATCTACGAATACGGGACCGTTCGAGCTAGAGGGACAGCTCAAAAACGGAACGGGAACCAGGTCTAGGCTAGGTGGTCGATTTTTTTTTTTTTTTTTCTTTGATTCGGTGTTCCACGTTAACACGGCCCTCACTCGGAGGGCTCCCTGGCGTTCGATACGAATTGGCCGGTTGATTGGGTGGCTTGGTCGGCTGGAGTTTAGAACAGTCATTTTGGGCCTTGGTCATTGACCGTTCCATAGCCCTTGCAAGAAAGGGCAAGCGGGGTTGGTTGACGGCGTTGGCGTTACTTCTCATACCTTTGCAGTATATATATCAACGGACGGGATCCTTGTAACGGTAATGTTTGTTTCCTCATTGTCTGGAGAGGACAAAGGGGTTTGGGATGGCAACTCGGGACGGTGCCAGGGCTTAGCGGTGATTTGATGATACCCCATCCGAAAGAAATGACGGGCGGACGACGTTTAGATACTCGGAACTGGGGTTAAAATACGGAGCTAATATTACTCTGACCACGTTGGCGGTGAACAAACCTGTTGCAAGCCGTGATCAGATCATAGCAAATGACCCATTCGATCCATGGAGGTCCAACGGATAGTAACTGGAATATGCAGACACCCCAAACAATCGTAAATTCCTACATTCCACAACCGGGCTACCGGTGCCGTGCAAGCATGTTAACACTAATTATACCTTGCCCCAAAAGCAAAAAAAGGAAGTACATAAAGAAACAAACATTCCATAACCCCCAACTCAAGCCAATTCAGCCGCCGCCCCGCCAATCGCCAACTTGCCCGTCTCCTTGACCTTGGTCTGGAAAATCACCTTGCCCCCCTCCTTCCACATCTCAGTGACGAGCGTCTGCCCCGGTAAGACGGTGCCCGCAAACCGGACCTTGATGTTCTTGAACCGGCCAAACTTCTCGTACACGGCCTTGCCGGCAATGCCAAAGAAGCACAGGCCGTGCAGGATGGGTTCCTTGAAGCCGCCGACCTTTGCGAAGCCCGGGTCGATGTGGAGCGGGTTGTAGTCGCCGCTGAGGCGGTACACGGCGGCCTGCTCCTCGGTTGTCTTCTCCTCGACGACGACGTCGGGCGCGCGGGCTGGGGGCTTGTGCTGGGCCGTGGCGGCCCCGCGGTCGGCGGCCTTCTTTTGCCCGCCAAAGCCGCCGCAGCCGCGGAGGAAGACGGTCATCTCGTTGTAAAAGAGCTCCTCGCCCGTCTCGGCGTTGACCGTGGTGATGCCGCTCTTGACGATGGCGGCGTTGCCCTTGTCGACCACCTCGAGCAGCCTACCCTTAGAGATGAGCCGGCCGGACGTGGGGATGGGGTACTTTTTGATTTCGAGGTACTGCTCCCCGTGGAGGAGCATCATGGGAGAGAAGTTGGGCACGAGGTCGTCTGGACTGTAAGGCATCTCGGCGTCAAAGGGCGGGATAACGCCAAAGGTTGGGATGACTTGGAACTCGTCGTTACCCTCGCTAATCCGTCCTGTTAGCACACGAGACGTTGCGCCTCTGAAAAGATAGGGCTTGCTTACAAGACGTAGCGCAGGTCGGTCCGCTTAGCGCCAATGCCGAGGTTATACAGAATTACGTCGCGTTCCGTGTATTTGAACTCGGTGCCTTTGCCCTCGGCCTTGAGGGCCTTCTGAATGGCGTCTAGGTACTGATTGCTAGCGGCTTTCCCACTCTACAGAGACAAAAGAGTTAATAGGGCATACATTCTAGACTAGGATGTTATATACTACATGGTACATAAATGGGACAAACCGCCTTACGAGCGGCAGGACGTAGGAAATAGGCATCATACCTTGCCCTCACCGCTCCGATTCTCCAGATTTGCCATAATTTTCTGCAGACTGTCCTGCGTCTTCTCAGGATGATCAGCACGGCCGTCAAAGGTAACGATGTCGTTCCAGTGTTTGACCACCGCCTCGGGGGTAAGCGGCACATCGACAGGGAAGCCGTGGCCGCCCGTCCGCTGCCACCTCGTCTGACCAACCCAGCCGCTGCCAACCTCGTACAGGCCGCCGGTTGGGTTGGGAACCTTGTCGCTGCAGAGGGCGAGGACCAGGGGAGCAATGTAGTCAGGTTTGAAAGCCTGGACGAGTTCTTCAGGTAGGATAGTCCTCGTCATCGCTGTGCCCGCATTAGGGGCAATAGTGTTGACGTAGATGTTGTACTTGGCACCCTCAAGAGCAAGGGCGCGGGAGAATCCCAGGATAGCGCATTTCTAGTTCAAATCAGCCCAAAGTCCAGCATCTTCATCTGTGGTTACTTACCGCCGCAGAGTAGTTTGCCTGGCCAAAGTTTCCATAGATGCCGCTTGTCGAGGTGGTGTTGACGACGCGGCCGTACTTCTGCTTGAGGAAGTAGGGCCAAGCGGCCTTGGTAACCTTATATGTACCGCGGGCGTGGACGTTCATGACAGGGTCCCAGAGGCTGTCATCCATGTTGTTGAAGGCCTTGTCCCTCAGGATACCAGCATTGTTGATGACAATATCGATGCGGCCAAAGGTGTCGATCGCGACCTTGACAACAGCGTCGCCGTCCTCGGCCGACAGTTTGGCGCCCACGGCCTTACCGCCCATCTTCTTGATCTCGTTGACGACGTCGTCCGGGTTAGCAAGATCGTTGACAACCACCGAGGCGCCGGCTTTGGCAAAAGCCAAGCAGTAGGCACGGCCGATGCCCGCACCGCCGCCAGTGACGAGGGCAACCCGGCCCTTGAAGTCAATCTTCTCGCCCTGCTCGCTGGGGCCCAGCGTCTGTGACTTTTCCAGGAGCGCGAGGAAGTCGTTGGGCCCGCTGGGGTACTGCGGGTTCGAGAAGTCGGTCACTTCATTCCACCTCTTGAGGATGGCGCTCGGGGTATAGCTGTCGTCGCACTTGAGAAGCAGACCGCTGGACCGCTCCCACCGCAGCTTGGCGACGTGGCCACCGCCGGCCTCAAAGATGGAGCCTGATTCGCTCGTGTTGTTCTTGTGCACCAGGACGGCCACCAAGGGCACGACCCATTCGGGCTTCATGAGGGCCAGGACATCAGGCGGCATGACGGTTTCAGTCATGCGGCTAGCGGCGACGGGCGCAATGACGTTGCAGATGATGTTGTACTTGGCACCCTCCTTGGCGAGCGTCTCGGTAAAACCGACCATGGCAAGCTTGGCGGCGGAGTAGTTGGCTTGCCCAAAGTTGCCGAACAGACCGGCGGCCGATGCCGTGTTGATGACGCGGCCGTACTTCTGCTTGCGGAAGTAGGGCCAAGCGGCGCGGGTACACTTGTAGCTGCCCTTGACGTGCACCTTGAAGATCAGGTCCCAGTCCTGGTCCTTCATGTTCTTGAAGCTGACATCGCGCAGGATACCGGCATTGTTGATGAGAATGTCGATGCGCCCGAACGCCTTGATGGCCGTCTCAATGATCTTGTCGCCGTTCTCAACGCTATCATAGTTGGCGACGGCCTTGCCGCCAGCGGCCTTAATCTCATTCACTACCACATCTGCGGCCTGCAGCACGTGTCAGCCGAATGTATGGCATTGCCTAGACGACGAGAGAGGTCAAGATGTGCCGACGCACCTTGGTGTTTGTGCCCTCGCCCTTAAAAGACCCGCCGAGGTCGTTGACCACGACGCTCGCGCCACGCGACGCAAAGAAAGTGGCATAAGCCTTGCCGAGACCTCCGCCGGCGCCTGTGATGACAACGACCTGGCCGTCGTATCTCAATTGGTCCGTCATGATGAGATGTGTATATGTGATGGGTGATGGAGGGATGTGGAGGAGGAAAAAGGGTGTGCAAAAAAGAAAGGAAGTTGCAATCTTGAGATTCAGGTCAGGTAGAAGCTACCTTAGCAGCAATGAACCGGGAAGTGTTGCTGTGCCCTTCTAATAACAGTGTCCTTTGACGTCGGTAAACGGAGACGGGCCAGAGCTGCCGGTTGCTAAGCCGAGGCAACACGGCTGTTTTAGTCAATGGCCACACTCCATCCATCCTGCTCCACAGCCAGTTTGCCGAAGCGGGGGTTCCCGAAGCAAGGATTTGAACCACTGCTGCGCACGCTCTCTTCACATGCAAGCATGAGGTGGTCCGAGCTCAGCCCTGCTCCCAGCGCGGGTGAACTTTTCCTAACGATCCAGTATCGCTTATATATGTGCCTGACTTTAGGCCTAAGATACTTACTTTAACTTACTATGAAGTGCCAGTAGCATGCTTTGCCGGGCCCGGCACCTTAGATCGGGCATGGCTTCTCAAATTCGAGCCTAGGTAGGCGGAGTATCCGTACATCAGTAGTAAGATTTCAAAGCGGCCTTCTCGGTCCTAATAACTGAGATCAGAAATCTTGCTCCTGGCACGTGCTGCCTGGAACAGTAATGCCCGATCCTTCCTGTAAAGTTATGAGGTTATGTAGGGTATTCGCATGTGTTGCATTCGAAGGTGAACGGGAGAGGAACCACACCTTCCCAGGGATTGTTAGACATGCCTAGAATATGATTTCCGCGACCGACATGCCGTAGGTAGTATCGATCATCCAGAAGCCCAGCTAGTAGTGCTAGATCATGGCAGATATAACCCTCATATACACTAATTCATCAAGACCGAGGTGAAAAGGATGTGGTCGATGTTCCGGCGCTTGCACTAATGTATGTAAGTGTTGCTGAGTGCTGACTGTGGGGCTCATGGGGACAACCCCACAAAACCCCAATCCAAGGTGGCCCTGTCGTCATCGTTCACTGCAGGAGTGACCCCAACTCGAGGCTTGCAAGTCTGCAGCCCAAGCACTGGATGGGATGCCGATTTATGCTTGGATGCCCAACTGCACTGTTTCAATGAGGCTCCAGGAAGCTTCATTTTTGTTGTGACGATGGCAGCAGCCCCGGATGCACCCCTGCAGACCCGCGTGGTCGACGACAAATCGCCGCTCTGCATCCCCTTCATCCTCTCGCGCGTCCAAAAGTATCGGGAGCAACACTCAGCGGAGTCCAATGCCCGGCCATTCATTGTGGGCTTGAACGGCGTGCAGGGCATCGGCAAAACGACGCTCGTCCGCGCCCTGGCCCAGATTCTGCAGGAGCGCGAAGGTCTGGCGACCCTTGTGGTCAGCATCGACGATTTCTACTTCACCCACGCAGACCAGCTCGCACTAGCCGCAGCGCACCCAGACAATGCATTGGTGCAGTATAGGGGAGAGCCCGGTTGGTGATTTCGTGTTCCCCCATCTCGACCCTTTCGTCTGCTCCCAATTCTTCCATCTGGACGCTGTTCAATGCTCTTGTCAATCATCCGAAAAAGAAAGAGACAAAAACAGGGCAATAACTGGCCATTTGATCCTGACTAACTCACCGGCAACTCAACCCCCTTTCCTCCGGAATCAGGTACGCATGACATCCCCCTAGCCAAAGCATTCTTCTCCGCGCTGTGCCAGAACCAGCCCGTCCGCGTACCCCAGTACGACAAGTCGGCCTTTTCGGGCCTAGGTGACCGCCTGCCGGAAGACTCTTGGCCCACCGTCACGAAAGCCGACGTTGTGATTCTCGAAGGGTGGTGCGTCGGGTTCCGGCCTCTGGACGCCGCCACCGTCGAGGCCAAGTGGAAAGGAGCGAGCCGTACGCTGCACAACCACAAGCTGGAACACCTGCTCTTTGTCAACTCGTGCCTACACGACTACAACACTTTGACCGACCTGCTCGACGCCTTCATCCACATCGACGCCGAAGACACGGAATACGTGTATAGCTGGCGGCAGGAGCAAGAGGCGCAGCTGCGGCAGGAGCGTGGTGCCGGCATGACAGACGAGCAGGTAATCAAGTTTGTCGACGCCTATTACCCGGCCTACGAGCTTTTCACCGACCGGGTGAGGGCAGGGATATTCCTGCCTGATCGACCCGGGTGCCAGCTCAGGCTGGTGGTCGGCAGGGACAGGAGCGTGCAGGACAAGATGGTGCTCTAAGAAGTGCCAAAACAGTATACTCGGATTACAGCTACATACCTAGCCGATCTATAAATATGCTATGACATGATATATATGAAGACGGGTCTGCAGGCCTGTGTTACCCGCAGACGGAGCGGTTCTGCAGCTCCGCGACCCCAAGTACTAGTGCTCTGTAATGCAAGCCACCCGCTCCTCTCGTGTGTCCTGTCATGAAATCGTTAAGTCGTTAGTTGTCAGTTCATCAGAAAATGATGCATCGTTGCTTGGATGGTCGTCAGCTCGTTAGAATCCCAAGGAGAAGAAGAAAATGCCGGAGCCAGAACGCCAAGGAAAGTACCTAGCAAGGGAAATCAGAATGTTTTGGCATACAGCACCCCCTAGTTAGTGAAGAAAGGACACCATGCCATCCCACAGATTACATAAATGTCTGACACAAACCTCAAAACTCCAAATCCATGTCCTTGCCCTCCATCATGGTCTGCCCCTCCTGCTTGAGGTCTTCTAGGGTGCGGCCTATGCCCTCAATCTTTGCACGGACCGCCTCCTCCCTTGCTGCGATCTCAGCCTCGAACTGCTGTATCAGCTGGCGCTTGGCCTTGCGGGCCTTCTTGAATCGCTGCATGACTCCGCCGAACTGTTCCAAAAACCAGTCGCCGGCCTCGTCCCACTCGTCCATCGAGAGGCGGGTAAAGAACTCGTGCTGCGCCAGGCTGCCCTTGGTCCTGTAATGCTCCAACCGCTCTTCGATGGTCCCGCCAGCCGGCAGCGTCGTCTGCTGCAGCGCCGCCGCCTGCGGATCAAAGTCAAAATCCTGCGCTCGCAGCTCCGAGTAGCTCATGGCGTGAAGCTCTGCGTCGTTGTAGTCGAGACTCTGGCGGCGCTTCCGCGACGACGACAACTCCTTGCTGGAGGGCTCCTTTAGGCGACGGCTGCCCGTCCGTCCCAACGGGATCTCGTCGACGTGCTTATTTTGGAGCGGGAGCGGCTGTGGCTGCGGCTGCGGCTGCGGCTGGCGATGGGCTCGTGGGGTACGCTGCAGCGCCTCCTTGAGAGCTTCCGGATCCACGCCGCTGCTCGGGGCGATGACTGCCGCCTGTGTGTCGTTGAAGGGTTCTTCGAACTCGAGGGGTGTCAAGTTCTCAAACACAGTGGACCGCTTGTGCTGGAGCTCACGCTCCAGCTCGCGCTGCCGCTCTCTCTCCCGCTCGCGCTCCCGTTCCCGCTGGCGCTCGTGGTCCCGCTTGATCCGTTCCTGCAGTCGAATCTTGTCAATGTGTTCGCCCGCCTCGACTGTCCTTTCCGGCGACATGCCCAGGCTCTGGGCGTCTGGCGAATAGTTGGCTGTAGGCCGGTCAGAAGGTGTGCTACTCTTCGCGTCGCGCGTGTCTCGGTAGGCGAGCTTAGTGCGCCTGAGCCCACCGGCCTTGGTGGGTGTCTCGTAGGGCTGGCGGGTCTCCTGATATACATCGTCCGTCTTGATGCTTTGGTCGTCGAAGACGCCTCCATTGCCATTGGGCTGCAGGGGAGCCGGGTCGGGTGCATTCTGACCACCCGGCGGCGCAATGACCTTGAGCATGCCATTCTCGCCAATAACAAACGGGAGATTCTCTTCGTGTTTGAGCTGGGTCCGGGGGGGCTGGGATTGGGTTGTCCTCTGATGTACGGCATCACTGTAATGGCGGACATGGCTCCCCTGATGTGCACGATGCCTTTCCGAGGCAGCCCTACTCTCGTTCTCACCAAACAGGGAAGCAACAGTCGAATCTTCCCAGGCGGTGTGGCCGCGGGGCGGGTCACGCGCCGTGTCTGAGGCCGATGTCCTGGTGCGCTGCATCGGGTGGAAGTGTTGTGCAGGGAGGCTCATTGTCCCGGTTGGCTGGGGAGGAGCCGGGTACCGTCCAAGCTTTGGCACTGGTATTGACTTGGCTGTTGATGGAGTGTCTGGAAGTTGTGTGTTTTGGCGGGCCGTGACAATTTCTGGCGGGGGTTGCAGCTGTGGCAGTTGCCCACCGTGGCCCGACCCTTGCAAAGCATTATTGGCAGGCGCAGGTGTAGCAGGCAGGCCCACCACGCCTGCCCGTGGACTGCTCCCAGGACCATTCAAACTCCCATCTGCTTGGCGCACAAACAGACCGATGCCCCCCAACTTCTTCTTTGTCGTCGGCATCATACTCAGTCGCATTGGCAATTGAGCACAGCGCGACTTTGAGGGTGGTGGGTGGCAAAAACGCGAGGCGATGGCGGGATCAGGAGACCGTTGTTTACTTGTTTACGTGTTGGCAGGACTGCGAGCAGCGCGTTTTTGGAGGGTCAAGAAGCTGGCATGCAGCTTGGGCCACGAACCGCAAGCTCGCCCGGACGAGCCGCGACTCGGGTTATTATCTGCTCCAGACGGCGTTGGGCTCGCGCCCTCGATTCGTCGAGAATTGGGTTGGGAAGACAATGGGAGCAGTGCAGGAACGCAGAGATGCAGCAGTGGGTGTGGAGAGCCGAAAGCTTCTGGCCTCGTTTCCGGGGTGGGAGACCGGCAACGTTGAAAGTCGTGGTTCCAATGAAACGGCCACTCACTTTTTTTCCGCAGCGCTGTGCAGGGGTGCTAGCGAGCCCGTCGCGCTAATCCCTCTCCTCCCACACGCTGTCAGGTGAGTCAATTGATGCAGGGTCTTGGGAATGCTCCGCAGCTGGCCCCAGTTGGCTCACCCGTCTGCCACTCGTGAGCGTCAATTTCTCCCTCCCGCAATCACCACTGGTCCTGACAGGCCGCCCCGTTTCTTGCCCCGGACTGCATTTCGGCCGGATTGGTTGCGCGAGCCCTCCCCGGACTCTGTCCCTCAACCATTGACTAATGCCCTGCCGCCTTCAAACCGTTGCAGCTCCAAGCCCGCCGAGTCGGCATCTCGCCAATGTGTACCCAACGCCCCCCGCAATCGAATGTGCCATAGACGCCTGACGATGAGCACACCCTCCTTGTAGCCGTCGCATCCACGAAAGCGAACCGGCTCTAGGAAAAGGGCTGGCCTGTTCGGCCACCGAGATCCAATCACCATGCGTGCGCAAAGACCGTGGTGTCTCTCGAGTATCGGCCACACCATGAGATCAAAGGTCTAGGACGGCATGTCTATGCCTTCCTACCCTACAGACCAGTATCGATGATCGGAGGGTGGGCGACGCGTGCTCCGATCGAGGAGACTTAGCATCCATTGGCGCGCAGTGAATGGACATCCTTTGCTTTACCTGGCTCAACTTGCATCTTTATCGAACGGCAGCCGTGAGTCAGGCTCACCAGCATCCCTTCCCATCCCATTTCCCAACCGGAGATGTGTGCCCATGAGTCGACGGTGAGCGGAGTACTTCTTTTGGCATAGCTTCCATGCAGCTGGACAAGGCAAGAAGAGAGTGGCTTTTCTGGCCCAATATCTCCTTTCCATCGTGCTTTATCTCTCTCTAGTGCAACAGAGCATGCGAGCGGGCGTCCAAGATGGTGGGCTACACCAAGCTAACGCTGCGAACTGCCGCGATGTCATGTGTTCATATACAGTAGTACACTGCTACGTTCTATGACGGATTGCACACCTTACCCGCTCTTCCGTGGCTCTCGGCAGGCTCCTCTTTGCGGTCGGAGCTACGAAAGCTAGCTAAGGAAGCATGATGTTGGCGTCGGGTAACACACTGCCCACCATTACCCAGCGTCAAGTTGCTTCTGCCGCGCTCCTTGCCGGCCCTCAAGTGTTCTTGGTGCTACTAGCGCAGAGGCACGCCCCCGCGTAAACCCGGGGGCAAACCGTGGGGTGACAGCCGCCTCCGGCCGGCATCGGGAAGCGCACCCAAGCGCCACCGCCGGCCACGCGCCTGATAAGATAAGCCCCTCCATAACCGTTCAGTTGGGGGGCGATTTCTAATCCAACATCAAACCGTGAAATTGCCTCGCTTTGCTCTCTCTGTGTCCCATTGCCGCCCTTAGCAATGGCGCCTTCACTAGAAGCACCAGAACCAGTCGAGGATGTTCTCGCAAACCCCTTGAAGCAGAAGCCGAACCTCGTCGCCCCGGAACCCGAACACTGCCCTGGGCCCGAGTCAGAGCAGGCCGGCACTGCCGATTCCTGTGCTGGATGTCCAAACCAGAAGATATGCGCCTCGACACCAAAAGGGCCGGATCCCGATTTGCCGCTGATAACAGCGCGCCTTGCTGGCGTCAAACACAAAATCCTCGTCCTTAGCGGCAAGGTATGTCTTTAACTCTGCATCTGGTTGTCATTGCTCTGCTCTGCTAACGGGAACCCAAGGGCGGAGTAGGCAAGAGCACGCTCACAGCGCAACTGGCGCACGCCTTCGCTACCAACCCTGACAGCACAGTCGGCGTGATGGACACAGACATCTGCGGGCCGAGCATACCCAAGATGCTGGGCGTCGAATCCGAGACGATACATGTCAGCAGCAGCGGGTGGTCGCCCGTCTGGGCCATGGACAACCTCGCCGTCATGTCGATCCAGTTCATGCTCCCCAACCGCGACGACGCCATCATCTGGCGGGGCCCCAAGAAGAACGGGCTGATCAAGCAGTTCCTAAAAGACGTTGAGTGGGGGGACCTCGACTTCCTCCTCGTCGACACGCCGCCGGGCACGAGCGACGAGCACCTAAGCGTCAACACGTTTTTGAAGCAGAGCAGCATCGAGGGCGCCGTCGTGGTAACGACGCCGCAGGAGGTGTCGCTGCTGGACGTGAGGAAGGAGATTGACTTTTGCCGCAAGGCCGGCATCAGAATCCTGGGACTGGTCGAGAACATGTCACTGTTTGTGTGCCCCAAATGCACGCACGCAAGCGAGATCTTCAAGGCAACGACGGGCGGGGGCAGGGCGCTGGCACATGAGATGGGCATCCCCTTCCTAGGGTCCGTACCCTTGGACCCGAGAATAGGCATGGCGTGCGACTACGGCGAGAGCTTTTTTGACTCGTTCCCCGACAGTCCTGCCTGTGTAGCACTCAAGCATGTTGTCAGGGGGTTGGCGGAGCAGATAGGGCTTGACCCGAACCAGGTAGTGCCTGAGGGTTAACGAAGTCGCATCTGTAGCATATTATCTATAATCGAACATAATACGTCCTTTAAGGTCATTATTCGTGATGTCTGCGCCACCCCTCGCTTTCCTATCCTGTCGCCCTCAAGCGGCCCCGAGCTTCGAAGGAAGTTCCTCCAACTCTTCGGGGGACTCCAGATCTATAATTCTGGTCACCTCGCTCGTGTTGCGCATCAGCTCTTTAGCACCGGCGTACAGCATCCGCAGCTCGCTGTTGCACGTCGTGGGCAGGTAGTAGAGCATCACGTAGGGAACTGACAGACGGCCGGATGGCTTGTGATAGCAATTCATGATTAGCCATTTCAATTACCCACAAACAACGGGTATGCGGGCTCAGGGGCGCTAACTGACCAGCGTCAGGGGGTAGCTTAGCAGGACGAACCGCGGAGAGTGGTCAGGAAGGTCATCGGCGAGTTCGTCAAGCGACTTGTAAACTGTCTCGTCTTCGTCTTGCCGGATCTCCTTGGTTTGCTTATCGATCATGTCTGGGATAAGGTGCGTCAGCTGGTAGTCCGTGCCAGACGATCCCGGGGGAACGGTGGTTGAAGAGGGTTCTGAGTAGAGAGAGACATACATACAGATGACGGCTTGCGGGTCGCTCGAACGTGAAGTCCCGAGACGGAACTTGCGCAGGTGGTCCTTGGTCTCTTGAGAGAACGTGTATAGCCTTGCTTCGGAGGTCTGGAGTGGTCGTCTTGTTAGCTTGGGATTTTTGTTCGGAAAGGGTTAGATGCAGTTGGGGTGGGCACCATCTTGACTGTGTATAGGCAACTCGAGTAGGTCGCTGGTTCTATGGTCGTGGAATAGTACCAGCCGTACGACGGAGACGTGTGCTAGAGCTCAGCCTTAAGGTTGAATCTGGTGGAGTTGGGAGAGCTGTCGTTGAGCGGCTCAGATGCCCCGCATTCACCACCACTGCACCCTTAGCCCCAAAGCTCTACGCAGCGGATACCTATGTCGCTGTTCGCCCCGCTACCTTAGAGTTAGCTGTGCATGCTTAACGTTAATAATACTTCGCACCTAACGTCACCATACTCGTAACTCATCCACTCTAGCAAGCAACCGTTCGCTTCATAACGGGGTTGCCCAACTCATTGGCATAGGTAGCCCGCTTCCGGGTCGCTCGGTCTGCGGAGACTTTATGCTTCATCTACCCCTTAGTTAGGTAGCGATCTACGGCTAGTATCATCTCGCTGCTGCAACTTCCCATTCATGTGTCTAACATCTCCCGGCCTGTCCTCATGCCTGTACGCTCAAATCTACCTCGAGCAGCTCGCCGATTCTCACGGTCGTTGCCGTCTTCAACTTACCGTCCGGCCTCGTCAGCAACACGCCGAGGAAATATACTCCTGATCCATACAATGAGCGCCCTCGCTGCGGTAGACGATAATCTCCGTCCCAAGGAAATAGATACAGCAGCATGTCTTATCATCGGTGACGAGGTCCTGGGCGGAAAGGCAGGTCTGACAAGTAGAAGGGGTGTGACGCTAGGCTAACGCTTGCTGTAGACCAGAGAAGTGAGTCGCGTCGGACTTGGGTTGCGACAATAGGAAGAAACTGATGGTGGATGGTTAGAAAAATTCCTACACAATGGCTAGATGGTGTTTTGAGTTGGGAATCGTATGCCTCTCACCCCTGACATTGAGGGACCTGTCTTCTCAACGCAGGCTATCAGAACCTGAAACGGATCGAAGTCATCCCGGACGACGAGGCTGAGATCATAGAAGCCGTCCGCCGCATGAGTGAGCGGTACGACTTTGTGGTAACGAGGTAAGTAGATTGAGCTGCCAGTCACAGTCCAGTTATGCGACATACTTACAAGCCACCTAGCGGCGGAATTGGACCTACGTAGGTCCCCTTCCTCATCACTTTTGGATTGGCTGGACTCAGACACATAGCCATGACGACATCACGTACAAGTCAGTAGCAAAGGCTTTCGACCTCCCGCTGGTCCTTCACGAGGAGGCCTACGCTCGCATGAAGAAGCTCTACAAACAGCGCCAGGAACAACCTCCTTTTAGCTGGGATGAAGACTCGCCTGCCCGGCGGGCTAGGTTGAGGATGGTCGAGCTGCCAACTGACCCGAAACTCCCACTAGCAAAGCAGGCACTTTTCCCATGCGAGGACCTCTTCGTTCCCGTCGCTGTGGTCAATGAAAATCTGCACATTCTTCCCGGCGTGCCAGTGCTGTGTAAATGAGCTCCCTAGCAAGCCGCGACAGGGGAAGTGCTGAGATTAAATGCAGTCGACAAATTACTATACGGCCTGACGCCGTCTATTCTATCCCGCCTGGGCCAACCCTTGTTCCGAGCCAGCATCTCGACGCCGTTGCCCGAAAGCGCTATCGCCGACTATCTTACAACACTTGCGTCGCGCCTTGAACCCAGGAGGATCAAGGTGGGGAGTTACCCCCAGATAGGGAAGGATGCGAAGAATACGGTGACGCTGGTTGGGAAGTACGCGCCGCAACGTCCTTTCCGTAACGCAGCTGACGCCCATGCAGAGATGCCGAATATATCAAGAGCATCGCCTTAGAAGTGGCGAGCAACATCCAAGGCCAGCTGACAGAAACGCAGCTTAGCCCTGAAGAACCGACACATGCCAGTTATGGAGAGAGCGAAGCCAACTAACGGAATACCTTCAGAGTTGCCGACCTCAGTTCTTTCGTCCACAACTCCTCGTGACACGATGGACAGGGGAGCTCAACCACGTGGAGCACTCGTCGGCCTTTGTTCAAAGGCGGCCGTTGACGGATGCGGTCACGGGCGTATGTATGAGTTTGGCCAATGTTGCTGTCGGCATGCTTGTAGATCGCTTCTAGAAGAATTGAACCTCGCCTTCGCCTCCTCTCCCGTTAATAGGAGAGCCGAGATGAGCCAGAATCTGCTGGGGTTGATAATGATGGGAATAATCTTATCTGCTCGCGAAAGATTGAACCCATCTTCGGAAATGAACTCCCCCCCTGAAAACAGAGAAGCTGAGAGGACGGTCTTGGCATGGAGACAATATATCGTTTGGCTGGGACATACTGCAGTAGTATAAACCGCCCCGCCTCTGATTGCTAAAAGGCTTTGTATGCAAGTTCATAGAATGTTCAGCCATGAGTCCTTGTATCGTCTCCTGTATTTTTACAGCAAAATCCGACCTCGCGTCGCGCAACAAGCTTCTCCCTCTTGGCGGAGAAACTGCCCCACAGATCTACCCGAAGAGGAGCACTACCTAAGTTAACAAGAAATGTGGGGAAGCTGTGAAAACGTTATCTGAGCACATCTTGCCGCTCCACCACAGCGCCTCCGCCACGGCGCAAACCGAAAGACACCTAAGCGAATATCTGCTTTATCAACCATTCAGCATTCACCCCTGAAGCCCATAATCTAGCAAGGCCATACGGGAGAGAATCGTTTGTGGAACATCCTGTTACCGTTGCATCAAGTGCATTTGCGGCGGGGTGAGGAAACGATCAGCACCTGACACACTCAAGAAGGCCCGAGTCGGCGAGATGGACTCCCCGATTGCCCAGCCGCTGTAGCAGCACATGTGCGCCGAGGAAGACTCCTATGGACCGACGATCTCGACTTGAGAAACGGTGATTTCACAAGCATCTGGTGCGTAGTCACAAGTTGACAGTTAGCCGCCCATTGTACGCAGGGCCAATACTTAGCACTAGAGAGCCCCAAGCACCCCAGCCCATATAGGCTGGCGCTTCCATTGCCAAGCCCGGGTCGTCCCAAGCGAGACGGAAGCGGTAGACGTACTGTACTTCGATCAAGAATCTACGGAATCCTTTGACCCAGGGCCAGGAAACAAAAGGCTCTTTTAACTTCCTCCCGCGACAGCAAGCAGAAGTTGGACAACCAGGTCCATGGCGGCCAAGCTTGACATAGACATCAGGCGCCGTTGCAACCGTTCCAGATCCAACTGCTTGCGGCACAGCGGACTACCGTTCTGGGATCTGGGATGATGTGGGAAGAGGCTCATAAGCCTCATAGCGGGTAGTAATCCGGCACGACGTCTGGAACTTGTTGCGAGATGGCTGACATGCTGACATCACGTCACATCCAACTTACACAACTTAGACAAGGACACAGTCAGCCTTGAACGTTACGAGGCATAAGGCTCCTCACAGATGTTTCTTCAGCCTTACCCATCAGCCAATCATGAGCTTGCAGGATGTTTCGTGACGACCATTGAAGCGGGCGGCACGGACAGCCATTCACTTTGACCTGTTGCGTCAAAACCTAGGTCTCAGGCCCAGGACCGCTGGGCTTGACATTTTCAGTGGTAGGACCACAGTGCCCTGGCCTGTGCTGACCCAGTCGCCGCGGTTGACTTGAGTAAGGTATCCGTATACCTGATTTCACAGAGTTATGCTCTCACAGAAAGGATCCCGAGGTGTTTGGTTAATAATGGAGTGGGATGTTGCCTCCGGGCGAGCTCCCACTACTTATAAGGAAAGTGCTTCTGAGGACGATTCCACAACAACTGTGGGCCAAGGACCAGGCCGGTTGGCTTTCTCAGGTTTGGGTATTGGCTGGCGTCAATCAATTCCTAGGATCGCCGCCGATGCGTGGCGCGAGACTTAATATAGTTGTATGTAGGTATCCTAATAACGGAGGAACTTGACTACGCTTCATTCATCCCGTTATCGACATCAACGTTGGGCTCCAAAATACCATTCCAAGTTGGACGACCGATTTCAATCGTTAGGTAATGTTGAGTTATTCCCGAAAAGGCACAATGCAGGCATGCTTTGGTGGGGAGAAGTGGGGCAAGCGGTCTGTACCCAGGTACTTGCCCATCTCGCACTTCACGCATTTGCCAATCAGAAAGAGAGCAAGCCTGGCCCCCGGGGCTTGCATCCCTGAAGGCACACGGACCCGTCCTTGCAGGCCCTTTGCCTGTTACCCCTTCTGCACCCGCCGCCGCCTTTGAACTTGACCTTCCCTGAACCAGTGCTGCTGCATCTCTCCCAGAAACCACCCGACAGAGCCCGCACCCATCAATTTTTCGGTCTGTTTTCCGTGGTATTCTTCTGCAACCCTCGTCCCCGGCGGATTGATTGTTGGGACATTGCACGTCACTCGTCCGATCAACCACCGGCCCGGCCGCGCAGCACGCCAACAGCCAAACACCAGCCCCCCGGACCGTTCCCAGAGAAATTCGACTGCCGATCCCCACCCAGGGGCGCGCTTTCCATCCACCGACGGCGCCTCCTGTTTTCTGACGTACATACGGACGAAGACCTTTTGTCGCCTCCGGGATCTTCCTTCCACTGATCCGTGAAATTCGACGGTCAGGTCCTTTGGGTTGCCGAGCGACCAAAATAATTCGCCTTGCCCGGACTCCGTTAGCTAGGCGAGCCGCAGCTCAATTGTCTCTGCAAGCTCTGTGTGGTCCGGACAATTCCGTCGACTCCTTATTCTTTCAGTCCAGCTCACGAGATGGCATCCAAGGTGGGTTACAGTTTCTTGGCCAAAATATGTGCCACATAACTCATTGTGCTTAAACGCACAATCGTTCGCGAGCTTTCTGGTCGCTGACGCTGTGTCTACCCAGTTTACGAGAGAATACAAGCTGGTGGTGGTCGGAGGCGGTGGTGTCGGCAAGTCGTGCCTCACGATCCAGCTCATCCAATCGCACTTCGTGGATGAATATGATCCAACTATTGAGGGTGCGCAAACCTGCTATGACGTGCGTTTGCAGACCGCAATTGGCTAATTTGTGCTGTTAGACTCGTACCGCAAGCAGTGCATCGTCGACGACGAGGTGGCGCTACTCGATGTTCTAGATACCGCTGGCCAAGAAGAATACTCGGCCATGCGCGAGCAGTACATGCGCACGGGCGAGGGCTTCCTTCTCGTTTATTCCATCACGTCGCGCGAGAGCTTCGAGGAGATCAGGACCTTCCAGCAGCAGATTCTCAGAGTCAAGGACAAGGACGTGTTCCCCATGGTTGTCGTCGGGAACAAGCTTGACTTGAAAGATGAGCGCAAGGTCTCGACCGAAGGTATGTCGAGCCATAACGGCCTGGGACAATGGCCGCGTTTCGGTTGCGCTAACATGATTCCTATTCCAGAGGGCAAGATGCTTGCAGACGAGTTCAAGTGCAAATTCCTCGAGACGTCGGCCAAGACAAACACAAACGTCGAGAACGCCTTCTTCGAGGTCGTCCGGGCTATCAGGAGGTACAATCGCGAGATGCAGGGGAATCCGTCCCCTGGAAGCGGCTTCTCACACGCCAGCGCAGGCATGAACAAGATGGACATGGCCGAAGAAGACACACAGGCCGGTTGCTGCTCCAAGTGCGTGCTGATGTGAGGGCATAGACCAAGTTCCGGCAACAGGACAGCAGACTCGATAACGCATTGACGAGGATGATTCTAGTGTTGATGAGGAGCGCTTCTTGTATATGATCGGTGCGCGGCGGTGGGCTCGGGCCCGGAGTTGTCGGCGGCTTCGGAGAGCTTGAGGCAGAACTCAGGCTGGAGAGTACGCATCTTGTTGAGGGTTTGGCCACTTGCCGAACGGGCGGCGGACTCAATGGTGCTCTGTGTCTTTGGACAAGCTCAACAACAGGTCTGCTGGCCTCAGGTGCGACGTGCCCCGATGGCCTGTCCTTGGCGGCAACGGACGGATGGGCGGTAGAGGCAGTCTGTTTTGGTACCCATATTGTGGTCTTCTTTTTTGGGAGTGGTTTGAACATGGGTTTTTGTATTGGTCGCTCTCAAACATTGTAATTCTTTTCATCGCTCGCATTGTCTTCCGGCATGACGCAGTCACGAGGCCCCTCGCGGTCCTCTACGATTGTCTTCTCCCTGCAAGCGCCAGCTGTCGTGGGCTTCTCATCGGCTCCAGGGTGTCTGCTTCGAGATCAAGATGACAGGCGGCGAAATTTAGAGGACGGCAACCCTTTCCGCCCCCTAACTGCCAACCAGCATCTCAGGCTCTCGGCGTGTAGAAAGTACACATCTGCAGGCTTACCTTACTCAGAGGAACGGGGTGGTTACACCAGCCCCCATCGATATGTAACCAATTAATATTCCCGTGCCTTCCGAACACGGAACACCACCTTCCCTCAGGAGTAGACAACTAGACATTGCTCGGACCAATTCGGGCCAAATGCGAGGAGTGGCTTAGTTATGTACAGAATTGCTTTACCTATCCTTCTAGAAGGCCCAAGCCCGTCGGTCAAGTAGCAGAACCTACCGGTAAGACGGCGGAGGCTTGCTTCTAGAAGCTGCACCCCGCTCGAGGCCTGCAGTCAGCAGACCCAAGGACCCGGACCAGGAGTGCGATGACGCAAGGGGCACAGCGACTATGCCGTTGGCCTCGCATCGGGCACAACATGGCATAGTCCCCTTTTTCTCGTGTGAGATCGGAGATATGTTCCGAAACCGCCGTCTGTCGGGCTTTTCCCGTGTGACCCAATTTTTCTTTCTGGCCCCCGACTCGCCGACCGGGCCGACCGATCCACAAGGAACCATCTGCCGATCAGTCCGGCCGGTAACGGCTCAGCACGGATCACATAGGCTCGGCCCGACCAGCGGCTGACCGGCCAACTCCGACTCTCCTCCATAATTGCAGCTCCAGTACGGATACCCCAAGTCAATTATCACTTACTTTTGCACACACACAACACGACGCCTCAACACATTTACTGCCTCGCCTGCCGCCCCCGCAGCAAACCCAACTAACGAGGACATCGTGTTGGTGTGGGCCAGTGAGCCATTGAGCCTTGCATGAGCCTTAAGCTCAGCCATCCTCTATTCTTCTCACAACAGCAACACAACAACGGAACTAGAGTACTAGGCTTCCCACGCAATGCCCTCCCCTCCCGCCTCTCCCCCTCCTCAAACTAGGACCGAACCCAAAAGGGAGGAGGAAGCCCTCCCAGTCTCCCAGGCCACCGACGTGCTCCTCTCACCACACATGTCCACGCAGCCGCGGTACCGCGCCTACCGCGTCGCCCGCGCGCGCTTCTGGGAGGCGTTTCCCGGCGGGCGGTATGTGCGGTTGCCGACGCCGGGCTCCAACCTCGAGTGCGGGTTCCACGCGCTGCGGCTGTCGATGCGGCAGCAGTATCGGGGTACTAGTACTAGTATACGCCTGCCCACGCTGGAGGAGCTGCGCGGCGTGTTTTTCTCTGGCGAGGTGGCGGGGAGGAACGGGGATGTGGTCATGGACAACGAGGTCTGGTTTACGGCCGACCAGCTGGCGGCTGTTTTCAGCGAGTGGGGGAGGAGGTATCTGTCTGATGGTGGTCTGCGGTGCCAGCTGGGGTATGTCACTGGCGACGGGACTGGGACAGGCACGGAAGACGAGTATGACGGGGTCCCGGTCATGATGAACACGCCTGACGTGGACACGGCTGAGGAAGGGGGGCTTGAGAAGGGGATTGTCAGGGTGTGGGTGTATAATGATGGGGCGTCGTTGAGGGGCGGGGTGGGCCATTTTGAGGGCATCAGGCGGCCGGTTGGGGAGGAAAAGCGGGTAACTGAGGCAGAGGGAGGATGAGGGGAAGGAGCGCAGAGCAAAGGGAGGGTGAAGGGGTGGGCGGGAAGGCACGGTTCGAGCCGAGGAACGCACGTTGAAAGGAAGGAAGAGGCATAATGCTTGGACGCAGCTCCAAGTCGCTATGCACCAGGCTTCCAAACAAGGCGTCCAATCATCCAGCGTCATATCCCTATGTCATTATTGGCAGGGGCATCGCAATCACAACGAATTTCCTGGGCAGGGGTTATGGGTCTGAACTGGATGATCCGATTCATCGAGGCGTGGTTCCGCTAAAGGAGAAGGAGCAGAAAACTCAAAGCTTTCACCCACCTGTTCCTTCCAAAACCAACTCTCCAGTCCACCAAGGGCACGATAAAATGACGGTGCGAGTCAGGCAGGAATCCCTAATGGTCTGGGAGAAGGCGTACTCTCCATGATACTCACTGAATATAGTATCTTAGCCTAGGCTTGTATTGCAAGCCGTCCCGCGCTTGTTGCGAGACATTGCAGATATCCTAAAGCCAAATACCTCCAGGTGCCCAATTGACAGCCACTGTCTTGGCCAATACTTCGATCGCCAACCGACACGCTTCTGATACTGCCGTGTCTATCGCCTCAACCAAGGGAGCGAAGTCTGCCCGCATCTAATTTTCCAAACAACAGAACCGAGGTGTGTCTGGAATCTGGATGCGGCGTACTTGGCTGTGCACCTACTAGTGTCTTTCCGACCTGTTTGCTACTGCATGAGTCATGTATGCCACGGGGAACCGTTGATGATACAGTTCTGTGGTGTTGCTGGTTTTCTCACCGATTCAGCTACCATGGCACAGCCCCTTCCCGGGTTTCCATGCTATACGTCTCTTCGGTGTTGTTGTTGGCCAGCATCAAAGTGATGAGTGACCGTCGTGACGTAAGGTTCGCACTCGAATCCACACGCTTGAACTGAATCTTCTCTTCCATGCTCGACTTCCCGCTTTCTTCGGCGGACTCTTCCTCCCATTCTTCATCGTCGTCGTCGTCAATGGCACTCTCATCGATGTAGTCGTCATCGGTGTCGCTGATGGGACGCTCAATCTCGGGGTGGCATACGCGATAGTGCCGCGCCAGTGCGTCTGACCTGCTGAATGTTTTTTCATCTGCGCACAGATCGCAGCGGACCTGTTTCTTGAGCACATTGTGGAATGTGTGTTCGTGCAGGGTAAGTTCCAAGGGCCTTGAGAAACCCATGTCGCATGGTTCTCCTGTGCTCGGGTTGATGCGTTCGCATCGATGTGGCCCAGCTTGTGTGTTCGAGAGACTGGGTCCCGTACCAAGGGCCCCAGGGAATTCTATTTCCACAAGGCTGCGGAATGATGGGAGTTTGGTTCCCTTGGTATAGACGTTGCCACCTCCAAAGGGTTTGTTGGTTCCCTTAGTGTAGCTCCCAGCAGAAGAAAAACTTGCGACACTGCCGCTTCCGGAACCAAAACTTGCAGCACTGCCTCGTCTTCGTAAGCGTCTGTTATCCGGTGCCCGGCGGTTCCCAACATCACCCGGGCTGTAAGGGTCGCCGCCCTGTTCTCCGTCCGGCAGACGGTCAGGGGTGACAAGATCCTGCAGTGACCGCTCCATCATGTTTTTGGGCTGGCGCGTCTCGTCCACTTGTCCAATTAGTGCTTTAAAAATGTAGTTGTCATCCTTTTGCTTCTCTAGTGACTCCCGAGTGGCTACGAAAGAGAGATCCCCTAGCCCCTGTTTGCGGAGATAGCCATCGACGGTTATGACCTGCAAATTCAGCTCAGTGAGAGCCATCCAGCGAGTCCAGATTTCGCTTTCACGCAATCGTGCAACGATAGGTTGCAGATCGACACCTGAGGACCGAGCCAGTCTGGCATGGGTGAAGAACTCGTGAGTAGCATATAAGAGCAGTGCCGGGTAATCCTCCAAGGTGGTTGTCTTTACTGAGTCGTCCGGGACCACCGAGGACGGAGAACAGATGTCCGGTTTTGTCAAATAAGTGTCGTCAACAACTGAATCGGTAGTGGCAATCCACTTCATTATATCAATCCCTGCCAAGCCAACCGGTGACAGGCATTGTTCTTCGCGTGAAACCTTGTCGGTCTCTGCCGTTTCCTCAAACAGAGGCGGGGTCGGGTCCTGCTCCTCAATGTATCTCTGACGTTGTGCAGCCTCTTTCCTCGCCGTAACTAGAGCGTCCAACTCGGCAATGTTTAGATAGTCGAGACAAGTCGTCATTATGGAGACATGGCCGAGACCAGAGTAAAGCTCTCTGTACGATTGACCCAGAGTGGCAACTTGTTCGAACTCCCGCGCGAGATTCCTATTTATTATGTATTCGAATCCCCAACTGAAGAAAAACTCACGAACAGAGTCGTGGATGACTTGGATGGCTCTGGTCTCACCGTTCTCCAAATCCAGAGAGCCGGCCCAGGCGCAGACTGATACTGATTCTAGAAGCTCGTCCTTTGGCCCAGCTGTGCCGTTGGTAACCTCTAATAAACCCCTTGACAAGGTCCTGATCTGCCTCTCAAGTTGGTCTTCGCTTGTGGTGAAATGCTCTGAAAGCCGCCATTGTTGTAGCGACGAGGGCACCGGCCGCCTGATGAACGCCAATATATGGTGCCACTCGTGGAGCCGAAGAGGTCTGACAGCGAGTGTAGCCCACTGGAAGAGCCGCAGCAGCAGCTCTTCCGATCCCGGAGGGGTAGACGCAAGAATCTCGGCAAAGAGATCGCTGAGCTCTCTGGGCAGGACATTGACCTTCTCAATCCAGTACACTAGGTTTCCGCCCTCCTCCCATTTGCTGAGCGTCTCTTCCACGACGAGATGAGCCCACAGAAACACCCCGTCGGCTTTCTGCAATATTTCATCTCGCAGCCGTGGCCACTGTGGATCCGCACCTGCCTTGGTAAGTCGGAACCTCTGCGATACATATGCCGCAATGTCGTTCCGGTTGGAACGGTCCACGACGATTTCCGGCCAAAGAAATGATGTGGAGTCTCTGCTTGAGAGCAAGACGTTTAGCCTGGCTCCCCCTTCCCACGCCCGCAGGTTTAAGCACTGCCAGAAGTGGATGAGCGCTGAGGCCCGCTCGTGGCATTCGTCGACAGCATCGATGAAGATGAAGCTTTTCCGCCCTCCCCGCCACTTGCCAAGCAACAGGCGTAGTATAGATTCCAGTTGATCGAGCAGCCATGCGTTGCCCGCGCCGTTTGAGTCGTCTACTCTGCTCTCCCTGCTTATATCAAGCAACCTGGGCGCCAGGCGAGTCAGCTGTTCTCTGTCTTGGCGCAGCAGCTGATGTAGCAATGACCGATAGAGTCCAGCTTTCGTAGCTTCCAGTTCCCGTCCCTTGGCATTGAAGAAGAAAGCTGCAACATAATGACCGGACCTGGCGTGTTCTCGGAGAGTGCGCCGGTAGGCTTCCTTCATTAGTACCGACTTGCCGGCGCCGGGCTTTCCTTTCAACCAAAGCATACCATTACCCAGACTTATGTCCCCAGTATCCCCGCTAAGCCAGAGTTTGTAACAGTGGGTTTCGAAAAGCCAATTACATGTGTTGTCTGCTGGGCTTCGCAGGTTCCGCCGACGAGTATGCATGCCCGGGAACCACAAAAATTGAAGGACAGCTCTCTCGGTTTCAGTCAACGCGGCATCCCCTTCGCCACACCCTAAGGACGAAATGCTGAGTAAGGTTTGGGGCCGCCTTGTCCGGTCAGGTAATTCGGTTTGCAGAGCACGTGCTTCAACGAGCGAAAGATATATCGATCTGAGTTCTTCGGCGACCTTTCGGTAGCCTGGGTCGTCAGGCCCGGCAAATCGGCACATATCCATGTGATTAGCTTGGATAGTTTCGGCATCTTCGCGGTGGTCCCCAAGAGATGACGAGTAGTCGGGCACAACTTTGTTACCCAGAACACCGAGATTCAACCCCGTCAAGCCAAGTGCTTCCTGGAAAGTCTTGACACGGAAACTGTATCTTTGCCACAGGGCAGAGAAGGATTCCTGTGCTCTTTCCAAATCCGTGTTTCTCAAGCCCAGTGCCTGGAGAATCGTAGCTGTCGTCTCGGCGCGGAAAGCGCTGATGAAAGAACGCGCCCATTCGCCGAGAGCAGCAAGGTCTGGACTGCCGCGGTGAGGGTTGCCAAGGAAGATGACAGCGGAAGTTGATTCGACAATGCTTGTTAGATGGCTGTCTCTTGAGGTCGAGGATGCTGCGAGCATCTAATGGGTATGTCAGCACCAGAACATTGGGAAGAACTGGGCAGTTCGAGTTGCTTCACCTCCTTGAGAATTATCCCTCCAAGACTATGGGCGACGAAGATCAATCGACGGCCGAGAACCGTCACTCTCGACAGAGCAAAAAGGAGATCCTTGGCATGAGAATAGATGCTGTTCTGGTTCGTGGGCGCAGCCATATACTTTGTGACCTTTGTGTCGTAGCCGTACACGAGTATACGCGCATCCGGGCATTCTTTGGGCAGCAGATCGGATGGCCAGAACACAGGCGAAGACACCGCCTGGGACGAGGATGCGGAATTGCCTGTATCTCCCGGGCCTTGGTGGACATAAGGTTTGCTTGCCCTTTCACGAACAGACTTTCCGGAAAGAGTCCTGCTAAGCCTGGACAGTGAGGAGCGCAACGCATTTCGTTTTACATGTTTGCCGCCGTTGGGAAATTCCTGCCCGAATGTAGGGGGTTTGGGTGCCTTTGTGCTTGCCCAAGTCCTGTACGGATGCCCTTGCAAGCCGTGTACAAAGATGATGCTGGCACAGATGTCAGTCGCAGCTTCCGCCAGACAGAAAGGCGGGGGTTCGAGTTCGTAAGGTAGGTACGCACTCAACAACTGGCTCATCATTCTCCGGCTCATAAACGACAGAAATACCGGTGTCCGTCGGGGCGTTCCTCATCCTCGCTGCCTGATGATTTACGCAGAACCGTCTCCTTTGCGTTTTGGCTGACTTGAACTGTCATTGCATCAAGTCGGGGTTCCGTGACTGCCTGCTAACCTCTGCGGTGGTCGTCGTCGTGAGGCTGAAGACGTTCTTGGCAACCGCCATCCAGCAGGATCCGAATCCAATTGGTCACGGGCTGCAGCCTAGATATCATTGTGCTCCTGTTAACGAGGGCACTGCCTACCTGCGAGATTGGTATTGTTTTGTATGTACATACTGGTACTTGTACATACACTGTTACGCGGGCTGACTGGTGAAGGGGTCGCCCGATAACAACTCAGACCCGAATTGCGGTTTGAGCACGATGTCTGCGGAACTCTCTGTAGGCACTCGGCACTGCCAACTGGATGTTGATTAATTCAGGGAATCGGATATGCGGAATGTTGAGTACAAGTGATAGTAGAGCCTACCGAAACTTGGGGAACAAGTACTTGACCACCCTCATAGCTTAGGCGACGAATCCGCCTCGGCGTCGATCAAAATCACCAGCTTCCCAAACTGTCTTCCAGCTTTCATGTCCTCAAACAAGCTCTCGATGCCCTCCAGATTATCCAGGCCCTTCACGACGCGGCTCACCACAGGCCTGATCTTGTGCTCGCGCACAAAGTCCACCATGGCACGGAACTCGGCCTTGGAGCCCATCGTCGAACCCTTCAGCTCCACTTGCTTCAGCGCCGCCTGAATAAGCCAATCCATCTTTGGCCCGACCGTCATCCCGTACGACGTGATCACGCCCCCCGGCTTCAGCAGCTTTACCGTCTTGGCAACGATATCCCCGCCAGCTCCGTCCACCACCGCATCCAGGAACGGCCTCTCCTTGGGTAGCATCCCCTTCAACTTGTCAGCCCACTCACCCTTGTAATTCACCCCTCCCTTCGCGCCCAGCGCCACCGCCCGCTCAATCTTCTGGTCATCCCCCGACGTCACAAACACGTTGCACCCCAGGGCAACAGCAAACTGCAGCACCTGCAGCGCGACCCCGCCGCCGATGCCCGTCACGAGCACGTTCCTGCCCGGCTGGGCTGCGTCCGCGCTCTTGGTGACGAGCGCGCGCCACCCCGTGAGCCCCACGAGCGGCAGGGCGGCGCCCTCGGCAGCGGTCAGGTGCGGCGGCGCGGGGACGACCTCGTCCTCGTCGACAACGACCCACTCCTGGGCGGTACCGACCTCGGTCCCGACGGCGGCGCCGCAGATGCTGAACCGCTTCCCGAGGTCCTCCGGCCCGGCCGGGTCGGATTCCCACCCCCGACACGGGGTCAGCAGGACGGGCTTATTGAGGAGGGACTGGGCGAGCGGGGACGGGTCCGGGCCGAGGGCGGTGACGGTGCCGTAACCATCGGCGAGAAGAGGGTTGGTGAAGGAGATACCTGGGTAGAGGTGCTGCCGGATGAATAAGTCGCGATGGTTGAGAGCGGCGGCGGCGAGTTTGACCAGGACTTGTTTGGGGCCTGAAGTGGGCTTGGGGACTTCATTGAGTTGAAGGCTGGGAGCGTGGTTTAGTAGTTTGGGACGGTGGATAAACGAGGCGAGGCATGAGGCACCTCTGGACCGAGCTTACGGGTAATAGACCTGCCCCGGCTTCCCGCCCTCGGTCTTCTTCACTGTGAGAGCGTATGGCATCTTTGATAGGAGGGGAGCTGGCTGGTTTGAATTGTGTCCTTTTTCTTGGAGAGAAATGAAGACAATGTACTGGACTCACAGTTGGGACTCGGCATGATCTGAGATGTAGGTGAGCTTCGGCAGTGTCACGCCCCACCTTCCCCCGCACAAACGGATCCACGGATGGGGGTCTGGCCAGTCTGGTACGGAGTAATGGATTGACGCTCGTGCCTCGGCCCGTCCCCGCCGCCGAGCTGCGATCGGCAAATCTCCGTCCAATTCTCCGTCGTCCCCGCCAACTGGGCGGCGTCCTATCCCGCCGCAGCGCCGGGTCCAAATGCGGTGCCGGGTTCTTGCACCAGTGTTTGTGCATACAGCTGCGTCGCTGACAACACCATACTTTGCGCGATACACAATTCCCTTGCTTCGGTTATCGTTGGATCTGCAGTTCCCAATTCGGTCGGCATCCGTACACCAGCATCGCCTCGCTCACTCGTGTGATGTCTTCCTCTTTTTGGCCTTCCCGCTGCTTTCCTCCGGTGGCACAAATTCGCGTTCCCGTTCCCGCTTCTTTTCCTCCTTCTTCTGCTTGGCCTTCTCTGCCCGCTCCGCCTCGGCCGCCCGCTGCTTTGCCTCCTTTCCGAGGAAGTACTCGCCACTCTCGATCTGCATATCCACTTTGCTCTTTTCCGGCGCAGGTGGGAAAGGCGTGTAGGGTTTCTTGCTCTTGTCTGTAACCTTGAACGGCTTCCGTCTCTTTGACAAGGTACGCTTCTTGAAGTTTGGTAGGTATCGGCTCCAGTCCTCGTGCGCCAGCGCTGTTTAACAAGTCAGTGTGAATGCCATCTAAAGTCGTTGTCGCGTGCAACACCAACCTGGATCTTTGGCCAGCTCCCGCTTGATCCTAGCTTTAGGTCAATAACGCCGCTTGAAATATTCCCGTTTACCACTCACATGAGCTCCTTGATCAAGTAAATCGGGTGAATATTTTGCATCGTATCCTCGACAACCCTCCTGACCTCCTTCAGCCCCTTATAAGGCCCCATGACAGAAACCGTGTTTCCGTGCACCAGAATGTAGGTCTGTGTCAGCAGCTCTAGTGCTTTCAAGGCTGTTCATAGTTAGCGACCGACTCTTCCGCAGTGGAAACCCGGCTCAGCTCATACTTGTGCCATTCTGGCCCAGTATCCGTTGTCTCCGCTTGACGAATCGCTCTTTGTTCCGCACCATGCCCCGAATTTTGATAATGTCGCATGCCATCCCATCCTCCAGTATTTTGATGGCCTGTGGCGCAGGGACGGACCGTGCGAGAAGTTTGATCAGGTCTCGAGCGTTGAGGATCGCAGCGGGATCGTAGGTCTGCAGAAAGGTCAGAGCTGCATGCAAGCACTGAGCTGGCGTGGAATTACCTTTCTGGTCGTCTTCACAGTCATTGAACCCTCAACAAGGTCCAACGTCGCACTGATGCCATGCTTCTCTAGAGCTTTGGTGACGAGGGGCCAACAATCCTTAAGATAGCGCTCGCGGTATTTTGGGAATAGAGTCATAAACGACGATTCTTCCAGGAACGGCCCTGACGATTGTTCCTTGGTGAACGGCTCGATCTTCCATTTGTCGATATCGTCCGTGTCCCATGGTTTGTCCTTTTTGTGCGTCGACGGCATTCTGATATGCTTTGGCTCTCGATAGAGTTGCGATGCCGATATACGCGGTGGCTATTTGGTACAACTCTGGATTTGTCGGTGGCGAGGAAGTTTGTTTCTGTGTCGGTGTCGTCAAACAGCTTCCAGCCTGCGTGGAAATTTTTGGATACCAGAGTTACTCCGTAGCCTTATCGCGACTTTGGCACGTTTTACAGTACCACAGTACCACTGTATGTACAATACAATACGTATGTATTCATGTAATTCCGGAGTTCTCAGTATGAACTTCGTACAGCGGCACGGCTCTTACTGTGGGTCGGTCTCTGTTCTGCTTCGTCGCAAGATTCTGTGCAAGTCTCACCCATCAGCACCTGGAGGGGATCCTCCCTTTTTGCCCTATTTTCCCACCGCGATTCGCTCTACCTGGTTGGATCATTTACGATCCAGTTGTTGTTGCACCTACCGAGTTAGAGAAAACCCAGGAATTCAACCTGTTCTTTGTTTTGTCTCTACGTACCGCATTGACCGGTTCATTCGAAAGATTGCCTGTGTCGCGTTTCCACCTGGCGTCTACCAGCAACTTACTGGGCCATTGATTGCATATGCGCTGGTTTAACCTCCCGAAGGCCATTCATATCCGAGCGTTGTCTATCCGGCCCGTTTGCACCAGAAGCTGCCCTTCAGCCGACCTCGAATAGCGTCACGTCGCCAGCCCGTCTCAGCACAGGATACTTAGCAACGCCATCAGACCGGTCCGGGTTTCATCGCGTCTTTTCAACTGGATTCCGCGATTCTTCCCGACCCGACCTTGAGCTTCTGTTTCTTCTGAAGATGGAAGACGGTACACAAGCCGCGCCAGTACCACCGTCTCTGAAATCAGAGCCAGACTCAGAGCCGATTTCGAGACCCAGTTCGGTATCTACACAAGACTCAGCTTCACAGAACCTTGCACACCATCTCTCCGGAGTTGCTGCGCTTGCCACCACCAACTCTGTAGCGAGCTCTCCGCAGCAAAGGTTGGTGACATCAGGGAACCCGGCAATGCTTTGAAGGCACCGCGGCGAAAGAGGGCCCGTGGCTCGAATCTAGAGCGCCATGGAGTCTGGGCCTCTACTTGTGCTTGCGAGGAGTTTGCTGCGTAGCCAAGTGCTCTGCGCTCTTGCCTGATCGAACTCTCATCCCACGACGCTTTGTTACGTCGCCGAGCTGACATCATATACAGACCTGTCGCGATTGCGCCAGCAATGTACCCGTCAGGAACATCACCTGCGAGCACCGCACCAGCTCCCGGGGGCAATCTGGTACGATTCAACCGCTCCTCTACTTTCTCGTACTCCTTTCTCCATCCATTCTTTTCCCGCGCCTCACCAATCGGTTGCTGGCGGTGCTTGATTCCTGACCAAGGCGCCGCTTCCTATTGGCTCGCAGGGCAGCGAAATCTCAGTGGGGCAGTTATCCCCAAGCCCCACTTTTTGCATCTTTACCGTTATCGTTGAGCCCCACTCGATTTTCACTCAAAAAATTTCGTTATCATCCACCTTATCATTGCTTTCCCAACTCATATCTGGGGCTCCATCTGCATTTATCCCGGCCTTATCGTCACGATCTAATCTCTCATAACCTATCTCTCATCTGCACCCGGCTGCTCCCTGCTGTCATACAGCGCGCCCATCATGGCGACCATGGCTAACCATGACCGCGAAACCACACAGCCTACCTGCCAAAACTGTGGCACATCGACAACGCCGCTCTGGAGGCGCGATGAGACGGGCGCTGTTCTCTGCAATGCGTGCGGTCTCTTCCTCAAGCTTCATGGTCGTCCGCGGCCCATCTCGCTCAAAACGGATGTAATCAAGAGCCGCAATCGTGTCAAGACGATGCGACCTGATCTTGCGAAGCAGAAAAAGGTATGCCGATCCTCGCCCCATTCTAATTCTTGTACGACTGACGTTAGATAGACTCAGCAAAACCACAACCTTGCGCAACCGGGCGATGTGAACGGGAACGATCTCGGCACTCCTGGTAATGGAGTAACGGCGGCGAATCTCGGCGCTCGTAGGACGTCACAGAAATCCGCAAATGGTGCAGTTGACGATACCAATTCTCCCATATCACGCACTGGGACGCCTAGTCTCTATGGGGCACACATCCACCCCCTATATCACAATATAGACGACCAGCTACAAGCGCAACAGCTATCTGGCTTTCCTGGAGGGCCCGATGGTCGCGCCCCATCGCCTTTGAATGGCGAGCGCTTAGACATGCCTCAGACGCACGAGCAGCTTCTTGCAACGAATTCAAGCTTGAAAACTCGTGTCAGCGAGCTTGAGGTCATCCAGGAGCTTTACCGCGGGAGAATTCAGCAACTAGAGCAGGAAGAAGCGAATCGGCAGGCCCAAGAGAAGAACAAATCAGAGGTTGAGATACAACTGCGCTCGCAGCTGGATGCCATGAATGAGGCGCATGCGCAATTGCAAAAGGAGCTGGAAGAAAGTCATCGGAGAGAGAACATGCTTAAGCGGCGGTTGGACGAGCTAGAGGTCGAGCTTAAGGAGGCCAAAGAATCTCTCGAGGTGCACGAAAGCGGCCGTGCGAAGAGATCCCGTGTTGACGAGCCTGCGGCCACCGATGACGATGCTGCTTCAACCTCACAGCCGGCGACGCAGCCAGTTTCATAGTCTCGAATTTCATCGACATTTGGTTTGGGTGTTGTGCAACGCCCGCTGTGCAAGGCGGGCTTCGCAACGCGCCGTGTATGTCTATTGGCTTGGGTTGGGTGGGCCTCTCATTGAAACTGGTGTTCGCGATCCAACCAGCGATGACGAGTATAATCTGGCGTCCTGGGGGCGCTGTGGGTTTCCCTTCCTACTATACCTTTGCATTGACTGCTCGAGGACCGAGTTCTGAGGATTGCCTTCTTAACCGTCATGAGGGGATTTGCCGTATATCTTTCGGATAGTTGATTGAGCAATCATCTCGGCTTCGGACTGGAGAAGTAGATCGGATAGCGGGCGTCTTTCAGGCAAGCCTAGGTGACAGCGACAGCCGGGATCAAAATTGGAGAAGGCGATGGGTGCAGTTCCAATCGATGCGTAATATCCTTTCGGTTTATCTCGTACGGGCTTAGGCGGACGGATGGATCAAAGAAGGGGTTTATGGGATGGGTTTTACGGGAGTTGTTGGAGTACTGTACCTCTGCAGTAATTACATGTGAAGGCCCAAAAGTCCGACGGCATAAAGGGTTGGAATAAAAGTCTTATTGCGAGATGCGACACGTTTAGACTCTTGTCTCGAGAAGTACTGGTATGGTAAGGGAAGGAATGCAACCCTGAGAACCTTACAACCTTGCCATTTACTGGGCAGCGAGCCGCTCTGCCGGTAGCATCACTGACACTTCCGTCCTGAGCGTACGACCTACAAGACGATCAAGAGGTCAAGCTCAATATTTTGCCCTAGAGTTGACATAAACACACAGGTGTCATTGGTGAATCTCGCAGATTGTCCAAGATTCAATACCATTGCCAACCAGTAGCAACCGAGACCGTTGACATGGACTTGTGCTTGCTTCTGAGGCCTGTTTGCGCCTCTGATCGGTCGATGCTCGTATGGCCGCATTCCAATGGCCTGTTCAGGCATTATTGTCCTACCCGATATTCCAACTCGGCTTGGTAAGGTACCCAACTTGCTCTCTTGGTGTCCTCGGGTTGTCTTAAGGTTTCCAGGTTGGCATATGCGGCACTACCGATGGCGTTTGTCTTGTTGCCGCGGCCGCCAGTGGAAATGCGTTTATACGTGCATTAGCATAGAGTCAAGACACGATAGAGAAACACGCCGTATCAGTTAGAAATAGTCAAGCCATATGGTCGCTCACTCCATACCTCAAGGCGGCGCAGATGTCGCATCTCGTGCCCAACTTAGTCCTTTGTCTCAAACAACCTCACTGCGCCTCATCCAGCAAATCGTAAGGTAAATGTTCAAACCGACCTTTTTACCACCGAGCAACCGAACCTGGCTGCTAAACCGCGAGCAATATATTCACAACGCAAATCTATCGAAGTTTGTGATCACCACCGGAACCCAAGATGTCTCCGTCAATATCACCTGTCTCATCAGCTCCCTCATCATCATGGCCACCGTCATCATCAGAAAAGCGCCGATATTATGCTCCGCTGACGCCTTCCCCGCTAAACCCAAACATCTATCTTGACGAAACCCACAGTTCCAAGGGGAGATCATCACCATCGGCAACATTAACCACCCAGCCTTCATCGTCACCAAAACCAAAACCCAGTCCACCCTTAAAAACCCCTCACCACAGACAGGCCAACCACAGCGCAAGCCCAACACAGTTCCTCCTGCGGCAAAAAGCAGCCGCGGCCTGGCGGTCTGAGGCCTTGCGATACCAGACTCTCTCCCAGTCCCAGTCCCAGTTGCCTTCCCGGGCAATACTAGACGCTGCCCACGCCTACGCCCACGCCACCATCTCCAAGAGCCATGACGAGAAGGGGACTGAGAGGCAGCAGCAGCCGCAGCAGCAGCAGCAGGGTGGTTGGACCGCGACGGTTGGCCCCGGCGGCGACGCCATCCTCACCATCACCGTTCCCGAGGAGACCCTGCTTTTGGACGGTGCTGACAAGCCCCGGAGCGAGGAGGGCGGGGATGAAGAGAGTGACATCGGGTTGCTAATACGGCCTGTCGATAAGCGCAGTGCAGGTGACGGCGGCGGCGGCGGCGGCGGCGGCGGCGGTGGTGGTGGTGATGGAACCTTTCAGCTTCTGGGTTTGTCCGAGACATCGCCTTTTCCGTCGGCGTCTGTGACGGTGGTGGCGGGAGAGCCGGCGCGGTGCTCTGCTGCCCGGCGGCTGGAGCCGCATTCTTCTCGCAATCGCGTTACCATGCGGCGTGTGTTGTTTGTGATGGGTTTGTTATTCGGGCTGGGGCTGATACATTGCGTGATGCGTGTTTTTCTTGCGAGGAGATTCGGCCCACACGAGGTTGAGCCTTGATTGAACCGTCGGAACGGGGGAAAGGGGGTCGGCAGCGTTTTCCCATTCGAGAGTGCAGTTTTGTCCAAGCATGCTGGGTATATGCGTTCTTGTGAGTTGGGGTGAATCGAATCTAAACCATACCCAATACACCATCTGTCGCCGCGCTCTCCAAGTTGACTAGAACCGCCTGGATTGTCTAACACCGCCTGCTCGCCCCCCAAATCAATATACCACCGGACATCTAGCTTATTATACATCGTTCGATCATGTGGTGCCATGCGCCGTCATTGCGTCTTCTTCTCGTCGTCGTTGGCGGTGCCTCCGGTCCCCGGAGTAGCAGAGGTCTCAGCGCTGCGCTTTTTCAAGGCCGTTTCCACCTGCCATATGGCCCTTTCGAGCTCAACCTCGAGCTGTGGAATGTCCAGAGCCTGCGTCATCTTTCTCCCCTTGGCCTGGGAAAGCAACATTGTTTCTTCCTCCGGGTTTTGAGAACCGGGAGTAAAGGTGTCAGAATTCGCGTGTATCCCGCCAGACTCCTGTGTTGGCTTCGCAGGAGAAGCTAAGGGCTTTGGTTGGTCGGCATACACCTCGTCAATGACCGGGGACGGTGTCAAAGCGAGGAGGTTGTGCTTGAGAAGGAACTGTATGTGCTTGCCGCCGGATAGCGCTCTCCAGTGCGACCAAGCACGGTACACAAGGTAAAAGAAGGGTATGTTGGGAACCCTAGATCGCGGCTGTCAGAGGACATTGTAGGATGGACAGGTTTGCAATCACATACACTGGAATGAGAGCAACGGGCGCCGAAAGTGGCATCCCGATGAAGCACCAAATCAACCTCCTCTTATGCAGCGCCTCCCTTTCTGTGGCCAACGTCTCCAGAATCTTTGGGACTCTATCCATTGCCAGCAGAGTCTTGGGGTAGACAACCTCCACTTTCTCTGTGCCCTTCATCTCGACTTGCCTTCGACGCTGCGACAAAGGTGGCACGGATTTGAGCCCCCATTCTTCATAAGGAATTCGACGAAGCGCATAGTTGCCGTAGCCGACAACCTTCTTCTGCCACCCATTATCTTTCTTCTCCCATTCAGACCATGTGCGGGCAGCTTTGGCCTGAACCCAGTCCGCCCAGGTTTGCTTTTCAGTCGCTGGCACGTAGAGTTTCTGGCAGTACAGTAGCGTCCTCTTGGTTGAAATGGGTAACAGATAGAGCCTCATCGTGCCAATGCCTAGGCGCAAGCGCCACGTTGTTGGGCAGATTGGGCTACCTCCAGAGACTTGGTGTTGCAGAAGGAAAGTGTGGCCAAGGTAAACGAGCACAGCTTCGCCGCAAGCGAGCGATGCGAGAAAAACGAGAGATATCCCGCAGTATCCGTGCCTCAAACGCAGAGCCCGTGACAGCTCATCTTGTATTGCAATTTTCCGTCAAACTGGGCATAATAAGATGCTTAACGCTAGTGGCAAGCAGACCTGTGTTTGAGGGTTGTGAGAATTGAGCCTTGCGAGGGATGCCAGCTTCTGCGCTCGAAGCAGTGACGCAGTTGGTTGCCTGGGGCGCATCACAATTGGCTGATGGGCCGAATGTAGTGAATCGGTCTAAGGTAGTTAACCGCTGCGCCGCGCAGGACAGGGGCCTCATACCCCTGCTCATTTCAATTTCCCGGGCTCAAGTTAAGATACCTCGAGTGGAGATTCATCGAACCCGAAACCTGTGCAAGTTCCTGGCTGACTCTGGAGGCCTGCGAAGGCGCTATTGCGAAGCCCGTCATGGAAGCTCTGTCTGACACTTTGTGGTGTGGCACTTTTGCTGGGACAGGTTGCGGGTTTGAGCAAAGCGGTGCCGTCTCGACCTCCGCTACCTTACATACATCGAAACATCGACGGTACCGGTAATTAGCACGAAGCCTGGCATAGGTAGAGAGTCAGGGACGGCCAACATCTCACTCCAGCCTCTCGGTCAATGCTTCAAATCCAACTGACATCATCGAGAAAGTTCACACAATTAGAGGCCCCGCGACTGCACAAACCTAAGGTACCTTACACACTACAGGTACCTACCTAGGTAAGGTAGTGAGCGTACGGGCCGTACCCCGTACCTGGACTTACAACTTGGAAGCTGGTAGAGTTGTGGTCCGTGCCACCAGGGGCCTTGGATGGTACAAAGTACAACGGCAACGGCGCCAAGTGATTTGTTGATGGCGCAGGCTCCGAAACTGACCACCTCAAGTACCAACTGGGACGCATGCTACAACCAACGCCGTCATCCTCCGCGCTGAGACGGGATGCCGTTAACGTGGTTTATTTAAGTCGCGGGATCGAGCGCTGCACAATGCACCGGCTCCGCAAGCTCTTCGATTGCCTATTCTTACCGTACTCGCCAGGCCTTGCCCGCTGACCGGAGACGTCATCCACCATCGCTTGATGCTCCCCATATCGTCAACCGCGCAGGCGTCTCTGTACCACCTTCAACCGTAGCGGGCATTACGGGCCGCTATGATGGCGGCTGCGGGCCCACCATCCTCAAGCTCCCATTCTGAGCCCGGCACATCCATCGCGTCCCAGAGCAGCGCAGGGGGTTCCAACTCGTCGCGGAACCACCCTCCGCGCTCCTTACCGCGTGCGAACCCTGCGTTCCCATTTCTCCGGCTATGGAGGGCGATGCTAACATCCCATAACAGCATGGATCGATTCCTACGAGGTTCGATATGGCAGGCCCGCTGACGAGCAGCTCCGCGCCCTCAACTCGCCGCCTCCGCGCACACTGCCCCCACAGCATAATCATTCTCCCAGTGAGGCGAATAGGAGGGTTTCAAAAGACGGGTTTGTCTACGACGATCAGGCCGTACTGGGACTCGACGCGAACAGAAAATCAAGGGCAAGGCTACGCAAATTTCTAATCCGCAAGGACGCTGCCGAGAAGGGAAGGAAATGGGACCACTTGCGCTCAGCCGAACCTGTCATCGTTCCTCGCTATAGCCGGGCTACCACAGATTCTCCGTGGCGGAGCTACTTGCAATCCTCGCGGTATGGCCGCCTGCCGAACGAGGAGGCCGAAATATTCGACCCCGAGGTGCTCGAAAAGCTGCAGCCGGGCTTCAATAATGCCGCCGAGACACCCCGACTGCTGGAGGGCACCGGGAAGAAACCGACACGGACAAGAAGACTCTACAAGAGAATATGGCGCCTCATTCTGCGACACCCGCTGGTCCCACTAGCTTTTCGTCTCACTGTCCTCCTTACCTCAATTGTGGCTCTTGCTCTGTCTGCGCGCATCTTTGAAATAGAAGAACATGGCGGACTCAGCAGACAGTCGGCGGAGCGGACACAGTCGCTGGTGGCTATCGTTGTAGACACAATCGCTGTGCCATACATCGGCTACATGACATGGGACGAATACACCGGAAAGCCGCTTGGATTGCGGCAGGCGACGGCAAAGATTTCCCTTGTTCTTATGGACCTCTTTTTCATCATTTTCAAATCCGCAAGCACAACACTCGCCTTTGAGACTCTGGTCAACCACAACAGTTTTGATTCGCAAACCAATCAGTACAGTCGAGCCCTTGCCGCTTTCCAGACTGTCAGCCTTATATCCTGGAGCTTCACATTTACAGTGAATGTCTTCCGCTTGGTGCAGAAACTCGGTGGTGGGGATGACGGTGGATGATAACATGACGAAGATATACCTATGTACGGTGTAGGAGGATTTGGGATTACAGGCAGCGGATGTCCTATGCTGCTCGACCCGGAGTCTGTCTCATTATGCATTGTTGCAATGAATCTAATGTCTTCGGATTTTTTGTATCCACTATGTCTAGAGAAGATACATCTATTATCGACTAGCTTTTCTTGCACCCCAGTTCCACGATTCACAGCTAATACTAGGGTATCGCCGTTGGGAGCAGGTACTCCTAGGTGCTAGGTGGTACTGTATAACCGTGGACTCTGGTGTCCATACATACAGGGATGAGCTCATCCGTCGCGTGAGTGGGGTCATACAAGGACTCGAAGCGCCAACAGGCGCTTGTCGCTAATCATGCATTCAGAGCGCGCTCCCTATCGGAATATCGTCATTGATTCTAATGTGACGGCCTACCTAAGGTACTCCTAGGCCCAAAGGTGCCACGACAACGGCTGCATATGTATGTACCGCACGTTAAGCTTCCATTCTGGTTACTAACCTTAGTTTGTACTTGAGATGTATCTTTAAGTGAGTTTGTTTATATTTTCTTTGGTATCTCAGAGAACGTTGTGATGCACTGGCGTAATGATTGGACAATCCATCCTATGTGAATAGACCATCAGATGAATGCTAATAGCAAGTGCTGCAAAATTGGGCACCCGACCACAAGTGGGCCTTTCCTGCCTAGAACTGCAACACGGACGCCTCCAAGGCTGTGGTGATGCTTCGTACAACGGAACTCCCCGTATCTCTGCATTCACCCTTTGCGCTATCCAAGCATATGAGGATCGATCTTTTCAAGTACCCTATTTCGCCTTGAATTCTCCCTTCTCATTTCATTCTGATTCTTCCACTTCTGGGTTTTCAGTTCCCCGCGTGACACTCCCCCACATTTCGTCTGCCCTAGGGCGCCTGAGGGCCTGGGCAATCCACCCGTTATTCAAAGCAAGTTCACTTTCGAGCCATGACAATTCTGCCCGAAGCCACCGCGACAGAGAGCTGCGGTTTTCAAGGCGGCGTTTTCTCTTTGGAACTTGACTAACCTGCCGCGCATCTCCCTAGCGACTCATTCGGCGACTCGGCCACTCACCGGTCCCTTGCATCGACGACGCATTTCCCGTCACCTTTCCAACTTTCTCCCTTGCCTCCACCAATCACCCATCTCGCCGGCCAGTATGCCTGCCGCTGCGCTACCCGGGATGCCTTCACAACCTCGTGATGATATCGACAACACGTATGTCGCTACCCCGCCAGTCCGCTGCCCAGAAGCCAGACGTTGACGTGCAACAGTTGGAACTACCTTCAAAATGGCATCACCAGGATTATGCTGAATCTGCAGGAGGGAGTCGATCTTCATACCGTATGTATCCTGCCCATGTTCGCTCGTGACTTTACCGCAGCGCTGATACTGTTGATAGTACATGGGCATCTACACGTCCGTCCAAGAACCCCATCGCATGCCTATCCGGCGCAGCTAACTTGGGTACAGAGCCGTACACAACTTCTGCACATCTCAAAAAGCCACCGGCTTTACTCATGCGACCAACGTCGTTGGCGTCGGTTCATCCCACCGTGGCGGTTCGTGCTTGTGACCCACGCCGCTCATCTCGCATCGCTGACATACTTGCTAGCCCATCTACTAGGCGAGGACCTCTATAAGAAGCTTACCGAATATTTGACCGAGCATCTGAAGGGCCTGGTCGTCGCGTCAAAGGCGCACACAGATGAGGCACTGCTAGCCTTCTATATAAGAGAATGGCAGCGATACACGGTGGCCGCCAAGTATATACACCACCTCTTCCGGTATTTGAACCGGCACTGGGTCAAGCGCGAGATGGATGAGGGCAAGAAGAACGTCTACGACGTTTACACCCTGCACCTAGTGCGATGGCGCGATGTTCTCTTCACTCAGGTCTCTTCCAAGGTGATGGATGCGGTCCTGAAGTTGGTGGAGAAGCAGCGGAATGGCGAGACAATCGAGTACAACCAGATCAAGCAAGTGGTTGAGTCTTTTGTGTCACTCGGTCTGGACGAGGGTGACTCTTCCAAAACCACACTGGACGTCTACCGCTTTCACTTCGAACGCCCATTCCTCGAGGCAACCAAGCTGTTTTACCAAAACGAAAGCAAGCAGTTCGTTGCCGAGAACAGCGTTGTCGAGTACATGAAGAAGGCCGAGGCCCGACTGGAGGAAGAGGAAGAGCGGGTCAAGCTATATCTCCACCCGGACATCGCGATTCCTCTCAAGAAGGCTTGCAACCAGGTGCTGATTGCCGATCACTCAAACATCCTACGCGACGAGTTCCAGGTTCTTCTAGACAACGACAGGGAAGAAGATATGGCGCGCATGTACAGCCTGTTGTCCCGTATTCCGGACGGTTTGGACCCTCTTAGAACACGCTTCGAGACTCATGTGCGGAATGCCGGGTTGGCGGCGGTCGCCAAGGTTACGTCCGACGCCGACAAGCTGGAGCCGAAGGTGTATGTCGACGCTCTGCTCGAGATCCACACCCAATACCAAACCCTTGTCAAGCGTGCTTTCAATGACGAACCAGAGTTTACGAGGTCTCTGGACAACGCGTGCAGAGAGTTTGTGAACCGCAATGACGTCTGCAAATCTGGGTCCAACAAGTCCCCCGAATTGCTGGCCAAATACGCTGACCTTCTGCTCCGCAAGAGCAGCACGGGAGTGGAAGATGCTGAGCTCGAGAGTACGCTTGTCCAGATAATGACTGTATTCAAGTACATCGAGGACAAGGACGTCTTCCAGAAGTTCTACTCGCGGATGCTCGCTCGCCGCCTGGTACATAGCACTTCCTCGTCCGACGACGCCGAGATGAGCATGATCGGGAAGTTGAAGGAAGCTTGCGGATTCGAGTATACCAACAAGCTGCAGCGCATGTTCCAGGACATGCAAATATCCAAGGATCTCAACGCGGGCTTCAAGGAGCACCTCCAGACCCTCGGCAGCAAAGGGCTCGACTCTTCGTATTCCATCCTCGGCACCGGTTTCTGGCCATTGCAAGCGCCGGGCACCAATTTCACCCCTCCCGAAGAGATTCAGGCGGACTGCGAGAGGTTTACCCGCTTTTACAAGAACAAACACGAAGGGCGCAAACTCACATGGCTGTGGCAACTGTGCAAGGGTGATGTCAAGGCGAACTACCTCAAGAATGCCAAGATGCCGTACACATTCACCGTCTCGGTATACCAGATGGCCATTCTCCTCCTTTTCAACGAGAAGGACAGGAATACATACGAAGAGCTCGCGTCGACGACGCAACTAAACAACGAGGCGTTAGACCCTTCGCTGGGGATTCTCCTAAAGGCGAGAGTGCTCAACATGGAAGGGAGCGATAAGGTGGGGCCAGGGGCGACATTTTCGCTGAACTACGATTTCAAGAACAAGAAATACCGCCTCAACCTCAACATGCCCATGAAGTCAGAGACAAAACAAGAGGAAATCGAGACAAACAAGACGATTGAAGAGGACCGCAAGCTTCTCCTTCAGGTAAGATTTCTGATAGCCGGCCAGGATATCCGCCTCTGTGGGATCCGACTAACCAATCCGTGTACCAGTCGGCTATTGTTCGCATCATGAAGGCCCGCAAGCGCATGAAGCACCAGCAGCTCGTCAGCGAGACAATCAACCAGATCCGGCAGCGGTTCGTGCCCAAGGTCAGCGATATCAAGAAATGCATCGAGATCCTTCTTGATAAAGAGTACCTGGAACGCTTGGAGGACGATGATCTCGGGTACCTGGCCTGATTATTTGTGGAGGGGCTCTTGAGCCTTGGGGATCCTTGGAAGCGTGGAGAGGACCGGAGTTTGTCCATCTCCGAATTTGATGAACGAAGGCGGGAGGGTTTGTGTATGAAATACCGCCCGGCGGGCTGCCTAACAAATGGACTGACGCGGAGTGCTTCTTGGCTTCCTGGACTCGTCTGGCAGTGAGAGGAGAGGCTATTAGATGCCTATGGCCGTAGAGCATTCCTTGAGACCAAACTTCGGTCTTCTTCCTTGCAAATGAGACGATTCGGATTGGGTGATATTTCCCCATCACTAACAACAGTTACTAGAGGACGGTGTTGCTGGGTCCGGGTGGATGTCAAATGTTTCCTTTGCTAATTGAACCGAGATGATGCTTATCCTCTGCAATTTGCGATGGTATTGGTTTCCATGAAGAGACAGTACTGAGGCTACGCTTCTGACGGAGTTCATGCCGGGCGTGACTGCGCTACACTGCAACGGAGCAAGTTGGCACGGTTGGTAAGTTCAAGACTAAGAAGGGACCTAGAGTTGCAACAACTTCGACCTACCTTACACAGAAGATCATGTTGATACATGTTACTCGTCAGGGCTTCAAAATCGCTCTGCCCCACCACTCCGGCGGGTACGGAATATATACCGTTAGCTTAGTTGTTAAGAGGCATGTACGGAGTATGTATTGTACAGTACAATACTACGAAGCAACATTACAGTAATTTGAGCATTCCTATGCTAGGACTTTTTGAGCATGCGAAGTAACGGTCTTGAGACGTGACAGGAGTTCCAGATGGCGCATAGTCAGCAATGCTGAGGATCCGAGTACATTGACTTCAAAAGTAGCCTTGCCAGAAGATGCATGCTTGTGATGAGATAAGTCTGGGCCGTTTCTCTTTATAGAGCCCTGATTGGCTTGCCAGCACGCCGGCAGAAGTTCCGCAGAACATCCAGGCAAGCTGCGCTTCTGGCTCTGTTGTGTTTGACAGCGTCCGAGTGCGCAGCGACCCAGGTTCATCATACTGCCCTAGCCCAGTACCTAATAAACCTGAGTCGCAGCTGGTACCCATTTCGGGACTGATGCCGGTTCTTATATCTGTAATTATTGCAACGAAATGCTGGCAAAGGTAAGGTAATCAATGAACCTGGATGGCGCAAATCGGTCAGCGAGATATGTTTCCCGTGATCGTATGTACTGTACTTTGTACTTGCGTTGTACCCCAGCCTTCCACACAATGGAAATGCGGAGATGTGAAAGCAAACAACGCAGCTGAAGAAGTATAAGTACGGGATTTCAAGTAGTGATGCACAATCTAGGTGTGTGTAAGTTACATACAGCACCCTGATGCAAGGCAGATTTGATCATGTTGGAGGCGGTAGGTTTTCCGGGAGTTGGAGCCTGGCGACACGTGGTGTCGGGACGCACTCCCTGTGCCGCGGAGAGAGACGGCAAGTGTCACTGAATGAAATCTTGTATGTACTCCGTACTGTACGGTACTTCAATGTTTGCGGTACTATACAGTATTGTATCGGTGTTGCGAATGTATTATGGTATCTTGTGTAATTACTATACGCCAAGAGATGGCTTTTCCTAGCAAACAGACTCTTGAATTCAGGCTCAGTTACGTTGTAACTCAAGTATCTGGTGACAATTGGTGGCTATTGTACCGTACTGTACTGTACATACAGTATTCCCCCACTAACGATCTAGCAAACGCCCTTAATCCCCTGCCATTACCTTCGGAATTTCATCTAAAGTTTTTTGGTATTCCGCTTGTTTGAAATGAGATGCTCACAGACACAAAATGCTAGAGATGGCAGCTTTCATACATGGTCTCGGTAATATCTGGGAGAGTACTGTACCTACCTTAACCAGGGCCTCTACTACCGGTATCATGTACCTAACTACGGATATGGATGGGGCGCGACGGGATCAGTTCAAACTAGGATCGAGAGTTGAAGAGCGTTGAGGCGACCCGTCCGCACAGACCGCAATTTGATTGTAGCGGTACTGATTCATTCCTCTACACTGTAACGCTGTACATGAATTGTTACTATCGTACATTTGCAGCTCTCAACCGCGTAAAGCAAACAGCGGCGCCATAATGCGAAGGTTCAAGGTAAGGTAGTGGATTGAACATAGGTACCTGCCGAATTTACTATGTATCCGTACCTGATGTACTGTACCGGTGTGTTATTACCTCCTAAGTCAATATGTAATTATGTATCGATACCGTGGGGAGGAGGTCCTGCCAATGCGGGCAGTGTGGAGTCACTTGCAGGCCTGGCCCCTGCGGGCCCGTCTCCTCGCCCAAATCTGGGCGGTGGCCGGGGCCACCTTCGTGCAGTGCCGTCGTGCACATTGACCGGCTCAGGCTGGTTGGACAAAGGGAAGGCCTGCCGCCCTCCCATTCTGTATTTCCGTCGAGTCTTACTTTGCGAACTGGTGCCCTGCGCCGCCTTGGATCTGTAGCTTGTCACGCCGCGAGACATCAATTGTACCAGTTGCTCGCAACACCAGATCTTGTCGAAGCAGCATTCCTGTCTGCATCGGGAATCTGTCCGCGACGAAGCTGATTCGACGCCCCCGAAGGGCTTACCCGTGAGAGAACAGAAGCGGCCGTGAGCATTGCTGCTTCGTAGGTTTCCCAGCCCCTCAATACGGCCTAGGCCGGAGGCGTCCAGCTGCGAGTTTGAACCGACACCAGAGCCGTCCCGACGGAGCCTGCTCACTGTTCATCAGAGCACGATTTCCCGAGTCTCGGCTCAGGCGGGTCTTTTGAGTTGCATTGCCGCTACCGTTCGTGCGTCAATCGAGTCGAGGCCACCTTTCCGCCGACAAAAGGGCATTCGCACCAGGCACCCAACCGGCTTCTGTCGCCGCGCTTTACTCGCCCTTTCCCGGATACCTGGATGGCTGGCCGATCTTGCTGCCCGTTGGTTGTTTAAACTTTGCGGTACTATACATCTTGCGAATCATTGACTGCCGGATTACCCGATTGTGCCACCCTTGATAGCTATCGCCGCCCCCGCTCGACACCACTGTCGGCCATCGGTTCGGTTCACCAACTCGAACTACAAAAGGTTGATGGTCGCTATGGGAACGTGCATGAGCACGAGTGGGGAGGAATCGGAGCAAAGGAAGAGGAGTAACAAGATTGACAGGGAACTGGAGGAGGACTCCAGAAAGCTGCGGCGAGAATGCAAGATTCTACTGCTCGGTACGTCGCCTTTCCTATTTTCGGGTATCTCTACGTTCCAACGATGCATGTTGACTCCGGTTGCTCCTATCATGCACAGGCTCCGGCGAGAGCGGAAAATCGACAATCGTCAAGCAGATGAAGATTATCCACTTGAAGGGTTATTCCCCAGAAGAGCTCGCGAGTTACCGCCCAACCGTGTACAAGAATCTCTTGGAATGTGCCAAGGCAGTCGTTGGCGCGATGCGCCAATTCGAAATCGATCCTGTGCTGGACGAGAACAGGGCGTATTGCGATTTTATCTATGACTATTCCCTCGACACCAACCCGCACGCAAAGATTGATCCGAAAGTGGGCGTTGCAGCTCAGTCCATCTGGAATGACCCTGCCAAAGAGCGGCTGATGGAGAGGCAAACAGAGTTCTACCTGATGGACTCTGCCGAATAGTCGGTTACCCTGAGATCTCGGCTCCTCAAGGGCTCACGGGCTGACCTTTTTGCAGCTTCTTCCAGGAAGCTATGAGGATAGTGGCGCCTAACTACCTCCCTGTAGAAATGGATGTACTGCGGGCGAGAACGAAGACCACTGGAATTTACGAGACAAGATTCAAGATGGGTGCATTGAGCATTCAGTGAGTGCCAACCCATCTTTTGGAGGAGACACTATTGAACCAAGCTCACATTCGCTGCAGTATGTTTGATGTGGGCGGACAGAGAAGTGAGCGCAAGAAGTGGATCCACTGCTTCGAGAACGTTACTTCCATTATATTCTGCGTTGCTTTGAGCGAATACGATCAAGTATTGCTTGAAGAGAGCAGCCAGGTATGCCTGCTCATTGTGTGCTCCATATTCTCACCAGTGCTAATATCCGCTATAGAACCGGATGATGGAGAGTCTGTTGCTCTTTGACTCAGTCGTCAACTCGAGGTGGTTCATGAGGACAAGTATCATTCTGTTCCTCAACAAGGTGGACATCTTCAAACAGAAACTGGGTCGGTCGCCGTTAGGCAATTACTTCCCAGACTATTCAGGCGGGAACGACGTCAACAAGGCAGCCAAGTACCTACTTTGGAGATTTAACCAGGTCAACCGGGCTCATCTCAATCTCTATCCTCAGTAAGCCGAACCCGTGCCGTCTAAGGTCCATCCGCTTACTTGCTTGATAGCCTGACGCAAGCCACCGATACCTCCAACATTCGCCTGGTCTTTGCCGCAGTAAAAGAGACGATTCTCAACAATGCTCTCAAGGACTCGGGCATTCTGTGACGACCAGGCTTCTCGTTGAATCCCTCAATACCCCATAACAATTACGGGGTCTTTCATTTATAAGATTAGAGCGAGCCATTCTGGATCGCTACTCATGCATGACAGGGCGTTGGTTTACTTTTTCACCTTTGTTTACACCAGGGACAGGCAACCCCTTGGCGGCTGATGATTTCGCTCAATTGCTGTGCGTTTTTTGCATTTACGAGTTTGTCGGAATAGTGCGTCGGCTGCTTGCTGGTTTTTGAATGGAGCTCGCAGGGCGGAATCGGGTCTAATCTGAGCGTCACGATGGGCGGGAAAGCATGGGGCAGGCTACCCAGTATGCGCCTGAGGCGAGAGGACTTATTCACGGGTTATCGAGGACAATGGATCCTCTAAGTTAGAGCGACGGCATAGTGTTTTTTTGGCATATTGCCCCAATAGGGCCCGAGACTTGCAGTATCTTTCCTGCATGGGTTGCGGGAATTCAATGGTTCATGCCATAATAAGCATGCCATGTTGGATGTGAGAAAGAAGCTACAGTCGAGGGGTTCAAAATTGTAAGCAACGAGACTCGTGTCGTGCGTTCCTTGACAAGTAACATTCTACTCGACTCCAATGTGAGATCAACAGTGATCGACCCGTCGTCGTGTCGAAGCCTCCGCGATGTAGATAGGTTAGATATACCTACCTCGGGCACCTCTCTCAAATCCCAACTTTTCATGTATTGCTGGCTTGCTACCTTTTGAACATAGCAGGTGACAGTGTGCCCGTTTCGGACTGGCTGCAGCATGATAGGAGATACATCTCCGAGCCAGTCGAGCGCCCCCCTCATGATGCAATATCCCTATGCGTTGTACGGACATGGTGGAGTGACCTTGTGCGAGGGCCTGTATTCCATAGGCAGCCGCGCGATTTGAAACCTTCCGACTCTTCGACACGCCGCAATATCGGTGGCGGTAGAAGGCTTTGCCGCTAAGACTCACCAGTTTGATGGCTATGTCCCCTTCGAAGTGGATGTTTCGACCGCATCGATCGAAGCTGGAGGTTGCGAGGGGTAAATTCTTGCCCACCCGAACCGTTGGCCCCGCATCCGACACTCAAATCTCTGGTCGCATCTTCGCTCGGCAGGAGCGTTGCAAAGACCAATTGAATCTTACAGGCGAGTGAGTGAAGGAACTCACAGCCAGGCTTTGCGACATGCATATGCAGATGATATGGGCCCAATCATGACTGCCGGAAGCTGAGCAAGCAGGCAAGAGCGAGGTCGGGTATTGTCGTTTTAGAAGCTACGGACAGGGGTTGTTTCTTGCCATCGACAGCACCACAGCGGGCAAGGTGCCTTCCGCAGGATTCCAGACATGTTGGTGAGTCTGGTCTCCAAGATTCGATAGAGATTTGGGCCTGTTTATATGGCAAGCCCTCTTCCAGTTCATCATTTGTCTCATTTCTCATTCACTGAAGCTGGTTTTGCTGGTTTACCTTTCGTTAGGTAGCCCAGGCCCTCGCACGCTATTGCGGCACTAGCGTTCCGTTCGTCAATAACCAGCCTGAGTGGTTGTACAGTACTGTATGTATTGTATTGTCCATACATACATACGTATGCCCTCTCCTGGCTTCCATTGTTTACTCGAGGCCCGATCTTCTCAACCCTTCCCTTATTGCTCCCCCTATATAACTAGGGAAATTGTTTTGTGGCGACCGCACAGCTACACGGCAGCCGGTCACAGCAGGTTCTTATCAGCGCCTAGCGAGGTAGGTAGCCTGAAAGTGGTGACGGGAGCTACCCCACCCAGGACTGAGCTAATGGTATAGTCACCTCGACCAGCTGCCTCTCTTCCTCCTCTTCTTCTTTCCTCTTATAGTTGTCTAGAATTCCTAGATATCATCCCTAGGGAGCTCGAATCGAGGCGATTGCACCTCCCGTCATGGCGACCGACCGAATCCCAACCCGAGAACGCCGGCCCTCTGTTGGTGCTCCGATCGTGGACATCCAGGGTTCGGTGGTCCCCGCAGGCATCTCGCGGCCGAAACACAAACGCACCTTTACTGGTTTCGGTGCCGGAGAGATCAAAAGCGTTGAAGGTGATATATACCCGTTTCTATCTCCTTATTTAGTTGAGAGCTTGTTATCAGCCCTGTTGCCGTGAACATGAACATATTCTCTGCAGCTAGCTCCCCACTTGACGTTATAGCTCCTCCCCAATCGCATTTCAGTACTGTACTGCGGGGTCACCAATCCCTACGAAGCTGCGGCTAACGGATTTCTCTCTACTTAGCTTCCATCCCTGAACCGCAGCGTGAGGCCTGGTTGAAACATCAGGTAAGCGGCTTCCAAGACAAGGATGGCTTCGAGCGCGAAGTGGTCCGCCACGTCGAGACCACTTTGGCTCGCAGCATGTTCAATTGCGACGAGTCGGCGGCGTACGCGGCTTGCAGCTTAGCCTTCCGGGACCGTTTGATCCTCGAGTGGAACCGCACGCAACAGCGCCAGACGTTTGCCGACAGCAAGCGTGTATACTACCTGAGCTTAGAGTTCCTCATGGGCAGAGCTCTCGACAATGCTATGCTGAACATTGGCCAAAAGGACACGGCAAAAGCAGGCCTTGCCGATCTTGGTTTCCGGATTGAGGACGTTATTGAGCAGGAGCACGATGCCGCCCTGGGTAACGGCGGCCTGGGCCGTCTAGCCGCTTGCTTTCTCGACAGTCTTGCCAGCCTGAACTACCCGGCCTGGGGATACGGCTTGCGGTATCGCTATGGCATCTTCAAGCAGGAGATCATCGATGGCTACCAGGTCGAAGTACCTGACTACTGGCTCGACTTTAACCCCTGGGAATTCCCCAGACACGATGTCACTGTGGATGTGAGTATACGAGGAGGATATAGCACATGGCTTCACTGACAGTTGCCCAGATCCAATTCTATGGCCACGTCCGCAAATCAATCGATGCCTCAGGCAAGACCATTGCTCACTGGGAAGGCGGCGAGATGGTCAAGGCTGTCGCCTTCGACGTGCCCATTCCAGGATATGGTACGCCATCCACCAACAACCTGAGGCTGTGGTCCAGCAAGGCGGCGAGCGGGGAGTTTGATTTCCAAAAATTCAACAGCGGAGACTATGAGAGTTCGGTGGCGGACCAGCAGCGCGCTGAAACCATCAGCGCTGTGCTCTACCCGAACGATAACCTAGATCGGGGAAAGGAGCTTCGACTGAAGCAACAGTATTTCTGGGTCGCCGCCTCTCTGTACGATATTGTCCGCCGCTTCAAGAAATCAAAGCGGCCCTGGAAAGAGTTTCCCGACCAAGTGGCTATCCAGCTAAACGACACTCACCCGACGCTGGCGATCGTTGAGCTTCAGCGGATCTTGATTGATCTCGAGGGCCTTGAATGGGATGAGGCGTGGAACATTGTGACCAACACCTTCGGCTACACCAACCATACCGTACTCCCAGAAGCCCTCGAGAAGTGGTCTGTCCCACTGATTCAGCATCTGCTTCCGCGGCACCTTCAGATCATCTACGACATCAACCTCTTCTTCCTGCAAAGCGTGGAGCGCGCGTTCCCGAACGACCGAGATCTCTTGCGGCGCGTCTCAATCATTGAGGAGTCGCAGCCGAAAATGGTTCGCATGGCTTTCCTGGCCATTGTTGGCTCCCACAAGGTGAACGGTGTCGCTGAGCTGCACTCTGACCTCATCAAGACAACCATTTTCAAAGACTTTGTCGAGATCTTCGGCCCCGACAAGTTCACCAACGTGACCAATGGCATTACGCCGCGGCGCTGGCTCCACCAAGCCAACCCTCGCCTGTCCGAGTTGATTGCGAGCAAGACGGGCGGCAAGGACTTCTTAACTGACTTGACGGTTCTCAATAAGCTTGAACTTTATGTCGACGATCCGGAGTTCCGCAAAGAGTGGGCCGAGATCAAGCACGCGAACAAGGTGCGACTCGCCAAGCACATTGAGGCTACCACTGGGGTCAAGGTCAACCCATCTGCGCTTTTCGACATACAGGTTAAACGCATACACGAGTATAAGCGCCAACAAATGAACATCTTTGGTGCTATTCATCGCTATCTCACCCTCAAGGCCATGACTCCCGAGGAACGGCAGAAGCAGCAGCCAAGGGTTTCTATCTTTGGCGGCAAGGCTGCTCCTGGCTACTGGATGGCCAAGCAGATTATTCACTTGATCAACAGCGTGGGCTCTGTAGTCAATAACGACAAGGATATCGGTGACCTTCTCAAGGTGGTGTTCATCGAGGACTACAACGTGAGCAAGGCCGAAATCATTATCCCGGCTTCGGACATTAGCGAGCACATCTCGACCGCTGGCACCGAGTTAGTGTTGACAAACTCTACTGTCTTTGAACTTGAAGCTGACATTTACTAGGGCGTCTGGAACCAGCAACATGAAGTTTGTACTCAACGGCGGGCTGATCATTGGGACTTGCGACGGCGCCAACGTGAGCCTGAACCCTACAAAGCCGTCGAGACTCTACTAACTTCATTGACAGATCGAAATCACACGCGAAATCGGCGAGAACAATATCTTCCTCTTCGGCAACCTGGCCGAGGATGTTGAAGACCTGCGGCACGCGCACACGTACGGGTCACACACCGTCGACCCGGACCTTGCCCGCGTGTTTGAAGAGATCGAGAAGGGCACATTTGGTAACCCCCAGGACTTTGCGGGCATGATCTCGGCAGTGCGCGAGCATGGCGACTACTACCTCGTGTCGGACGACTTCCACAGCTATCTGGAGACGCATGCGCTCGTCGACGAGGCGTACCGCAACCAGGAGGAGTGGATCACCAAGTGCATCACCAGCGTGGCACGTATGGGCTTCTTCAGCTCGGACCGGTGCATCAATGAATACGCGGAGGGGATCTGGAACATTGAGCCGCTGAAGGTGGACTAACCTGCCCATGCTGATGCATCGTAAGTGCGAGCTCGGGTTCACTGGAGGGACGGGCCGCCGCTAGCTTGGGCTGTTCTGCTCGTTAGGCGTCGTTGGATTATTGAGTCGATGGATAGCAGGGCCAGGAGAATGATAATAATGCATTGTCTCTTGCAACATGTACAAGTTCACTGCCAGCCACAGTAATCATTGGGCGTGAGCGTCTTGCAGAGACCTGGGGTAACTAAGGTACCTAAGATTGAGCAGGGCCAGCGAGGTTGCAGGGCTATCTTCCGCACTAGCATCGAGAACAGCAACCGCTTAGACAAGGCCGCTGCCGATACTATCAGCACATCCAACAGAAGGATAACGTTAAGAGGCGAAGGGGAAAAATGCTGTCATCGCAATAAGACAAAACAGGGTATTCTGAATAAGACGTTAGTTTCGCAGTTGTATACCCGTAGTGCATGTACTTGCTCACACCAAGTTCGGCCGATATTTCTGAGCGTTTGAAGCTCACTAGCCCGTATGACGTCACTAGCGTGACAGTTGAGCATGGCTCTTACGCCTGCCGTCCTCGGCAATGGCTAGCGGGAAAAACTCCACAATGAGTTGTGAAAGCTTGGGCTGTGGCTAATGCACCTACAATACATTAGGTGCACACTACCTAGCTAAGTACGCCTGCGGCTGACTGGCTGCCTTTGGCGTCATCTTTCGCAATTGACGGTGCCGGATGGAAGATACGGTACAGATGGAATGTAGCGGATAGTTGTGTCTCTTTGTTAAGGTACTGTAGGAGTCTTGAAGAGAGTTACGGAGGCAAGGCAGCGTGGTATGTGGGACAGATGGGAATGCCTATCATTGTCAATGAAAATGTTTCACCTTCAGATGATTGAGAACGATCTACATCCATATCCTCAAAAACATTTCTATCATTTCTATAGTGTATTCTCCTGGGAAGTCGGTTAACCATAGCTTTAGTACCCCTTAAATGGCTCGGGAGGCGAGAAGCTTATTTCTCTTTGTTGAGTGATCTGATTTACCCATCCGGCCCATACACTAGGGATTTGCCCCCGTTCTGTCGGTCCCCCTGATGATCAATACTGGTCTGGCCTCAAAGAGTTTCGTGCGCTTCCACTTGCAACGGATACGGAGTATGTACAGTCGTGTATATATGAGACGGGCGATGGAGTTTATCAAGAACCATCCACATATAAATCGGGCTTTCAGTCGCAGTGGCTGCCTTACGGAGCTTACTTATGGCAAATGCCCCCACCTCACCAACGACAAAGACACCTCTTACCAGTTACCACAACACTTCAATCCACACATTACAACTACAACGGCGACTGCGACGACGTCCGTAGATAACCCTAACCCTGGGCGCTGTCTGGGCCTATATGATCTGAGTACGGAGTACAGACAAATAACTTAGAATGCCGTACTAGTGCATACACTACGTACGGAGTAATTCTCTAGGTGTATGTACATCGGTAATGGCAGCCTACTCACAGTCAGGCTCGTTTAGGGATAAGACGCGGCATATGCTTGAACCCTAATGTGCTATGATGGGCAAGATCAGACCGCTCGAGTCCCATCCGGAGAGTCTGTTCCGTATAGAAGTGCCTGTGACGAGTCCCAATAAACTCGGGGAATCTTAGCAGAGGTGTTGAATTCGAATTGAATTGATCATGCAGTGATGCCGCAAAGCACGGCTCCCACCGGTCTCGGCTGGGTGCATACACTACAAGACCACTCTTCAGATTGGTCGCGGAGTCTGTGCTGTGAGTGCAGGAGTGGGAGTCGGGGGATTGGCTTCTCCTGTTGCGGTCGACAAGGGTCTTCTGCCCCACTTTTGACCACCTACGTCATCGCGCGTTTAGCGTGACAAGCCCCTCTTCGATAAGTTGTGCAGCGAAGCTTCCAGGGGTGCTCTTCAGGCCTTATCCACCTCTTCAAAGCAGGAATCGAAAGCGAGTTGGGCATGTACACTATATACCTTAGGGGAAGGAAAGCATAGGGTTTAGCCACGCTCATGATGCTGTGCAAAAACAGTCACTCCGTTGAGGATTAAGGTACACTACACTATACTATGGCCGATGCAAGTGGGGTTCAGGTAAAGACTGAGGTGAGACTTACCTCCACTGTAGTGTACAAGTACCTCCCTAGCTGCTGACAGCCGCAATACCGCCGGCCAAGGTACGCCAGTCCAACGTACGTTTTAGCGTAGGTCAGGTAGTCTAGCGTACCGTAGGTAGCTCTCGAGGCACTGGGAGCCCAGAGACGCGAAAACGGGAGTGCCATGGAATTTGGGCGACTTTCTGATATCCTGTTCTCTGCACGCCCCCCCGCGTCGCATCCTGGACCCCATGCCACCAGCCGCACCATCCCAGGTCGAGGTACTCCGTAGCTTCGCTAAATTACTTGATCTCCCGCTCCGTCCTCACATCTATAATATTTTTCTGCTCCTGTAGGTTTTAACCCTTTTGCCCTTCCCCGCTCCACGCTCTTCAGCTCAGCGAAAAGCAGAGAGGCACCCTAACACCAGCATTCAACTATCGACTTCAAGATACGCAAGGTAAGTCCTCTTACCAAGAGAAGGCTCAGGAATGCTGCAAGCGCGAGGTGGCGTGTTTCTGACCACTGCGAGTGTTTGGATCGGCGTCACAGTCGAATCGAAACACAAAGCACCACAAAGGTGAAGAGTGATTTCGGCGGCGTCAATTCACCGCACAAGGTTTCGACGAGGGAGTTTGGATCTCAACTTCTCCGCCGGCCGAAACGCAACCGGGAATTAGCTGGTCCCGATTATAAAATCCTGCGGACACAGACGGGTCCGCACCCGAGAGGGAACTTCTCGCCTCGCAAAGCCCATAATACTGCGGGTAAGTGTAGTGGGCTTAAATCCTGGCAAATGCACCCATAACAAAAGTCCCCATTTACACCTCGACGCAACCCGAACTGATATATGTGCTATAGTTGGCCTTGTCACCCTCTGCATTCGGTCCTGGAGCTTTGCACCTCTCGCTGCTCTAGCCTCAATCCTTATCGCCCACTCAGGTTTGCGCACAAAGCGAGTCGCAGAAGCCACAAATCTGCCATCACCAGTCTCGAATTGGTTTGTCGGTCTCACGTTCGACGCAATCGCCTATCGCCAAGAGACGCACTCAACGAGTTACCTAACCATCCTGCTCTGGCTTCACCCACCCCGGAACCTTGACAACAACCCCGCCTTTGCGGGCCTCGTTCGATCGCCATAGCCCGCTTCTCAACTACAAACAAGCAACACAATGGCTGAATTTGTCCGCGCCCAAATTTTTGGGACCACCTTCGAGATTACCTCGAGGTATTCTGACCTGCAGCCGGTTGGCATGGGAGCTTTTGGCCTGGTCTGGTATGGTTGACTTCCCCTGGGCGGTATCTGTTTGCGTGGGGCCTAATGATTCACGACTTGCAGCTCCGCCAAAGATCAACTCACCAACCAGAATGTTGCCATCAAAAAGATCATGAAGCCTTTCAGCACCCCGGTGCTCGCCAAGAGAACTTATCGAGAGCTGAAGCTGCTCAAGCATTTGAAGCACGAGAATGTTGGTTTTCAGTCCTGGGCGCCGAGAAAGTCGGGTAACAACAACTAACAATGCCTTCCTGCAGGTTATCTCGCTCAGCGATATCTTCATCTCGCCCCTGGAGGATATGTAGGTGGCGCGCGCAAACTGCCAACCACCCTGGCTGACACTCTGGCGCCAGCTATTTCGTCACGGAGCTCCTGGGAACCGACCTTCACAGGCTTCTCACGTCTAGGCCGCTTGAGAAGCAGTTCATCCAGTACTTCCTCTACCAAATTATGGTGCGTTCCCGTTGTTTGGAAGGGGCACCTTCATACCCGAGCTGACCTTGCTTTAGCGAGGCCTCAAATATGTCCACTCTGCTGGTGTCGTTCATCGAGACCTGAAACCCAGCAACATTCTGGTCAACGAGAACTGCGACCTGAAGATTTGCGACTTTGGCCTGGCGCGCATTCAGGATCCCCAGATGACGGGCTACGTGTCAACACGCTACTACCGTGCCCCAGAGATTATGCTTACATGGCAAAAGTACGACGTTGAAGTCGATATCTGGAGCGCGGGCTGCATCTTCGCCGAAATGCTCGAGGGCAAGCCACTGTTCCCCGGAAAGGACCACGTCAACCAGTTTTCCATCATCACGGAGCTCCTGGGGACGCCACCTGATGACGTTATCAACACCATTGCTAGTGAGAATACGTTGAGATTCGTCAGGTCCCTTCCGAAACGCGAGCGGCAACCGCTCAAGAACAAGTTCAGGAATGCCGATCCTCCAGGTGTGTTTATGCTGGGCACCTTCTATTCAAGCGGGTGCTAACCTTGCCGCCTAGCAATTGACCTCTTGGAGCGGATGCTGGTCTTTGACCCGAAGAAGCGGATAACAGCAGCCGAGGCGCTGGCGCATGAGTATCTGGCGCCGTACCACGATCCGACCGATGAGCCGGTGGCAGAAGAGAAATTCGATTGGAGTTTCAACGATGCCGATTTGCCTGTGGACACATGGAAGATCATGATGTGAGTTCTCCAATGCCAACGCTTTGCCCTGGTCCTTGGCTGACCAGGCCTGTAACGGAACAGGTACACGGAGATACTTGATTACCACAACGCTGAGGCTGGTGTCGCGGCACACCAGCTCGACGAGGGGCAGTATGGCATGGCCCAATGAGACTCGAGGAGGAATGACAGTCGTCATGATTCCGTCTGTTTTAAGTCACTGGGCGTTCGGAAGGGAAACGGAAGAACGAGCTGGCATTTCTTGGTTGTTGGCGGCCGAACAGACAAGACCAAAACATGTTCGGGTGGTATAAATTCCCAGCAGGAGGGTTGGGTTTTTTGGAAGTGCGAGGCACAATAAGTAGAGCGCTGCTTTTGGTTGTCCTGGATGGGAGAGGAGAATCCGGAGTCAGTCCTCAAAACCACTGAGTGTCAGGTGCCAGTGATACTAACGGGGCGAATTGACGATGGGATCATGGACAGAGTGAATGGTCGGCCTGACACGTGAGAACGGGTAGACAGGTTTGGGTTGTCTTGAATTAGAATGGCTGTTGTCCCAGCGTGTCCACCTTTGCCATCCCGGGCACGATCAAGTTCGCTGGGCGGTTGGAGGCCGAAGACGCATATGTTTTTATCTGGTGGCTCGATATGGATGTAATGTGTAAATCGTCAGATGTTGTCTTCTGGTGGTTTGTTATTTACAATTGTATTTCCGTATTTGCCCTTTTAGACTGTTGGACAAACGAGATGCTGCCCATCATGCTGGGGAGGGAATTCACGCTAGTTCAAGGGAATAATCACCCTTTCCAATGCCATTCTAAACAGCGTCTCCGATCTGGGCTTGTATCTGCAAGTTGTCGAAGCTCTTTTCCTGGGAGACAATACCGTACGTGCCGTTCACCACTGCCCTATCGTGTATCCTGATTTTTTCCGTTCAGGCTAGCCATGACCATGCATTGATCGCACTCTCCAGCGAGATTATACAGTACTGTACTTGGAATTGCCACGCAGGATATTTCTCGAGGGTGTTCTCCTGTGCGCCGCTTTGCGCCAACTTGCGCTGCACGCCACGCTGGCATGCTGAGACGACCGGTAGGTACTGGCTGGAGTCTGGGTTGCATGCTGTTTTAGCTGTTGGCCTGTTGCTGGCGTATGTACTGCCTTTGCGGGTGTCACCTGTGGCCTAGCCGCCTGGGTAGGTTTCGAGGAACCCTGCCTTTGCACGTGATATCGCGGGGCATTGTCTCCATTTTTAGCCTTCGATTGCCAAGGGTCCAATTGGATTCCACCACAGCACATTGAGCTTCTTCCGGTGTTTCCCACACGTCACTCAGCCCACTCAGGAAATCCACAACCCTGTGGCCTGGGCCAGCCGGCCACTCCCTACTGACCGCCTCCGCCGACGAGACATACTACCAAACATTGTCGCTTAAAACAGTGGCGGTTAAGTCTTCGGGTGGTGTGCGTCCGAACTTTGGTCGGCCACATTTTAGTCTTTTGCAGATCCCACTCCCTGCAGTAGGAATTGGTCTTCCTCCCTGGGCACAGTAGTGGGCAGTCGACCGCTGGGTAGGATTCCAACATCTGCAGTTGGATTTTTGACCTTCAACCGTCTAGAGAAACAGCATCATCCCGCGTCTAAACGGACTCGAGAAGGCAAACAAAGAACCAATCTGGTCCTCCCCACCAGCTCGAGGGACTGAACTCAACCAATCTTCATGGCAACAATTATATAAAAGACCTGTCTTTGAGAGGCGTACATCTACAAAGGGACGAGCCCCCTCGCGCGACCATGACGACGCCTGCGCCAACGGCGGACAAGACCGCCAAGCAAGGCTTTATCCCGCTGGTCTCGGTTGTCGATTTCCATCATGCGCGTGGCCCCGAGGTGGAAAGATGGTTCGGTGTTGAGGAGGGCCGGGATCCGGCTGCCGAGTATGACTGGACACTACTGCCCTTCATGGCGTTGAGTGATGGTGCACATGCGTATGTTACCGCCAATTCCACTACGCTCTGGTGAGTTTGCTAATAGACCTTGTAACCTCCAGCTTGACTGAGGACTTTTCGTACTTCACACTGCTGCGCCCCGCCACAGACGCGGGCCCTGCAACATCTCTCTTTGGCATATCGTGCACAAGACAGATGGACGCTGCGCAGTTGCTTGTGAGACCCGCCGATGTCACCCGATCAACCGTCCAGAAGGCCGTTGTGGTCATTGCGGACAGCCCGCAGTACTTTGGCATGCTCCGGGAGCGCCTGAGCGTTGTGACCAAGGCCTGGTTTGCCCAGCGCGAGTTCACTGACACTGAGATTCTGCGCCGCTTCCAGGAGAGCCTAGCTGACGAGAAAGAGCGGGGCATGATGGACGAGGACGAGGATAGGGACCAATATTTGGGGCTGAATCTCAGGGAGTTGGTGCGCGAGTTCAGATGGCAGACGCTGGTTTTGCTCAAGTGCTGCTTATTACAACCCAAGGTAAAATCACCCTCATGAATTTTCAACAAGGGCTACTTGCGTGCTGATATTGGTTCTTCTTGTAGATGCTCTTCTTCGGCACGCGGTGCGAGCGGCTTTGTCTCACCCAGTTTTCCCTCATCTCCTTGATCCCGGGACTTCTCCGCAACCTGCAGGACTCTGCCGGGCCGGAGCTGGACAGTTACGAGAAGGGTCTCTCACAGGCCACAAGCTTGAGGACTAGTGACCGGAACTCTCTGCTCTCGTATATGGGTTTGCCCCTGCAAATATTCGGCAAGGTATGAACGTGAAATCAAAGCTGTCGTTACCGCCTTTGATTCCTGTAGCGAAAACCACGCGCGGGTGCTCACTAAACCTTTGCAGGGTAGCTTGTTGGGCCCTTACACTCCTCTTCAGCAATTAGACATCCTCGCTGATTACGGCACCAAATCGTACGTTGTTGGCAGCACGAACTCTCTCCTTTTGCAGCAAAAGGATCGGTATAGCGACATCTTGATCAACCTTGATGAGGGGACTATCAATATCACGTCTCCATCCTTAAAAGCCGCCCTACAGCTCTCCACCCCTGACCGTCGCTGGATAGATTTCATCACCCAAAACGTAAACGACACCTGGGACGATGCAAATCCCAGCCGGCCCAAGACCATGGGCTATGTCGGCAGCGAGGAGTTCATCCGCGTACAGTTCGAGGAGTACCTCCTTGCGCTCATATCATCCGTCAAATACCATAACCATTTAGCAAAGTATGCGAATAACCCTAGGATGCTACTCCCCGAGGTCGATGGGGACCCGTCGGTCGACTTCGGCCAAGACTTCATCGAAGCGTGGTCCCGGACGGAGAATTACCGCATTTGGAATACTCATACGGACTCGCACCTTTTTGACATTGTGGAACCGAAACACCCCTGCGCCGGCGGCCTCACGATAGAGGACATCCAGCGCCGCATTACCCAGCAGGTACAGGATCTGCACTGGGATGAGCGCTTCGCACAGGGCAGGGAGGTGCTCGGTCGCAACTTAGCTGCCGGCCGAGAGAAGGCTAGCACCTTGTTCAATAAGTTATACGCAGACATGGAGGCCCTGCGAGAGGCGCAGAGGAAGCGCGCGGAAGAAGCCAGGGCACAACAGGCGGCCACAGGGGCGCAGAATGAGAAAACTGACAGTAGCGGCGCCCAAGGCGCACAGCAGGCAGCGCAGACCATGAGCAGCAGAGCCGGGGCGTTTGTGAACAGCTGGGCCGCCTGGGCGGGAGAGAAGCGGAGGGCTGCCGGTTGGGGTCGGCCTTCTGGGAACACGGACAACAGCAGCACCGCCGGCGGAAGAGGTGGCTGGGGAGGTAGTTGGGGCCGATCCAACAAGAACCGGGCATCGCTCATAAGCGGGGGCTCCGGCTCTGACGCCGGGTCAGATCAGGAACCGCGAAAATCAGCGTCTTCGGCCGTCACAAGAGGGACAGATGAGTCCGATCGGACGGCCGCAGAAAGACTTATTAATGGGCCCAGGGGTTCCATCAGCGGCGAGTCCATGTTGGGCTCGGACAGCGCCGCGTCATCGCGGCCATTGTCGCGGGAGAGCATTACTGAAATGCCTGCTATTGATACTGTCGCCTCTGCAGGGGGGAACGATATGGACGGAAGAGCCCTGCTCAATGGAAATAGGGCTGTCCCAGGTACCACAGACAAGGGGTCAGGGCAGGAGAACGTGCTTGAACCTGTCTCAGCGGATAGGGGCGCGGTAGGGGACACGAAACCGGGCCCATCTTCACCCTGAACTATGCCACCCACATCTTGCGGCTACCACTAACGCTGCTTGGGGGGATGTAGCTGGGGGAAGGAAGTGAGATGGGTCGGATGGATCTGCTAATTGCCGCAGCGGCATTGGTATGTTGAATACACAGCGTGGGAGTATACGGGCAGATGTACACCGGATGAAAGTAATGACGTGAATGTACAAAGGAAAGCTACGGAGTAACGCTGTAAAAGGGGATCTGGATCGCTGATGGTTACTGTGGTGAATAAATCCCAGGAAATCGCATCAACGCCTGTAATAAATATCGGTCAGTTTACTTGGACTATGCATTACTGGGAGACAGATCACTGGAAGACAGAAGTGTAAAGTAAGAAACATGATCCCGCGGCATCGCGCCAAGCAGAGCAACTTCATAGCACAAGACTCGTGAGTCGCTCCTCGACCAGTTCAGACCCTACTTGAGGATAAACATATACACCCATTGGCAGTCCTTCGTCCCTCAGAACAACAAGTCCCTCGTTTTCCTTCACCGTCTGAAATATGGGACAGAGGCGGCACAAACTACCCAGGTATTTCTCCCACTCTGCGAAGGCAACGCTATCAATATAGCTCAAGTTATCTGATGCATAATCCATGACGGAAGAAACCAGGAAAGAGTTGCAGTAGGCAGGCCAGCGCCCTCAATAGCCGATCGATCCTAGCTACCTTAGTCCGCTCTCTTCAAGGCTGCCTGCGGGCTGTTTTCTTTCTCCTCCCCAGAGCGACACTTCTATGCTCCATACTAGTAGCATGTAGGTGCATCGTACCCGCGTCCATCTCTGCTATCCCCAAGTCGGTGACTACCACATGCGCGTGACACCTCCTGATTCAATACCTACCTTCTGCCTCCTGACCTGACCGCTGCGACTGGAGGTAAAGTGCCAACATAGTAATACCGTGACAGAAACGGAGGATGAAATCCTAGACCAGAAGCAGATGGGAACGACAAAGGCGCCGTCTCTAATCATTATGCCAAACAATCGCTGGGGCCTACCTGGCCTGCCTAGTTCTGGCCCTTTTTTAAGAGGCAATAATAGTACAATCCGGAACACCCACAACCATATGTGTCTCGGCGCGCCGGTATTCTAAGAAACCTCGGGAGTGCAACGGCATCCCAGAATTATACAAGCCGCCGCCAATCCCGCTTGAAGCCCCTGGCTATTTTCACCCAGCCGATTCCTACCGCACTCGAAGGGATCGGAAGCCGAGAGCCGCTCCAACTTTCTTCTAACTTGCTCCGTTTGATACTTTTTGCCGATTACTCACTCGCATCGTATTGTGCACATATTCAAGCACACACGCCGACATCGACATCCATATCCGTGTTCTCCCCAGCGCCAGGGATCACGCCATCGGGCCCCTCACCCTGGATGACCTTGCCGCCTTCGTAGGTGACGCGCCGCCAGCCACACTCCACGGTGGGATCCTTGATGAAGTCCATGGTCGGGAAGTAGTGCTCATTCTTCTTCATGGTTGCCACCCACGGCACGCTGTCAAAGGTCATGGCGCGAAGGCGGAAGTCTGTGCCAGTGGTCAGAACGACAGAAATCTCACGAGAGGCAGAATAGTAAACAGAAACACCTACATGTGTTGTCGGGGATCTTGATCACAGCAGCGAGGAACGACTCGAGGTCGGGCGTGGGCTTGCCGTTGACATGCGTGATGAAGTTTGTGGGCGCGAGACCATACTGGTAGGCGGGCGAGCCGCGGGTCCTGGCTGACACGTACACCTCACTAAACAATTTGCTGATTTGCTGACGGACGGCGTGGTGAGGACGGTGGAGAATGGCGCCACAGAACGAGATAGCGCGATCCGTCTCAACGTCGTCGGCAGCCACGGTGGGCAACTTGAGGTGCAATTCCTGGCAGTCGCGCACGATAACAGCGTCGAGCACCTCGTGCGAGTACATTACGTCCAGGTCTGAAATCTTGGTAATGATCTTGCCATTCAGTGTGAGAAGCACGTCGCCCTCGAGGAGAGCGCCGCCTTCCTGCTCATTTCTCTCAAAAGTGCGCTTTGTCACCATGAAGAGCTGGTGATGAGCCGTGTTGGCCAGCGAGACCTGGTGTATCCACTCCTCGGACACGCCCATGAGCCGAGCCTGCGACATTTGGATCGCGCGGAACTCGACAGACAGCATGCGCAGCTTGGGTACTATACCCTGCTGGATCTGCTTCACCACCGGCAGCAACGTCGGGGTAGCTAGGCCGAGGTGGTACTCCTCATCCCTGTGGGTGGAGGGATTCCGCTCGCCGAGGTACGTGAGCCATAGTGCCTGGACAGTGCCGTCCTGAGCGACGAGGACACCGCTCCCGCACTGCCCGCTGAGGCTCGTGTCCACGGTGATCGCATCGACGTTGACGGCGCGGTATCTGGGGGCTCCTGAATTCGCGGGTATGGTGACGGCGAAGATCTCGGTTACCGTTGTCGCAGCATGGACGATGCGCCCGATCCTGTTGTAACCGATAAAGTAGGTCGACGCACCTTGGGTGATCTCCTCAGTGCTCAGCTTGGCGCTAAGGACGGGTGCATCGACAAGTTTCGGGTCGTACTGGATGATGGCGTAGTTCTGCAGCGGGTGGAGGAACACAACCTTGCCCTCGACAACGATGGAATCGGCGATAGTGATGCTGATGTCGCACAGATCATACGGGACAATGGCTCTCGATATTACCACGAGACCCTTGTCGGCGTCAATGACCAGCCCCATGCCCCACTTCCGGTTCTTGGGGAACCCGTCCAGCTTCATCGGCATCGTGCAGTTGACGTGGACAAAGCTCCGCACCAGATCGGCAACGGCGGGATGCGAAGTGTGTTCAAGTTGGATGAATGCTGCCTTACGAGGCACGGGAGGGACCGGCGGAAGCGGGTCGGCGAGGTTAGAGAAGTCCCACAGCCCGGTCTCATCGTTCCTGACCGCCAGCTTCATCTTACTAGACCAGTGTCTATCCACATAGATGATGGTCGTGTTCAGCGTGTGCAGATCGCGCAGGTGCTTGTACGTGACCACGATCCGGGCCTTGTCCGGAATGTTTTTTACCACGTCGATAAACGTCTCGAGATCCGGGGTCTTTTTGTGGTCGACGGACTGGATCAGCCACCCATTATCCGAATTGTCGAACCGCCATGAGCCACCGGCCTCGCAGACGTACACGCCTTTACAAGCCACGCCGTACAGTCGTGCTTGCTGGTACGAGAGACTGTGGAAACTGCCGCCGGCAACTGATACAAAGCGGTCCGGCGTGATCTTGTGCAGGTCGCCGACCTCGATTTCGACCTCGATGGGCTCGCCGCCGCGAAGAAGCAGCAGCTTGACTGGCTTGCCAACACTCGAGTCAAGAATCTCATCCAACCGAATAAACTGAGTAAGCAGCTCGTCATTCACCTTGATCAAGACATCCCCTTCCTCGATCTTGTGGTGAGATGGACCTTCCGGAAGTACAATCTCGGCAACCAGCATGTTTGTCTCTTTCGGGAACGCCTTGCGGACCTGTGCTTCCCACTCGGGGGTCAAGCCAAGCCGCCGGCACTCGTCGAAAGGCTTGAGCAAGAATTGGCACTGGATGTCACCCCGTGTGATTGGCTTTCCTTGCTGCAAGCATTGCAGCGCGCGTAGAGGCCGATCCAAGGGCAGGAAGTAGTCAGTTGAGGCACCGTCGGCCCTGCCGCCGGCCTGCAGGGCAACAGCGTATCCGTCAATGTTGACGACAGGACTGCCCGAGCTACCTCCGCTAGCTGCCGCACTGGCCTGGTAGTAGCACGTGTTGAAATCACTGTATCCGTCGCCGTATTCTGGCGCGTTTCGGTCCAATCTGCTGATGACGCCAGAGAGAATGCTGAGCTTCTCGCCGGCATCGTTACCAACGACCCTGATCTCCACGCCGACCTTGGCAAGATCAGGTCGCAATGGCAGGGCAGCCACGGGCATGTATTTGATAGCCTTGGGGTCGAACTTGAGAATGCCGAAATCGTGCACCGGGTCGCGGTATACCGGATAGGCATCGACTTCCTCGTGGTTATCAAAGATACAGTAGCCCCAGAAAGGACCCGCGCCGACAACGTGACGGTTGGTCAAGATGTATCTGCACGGACTGTTAGTCAGGTAGCTAGCACGCCATGAGACAGGTGAAAGCTAACCCCCTCTCTGCGTCGACAACGAATCCTGTCGCCTCGCTTGTCAGTGCGGGATCCGTGTCGAAGGAACACGTCTGGCAGAAGCGAATCGATACGACGTTCCGCACAACGTTCTGGATGGTTGCCTGCCATTCAGCCGTGTCCGGGCCAGTTGGGAGGATGGCCGACAGCCTGGGGTCATCGTACTCGTCGAATTCTCCCTCAAATTCGTCGTGTGTGTCCGGCGTGTTGTCGCTGGCCGAAGACAGGTCCCCATTAGGACGGTGATGCTTCGGATGACGGCCGTCAATCGTATGAGGCGGTTCCTTCCGCTTGGAGCGAGCAGTCGGATTTGCGCCGTTCATGATGGTGGTTGGGAGGGATGAGGCGGAGCCAGAACAGGGCGCAGACGACGAGGCGGCGGTCGACGAAGGGGGCGTGGCGCACCGTGTGTCGGACGTAGAGTAAGGAGAGATGACTCTGCGGAAGGGAGATAACGGGAATGGCCTGGAGATGCGGTCATACGACCACGAAGAGGGCAGGCGCGCTGCGAGGCGTAGGCCAGCGAGGTTGGCCAAGTTTGGGGCGAGGCAGCTGGCTGTGATTGTGCGCAAACTCGTGTAGACGAGAAGCGCTGGCGGCATTCACGAGGTTGGTGGCGGACCGGAGGACTCTGGCTGGCCTCTGCGGTACTGCCACTTCTTGCTGTTGGGCTCAATTGCAGAAGCCGTTTTGTCAGGAGCAACAAGGAACAAAATCTCGTGCCGCCTTGCTGCCAGTGTCACAGTGCAGGTGCGATTCAAAAGTCAGCAACAATGGGGCAGGAGCAGCGGGTACCCATGCGCGCCGATTGGCGGAGTGGGGGCGAGGGGTATGCAAATACCACGTGCCAAGCACTGCGGTATAAAGATATTAACCCGGTTTCCCGTCTTGCTGACAGGGATTGATTACGTCTCTTCAACAATGGCCTTGTTGTGCAAGACTCAAGAGCATACATTCAATGTCAACAGTCTCTCATCAGAGTCTTATTCTGGTCTTAAAACATGGAGAGTCTTTGATTCGTGGCAGCAGTCATGTTCACTAATTGAATCTTCCAAGCATCCTCGATAGATTGCGATCCACCGGCAGTTTTGCATCCCTATAGGAATTCGCCAGAATTACATTCTCGGAGGCGACGTACCAGTATGCTCTGCCCATCCCGCTCTTTAGGGGCATCACGCGCTCGAATAAGTACCGTGGATGTGTTTCAAATCAATACAAAGAACTGGCACCATCGACACTCGAAAACACCCCCACGAGGGTATCCAGACTCGGGTTGTCCCGTTTGCTCTACCCCAACTTCTAGGTCTCTAGGCTCTAGAATACAGATCGCTTTCTAGATGACGTGATGCAGTTGCTGTACGGAGTGGTGCTTGTTGATACGAGTATAGACTGATGAAAGGGGAGAAAAAGGGGTAACTGGTCAATGAACGCCGCAGCCCTAGAAACACCAATGATAGCATATTCTTACAAAAATCCGTGGCCATGACCCTGCGCTCCCAATGCAGCGAAGGGGAAACATTGAGGCCTCTGCTAGGCAGACCAATGTTCCATGAACAGAAACCCAGATCTCCTGTGAGAGAGCCGTGGTCATCCTAGACGATCTATTCGCCAGAGACAATATAGCCCTTTGCCCTCCTTCCTTATCCCGTAAGTCCATGATATTTGCAGGGGTATCAGTTACTACGCCAGGCGGATATGAAAATGAATGCAAAGAGAAATTCTGTGGCCCTCCAACTGCCTGGAAACCGAAGCTCAAAAGTGGCCAGCAAGACAGAGATGCGGTCTAACGAGGAACACCACCACCCGCGCCGAACCGCGATCAAGATAGGCCTTGTATGACTACTGGCGCATCATGCGCTCCCGATGGGACTGGAACTCCTTAAAGTGCAGCTCGTGAGTATCGCAGGCCTTCATCCACTTCTGCCGCACAGGTCTGTCCATCTCCAGCGATTGCAGGTACTCTTGCATCCCCGCATCGCCCAGCATATTCACCCATCCTGTACCTTTCGTCTCGTTGACCCTTTGCCTGGCGCTAAAGTGGTCAGTCATCTTCTTGTTGTAGTCGAACCACGCCGCCATGTAAGCCTCGAACTCGCGCACGTAAGTCATCCATGCCGGTGCGCCGAGCTTCGTGCCGGGTATCATTAGGCCCGGAGGCGGTCGAGGCGCGACGGGCGGCGACGGGATTGTTAGCGACTTGGGGCGCTCATTGGCAATGGGTATTTTCGCCGACGGCCTGCTCGGGAAGGGGAGGTTGGAACCAAGATCGGCCATTGAGCCAAGGCCAGTTGTCTTCTGATCAAAAGGCTCGACATTCTTGAATTCGGAGAACATTGGCCGTAAAAAGTCCTCGCTGTCTTCAGATCCGACGGCATTCGGGTTCAAATTTGGAATGTTCAAGCCAGCGCCCAATTTGGGGTTAGGGTTAAGACCATTGACGTTACCAGGACGCCACTCCGGCTTGGCCGGTTCGACATTGATCTTTGCGCCGTTGGCTTGTGGGATCGACGGCTCCGGGGCTGGCGGGTCAATGTCCATAGCATTGGGGCTCTTAGCCCCACTGATACCACCTGGTGATGCACTTCCCTCCGTTCTGTCCTCGCCGCTTGTCTCTTCGTCGTCAACCAAACCTGCTGAACCTGCAGTCTTTCGTACCGGCCGTGGCTTCTTCATTGGCCGGATAGGCCGCGTGGGTGAGACTGAAGGTTTGCCCGGCTGCGGGGGTACGAAAGTATGAGGCCCAAACGCTTGCTTCCACTCCTCAGCCACAAAGTCACCCTGCTTTTTGCTGGCTTCGCTCTGCTGAGCCTTCTGTGGCGACACACCAACAAACGATTCACCGGACGACGTGAATTCGTTCCTGAGTGGCGAGTGATGCCCGCGGGCTCGGTGCTTCGCGCGGAGGAAACTGTCCTCTGTCGCCGACTCGGATCCTGCGTTAAATTGAAAGCTCGTCCCGCCCTTTTCCTCCGCAACGAAACGTGTGTTGATATTATCAGTACTGTTTCGGGTAAAGCGTGCCGGCTGGGCTGGCAAAGTTGTGTCGTTCCCGACAGGATTCGAGAAGCTAGCAGCGTGAACCGCGTTAGTGTATTTGTTGGTTTCATGTCCAGCGTTTTCCGGTGTCAAGGCGTCAGTGCTGGTGACTGGTTGACGTTGATTGTGAAAATGGCGACCCTTTCCGCCTAAGAGAAGCTGCAACTGCGCATCTATGCGGTTCTCGAGGGCATTAGGTCCCACGACTGGCCGCTGTCCACTAGGAGCTGGCCTGGTATCTTGCGCCATATAGGCGGGGAAGCTGAGATTCTGAGCTCGATTTGGGCCCTGACCAACAGGCCTGTTCGAGTGTTGTGCTTGGGAACTGAGCCCGAAGGAAGAACCAGCAGAGGGGTTATGACGATGGGAAAAAGCGGAATACTCATACACATTAGAACCTTTCTCTGGCTGTGTTGGAGCAGCACCACCATTCACTGTTGCTGGAGATTGATTGTCAGTAATCGCGAACGCCGTTAAGACTCAAGAAGCGCTTACCATTTGCGATGCTATCGACAGACGAGGCGGAACCGTTGGAACCAGGGAATGTGGCAGTCGCGGGTGCCGAGTTGGTTTCGGCAAAGCGAGGACTATACCGGGCATGTGCCCGTGATTGAAAAGTGGTCGGTTTAGGCTCATTGAACGTAGGCTTCTCGGTCGTTGATCGCTTGAGGTTATCCGAATCGACGCTCGCACTTCGCGGACGAGGAGGAGGTGTTGGGGGCGTTTCTTCCACACCATCTTGAAATTTCCTTCCGCTATCCCTCATGCTCTTCGCTCTGTTGACGTTTAGTGGTTCGAAGGGGTTCGTCTTCTCTCCGACATTTGCGGCGTATGGTGTGCTCTGGCGACTGTCTATAAAAGTTTCGCTGAATTTGGCACTCAGAGGGTCGACAAAACTAGACATCGGCCGAGGCTTGCTTGCTTGAGCTCCATTCTCTCCAGGCGTGGCATTAGTATGGACATTATAGTGTTGGTTTCTCACCGGAGGTTCATCTCCTATCGGTGACGCTGGGGTGAAACCAGTCCTCCTCGTCCCGAATGATGCTTCCTGGCGCCGGGCCTGGGCTGCAGTTCGCGGGGCTGGTTGGTCCCTAGACTTAGCAGCCGTGCGAGCTGTGGAGGCGGTAGCGCCAGCACTGGGTTGGTTTGTCTTAGTCTGAGGTCTCGATCTGTCCCAAGCTTCCATGTTTGCCTTGAAGTTCTCCGTCTTTGTCTTTGGCTTCGGCGTCCAATCCCAATACCGAGAGCCTGCGGTGCTTGGAGTCGGACGTGTTGGCATCGGCGGACGTTTAGGTGGAGCGCCAAACTTTTGGTTTACATCCTGCGTCGTGTTCTGCCATGGATTGCCTCTCAACCCAGAAGCTGTTGGATACCTGTTTTGTCGGAGACGGTAGGCGTCAAACTTGGATTTTGTGACTGGGTCGGAGAGAATCTCATGGGCAGCCTGAATAATCAAGAATTTCTCCTTCGCCTCATCCTCTTTGCCCGGGTTGCGATCGGGGTGAAACTTCAGTGCTAGGGGCCGGGTCAGGACTTGACGGGTTGTTCCTGGGAATGCGCCAACGTACCAAGCTTTCTGAACTGCTTCTTGACTTCATTTTCATCTGCTGTTACTGGCAGCTCGAGATCGCCATAGTAATCGCGGTTGTAGTCGAGCTTGACCATCTTGACCCTTCCAGAGAGATGACGGAAGGATAAGACGAAGAGATAGCAGTCGCAAGTACCATCACTTGCGGAAACCTTCGAGCTTGAAGCGCCTGCCTTCGAGTTCCGGCAGGAATGAAACCGGCTGTGCGGCCGTGGACTCTTCCACGTGAAAATCGAATAGCGAAAGACGTTCGGCGAGCTGAGTGATTTGGCTTGACTTTTCTGCCCAACCTCTAGCCTCGGCGATAAGTGCGTGCTTATAACAGAACAAGAGCCCCGGTAAGGATCTCCGGCTCTGTTCTTGTATCGCTGGGGGGCCGAGACTGGACGGTCGGGTACGTATCGCCGATAGCCGTGGGAGAATTTGCGCTTGTCTTGTGAGTATTCAGAAGAAGACAGATGAACTCTGCTGCAAGTAAGGAGGGGTGCGGGGCAGACCAACCAAATGCAGATGGGAGCCAGACGACGTCTCTGACGGGCTGTCCCAATTGGTGCTCAAGATAGCTAAGAAAAGACGTTATGAATGTCGATGGACTTGAGAGTGAATGGTAGGGATTGCTGTGTTCGTCGCAATATGGACATGAGCAGGTGCAGGATGGCGTTGCGCAACCGCCTCAAAGACAATAAATAAAGACTAACGAAGCCCTGACCCAGCTGACGGGGGCACAGCAGTGATGCACCAGTAATCGGTTAAAGCAAGATGCACTTTACGATCTTGCAAAGTCCAACAGCTGTGGTCAAGAATCAACTCGCCAGAACTAAGGTAGGCGCAAAAAGGAACGGAAGCTTTGAGAGATCAGGGAGTATTTTAGATTGATCTTCCTTTTTTCCAGGTGAAGGCTGAGTCTGGAAAGAGGTCGCCGTTAACAAAACAAATGTGGGACCTGCCCAGCTGTCAAGGGCAACTCACCCAGTGCCAGTGGGCTTGGCGCTGCTTTTAGCGTCTCGTCTCACTACAGCTATCAACGATGACGTACCAAGATGCCTTTCCTGCCTAAAGCTCGCAGATGCGTGACACACCTGCCGTGGCGGGGCAGAGACAGCTAACTTACAGTGATCTAAAGAAGTCACTTGTAGCACAAAGTAGGCACGTACCCTGCCTTGTCGTTCGCTGTGAGATAGATCCCTCCTGCATGATCGACTTTATTGGAAAGAAATCCCACGTATCTGTCCGCGAAGCGGTGAGATCCTACTGGCAATGTGTAAGTTGCTTTGTGGGTGCCAAGGAGTTGCTTTTCTCAGGATGCTCAACATCTTCAACCATACAAAGGTCGCACGGTTGGAGATAACTTTCCTATAATTACTTTACTGCCTTAGTCTCTACCTTGAATACCGGGTATTAAAGATTACACCTCGGGCCGGTGAGCGCTGCCCAGAGCACAGCCGCACCATACAAACGGGCCTCCTTACCGGTCTTATGGTCTGAACAAGTAGCAGCCGTGGCACACAAGCCATAGGGTTGCATGGGGCATGCTGGTGGTATGTATGTACGGTACTGTGGTGTTGTGGCAAGTGACGGCTCCATGCAGATACCGGGAGTGAAATCCCAAACTCTGAGGTACAATACCTAGAAAGCAAGTAAGGCAACCGATAGCAGCATTTGGATCCAACACGTGCCTGGACCTAGCAACATCCGAAGAGGCCGGCTGGCGTTCTCAGCTGACTGAGTTCGGTGAGTAGGGGTTGGCTGTTCACACAAGTTCTTAACTCGGCAGCTGTGCAGTGTGCACACCTCAACGGCGGAAGGCTTTTGGGCCATGAGGGGGTGACATTGACAGCAAAAATCACGGTGACATCTTGGAAAACCATGGGAGTTCCGAAACTCGCTCGCGAAACTCTGACCGAATTAAGATCCAAGTCCATTGATGCGACTGCATACAGCATCGCTCTAATGCTGGCCACCATCTTCTCTAACCTCTGAGATGCCCCTGCGATTCAACCTAAACCATGCTCAACAATCTCTACCCCAGAGAGAACCCCCAAAAAACGCCAAAAAATGACAATCCGATACTATAGTACAATCTCCCACGCCAACAGCGGCAGCTCGCAAAAGCCACCTACGACATCTCCCGACTGAGCTCATACGACCAGCCGCCCTCGCGCCGCATCTTGTCCCTCGCCTGCATGTCCTTCTTGATATCCTCCTCGGTGAGGCGGTCAGTCCCGCTCCAGTTGGCGCTGCTGGTCCGAGCCCGGAACTTGTGCCACCGGTCTCTGCTCTTGTTGAACACCTCTTCCATGTTGAGCGGCGCCGGCGGGCCAAACACCTGCATCGGGTCCACGCGCTCCTGCGCCAGAAGCGCCGCCTTGAGCGCCGGAGAATCCGCCCACGCCGCAAACTCAAAGTGCGCGTCGCCGTCGTCGCTGTCGTCGTCCGTCTGGATATCGGGCAGCTCGATCGACTCCCCGTTCGGGAACCGTGGTGACGATCGAGCAACCGACTTGGAAGATTTGGGGGGCACGGCACCTCCAGGAGGGCGGATGGGTGTCTTGTGAGTTGTCCCCGGTGCGCCGGAGTTTTGCGCAAAGGGGATTTTGGCTTGGGATAGCTGAGCCATCTCCAGTGGGTGGGTAATACTGGTCTGGTTGAGGTGTTGCGTCGTTACTGTGGCTCGGTAAAGATTCCCACTGGCACTGGGCGGTGCATTGGTATGGCCTTTGTACACTGGCTTGGTCGGCAGATCCTGAGAGAAGGTCAGCGCGCCCAGTTTGGCCATGTTTACAGCTTCGCTTACCTTCTTAATACCCCCTGACGGCCTGACAGGGGGTTTTATGATTCGCTGGCTATCGATCATATCGATATCCTCATCGAACTCCTCACTCATGCGCATGCGCTTCCCGTCCTTGGCCGCGAGAGACGGCAAAGCCCGCTGCTGCTGAGATCTAGAACCATCCTCTTGAGGGTCATGCGGCAGCGGTCGCTTTGAAGATGCCTTCATAGTGTTCGATAGAACCGTGTTTACAAGCCGACCTTCCTGATGCGCCGAAGAGCCCAGCTGCGAGGGGGGCCTTGTGTTCGCCTTGTCCTCAATGCTGTACTCTGGAGGCCCAGTTGGTTGAGATCTGACGGCTGGTGGGGGTGCCTTAGTCAGCTTAGCCTTTTCGATGTCAGCCTTGGTGACCAGAGCTGCCTTTCGGTCTTTTTGTTCTTCTTTCACGGCGGTGCGCTTGCGCTCCAGTTCCAGTTTGGCCTCGCGTTTCCGCTGCGCTTCCCGTTCCTCTTGTTCCTTTCGCTTGGCGGCCAGCTCAAGCGCCTTGGGTCGGCTGGACGAGGAACTCTTGAGGCTCTGGGTGGACTGCTTTGCGTGGAGAGAGGACTGGCTCGTTTTGTTGTTGAGCTGTCTGGGCGGAGCAGGCTGCTGTGCTCCCAGCGTCTCCTGAAGAGTTGCCGCCAGGACACTGTTCGAAGGATGGAGCTGCGACTGCTGAGAGCTGTTGGTGGTCACCCTAATGACAGTTGCCGCTTGCTTAGGCTTGGCTAGAGCTTCCTTTGTGGGCTTGACTGGTCTCTTCCCCTGCGTCCTGACCGACGATGCAGTTGTAGGACGTGGGATTGAAGGCGGGGGAACGGTAGATGGAGCATCTGCCATGTCCAGATCAAGCTCATCTGAAAGGGTTGCTGTCGTTATACCGTCTTCTTCAGCCTGTCCCTTCGTCTTCCGCGGGGTTGTCCTTCCCGTCTTCGGCGGGCTCCTAGGGACGCGCTTTGGCTGAGGGCCAGGGGTCCGCCAATCCTGGGGTTTGTTCTGAGCTTGGGCGGCTCGTTCTTGCTCCTTTTGGAGGGAAACCTGCCGCTCCATGGCCGCAATCTTCTCCTGCTCTTTGTTAAATACCCGGGCCTTCTCTCGTTCAAGCTCGCGAGCCTTCTCCAGTTTCTCCATTTGCTCGGCCATCCGTTTTGCTTCCTTGAGTTCCTTCTCCTTCTCCTTCTCCTCCTTCTCCCGGTCCTTGGCCTCCCGTCTCTCCCTCTCGGCAGATGCTCTGGTATTCCGTGTGTTGCTGCTGTGCACCGGGCTAAGAGGTGCTGAAGTAGCCGAAATTTGCCGAGAGAGATCTGGGTATGCGACGTTGTCTGCCGTCTTAAAGGACTCAACGGACGGGCTCGGGTGATATCCTAGTCCCGTTGTTGAAGAAGAGTGCAGTAAAGATGTTTTCCCCTCGGCACTGATTGCTGCGCCGCTTACTATCAGGCCTTTAGAACTCTTCAGCAGAGACGTTAGCTTGTGCTTGACCTGCTTGAGAGGATTATCCCTGAAACCCCGCGTGGGAGACTTGGGAGGATTATCGACACAGCCATCCTCAGCGACTGTGGAGAGTGTGGGATTCGATACAGATATTGTCTTCTTCAGTGCATTGTCCTCGATGTCTGAGGTGAGCTGATCTATGGTTGGAAAAGCCGGGACTGAGGCGGATTTGCTGTGCGAAGGCGTGCCAGGCGTTCGGCTGGGGCTGAACACGGCCTTGCTAGGTGAAGCCGGCCTGCTCTTAGGGAACATGAACTCCGCACTACCCGTATCCTTGTTTGCTTGCCCGTGGGTCAAACTCGGGGAGTGTCTCTTTGAGGGCTCCGGCCGTGGGCTTGAAGATTTTTCGGGTTTAGTGGGCGGGGCTATCCAGTCATCTTCATCGTCTGAAGGGAAAGCACCAGGTGCGGCCACTGACTGCTTCGGCTTAGGCTTGGGGGATGCTGGCTTGGGGGATGCCGACCTCTCGGCCGATGCGGCCTCCGACTGGGTCTGGTTCTGTGTATTCCGCACGACTGGCTGCGAAGGGAAAAGACTCGCGATAGACTTTGACAGTCTAGGTCCAGTGGGTTGTGCCTTTCCGAGCATGCTGATCTGGTCCTGTAGCCGCTGGGTGTGTGTCTTTGTCTGCGCAACGCTGGCTTCATTTTGGACCGTGACATCGTCATCGGCGTCCATTTCATCATTGTCAAGATGCAGATCTGGCCGGGTGACATTACCAAGGCTCTTTCCTCCGGTATGACGGTTGAAGTAGCTGGGCCGACTGAAGTCGAGGTGGCTTGTCCTGGAAATGCGGGCTCCGCCAATGCTTTTCTTGGAAGCCAGTGGCTCGCGAGCCGGCAAGGTCGCAAAGTTTATACTGCTCGTACGCACAATAGGTCTGATGGGGCTCGAAGCGTCAGACGGAGACCTGACATCATCCAAAATGGCTTCGTCGCCCCCTTTGTCGCTCTGGTTGTCTGTAGAATCTCTAAGGGCCTCCGCTGGCTTCGGAAAGCCTGATTGAGTGTCAGATGGGGCTGGTTTTTGGGGTGACGACTTCTTAGGCGAATGCCTGAGCGGTGATGAGGTCTTTTTCGGCGAAGGTGACCGCGGCGACATGACAGGTAACCGGGTGCGGGAGGCAAATGGACTGCTAGGCTGCTGTATGGTCGAGGACGGGGTTGGGGCAACATTTGCTGTTGCGTGTGTTGGGGGCTGTCGAGTCTGGCCGTCATCCGCAGACTGAAAGATTCCGGCTGAAGCAATAGAAGGGCTCCGTTGCTCCACCGGAGCTCTCGACACAGATGACTCTGGATCTGCCGTCTCCTTGTCTTCATCAGGGCTATCCGACATCTCGATATCCTTGTCGAACTTGTCAAAGTGATCAAAGGGCACGGTGTCCTGAGATTGGCTGCCATGATAGCCGGAATCCGCCAGTGAGATGGGAACTCGCGGTTCCACAGGCTGAGGAGGACGGACCACGGCCGGTTTGGGTGGACTATCATGGCGGGCAACCGGCGGCTCAGGCTTGTCCTCTGCCACCTGAAACTGTGGTGTTTGTGGGCGGGTGAGATTTGGACTCGGAAAAGTAATAGGCACTCCCTTTTGTGTCTCCGAGAATACATCCGACAACGGCTGCGCGAGGTTGATTAGCAGTGGACGCAACCGCGCGGCATGCGCTTGAGCACTCACAACGCGAACGCTCCCAGGGTTTGCCTTTCTCACAGTCCGTGGAGTCTTGCCGCGTAGTTTCCCAGGAGTCTTGAAGAGTTCAGCGACGTTCCTACAGGCCTCGGTCAGTAACGCAATGTGGCGTAATCGCCCAAACGGCGCCACCCACATTTGGTTTTCAGAGAAAATCTCGGCCATGTGTTCATTCAACCAGTCCAACTCGTTACGCGCAGAGAAGGAGAATTCTTCGATTTCAGAGCGCGCGATGCTAAGCGCAGAGTCCCTCTCTTCCGCGATCCATGCCGCCGAACCGACCTGGAGACGCGGGCCACCTCGCATCGCCATTGTCGTGGTTTTGCTCGTCTCGGGGCGAAAGTAAACAAACACGATGAATGCGATGGACACCGAAAATGGGTCGCGAAATCAGTCCGTATTTCTTAGTTAAGACGGCATGCCATAAGTGCTAGAGTTGTAGAGGAGATCAATTGTAGCCGGAGGTCTTGGTTTCGGAACTGGCGGGTGATTGATGGTTTGCCAATTCAAGCCGACGGGAGTTGTGGGTGTGTCGATGAGCTGACCGAAAGTGGTTAGGGAAAAGGGATTGTTTTGATTGTCTCCCGAATTGGAAAGGTCTGGGCTGACGGTTTGCGGTGGGGCCTTCGGAAGCATTTTGACGCCAAGTCACGTGCCTACCTGTTCCACCTTCCGAGTTCAAGTTCCTGTCAGACAGTGCTCTTGCCGGTTTTAAAGACTGTGCTTGCCTGATCGGACTCAGTTGCAGCGAGAGCATCCGCGTGTCGTCGAGGAAGTCGCGTCCCGTCGGCATCGTTCCAAGCTCCGCCGGGTAACCCAAATTTGGCTCACCACTCCGGCTACCTCCACTAGGTAGCAGTGCATTCGAGTTGCCCTGGATAACGGTGGCATGCAGTACCAAAGTTTCCCTGCTACTCCCTGAGCGAGTCCTCTTTTCTTCTGCCAGAAAATGGACGCCATGACCAGCGAAGCATTCGACATCCCTGACTCGACCGATTGGCTGGGTACACCTCTTTCAGGTCTCATGGCCGTGGAGCAGGCCCTCCGCTGCCATGTCTGCAAGGACTTCTACAACTCGCCAATGCTCACCTCATGCAGCCACACATTCTGTTCATTATGTATCCGGCGCTGTCTCTCGGTCGACGGGAAATGCCCGCTTTGTAGGGCGCTTGACCAGGAGTCTAAGTTGCGAAAAAACTGGGCGGTGGAAGAGGCTGTCGACGCCCTCGTCCACTCACGAGAAGCCTTGCTGCGATTTGCTAGGACCCGGGCTGACATATCATCGTCGGGCTCTCCAAAGAGAAAAGCTGGTGATATGGAAGGATCAGAGGAGGAGTTGCATGAAAATAAGCGGCCCCGAATGACTACAAGGTCCAGCAAGTTGAAAGCGGCCGAAGCAACAGCCACAATCGTGCGAGATGAGATTGACATGCCTGAGGACAACGACACTGGGGATTATGAACCCGAGCCCGGTATGTCGACATTAGTCTTGATCCTAGCCCAAGCTTGAACTGACTTTGTTCTTTCCAGACGACGGCCTTGCCGCGTGTCCGATATGCTGGGCCCGAATGAAGCCCTGGCAAGTCGACAAGCACATTGATACCACATGTTCCGGAACTCCACAGCCGCAGAATGCCTCAACATCCGCGTCCAACAGTCGCGGCGGCTATAGTGTCCCGTCTGTTCGGGCATATTTCCCCAATTCGCCATCCCGGACAAAACCTCCCGAGCGGCTCCCTGCATTGGCATACTCAATGCTCAAAGACACAGCCCTTCGCAAGAAGATGGCTGAGTTGGGGCTCTCTACAAGCGGTTCTCGGCTGATGTTGGAGCGGAGGCATCAGGAGTGGGTAACGCTTTGGAACGCCAACTGCGACTCGGCAAAACCAAAAAAGCGCAGTGAACTCCTGCACGACCTCGAAATCTGGGAACGAACGGTGGGCAGCCGAGCCCCGACCACGTCGAGGGCAGCGAACACGGGAGCGCAGATTAAGGACAAGGACTTTGATGGGGCGGCTTGGGCCGCGAAGCATGGCGCTTCGTTCAAGGATCTAATCGCAAGCGCACGTAGGACAAGAAACAATGGCGGGCAGAAAGCTTTGGAGACCAACGAGTCCGAAAAAGCGTCAAAGGAACCAATTTTGGCACAAGACGAAGGGGAGGGGAGTGGTGGTCCGCCGGCACAATCCTCGCCGCAGTTGCCCACAGCAACCGTTGTTGACCTCACTTGCTCGCCTTCCAGGAGCAGAGAAGGGCTCAAACACTCGCACGAAGGTAGCATTGGCATCCATGAAGACCCAGCGGCAATGCTTGCAAGAGATCTACCACCCGACAGCATAAGCCTGTCCAAGAAGCCGGAAGACTTACCTCCATGTATTGAGAATGCAGATGAGCAGGTACCACAGTAAATTTGCTTGGTGAGGTATATGCTGGGTTCTACCGGGCCCTGCGCAAACTTGCTACACCCGTCCCCAGAAAAGGGCTTTGTGGAAGTGGCGTCTGTGTGCTCAATGGATTAGGTGGAATTTGTTTCTAATGCACTAAGAATGAAATCAGCAGCTGTGCCATTTGCCCTAAACAGAACCATGTGGGATGGTGGTTCCCTTAAGAGGCCTGCACCTCTGGACGTTCCTCCAGGGACATCGTACTCATCATATCCTCTATCTCCGTCTTGGTCTCTGGGGCTTGCTCTTTCTCCTTCCCCTTCTCTCGCTCGCCCCGGCTAGGTTGCACATCCGCGGGCACCTTCTCAACAGCTTCGAGCCGCCTGCGCGTCTCCTCCGCTTCTCTTGCCTGTTCGGCCTCACGGACCGCCCTCTCGGCCTCTTCCACCTTGCGCCTCTCCTCAAGTTCTAGGGCTGCTATCTCGTCCTCAATCTCGGCCTCATCGACCACCTCGGTACCGGCAGACTCGGCGAGGATGCTGCCAACCTCGTCCGTGGCGGCCATCTGCTCGCGGAGGCGACCCACCACCTCATCAACGCGCTCGACGCCGCCCGTCTGCGCGTATAAGCTACGCAGCGCCTCGCCGCTCGACTCCATGACTCGGACAAGCTGCACATTGTCTGACGCCTGCTCTATCTTGGCCGCTACTTCCTCCAACTGGTTGACCGTTGCGAATCGCCGCTCCAGCGTGGACTCGGTCAGTTTCTTGGACTTGAGGGCCGCCATGGCGGCAACGCGGTTGTTCTTCGCCACGGCTTGCTTGGCCGTGACGGTGAGCTCCTCAAGCCGCTTCCCGAGCAGAACCGTTTGGTGCGTCAAGGAGGCGAGCAGCTCCTTCAGCTGCGCGATGGAGACGTCCTCGTCTGTAATGGCAGCCGCCTCTTGCACGCCAGGTGCCTTGATCTTGACCGTAGATCCGTCGTACAGAATTAGCCCCTTGTCGCGCGATAAGAACTTGAGCAGCACCTCCATGTCTGTTTCCGAGATTTGCTTTCCGTCTAGGAGTTGATCATTGAACGTCCTGTAAAAGTGCGACTTGGAAAATGTCCGCTCGAGGCGACTGTGTGTGGCTGCTGCTGCCCCGTTCCTCTCCCCAAAGGCCTTGCCCGCCTCCTCCACATTGGCCACCACGACGAACTGGCCCGGCTGCAATCTATCACTCTTCAGCATATCCGCCACGCCGAGCTGCTTCATGGTCCAAGCCGCGAGATTCCACACGGACCAGGACCGGTGGTAGATGCTATCCTTGGCGGCCAGAAACTGGCTGAGCGGTATGAGGTCCTTTGCGGCGATCGCCTCGCGCACGACGGCGCCCAGTGCGAGCGGCCTGCCGTATTGCTTCGATTCGAGCGCGCGGAGCAGTTGCTCGTCGGAATGGAGGACGAACAAGTCAGGCGCGCCCGCCAGCCTCCCCGGGGCAAGGCCTGATCGGACAATGCGGGCAAGCGCCCTGCGCCATGCCGACACGTTCGCTTGGTAGCCGTCTGGGTTGAGCGTCCGCTGGGTTTGGAAGTCGGAGTAAAGAGCCCCTAGACGGGATCTGAACGGATGATCCACGCGTCAGCAGATTGGGAAAATGTGCAGCAGCTTGTCGAAGGGTTGATCGACTCACTTCCTGAAAGCAGGCTCGTTTTCCACGAGGTAGTCTACAAGTGATTGGCTCATTATTTCGGGGATGTGGACGCGTGTGATATATGGGGATGAAGAATGTACCGCGGTATCAACAAGGTTGCTGTCGGTGTCAACTGCAAAGAGTTAAAAGGCACCGACGGCGGGCAGGTCCTCCCACTGCATCTGCATAGGGCGAGCGTGCCAACAGACGCGGTTCATTCAATCGATAAACTTGCGCAGCGCAACTGGAAACATTTATGGCTAGGCAAGACGCGGCTAGGCAGCAACGGCTGGCTCTCAGCGAACAGATATGTCCTTGAAGCAATTCTATCGGTAGACAAGGACCGCGATGGTTGGGCGATGATGACTGGCGCCTTCAAACAATGACGTGAAAGCCGAGCCTAGGGTAGGTGCGTGACAGGGGCTTTCTTTATCTTATCAGCGTGTCCCGGCCGGCAGGCATGGATGGCGGGGCACCGGCCTTTCGGGAGCTAACTTGACCTGTAGGCTAGGGGTCTTTTCAGGCTGGTGCTAGGTAGGCGAGCATGAACTTATGAAGTGGGAAGCATTAATCATACCTTTTGATTAGATTGTTGATGGCCCAATCCTAACGCCCGTCCATGCGTGTCCCTGCCTTGCCGCCTTGTCTATCTTGTGGTTTCTATCAAAGCAATATCGGCCATAGGGGAATGCTTCGCCCCATTCCCTTAACCAAACCCGTCCTTCCGAGATGTGTCACTCCCATCTTCAACTGGCTTCAGCGGATTCAACGGTGCTGATTCCAGGCCGGCAGAGCCACCTCCCACCGGATTTATAATGCTAGTTCTCCGTGACCTCCTGTTGTCTAGAGTCTCACTCTCTTCATCAACCAGTAGCTCCGGCTCGGCGTGCTCATCCCCCATGTGGTCTCTCCATGCCATGCCCAGTCCCAATCCTTCCTTGACTTGGTCATTCAGGTGTGCCAAGAAGTCGCTAGCCACCGCAAAGTTTTGCACGCCACATTCGCCTGGAAGCAGTGCGTACATTTTCCGTGCTTCGTTCAGACACTTCTGCGCCTGGACGTACTTTGCCTGTGTGACCCAGGCCTCAGCGCTAAGCACGCTCCACAACGCGGATTTGCGCCTCCTGCTGCCCCAAGCCTGTGATCCGGCTCCTTGCTTGGAAGCGTAGCAAATCGCCATACGTTCCTTGAGCAAGGCGTCGCCAACCGTGCCCATCAAGCTCGACTCCAGCAGCCTGATGCCCCACCGCACAGCCTCGTCTATCCCAGAGCCGCCCCTGAGGCGCAACAATTCCAGCGCCAGCACGATGCACCGCACGGCGCCGTACAGAGAGTTGCACCGAGTGTAGTATGAGTAGAAGGCTTGCTCAAGCATCTGATTGATGGTCTCGATGCGTGTCTTGGAAGACATGTTTTGCGGCATGATGAGGAGCGCTAGGGCGGCCATCTCATTAGCCGCCGCATGGTATTTCCATGCTTTATCGTTCTGGAAATCGGTGCGTAAGAGGTCATAAGTTGACATGGCGAGCTTCCAATCCCTCAGCATAAATGCAAAATCCGCCAGTCTTCGCATGATCGCTTCGGGGCTGTCGGGCCGATAGAAACCTCGCACGTCATAGTTGCTCGACGAGCTCGCGGGCCCCCCAGATGAGCTGCGGCTTGAACTGCCAAAGGCCCATCTTTTCGAAAGGCTCATGAACCGCCCGCTGATGCCCCGCCGCCGTGATGCCACCTGGTCATTCCACACCGAAACGCTCCGTTCCATGGTGGGAACCACGGATTGCGTAACCATTTCCCGCACAAAAGTCCGTATTGCCGTAGCGTCCGACTCAAAGATGTATCTCGTAGGGTCTTCAAAATCCTCCCGAGTATCACTCTCCTCAATATCCGCCAGCTCTTCGGACGGGGTCATCCAGTCGCTCCGGGGAAGGGGTATGCTGTCGTCGTCAGTCTCGGCGCTCTGCGAGCTGCGAAGCCGCAGCATGTGGCAGTGTAAACCAAAATTCCGCTTCATCTGATCAAACAAGGCCATGGACTTGGTAATGTCGCCATTCTCTTCGTCGTGGATTAAAACATAATACCGTAAATAGTCACCATCAACCCAGACCGGCAACCTCCGCTCGCCCTGGGTCGTTTCCTTGTACAACCTGTGAAGCGCCTCGATAGGCGCCTGGTTCCTCGAGCTAATGGCCATTACACACGCCACGGGATGGGCAAACGATTCGTGGCACGCCAGCGGGATCCCGGACAGCAACCGTCGGAGATAGAGCGCATAGTACGGGGATGTAGCGTTGGAGTCCAGCCCCCTTTCTCGTGTCGTGGACATCGTAGTCGTCGGTGACGGCAGCGCCGTCATTGCCGTCGTCGCCACGTGGGCCTCCTCGGCATATCTCAGGTGTCTCTCCACCACCGTCTCAACCTGCGCGATCAGGCTGTCGCCGGCAACCCTCACCGATTGCCCGTTCGCCGCCGCCGCCGCCACGGTCCCCCCGCCACCGCCAATAAAGGGCTCCGGCTCCTCGGCCGCGTCCGCCCCGAACCTCGTAAACCGCACCGTAAAGTCCTCCCAGCTCCTCGCCACGCCGTTGCTGTCCCTAATGGAGACCTTGCCCTGCACGCGCTCCCCAAAGGGACGCAACAGCTCCCACAGGCCCCCCGCAAAGCCCTTTTCCCGCACCAGCCCGTCGGCGTCCTCCGACGCGTGGATCGCCACGTGCGGCACGAAGCTCTTGAGTATAAGGTTCAGCGGATCGCCCGGGTTGCCGACGGCGTCGGTGTCGAGCAGCGACTGTTTACTGAACGGCCCCGCGCCGCCGAAGATGGAGCCAGTGAGCGGGGTTGGTGTGGTCGAGGTGCGGGCGGGCGAGCGGGCGGGGGAGGCGGACCTCGGCGAGCCGGGCGGGGTGGCTCCTCCTATGAGGGTTGAGCGGAAGAGGGAGGCGGCCGCGGCGCCAGGGGGGTTGGAGCGGCGGTCGCGGAATGGGAGGGTGGTGGACGGAAGCGAGGCTTCGGACTGCGCTAGGGGGTGGGCGTCGGGGGGCAGGGTATGGCGGGCTTTTTGGAGGCGGAGGTTGGTGTTTAGGGAGGACGCCGAGGCTGCCAGGGGGAGAGGCTGGACTTCGGAGTTGAGGTGGGCATCTTCGGGGCGCTGCATGGGGTGTTCAACGAGGAGGAATGGGAATAGGTTAAGGTTTGTGGAGGTCCCGTCCGTCTCGTGGTGGACCGGCTTCGGAGTGGTTTCGGGCAGTGACAGCTCACGGTCGGGGATTTGTCCGGGTAGTATGGAGCATTGGTGGCAAGCGAAACAACCTCGTTATTGCTGAATGTAATATTGTACATACAATACACTGGGCGGTGTTTGGACTTGGATTGCTGTCACCGAGACGTTTGCTGTGGCTAGTCGGAGAACGATGGCGCTGTCGGTCGTGTCTTTGCACCAGCGCCTCCCTGTCTTCAGTTGTGGAATCTTCGCATTACAGGGCCAAGATCTGCCGGGGCAGTGGACCAATAAGGTAGCGCTGCTATCGCGTGGTGGGGCTTTTAAAAACGGCAGCGCAGCGTCCGACGCTTGGAGCTATGACGCGATTCAACAACCACAGGCCTCTTACATCGATCTCGAAGATCCAGAGTTACTAATCTCAGTTCCCACACGAGAACACCCGGGTATGTTCCTAGTTTGCAGTCGAATACTTATTATGAGCAAGATGATCAAGAGGGACTTCCAATTCCCGGAATGCCACACACGCAATGGATTCTGAACATTTACTGGGCTCAACTCCGTGAGGTTTGGACTTTGGAGTAACAAAGACAACCGAGAGTGAAATGTTGTCTGGTCAGATCTTCCGGCATGATACCTCGGAAGCACGATGCCATCACAGCCTGTCAAGGACAGAACATCAGGCTCGCTAAGCAAAGTGGTGAGAGCGCCGTCACGATCGGGAAGTGCCAATCAAGCAAGACGATTTTCGCGTCCAACTACATACTCCGTAGGTGGTCGTCGATACAACCCTTCCCCTTTCGAAGGCAAGGAGAAAAGAGCGGCTAGGTTTCGTCTGGTATTTATTATTGGCTCTCTGTTTCTGGACTGGGCCCATCACTGGTGCTCTCATGCTGCCGGGCAATCCGGGTAGCTGACGACAAACCTCTTTCTATGCCGTCTTGGGCTGCAGAACCATGATTGTAGCCCAGAAGACAAGCATGCAGGTCCGGAAGTTTGGCTACACCTGTCGACGGAGGCCAAAGCCGGAGAGCCGGTCAGAAACCCTGGAAGTCGCACATCATCTTCCAATACCCTTAGCATATCGACAGCCAAGTCAGGTGGAGACTGCTCAGGAACACCCGTCCCCATGGGTTGAATAATGCAGATTTGCCGAGCCTGTCGAAAAATACGATTGAGCCGCACAGGTTGCCGGCGAAAATTGCATTCAACATTAGCCACCTCGGCTGAATACCAGTATTTGCGACCACTTGAACATTAGGTTACGGAAGTAACGTTGGATCTGCGAACAATGACCTGATGGGATGACACAGCGCGAACAGGATAAGCTCGGCTACGTCGTACGAATGAGAATGTCGAAGGATGGAGCATATCTTCGCCCGTCACAACAGGTCGCAAACAAGAACGGTTGAGCGGTTGAGCGGTTGGCCTAACCTATCAGCATTTCTGAACGTCCTTTCTGGAACGCAGTTCCATCTACCCTATAGACTTAACAGGGATATATCGACTCGGCTGCCTTAGCCGCATCGGTCACTGATGCGAAGGTCGCCCGGCGCCCCGGACCCCGGCCACTTGGCAATGCCGGATCTGCAGGCCAAGCCTTTGGCTGCCGTGACAGGGTGGCCGGACTATTTCTCCACACCTTCTCTTCGGATATCGGACCCTCCACTATACACTACTCTACATGTATATTTGCTGGAGGCTGCCATCCGCCTAAGTTATATGCGGTGTCTTTCTATCGATACCCTCGTTGGTCTGTACTCCGGAGCACACGCGCGTTATTCCTGGCTCGACTCGAGGTCTCCTATGGGAGGGGTGTAATGGCCGTTTTCTAGCCCATGCAGTCTACAGTCGTGCTACATCTCCATCAAATCCACCCATTCAGCTCTCGAGGCAAGCGGGTGGTAAATTGATCTTGGCCTGCACTCCACGACGAAACAACTCTCTTTTCCCACTTGCTCGACTAAGTTTCTAGCCTTTCCGGCTTCGCTTCGATCCCCCAGCCCAGAATCCTGGGGTCCTACCGGGCTCATGTTAGCGAGGCCACTGTCCCGCGTCCCCGTGTATTTATCCCCTCTTTCACCCGCAGCTACTTAATTGCGCTCGGCAGCACAATGCCTGCACATGGCGTAAGCCCTATAAACAGAAGCCACTCAAATGCTTCCCTTGTGTTGGGTTGAGCGGCCAGGCCAGCTCCAGAAGTTGTCTCTGGTTCCCCCAGCAGAAGCCATGGTTGCTCCGCGCATCGTATATGCAGTCAACTGCCGGGAGTCGGTTCGGCTTGCTCTAGACACTGCCAGGTACTAGTACATATAACTCCCTCTGTCGGCGGACTTCAGTCTCCCCTCAGGGGATCCATGCTCTCCGGTCAGTCGGCTGCTTGCTTGTCATGTTGCTTGATCGCAGAATTGTAACCGGGCTTGCTGGTCTATGGGCCGCCTCGGTGGCCCACGCCGCCTGTTCGTCCAACCTTGTCATTGACAACTTTACCAAATGGACCAGCGGCGTGAACAATCTTGACTGGCCCAACGGAGGTAAGTAAGCTGGTTTATCGTGGTTCCCCATCACAGAAAAATAAGGCTGAACTGACGGGCCGCTGGATAGATGATGGATCCATGACGGCGATTGCCGGCTCTGCGGGCCAGGTCATCTTCATTCCCAAAGACGACGGCTCGTACTTTTACGAGTCGTTCGAATGCCAGCAAGCCGTAACCAATGGCTACGGGGGCATTCAGTTCACCGTCCAGGGGCCGCGTGGCGGTTCGTTCGCAGTGGAGTTGCAGACGACGGATAGCTGCGCCAACGGCAACACCGGAGCCTTCAGAAGCTCGTATAACATCATCAGCGACCTGACGGGCCAGCGTCAGACAGTCACGCTGCCGCTCATAGGCTTCGATAACGATCCAAACTACGACGCCATTGTCGGCCTGGCATGGTCAGGCTTCTCGCAGACCGGCGTGCAGTGGTCGGTTGGCAATATCACGCTTATCTGCGGCGAGGTGGCCGTCAGCCCTACGACTAGTATGTTGTTTCCTCACTAAGATCCTGTCCCTCTGCCTTTCCGATCTGACATGTGGCAGCTGTGTCAACAAGATCTGTCATACCGACGACGACAACAACGAGGTCAACAGTCAGGACAACAACAGGCCGGACAACATCGACCAGGATAACGACCAGGACAACGACCAGTTCGCCAGTTATAACATCCCAACCGGCCACTTGCTCAAACAACCTGCTGATCGACGACTGGGCATCTCAGTCACGCCTCACATTCCTGGGCTACAATGCCATGAATCAACCCTCGAGTGATGACGGATCCATGGCTTCGGTCGTGGTGAGCAACGGAAGGCTGCTCCTCAGCCCGAGAAACACCGACTCGTACTTTTACAGCCAGTTTGGTTGTATAAATGTGAGCAACCGTTACGGCGGTATCTCGATGCGGATTAGGGCCGCACGAGGCACAACCTTTTCTGTGACGCTCTCATACTACCGCACATGCGGTTCCGGTACTGCCAGCACAGTAACCATGACGACGGCACAACTGAAATGGACTTTTGACGGAACCGAGAGGCTGTATTGGTTCCCCTTTTCCGTCTTCACCGGTGTGGACACGACCAAACTTGACATGATTTACTTCTCCAACTTCAACACCGCCGCTGTCTTTGGCCCCATGTCCTTCTACTGCGGCTCTACTGCCACTGACTACACTCCTGCGGCCGCCACGCCGACGGCGCCCATCGTTACACGTTCGACGACGCGCGTGTCGGCTCCCAATGTGTCGGGCTTCGTGATTGATCAGTTTGATGACGCTACCACGAACGCGCTGGGACAGTGGCACGGCGGCGAGGAGGGCATGACCGTCACCTTCGGCAACAGGCTCATGACGATCCGCACCAACGACTCCGACTTGAGCTGGAACACGCAGTTGACAGACACGTGCGCCGACCTGAGCGCCTACGCCGGCGCCTACCTCCACATTGCCTACTCCGGAAGCAACAAGTTCAGTGTCGCCCTGCAGCAGCACAATTCACGCTGCAATGCGAACATCGCACCGTTTCCCGAGACGTGGGACTCCCTCGAAGCGGCACGGTACGCCACGGCCACCGACATCTACATGCCCATCAACCACTTCAACGTCGACCTGACCCGCGTCATCGGCTTCACCCTCAAGGGCTTCTACAGCACTGAGCCCACTACCATTACCAAGATGGAGATTGTCAACGCGGTCCCTGCCCGCTGGACCGTCCCAAGCAAGCTGGCATCCGGCAAGCTCGTCTTTGCGTGCACGCGGCCCAACTCATTCGCCTTCGCCATTGACGACGGCGACCCCAAGTACGCCAAGCGGGTCATGGACATCATCAAGCAGGCCGACATTCCCGTGACCTTCTTCACAGTCGGGCTACCGCTGCTGGACACCTCCAACGGGCTGGCCGCCGCGTACAAGGACATGGCCGCGCGCGGCCACCAGATCGCGATGCACTCGTACACGCACCCGCCCATGGAAGGGCTGCCGGACACGGCCAGCATCGACTGGGAGTACAACAACGACATTGGCGCCGTGCGGCAGGCCTTCAACGGCGCCGGCGCGCCGTACACCACCACAAACTACTTCCGCCCGCCCTTCGGCACCGAGGGCGCCCGCATGCGCCAGCGCCTGGCCGCCGCCCTGAACGACCCCAACCCGTACATTGTGGGGTGGAGCATCGACGTCGAGGACTGGATCTGGGCGCAGAGCGACACGCCCGAGAAGCAACTCGACGCCTTCAAGCGCGACGTCGCAAAGGGGGGCAACCTGCTCGTCATGCACTACCTGTACAACTCGACGGTTGAGTACCTGCCCGAGTTCATCCGGCTGGCCAAAGCCACGGGCAAGCAGCTTATGCGGGTTGATCAGTGCATGGAGGATCCGAAGGCGCCGCCTTTGTAAGTGAGCATGGGACGAAACGGACCCGTGATACCGTCGTTTTCACGTATGGTGGGATGCTTTGGTGTGTAAATGATTTCGGTGAAAGAGTCATGATAGTGGAAAAAGTACATATATCAGGGGATAATGAGATCTTTTGAAAGTAACCTCAGCTAGTAGCCATCTAAGTGTCCCAACCCACAACTATACTTACAGCAAGGAGATAGACTTCGGGAGGCTATGCAAAAAGATGAATGAATAAGATAAAAATAAAAAAAGGCTCACCTCAGGAGGCTCATACCCAAGACCATTCAGCTGCCCATCCTGCCAGCTACTGTCAACCACGGACTGCAATCCGTCATGGATCCAACTTATGATAGTAGACAGGGTTTCCTGTTACCTTCCATAGTTGGACTCGACTCCATGATGGAGTGGATTTCAGCCCGTGATTGACCAGTAGCAGGCAGCCAGCCTGTTTCCTATTATAAGTCGGCTCCATGACGGATTGCAGCCGTGGTTGACAGTAGCAGGCAGGATGGGCAGCAGAACGGTCTTGGGTAGGAGACTCCCGAGGTGAGCCTTGAGATGGCTCCTCAGGATGGCCTGTGTCAGCATTTATATAGTCTTTCTAGGGGGTGATAGCTGGTGTTTGACTTGGCGAGGTGCTTGTAGCAGGAGGGTTGAGCGCGATATAGTTGGCCTGCTCCATTCTTTCAAAGCTATGGACATACCAAGTGTCCCATCAAGTTCGGCCATAATACTAGGTATAGCATTGATGCCACAGCTCAGTTGTTGGAGGGCGTTGGGGGTGGAAGCAGTGATTGGACAGAACAGACCGGTTGTGTTCCCGGGGGCCGTACTCAGGGCGCCATGATGATACCTATGTTGTGCGATGGTAAATGCGAACGGAAACAGGCGGAGCATCTCGATTCTTCGCCCAAGGATGCGAAAGCATTAAACTTCTTATACCAACAAAATCCCAACAGACCAAAAGTATTCGCACACTTCGCCATACTCCGTCTTCCGTCCCAGATCCAGTGTGTAAACACCCCGTTTCAGACCGTAACCATAACGAAAACAGACCCATAGTTACGCCCGTTTGCTGACTAGCAATGCCGTACTAAATAACCCATTTGTATGTCCCCCGTCTATACGGATACATTACCATTCCCATCTCAGTACTCCTCTAGCGCGCAATTCGGGTGCACCACGTAGACAACCCGCGCCGCCTGTGCCGAACTGCCCTCCCCAGCATTGTCATCCCCGGCTGCTAGGCCTTGCCCGCGGATGGCCATGAGTATGTTGTCCTGCTAACGTCAGTATTTATCCTCAACAAAAGGGGCAGCGAAATGGAGGCTAAAATCTCACCTTGACCATCTTCTTCAGCACTTTCTTCGCCAGTGCCATCTCGGCATTGTAGTCCTCCTCGCTCTGAAGCTCATCTTCCTTCTGCTCAAGATACCATTCCACCAACGCACCGCCCTCGATACCCTCCCCGCTGCCCGTCGCCTCGTCCTCGGCGACACGCGACACCAACATATTGACAATGCTGATGTACTTGTCGTACGAGATGGTCTGCTTCTCCCGCTGTTGGGGCGCAGCCGACCGCGACCGTTGACGGTCGGCTTGCTCGCCGTCCTCGGCCATTGGGGAGTCGCCATCCGCGTCGGCGGCGGCGGCAGCGGGGGCATCAGCAGTCGCGCCGTTCAAGTCCTCATCCTCGTCATCTACATCGACGTCGTCGTGCTCAACAGAGATGATGCTCTGCCGGAGCAGGTTGTACGCCTCATTGACAAAATCCGGCGTGATATCCTCCACACAATTGGCCTTGGCGATGGCCTCGGACAGGCGGATCATGCTCTCAAGCTGACGGACCGTGATGCGGTAGCTGTTCCTGCCGACGCCGCCCTGGGCGTCGTCGGCGCGCAGGTCCTTGTACCGCTGCACCAGCACCTCCTTGGCCTCGTCGGTGAACTCGGGCCGGAAGGTGCGCGCGAAGCGTATGTACCGCTGCAGCTGCTCGGTCGAGAACTCGGGCGTCACGGCCGCGTCGCGCATCTGGTGGATGCCGACAATGTGCTCGGCTAGGTGGCGGTCGACTTGCTCGTTGCACTCGTCCAGAATGACGAAAAAGAGGTCGAACCGCGACATGATGGGAGCGCTCATGTTGATGTTGGCCCGCAGCGTTGTCTTCCGATTGTACCGCCCGCCGACGGGGTTTGCGGCCGCCAGGATCGACGTCCGCGCGTTGAGTGTCGCCTGGATGCCCGCCTTGGCGATGGATATGGTCTGCTGCTCCATGGCTTCGTGGATGGCTACCTGGTCGGCAATGTCCATCTTGTCGAACTCGTCAATGCAGCAGATGCCGTTGTCGGCGAGCATAAGTGCGCCCGCCTCGATGGTGAACTCGCCCGTCTCCTCGTCCTTGACCACAGCCGCGGTGAGACCGGCAGCGGATGACGCCTTGCCCGAGGTGTAGACGGCCCGGGGTGCGAAGTTGCAGATATATTTGAGGAACTGCGACTTGGATGTCGAAGGGTCGCCGACGATGCAGACGTTGATATCACCGCGGAGCTGCATCCCCTCTGCCGTGTTTTTACTCACACCGCCGAGCAACTGCAGCAGCAGACCCTTCTTGACGATTTCGTGACCGTACACCATCGGCGCGAGCGACTGCACCAGCCTTGCGTAGATATGGTCGCTGTGCACCATGGCACGGAGGTCGTGGATCTCGTCTTGTGTGTACGACGTCAGCACTGCATCCTGGAGCTCCTTGATGGTCTCGGCGGTCTCAACGGCGGCACTCCCGGTCAGAGACCCAATGATGTCGACAATCTGTGCCTCGCCGGACGCACCAATGGACGACACATCCGGAGTCACCATGCACGCGAGGAAAGCCAGACGATAGGTCAGGTCGCGAACGCCGAGGGCTTTGAGCCCAGTCACGCCGCTGCCCCCCGCATCGGCTCCGCGGTCGTCTCGGACGGCCACCCTGCGAAGACCAGGCAGACCAAGCTGGCTGACGTCCGGAACGACGATCAAGGCGCCCGTGAAGATGCATTTCTCTCCCGCCTTTGCCCGGTCAACCAACTCGCCGCGAAGGATGACGTCCATGGTCCGAGGCATGCTCCCTGTGGGGATCTCATTGCTGTTCTCCTGGATGCGCACCTTCTGCCAGTCGACAAAGGTGCTCCGCCGGATGTCGAGCCGCCATGCGGTTCGGTTTTGGCACGTAGCGTTGGGGCATTGAGTCGGTTCCGTGTAGCGGAAGGTCTGTTCCACGTCAGGAACCACGCTGAAGCAGGCCTCGCAGACAAAAGTGGCCAGAGCCAGCTCGGGCCGGACTTCGGATGTCCTTGTGACGGTGCCGCTGATGGAGAGCAGCTGCCCGACATTTCTAGCTCGCAACGCGCGCACACGCGAAACCAGGGGCAGGTTGTAGAAGGCAATAGCGAACAGCTTATCGGTCTGCTGGTTGGCCGTCTTGCTGCTGAGCTCGCTCTGACTCGCTGAGCCCATGTTGCTGCCGCTTGATGTGTGGTGCTGGCTAGAGGAGGTCGGCTGGCGATGCTCCCGGAAATACCGAGGTTCGTACTTGGCAATCATATTGTGCAGCGCAGCCGTGAGAAACGGCAGGAAGCGGTAGTATGCCTCCATAACGGCCGAGGCCAGGGATCCATTGTTCCAGATCTCGAGGTGCTTGTAGTCCACGTAGAAGGTTGACAATTGGTGCGTTCGCATGCCGTGGATCTGGGCGACGTAGTATTTGTCGGTCGTCACAGCGCTTGATGTCGGCTGCCCGGAAGCCATGGGAACCTCAACGTACCTACAATCAAAATGCTGGTCAGAAACAAAGGGACAACTTAGACACCTTAAACGGCCATGGCCACCCACCCTTCAATGAAGGCCTCAAAATGCTCCTGGATGATGAGGCCGATCTTGTCCTCGACCCTGGGGATACTGGCGGGATCCGTAGGTCTGGCACGGACAGGAACCTGATCGTCGGCAAACCCTTCACCTTCCCCGTCACTAAGCCCACCGAGGCTCTCAGAAGGCGGCGCACCAGGCCGCCCGCTCGAGGAACTGGGACCTTGGCGTGGCCGTGGGTTTCTCGAGGGTCCATCCGATGTCATAAATCCAGCGTCGCTGGAAGCCTCCATTGGTGTCGCCATTGCGAATGAGCCTGTCTCTCACAGCCTGCGTTGACGAGACAGCAGTGGGTGGTGATTGAGGTAGCTAAGGAAAGTGGGTTTGACAGCAGAAGAAGTTATCAGTCACAGGGCAGACAGTCCGATAGGTCAATGAAACGCGAGAAAACGCGTGGCTAAACACATTTACGCGACGTGAGACGCGAAAGTGGGCCAAGTTTAATTGCTCCGCTAAATGCATAATGGCAGTCAACTGCATAGAGAGTTAGAGATAGCGATACAAGTATGCCCCCTATGCGGTGAATCAATGCCTCGAGGCAATTACACGATTTCGTGCATTCGAGGGAGAAAACAAACCTAGAAGCGGGAAGAGCAAAAAAAAGCTCAGGTTGAAAGCCAAAATGAAGCCGTTCCGCTACCATTACCAACTCTGCCACCAGACGCCCTAGCTAGATGCTGCCATATCCGTATGTATTGTACACCACTGTATTGTACACATTCATCCTTGGTATTGAAAGTAGTCAAGCTTATGTTACCATCCCCACGTCCTGCTAGATGCCGTGAACACCGGCGGCTTCCACTGGATCCGTTCCGGGTCAATCAGCCGTTTCTGCTTCGCCCTCGACTTCTCCCTCTGTTGGATCAACTTCTCTGGTATCACAATCTTGTGCTCTCCCTTGTGGTAGACTTGCATCTTGAGTGCCTGAAGCGTATGCTCCACATCTTGGGTCGTCATGGCGAGCGCTGTAGCGATCCCCTCAATCGTGCACTTTTCCTCACGCTCACTATACCCAAGCAACAGGTCAATAATGTTCTCGGACCAGTACTGCCTGTAACTCAGAAGACCCAAATCTGAGAGCGGCTTCTCTGGCGACCCGAGCTTGCCCTCTATCTTGGACAGCTCGTACGAGAACTGAATCAACAACCGGCCGTACCCCTTTCTCTGGTACTGGGGCAGCGTCAGGATACACGCAACATTGTATCCATCCGTGCTTTCCTTCTCCTTCGAAAAGTAGCCAATGATGTGATTCCCTTTCTCGTCCCTCGACGTCATGACGTAAAAGAGGAAAGGGTCAACGTCGTAGTAGAGCGTCTTGTGATCGAGAAACATTTTCGAGAGGAGACACAGGTTTCGGCACCACGTCCGTTGCCGTCTGCCGTCAATCTCGAAGAAGGATATAAAATCGTCCCTATAGATCTCGTTGCCTGGTGGGTGCTGGAGCGTACATTTCATCCGATGTCGTGTAAATGACTTGAGACTGCCATAGTAGCTCAGGCAGAACTCGCATATGAAGATGCAGTCTTCCTGGCTGAATACCTCAGGATAGGGAGAAAAGTACCAAGGGAACAGGACATATCGCCCAAATTCCACTTTCGAAATGTTCCTTATGCGGGCGATCTCGGCAGGGTTTTGCGTCATGGAGCCCGAAGTCCGTAGCTTTTCGATTTCCTGTTCCCGACTGAACGGATGCGTGTGCTCCTTCTTCGCAGCGCTCGCGGGTGTCTCGTCCTCGTCTAGCTCCATCTCGTCAGGTCCTATGCCGGGCGTGCCCCCAATTTCCAAGCTCGCATTCGCTTTGTCATCGCCATCTTCAACTTTGGGGGTCTTGCCCCGTTGCTGAGACTCGACAAATTCTGTCCACGGATGTGGCGTTTGGCCTTCGGATGCGACAGACTGTTCTCTCTTGCCCACCTTCTTCTGTGCCTTCTTGGACGGTTGCGACTTCTTCGATACTGCAGACGCTGTCTTCTTACTCTTTCCGTCCTTTTGCTTATCCTTTTCCGGATTCGGCCACTCGACGTCCTGCTCAAAGTCGATCCGGGAGATAGGTACCCATTCGTCTAAGCGCTTGTTGAAATTGTCGAAATTGCAGTAGAACTGCCGCCCGCTCTTGGTCTCCTTTATGCTTAGAATTTCGGCGCGACGGAGCTGCCCGTCCTTTGTGACAAGGGCTATGCATCCGACTCTGAAGGTTATTATTAGCCAGACTTCGTGACTGAAAGCATTCTACATGCAACCTACTTGAGGGTGTCCGGGGTGGCTTTGCCTTTCTGCCTTGGTCCATCCGAACCAACAATGGCGTCTCCATTTGCGCCGTTGGGACTCATGATACAATCTGATGGCTGGGGTGTTATATTGATGAAATCGTGTCTGCCGAACAGAGGTGCTGTTGCATGTTTGATGTAGGAGGGGCAAATGCAAAGCTCCGCTGAACGGTAATCTACGATAACGCCTGGCTAAGGTAGGTCTTCACATGCCAGAAAAAGTGGGCCTGATACCTTGATGGCACCCCAGGCACGCAATGAATTTATCTCAGAATCAGACCTTTTTTGTGGTCGTAGGGCGCTTCGCGCCGGGCATCCAGGATTAGGATTGAAGTGTGTCCTGTCATGACAGTAATTGGGCCTGTGCGTGTATTGGCTAGGACAGATCCTAACCCAATTTGGGTAGGCATCCATCCGGTACATGACAGACCTACATTTCTTCCTAGACGCCCAAAAAAAAACGTCTAAGGAAATAATTGGACTCCCTGCGAGGGTCCCTTAACAAGCCCTATACAAATTGAGGATGACCACCCTATTCAACCACGTTGTGTATACCACTACTCCTAGTTGTAGTAAAATAAAATATACCTTGAAGATCTCTGGAGGTAGAGGAATCGAATGGTATAATTTTTATTGTAATGCGGCTAGTAGAAGTGCAAAAGGTTGCCCTAAATATAATTGGTTACATTCTTTAATGTAACGAATCCCGGTCCCCTACCACTGAAAGGGACTCCTCAGACTGAAGGCTGACTTGAACGGGGTGAGGTTCGGTAGAGCCAAAGGGTCTACAACAAGTGCACAAGCAAGTGTTCACACAGTAGTAAAGACAACTGCTTGCATTGCTTACTGGAGAACCTCCTAGAGGCCCCCCCCCCCCCAGGGAGTGACTAGCTAGCTAATATACTGAAGAGTTTCCTTTTGTCCTAAGCTTGCCCTTTGTGGAGCGCTGGGAGCGCATCACGCTCCCCTTGTGATTGGCGTCTGTCTTGTTCTTGAATGATTGGCTGGGGCACGCCCCATACCTCACGCGGCTGCAGCCTCTCAAGCCGCCCATGTAGTTATTCGTAACACTTAACAAGGGTCCTAGGAGAATGCCCCCCTCGAACTTTGCACCCAGTAGTCGCCCAACTACAAAATTCTACTATAATATTAAATCGCCATTGCTCTTCCTTAGATAACAATTACCTTGTTGAGATTCGTATTCGTATAAGGCCAATATAGCCCGGTGTATGGAAGGTCCTAAGAAGGCTTTGGGGCGATTTGATGTAGTGATGAGGCTCTTGGAGCAGTAGAAGGCTAGATACCCTAGCGAAGTTAAATATGTTAGCTCCTTGGCCCAGAAGAGAATATACTACAAACTGCAGTATAAGGTAACGTCGCTCTAGGTTGCCTATAAATCAGGTTATCAATTATATTCTCTGAGGAACAGCGATGGAGATATAGACCAGGGAAAAATATCTAGAAGAAAGCCCTCTACTGGGCAATTCTAGAACAGTTATCGGATCGCGAATAGCTTCAATAATAGTGGGTTGATAGCTCTAGGGCGGTGTGTTGCATTGCATTGTTAAGGAACCCTGCAGAGGATTCCGATTATTTCCTCAGACCAGTGTATGCCTATAGTCAGTGGGGAGAGTTTGGGTAGTTTAATTGGCTAGAATTAGCTAGTGGTACATATCTAAGTCAATTACAGCGCTAATGGCCACTAGTACTAGGTTACATACCACGCACACACTAGTCTGAATTCTGAGATAAGCAATGAATTGCATTTTTGAGATTCGATGGGCGTAAGGTAAATTACAAGATACGGTACTTTTCGTATTCGTACAGTACGTGTGAATCTCATCTCGAAAATGAGAGAAGAGGAGCTCCAAAGTTCCAGTACAGTACACGAACTACCTCCGTACCTCCCTGATTTTGAGGACCTGTGATGTATTTTTTCGCACTTAGGAACAAGGCTTATTCCACTCTTCCATCTCTTCTCATAAACCTTTACGATGCAAGCTTGACAACTCTCACGAAAAAAGTAATATCCCAATCCGCGGGCTGCAGTCATGGCACCCGAGCTCTCATCGAACTGGAAGAAACTTCAAGCACAGATCAAGGCCGAGAAACCCGCAAACCCGGCGACTCCGAAGAGAAAGGCAGGCGACATCGGCCTTGACGAACAGGTCTCAGGGAGGAAGAAGCAGGGGCACGCTCTAAAACAAGAACCAGCGCAGCAGCCAGCTAAACCGACTTTTGATTCCAAGTCCAAGTCCAAGGAAGGGAGACGTCCTCAAATGGGCAACGCACAATCCTCCAAGATTGACCCTGTCCATCCCAAGCACGGCGTTTCACCCTCACTCGCCCTGTGGGCATCTGAGAATGACATTTCCCCGGAGCAACTAACTGAGGCTTATGGCCTGGGCTTGCAATCCAACTCCCTCCTCACTGAGACGCCTGCCCGTCCCAACGAGGGGCTTGCCACCGGGCTTGAGTTAGGCAAGTACCTCGCCATCGACTGCGAGATGGTGGGAATAGGCGACGGCGGGCACGACCACGCGCTCGCCCGAGTCAGCGTGGTTGACTTTCACGGCCGGCAGGTGTACGATTCGTATGTACGTCCGCAAGAACGCGTCGTCGATTGGCGCACTCATGTGAGTGGTGTCAGCCCTCGCCACATGGCTAAGGCAAGGACGTTTGAGGAGGTGCAGAGCCAGATTGCAGAGTTGTTGAAGGGGAGGATCCTGGTTGGACACGATGTCAAGCACGACCTGCGTGTTCTCCAGCTGGATCATCCATCTAAGCAGATCCGAGACACAGCCAAGTTTTCGGGATTTAGAAAGTACGGCAACGGGCCAAAACCAGCCCTACGGGTCTTGGCCCGCGAACTCCTCGGACTTGAGATACAGACTGGACAGCATTCGAGTATAGAGGATGCCCGGGTTGCTATGTTACTCTTTAGGAAGCACAAGCCAGCCTTCGATGTCGAACATGCAAACCGGTACCCGGACCAGACGAAGCTGAAGCCAAAGCCAAAAGGGAAAAATGCGAAACGTCGCTGATACTGTGCGGTGAAGCCTAGCTTTCATCCGAATGCTGGGAGTTTGATTCACGAGCTCCATCCTAGCGGGCTTGGGTCTTTCCATAAACTCCCCATATGGGTACCAGAAACATCAAATCTCCTCCGATGAGGATTCCGTGCCACACAACACGTCTTCATCCACCCGTCTTCAGACCGGAATGTCCTCCATCAATTCTTTGGCGCCTTCTCTGCCAACAGTGATAATGACATCTCCGAGTGTCTTGGTTAGGAAACCAGCTTCACTGTACGAGAAGTAATACTGAATCTTGGCATTAGCCGGACGCCTCGAGATAGGGTATGGCAGGGTATTTACCTCCCACTTTCTCCGGAACACCTCGATCTCCTCTTCTCCCATGTCCGGGTGCTCTTTCTTCAGAGCCGGTCGAATGGTGCTGTTGAACGTGGCTAGAAATCGCTCCCTCCACAGCCGCAGGGCTCTGGCATAGTGGCCGCCGATATTCTCGACCTTCTCCACGATGAGCGTCCCTTTGGACTCAGTAGTGATGTGGTTCAGCAGCTGTGTGATGGAAGGGAGATATCCACCGGGAAAGATGTAGTGATTGATGAAACTAGGGCAACTGTCAGCAGGCATCCGCGATGCTTCAGTCCTGACTTACTCTTCGGTCCTGGAATACGCCTCGTGTCTGCCCTCGGGCATAGTGATACATTGGAACATAGCAATTCCTCCTTCTCTCTTCAACAGTCGATTCACACAAGAAAAATAGGTGCCGAGGTATTCTCGACCCACGGCCTCGAGCATCTCGATCGAAATGATCTTGTCGTACAAAGTCTCGGGGACTGGCAGCTCCCTATAATCAGCCAGCAGCACTTGAATGCGGTTCGAGCACCACGCCTCTGCGATGCGCTTCTCCGCAAGAGCCTTCTGCTCCCTGGACAGCGTCAATGTGGTGACGCGGCAGCCGGTCATACGGACCGCCTCTATAGCGAACGACCCCCAACCGCTGCCAATTTCCAAGACATGGTCTGTGGCCTTGATCCGGGCTCCCTCAATGAATCGGTGCAGCTTTTTCATTTGCGCCTGCTCCAGTGTCTCTCTCACTTTAACTCCAGGCTGCAACGGTTGCCAAATTGGGCAGGAGTACGTCATGTCCGGCGACAAGAACGCGGCGAACATGTCGTTACTGATGTCGTAATGGGACGAGGTGTTCAGCAATGAGTTCGACATGGTGTTGGTCGAGCGAGCGAGGCGCAAGACGGCGTTAGTGATGACCGACGACCAGGTGGTTCCGTTACCCAGGCGGTCTCGATTCAGGATAAAAAGCTTGAAGAATGCGGTCAAATCAGTGCATTCGACCTCACCAAGCATGTATGCCTCGGCAAAGCCCATGTCGGCGAAGAGAAAGAGACGGGTCCAGAACGAATCGCTCTTCACCACCAGCTCGACATGAGACACGGTAGTGGACTCGCGGGCAGCGCAGGTCGGACAGGCGAGATCAGCCTGCCCGGCTGCCTTGTCAAGGATATTCCAATTCGACTTCTTTCTGTGCTTCTGACCGAAATGATAGCGCTGGTGTGCCGGCTCGTCAATGAGCAATATCGAACCGACTTTGACGGATGAGAAAAGAGATAGCACCGCAGGCTTCGCGACTGCGCGTGCTGGGCCCCAGCTAAAGCCTCCCAGTTTGCTGCGGAGGTATGCTGTGCCGCGGTAAATGGGATCAAAGAGCGTCTCCTTCATAGCAAGGAGAGGATGATATAGCATGTTCGGTCTCATGTTAAAGATAGGAAGCAATGTTATCTTTAACGATGCTGCTCGTTCAGAGAACGGATAGCGATATTGATCTGAGACGCCTGTGGGCACCTAGGCGCCAGATGACGGAATAAAGCGACGGCTACAGGGTTGCTAGTTGGTGTATATCTAATACAAAAGCTTCACAAAGTGTCAGTGAACCAGTTGGATTAGCTAATAAACAAGAGACAAAGGTGACTTACATAGTGAAACTTGACCGGTATGAAGCAGGCCCAAGATCGCTAAGACCTGAAGTGAGTCCAAGTTCGAGAAATCCGAAGATTAGATCAGGTGTTGGATATGTCCTGTGCTGGTTTTGATGTGACAATGAAGTATAAACGAATTGGATTGCGATTTAAGTCAAGAAAATAGTGGTAGGGATGGGAGATTATTGTGCTTGTACCTATATATACCTCTGCTGGTTGGGGTGTGATTTAACCTTACCATATGGCCTTCACCGTTTGATTCAATGGGATGGAATGTATAGCCCAGGCTAACGAGGTCACCGGTTCACGTTGTATTTGCCTTCACCGACCCTGAGCCAAACTGTTCAGCAACCCAAGCATGAGACCAAAGCCGTATATCTACTAGGAGGTACACGATGGTGAGGCCACGTACTTAGAACGGCAATGATCATAAATCTGGAAGTATGTACATTCTGTGATCAAATGCTGTTTCCTTGACATGGTCCTCCTAGAACTAGTATGTAGTGTAAGTGTTCCCTGCGCCCCCTGCACTTCTGTTTAGGACTTGCTCCAGGAGGTTGTTGAAAGACTCGGGTGCAAACTATAAAGTAGGGCAGTACTAGTGGTGAGCAGCTTTCAGGGGTATCTCTTATGTATAGATTGTCAAACGATAGAAAACAAGCGAGAATAGAGCGAGGAGAAAAGATTCTGAGAAACCCTTGATATGATATGGCCCTGAAAAACTACTTATTATGTATGGACTGCTATGATGCTCTCCCAGGCGGAGCCGTACAACTACCGGCATTCAACACGGCCAATGTGAAAGGATCCAGGGTCACCATTTGTGAGGAGACATGGAATGGAAGACTTAGTTCCGTAGAGAGTCCAAGTGGCATCAAGACCAAGTTGCTGGCCATTTGTGAGTACATAAGAAACATGCAAACAGCAACTCATCACGCTGATGAACAAACAGAAGATGTAATGTAGATTGTAGAACAGCAAACTAGTACTTACCCAACCGCGGCAACCACAAGCTCAAGCAGGAAAAGGCAACGAGCCTAGACAGTGAATCCGGATGAGGGCCTGCAGTCGTAAGCCTTCCCAAATACCCCCAACCCATTGCTCATCCCACCCATCCTTTTCTCTCGCTGTCTCTCCCTTCCACCAGTCAACAACTGAACCAGGACTCAGACAACATTACAGTTCTCCTTTTTCCGCATTGCCCTCAACTGCTGACAAGGAATTGAGCGTCTAAAGATTTATCTCAACCTATTCTCAACTGTATGTACCTGTCCTTGATTGATGATGGAATTCCCTCTCGAAAATCCTTGTGTAAGATAGCGTGGATAGGTACCTATGTATGTCGTTGTTTCCATGAGACCCACCTACCCAATACGGTAGTTGCACAATGAAAGTGTAGATCCCCACTTCGACGCGTTCACTGCACTTCCTAACGCGTTCCACTTTAACACCTGACGTGTTCCATCTGGATTGCACCATAGAATAAAGTCGCCCAAGCACCCAGGACACCACCAAGGCACTACTGTACATACCACTCACAAGTCGCAAACCAACTACCAGAGTCAACATCAACCACAATGTCTCAAAATCCTCAGCCAATGCTTCGTCTAACCTCGGATGTGCCGCCCGACGAGACTCCCAAAGTGACGCCTCACCTCCTACCCTGTCGCATCCATCATGACGGCTCCGTTGAGCCAGCCGACAGCTTCTGGGAGCCCAAGGCTTGCGCAGGTGAGGTCTTACTCTGGAACACCACATATAGTCATCACAGCACCAGGACCTAATGCTGACTGTTGTGATTCAGATGGCACTTGCACGGCGTATTTCCGCGGCCGCAAATTGGAGGGCAAAACAGTCAAGCTCCCTGACGGATACCGCGGTGTCGTCGCCGTCTCTTCGCCGGACGAGGAGCAGCATAGACGGGCCGAGGAAGTCGATGACGTTGAAGTCATCGATGTCGATAACCTGATGCCCCAATCAAGCATGCAAGTTCAGGCCGAGTTCAGCGAGGTGGTGGTATGGTCCCACGAGACGGCCATCGACGCCTCCGCGCATCCGCACATGAGGGCTATACAAGAGTGGCTTGCACTCGCTAAGAAGGTATGCCACGCCATGGGCGTCTTGAGCGTCATACTTTGTACTCTGTGCTGACCCGGCTAGATCCACACATACCCTACTCCTGATGCCAAGCATAAGTGAGACCGTGTGGCCAGTCTAAACTCATCAAATTGCGTTTTGCAAGCCAGCTTAAAGATGGGCTTGCTGTTATATACGGCCTGAGCCATCTAACTATATTGCATCCCATCGGCGCCTATTTGAAATCGTCCGGCCTTTTCCCCTGTTGTACCTCTAACACTACCTTCTCGCTTTCTCCTCATCACCTCGCCCAGCCTCCTCACGCCCTCCAGGATATCCTCCTCATTTTCCCACGAAAAGCACAGCCTAATGTTCCTCGGAAACCTCGCCGCCTCCTCATCGCCGCTGACCTCGAAGAGCCTGCCGGGCGCAACAATCAAATTCTCCTCCTTCGCCCACCCTGCAATCTCTTCCGCATCAGGCATCCCCTCAGGCAACGTCAACCAGATGAAATACCCGCCAAATACCCCGTCCCCTTCCACTACCGGACCAGTCCCCGCCCCGCCGGTTCCATTCGCCCCCCATACCTCGACCCCAAGCGGACCGAGTTCTCTCTGAACCGCGTCGACAATCAAGCCATGCCTGCGCCTCAGCGCAGGTCTCACCGTCCCGGAAAGGTGGGCGTCCAGGTCGCCGGCGACCATGAGCTGGTAAATCATGGCGGCCGAGAGCTGGCTCGCTGCGCCGCCGCTGCGGTTTGACCCGGTTTGGGAGAAGCCGAACACAAAGTCGCGCGAGGCATGGATCCAGCCTGTGCGTGTGCCAGGCCCGACGAGCTTGCTGAAGGAGCTGTTGGAGACGGCGTGCGAGAAGCGCAGCCCGGGCGGGTCGTGCCGTGATGGCGGGAAGGAGAGGTCCAGTTGCGAGAGTAAGGGCAGGGGAGGAGGCGTGTCTGAAAGTGAGCGCGGTGCCGAGGTCGGCCATTGCAGCATATCGTAGACGTCGTCGGATATGATCAGCGCGTTGTGCGTTCGCGCGAGGTGCACCAGCTGCTCCCGCCGGGCCAGCGAGAGGGTTTTGCCTGAGGGGTTGGCCGATGTGGCGACGAGGTAGATGATGTGCCGGTAGACTTTTCGGTAGGGAGCGGGGTGTTTGAAGAGGGTCTGTGTATTGTGTTTAGTGCTGAACACTCCCTACTACTGCTTTGCCCCGGAAAATCAACCGGACAGAAGCATGAATCGATAGGCAAGACTCACCTCCTTAAGACCGCTCTCATCCCCAGCCTCATCATCCACCTCCCTCAACCTCCTCTCCAAAAACTTCAAATCAATCCCCCCCTCATCCTCCGGCACGGCCCTCAACCGCCCCGCAAACCCGGCGTCCTCAAAGATGGGACACGCCAGGTAGTAGCACGGCGCTACGGCCCACACGGCGCGCGTGTAGCCCGGGTCCGAGAAGGACTGGAGGATGCACGCCAAGCTCTGGCTCGCGCCTCCCGTGATGGCAATCTCGTCTGCGCTGAACATCCTCGTCTCGACGACCTCGGGAGACTGGTACTGGTACTGGTAATACTGCCGGGTAAGCCACCGCGCAAGCTCCTCCCGCAGCGGCTGGTACCCCGGATCGGGCCCGTACTGCAGGGCGGGGACGCTGACGGCCGGGTCGGCGTCGGACAGGACGCGGGTCGCGGCCGCGCGCAGCTGGGCGATGGGGAGCATTTTTGGGGACGGCCAGCCGCGGAGGAGGTTGATTAGCTTCTTCTCGTTCTCCTTCTTCTTCTCTGTCGTGCTTGTCCCAGATCTAAGGGTTTCCTCGTGTCCCGCATTCATACCATCATCACCAGTAGGAGTGGAGGTAGCAGTTGATGACCCGGGTTTTCCGGCTGTTCCGGCCATGGTGGATGATGATGCCAAGGTTGAACTGCACAATGAGCCGGAGGATGGTCCGGGATAGTAGTGGTAGGCGCGAGCGACCGGGCGAGATGGCTGCCAGTTGGATGAAAGATGGTCAAGCCGTCCCGTTCTGAGAGTAAACAGTCCCCTGAAGGCTTGGCCGAGTGATGTCATTTGCTCAGTTCCTGGGTGGCCATTATGCTGAGGTGATGGTGTGTGCTATCAGTCCGAATTCTTTATAGACCGCAGGGCGGAAGAAGGCAGGTGCCCTGGGCTTGACGAGCGTGGATGCCGTCTGCGGGGTAATTGGGTAGAGATGGCGGTTCCGCCACTCATTCCAGCAGCGCAAGATTGCATCGACGTGATCGTGGCGGGAGCATCCGAGACAGTTTACGACAACGGGAATCTCCACAAGATCACATTGGTGGAGATTCCTCACTTGCTACTGCCTAAGCTCGCTAAGGTACCTCGGACACATCAGATCAAGGCAATTCGCAAGTCTACAACCATTGTAAAGACAATCACAGCAGCAAGTTCAGGTCTGGTTATTGCTTCATGTTTCTGTCTGAGACTGCCATTAACGGGGTTGCGCTGATGATCCCATCGTATTGTCCTGCCTTCCTTGGCATCACTCTGAGAAAGTCGACGCAGAGCCATCCGCTCGCTGCTAATGTGAAATTCCCTTGTTTCTCCGGCCTATCTCGGGAAGCCAGACAGAGGTCGTCCATGTGCCCTGTCCAGTCCATTGCTGGCTCGTGGTTTTATTGTGGCTATGTTGCAAAAGCACAAGCAACAACCGAGTGCAGTCCCCTATTCCCGACAGCCTCTTGATTCCGTTCACCACCTACGCCTTCTTGGTTTGTGAATCTCATGAATACCTATACGCCCTCCCTTGATTCGACCTTTACAGACCATCGCAGGGGGGTTGAGGCATATCTCGACTTCCACTTGCTCCTAGACGAGAGCCGACAGGGCGGGGTCATTGCTGCGAGTGACCAGAGAAGCAGCCAAAGCTGCAGAGACAGGCTTGCTGCCGGGCTAGAACAGGAAAAAAAGAAAGAGAAACCAGCCAAAAAACAAGTACACTGCCGCTGGCTTTGCGAGCAGCAGCCTTGGATATAGAGTAGATCAACAATACGAGGTTATCCGGGTACTCGTACGGGCCTTGTTGTGGCCATGCATAGTCTCGGGTCGATAGTAGGTGCGGTGCACAGAACGTGTGCCATGTTTAGGTAGACGAGGATCCCTCTTTATATCTTACGTCGAACTCAACGCCTTGTGAAGCGAGAGTAACATCAAGTTTGAATCTTCGCAGTGGTGTTTCGGGGCCAGTTATCACGGCCTCGGTAGCTGCCCCGGTGATTTCTGCTGGGGTTCGACCCCGAGCCGCCCGAGCCCTGATCACCCGGGTATGAGGTTGATGCGTCGCGACCCTTGCCTTGCCGATGCGGCGGCCCCGTAGGATGCCGGCTACCACGCTGCCCTCCGCGGCGTGGGTTGCTGCGGGTCCGACCGAATGGGATGATGATCCTCTTGCTTTCGCTGCCGGGGAGAGATACATGCCAGACAGTTCCGGCGCCGGACACGTCAACGGGGAAGGTGATGGGATCCGCGCTCGACACAACTGCATACAGCTTCTTCGGTAGCGGCTGCGGTGACGGACAAATTTGCCATGCCGTTTCCGGGATTATGGTTGGAATACGAACCGGAGGAACCGAGCCCATCTCTTGCTCTTCAAAACACTCCTCTGCCATCCCCTTTGTGGTTATAGACTCGTCCCCTCCGGAAGGGAGCACTGCGGGAAGGGGCAAGGGCGGCTCAGCGATCCGCGGGGCGGAGCGCGAATCGCTTCCTGCTGGCTTGAGAGGCACATGTGTCTTTCGTCCACTAAGCAGATTGTCAATCCTGGTTTGCCAGGCATTGTCCGGTTTATTGACGGCCACACGTGGAGCATTGTCTTGCTCCTTGTATGCCGCCTGCGTTGCCCAACTGAAGCTCGGCGCTCGAGGCCGTGAGGGCGGCACGCGAGTACTGTGCGAATCCGGTGCACTTGACTGTGATTCTCTCGCTACGGATGGAGGTAGTCGGACAACCGGTTGTGGGCGAGGAAGCGAGACATGCGGGTGGGTAGCATCCCCATCAAAAGCCGGATGCCCAGCCATATCCGGAGGAGGAGGCGACGGAGACTTGGGCCGCTGTGCCTCCGTTGTAACTTCCTGGCGGACGTCGCGAGACGGGAAGAAACGGGAGCCCCTGGCTTGCTGCGGAGCCGACGCCTTTCCACTCAGAATTGAAGCTGAACTGATATCATGGGGAGCTGTGCTCTGTGTGAGCTGACTGTAATCGGTCCCCGCAGCGCTGGGCGCAGACGGCGGTTGCTGCGAGGTCGCCGATTTCGACTCGGCCGATGCCGTCCACAACTTCTCCTGTCCAATCTGGACCGTTTGTTTCGCGGCTGCCTCTGTGCGTATTCCCTTTTCGTCGAGCTTCGTTGGAAGCCATGTATCTTTGATGGCAGGCTGCATGTCTGTCAGCGAACGATCTTCTTCTAGTCGACGATCCCGCCCTTCGTATTGAGCATTGAGCATCTCCGAAAACTTCTCGTCATTGCGACGTACAGCAGCTGCCCAGGGGTTTTCCTTCGTATCGCGATCGCCAGTTGACTGATCGCTCCGTGGTTGTCTAGGGGGTCCAATCGGCGGCTGCCTCGCGGCAGGGACAGCCACGGTTGACTGTGAAGCGGATGTGGACCGACTGCCGTTGGGTGGAGCGATAGGTCCGGGACCGGATTTGTTGGCGATCTGCGGAAGCTGCGAGGTGCCTATATCCGAGACGAAGGTACCGTTGCCGAGACTACGGTTATTGTTATTTGGAGCGCCCCAAATCTTTGTCGAAGGTTGAGGGCCCCAAGAAGACGCCGGGTACCGATCGGATTTCGCCGCCGTTGGCCATGGGTGCGCATGGCTACTTCCCGGCGGTTGCTGACGAGATTCGGCACCTTCAGGCGGCGGCAGGGACTCCTTTTCAACTCCATTCGTAAGCGTTGCTGGTCGTCGGGAAGATTCTGGCAAGCCAGAGGTCTGGCTTGTTTGTTCCTGTGCCTTGGCTTGTTCTTGCCCGTGTGCCTCTTCAGGGGGCTGATCCTGAGACGCGAGACTGTCGCGAGACTGGATTTGCGTTGGAGTGGCAATCGGGTCCTTGGCTGACGCGACCTTGGCGCTCTTCGGTTCGGGGGCAGGACCCAGTGCCTCCAGCTTCAAACGAATTCGCTCCCTTCTAGCCGCCTCTTCTCTCGCTTCCTCCTCCTGACGGCGTCTCATGGCAAGTTCCCGACGTTCCCGCATCAGCTTCTTTTGAAGTTCATAATCCTGCTCGGTCACGGGTGCAGCTATGGGTTGATGGGCCGGCGGTGGCATAGGCGCTTGTGCGCCCTGAGGATTCGGGGTTGTATGGACGGTTCCTGGCGACACTCTGGGCTGCCAGCCTTGCCCTTGGTGCGGCGCCCCCGGAAGATCCGATGGCGAGAAATTCCTGGGCGAAGCGGGGCTGTCGCTTCTTCCGGCCGTCGATCCACGCCGGGCGTTGATGAGCTCAGGAGGTGGCAGGGGATGCTCAAGACCTCTGAGCCTCTGCCAGCTGCCGCTTCCGCCGCTAACGTTGGAAGACCCGCGGCGTCGGCCATATATTCCCTGCTGCTCGCTGCTCCTCCCCGTCTGGAATGCCCCGCTTGGCTCAACCGGCCCTTGCTGTTCATGATGAGGAGGCCGTTGAAGTAGCGCTGGTTGTCTGCCATGTTGCGGTTCCGGGCGTAGCGATCCACGCCGGTCAGGAACCGGTTCATATCGGCCAGATTGCGAGTTGAATAACTCCCTGTTGCCCGCTGGAGCGCCATCCCTCCACGGCGCTCGGCTGAAATCATCCGCTGCGATTTCCTTAGGAGGAGGCGGGGTATTGACTTTGGGGACGGCGGCATCCTTTGGCGTGGACTTGGCACTAGGCTGACTCGACACATCCACCGCGATTGGAGATACTTTATCAACCTTCGGAAGGGGCGCCCATGGTGACTTAGCCGGCGCCGGCGGAGCCGGTGGTTTGGCTACCAAGGTTGGTTTCTCTGGCGCTCCCTTCAAAACCAGACCCTTCCCAGATGCGAGAACGCCGGGCTTGACGGAAGGTGAGCTACCAGGCGCGGGCGATTTGGCCTTCTCTGCTGGCGTGGTCTCCTTTGCAGGCTGGCGAGAGGCTGGCTCTGGCGGTGGAGGCTGCGGGGGCTGCGGCTCGTCAGTATGGGTGATGGAAACCTTAGTTCCGTCCTTCCAAGTGATCGTGTCGGGCGCCCAGTCGTCATCGTCGTCGTCAATGTCAGCCCAATTAGCCTGACCCTTGCTTTCGTCGGGTTGGAGTCGACTAGCCATGTGAATTCCATATTTCTTCAGTTCTTCGTCGGTATACTTTTTGGGTTCGGGTGGAGGGGCGGCTGCGAAATATGTCAGTAGTCGTCGTTGCAGCATCTCGAGCGGAAATTTTGCTCACGTCGATTCTTGTTCCAGACGGCGTTTCCGTCGGGGGCTGAACCTGATTTGCCACCGTTTGGTCCAGTAGATGCTTTTGCAATCAGACCGCTTCCGGTTTTCGCAACCAACCGGGGCCGGGCTGCTGTTGTAGCACCAGACGGTGCCGATGCTGAGCTGGGAGCGGCGGGCGCCTTCTCCGCCGTCTTGGACAGCGCGGTGGGAGCGGCGCCTTTGGGGTTGAGGAATGTCTTATTGACGTTGATCGCCTTAAAAGATGCGGGCTTCTTGACGGCCGACGAGGTACGGCCGTGCCCTTTGGCATCGGCCTTGCTCGCAGACGCATCGGATTTCGTGGCCTCGTTGTCAGATCCTCCACTAACACTGACTTCTGTCGAGTTCACCAAGTCGTCAATAATGTCGGATATGTGCTTGTTTTCAAGTTCATCCGTTCCCCCTGAAACAGGCGCCTCGCCGTTTACGTGCGGTCGGTTGACGTCGACATTTTGCGAGTCGGTATCGATCTTGATGGTCTGGGCACGGGCGGGCGCAGCTCCGGTCAGCGGCAATGGGCATCAAACAGGCCGGGGGAAGGGAGCACTTCGGGACTCACTGGCTCGGGTACGGAAGTCAGAGTAGCTTCATCGGACCGCTGCTCTTGTGACTCAGTGGCCATCATACGCTTGTCAGGCAATCGGTGGTGTCACGTCCGATGGATTCTAATTGCCCGTCCACCAAGTCGCGGGGTCTTAATGATGTCTTTGTGATGGTATCTGTCGAGGAGAGAAAGAAAATATCAGCCAGGGAGCCGGAAGTCGACCAAGGGCGCGCAAAAAATCGGCATCCGAGCATTTGAATGGCCAGATCCGAAAGGGCTGGCGCAAATTCAATTGTGCCAACCGCACTTCTGTCGCGAGTATTTACCTCTTTATCCCTAGAATCGTTTTCGAAGACGGAGGCTTACTAGACCTCTTCGATTAAAGTATCGTGTCGCTAAGACGGGAGGGAAAAGGATAAGGTCGGGGGTCGGGAAAAGTTGACGAAGGTGTCGACCTCTGAAGGCAATGCGGCTGGTCGTCTATTTCGACAACTGACGAGTCGGCACGGTTGGCATTTGGCAGGTCAGAGCTGGCAACGTGGTTGGTTTGGGTCTAGCGCAGAAATTGCTCCACTCACGAGCGAGGACCCGCCCACTGAGCGGGCAGTGCAAACGGGATGTGAGCTTCGCTGATACAGGGACACCTGCAACTGGATCAGAAAAGTAATATAAATATCCTCAGGGTGTGATACGCATTGGGGTTGCAATGGATGACTCTACTCGGAGTGATTGATTGCTGTCTATCTGTATTTACCACCCCAGCTTCTCGCAGCCTTCCCGTCAGTCTGGCCGCTGGATTTTAGCCCAGAAGCTGGAAGGGTAATGTAGAGAACCGACAGCCGAGAGACAGATTGGAGTGACCTGACCTTCCGTCCAACTTCAAGCGATCACACGAATTTTAAGATGCTCCAAAGAAGGGTAAGGCATTCCACAGCCATCGAGGCTAGATAATCGAGCATCTTGAAAACACGACCCTTTTGAATGTGTCCATGCTGCAAGGAACAAAGGGAACTCGGTTACAGTGCATGTTGAGCACTTTGTCTATTTCATAACACTTATGTACAGACCAGGGGCCATCACCTAGCTGAGCGGCCTCTCACATATGATTTAGTGGGCATGGTTCTTGTGGTGGCCTAGAAGGTGTATTGTCAGTGGTCCATGTCGCTTCGGCAGTTGGCATCACGAGCACTCACGGAGGTGGAAGTAGTAGTTCTGAGCATAGCCAACGATGAGGAGCAAGACGATGGCATGGATAACGGCTAGATGAAAATTAGCAGCCATTCCCAAATAGCCCAAGACTTGCCACTTACGCTTCACCGTCGGGTTCTTGCCAAAGTGCTTGGCCTGGTACCTGCCGAGGATGCCAGTGGGCTTGACCTCGGGAGCCGGTCCTCGGGGAAGCTTCTCGTAGAAGTTCACGACGCGCTGCATGCGGAGAGCATCCCGAGGGGCGCCAATCGCCTGGCCTTCCAGTTAGCCAAAAGATCGATGTGTCCTTGGCCTCCAGGTTCCGTGAGTATCTGCCAAAGACACCTATCGCAATTCCGCCTGCAGGTCCGGGAGCGTCCAGCTACATCTTCGGCCCGTTTGGGGGAGTGATCTCAGACACCGTTCGGTAATTTGACACTTACATTCGGAGAGGCGACCTAAATCCACCAGTCAGCACCTATTTCAAGACTTTTGGGAGTAGATAACACCATACCTTGGGCGGAATGAGCGTCGAGAGCGCCCGGCGGGTGACGTAGCTCATGTTGAGGAAGTGCGTTGCGTGCGCTCGCAAACTTGTAAAGGACTCGACGATAAAGCGATTGAACAAGGTGGGCAAATCCCCAGCTGCTCGGTGCGCTGGTCAGGCTCAATTGGAGAGGCGTTCTTTGGGGGGGTATTTGCGCTGTTAAAGCTGGAACCGGCCTGACCACGGAAAACGCAAAGACCCTCGTCGGCAAGAGGTTGTTGCGCTCTCAGTTGGCTATTCTGAGCCGACCAATCACAGTGGATAAGGTGGGTCCCAGCAGCAACCAAGAATCGGCTCGACTTCGTACGCAAGCTTGAGCCAACTTGCGCCGAATTGGGAGCTTGGAATCGAATCAAGACCCCATCGTCGCCACCTACCACTCCCTTCCAACGCCTGAAGAGAAGGGTAACGCCATGTCCTCATTACGAACATCCTCCGCGGCCGCGCGGTTGCTGCGTAGTGCGTCGCAAGCCCGCGCCGTCCTTCCTGCTTCGCGACGCTTCCAGAGTGCTGTCCACGTCCCAGCCAAGTCAGAGGAGGAGGACAAGGAAAAGAAGGAGCATTCGCCGATGGCCACGCTGCCCCGGAACTCGCCCGACTACAGCGTCCCAATTGACATAGCTACATCGTACGATCCCTCTTATTCGGGGGCTCATTCTGCCTCTTGACACAGTCGATCGGTATTGACTCTATCCAGCACCTTCACTCCCGTCCCGAAGCACATCCAAGACGGCAGCGAGGATGTCCTCCCCGCGGGCCTCCTATCCGGCGCGCCGCTGGAGCTTCAGGCCAGGACAGTCCGGTAGGCTCACGCTTTGCCGTTCGCCAACTTCGGTGTATTACTGACGCCTCCGACCTAGCATCTTTAAACCCTCTAAGCCGGCGACCCAGTCTGGTACCAATATCGGCCAGAGGTGGCGGATGGACTGGGACGTTCTACCCAAAGGCCACAGATGGGAAAACCCGCTGATCGGCTGGCAATCGTCAGGCGACCACATGCAGGGCACCCACATCAACTTTGACACCAAAGAGGACGCCATCGCTTTTGCCGAGAAGCAGGGGTACGAGTATTTCGTCCAGGAACCCAACGAGCGTCACTTCACGCCAAAGGCGTATGCCAACAACTTTCTGTACTCTCCTGGCAAGTTGAAGCACATCCGTACCAAGTAGGTGGCGGTGGGAGGATTGATGAGCTGGGATTTGCATTGTACATACGTGGGGCAGAAGACTGCGTCGATAGAATGCCATGCTGTCAACAGCTTCGGAAGAATGTCGCGCACTGCAAGTTTCTTTCGCGAGAGAGAGCTCTAACTATATTGCACGCTGTACCGTGTAAAGTCCCGTTTCAGACGCAACTTGAGCCGCGTAAAGTCATCATCAATGCTCCAAACCCTAACCAGTCGACCCAATATCCCGTGAAAACGCCCTCATGCTGCTCCCAGGACCCGACCCTCGTAGCCACATTTAAATTCCCGCTACCGTCCCTAACGCCAGAAAGCCAATGGATATATCTTCTCCCGAGTCCATTAATTCGTCGCCAGTAACTGGTTCACGTCGTAATCATGGGCTCATCGCCACCGTCATGGTAGTCTGTGTTTTCCCCATTGAGACCCAGCTCAATTGACACTGGAAGGTCGACCTTCTTCGCCCTAGCCGAGTTTTCGGCCCAAGTCCGCATGCGGAGGAGCGATCTGATGGCGGCTTGCGCGCGCTCGTGCTGCCGAAGGTTCAACGCCTCGTTGACCTTGGCCGCTGTGCTCCGGCGAAGATCTGGGCTGAGCAGGGCCGCAAGCTCCGGCTGCAGTTTGTCGTGCGGAAAGAATATGAGTACCATGGTCTGTTCAAGATCATGCAGGAAATCGCGGTTTGTGGCTGCCCGCGGACCTAGCTTTTTGGTTGCAAACTCCACAGCCGGAGTGACATCCCCGCTGTTGCACTGCCGGATCAGCTCCACCAGCTGCTGCCGCAGCAGCTGGAAATGGAGCTCGGGGTTGCTATCCAGTAACTATGGTTTTGCCATGTTAGTCCGTGGCTACTGACAGTGGGTGTTTAAGAGATACGGGATGCCATGCGCTGCATCATTCTGCTAGTGGTTGTGCCTCATCACAGGCCAAAGGCCTATGCGTGGTGCATGATGGAACTCGTGTTCTAATCATCGCAGCGGGTAACAGTGTAAAGACGTGCCATACCTCTGCGTCTAGCTCGTTCAAGGCCGTTATGGCGGTCTCGATGTCGCCACTGTGGATGGCGTGCAGTATCTCCTGCCGTGCTTGGATGGACCGATCCTCGCTTTGGGGCTGTATATTTGCTTCTTTGGAGAAGTATGCTGCCGCCTTTGGGTACCCTTCCATTATCAGGTAGTCAAGGACCAACGCGTTAATGTCGCTGGCGCCATGGTCAGCACTAAGTACATACTATTTCGTTGAAGTTGAAGTAGAGAGTGCAGGGCAAGTCAGGGCTATAACGAGATGTGCAGGATTTCTCCACATAAAATTCAGAGAGATTCCCAATGATATGCGATCATCATGTTGCCATGTTCATGGGAACGGTCGCACGCCGCTTACCTCTTGGGCGCCTTGACGTCGGCCACTCGTTTGTCGAACACATGCTGGAAGGGAGTGGCTGTCGATGTTGAGGAAGTCTTTGCACACGAGAGTGGTAAGCATCTCAAACTACCGCTTGACTGTCGAGCAGAGGCTCAGGGGACACACACCATCCGGCCAAAGTTCTCGCGCAGATGAGCAAGTATGGTTTCTCGAAGAGCTGGATCGTCGTCAAGCCCACCCAAATCGAAGGCGGCGCTCCGGCTGGACATGTGCCTAGATGAAAGAGCGCAGTCGCTTTACATCTGTCTGCGCGTGCGACTAGACACAGGGTCTGCACTTTGGTGGGAGGTTGGGAAAGGAAAAAAATTGAACTGAAGTGGACTCGCGAGCAAAGGACGAGCGACGTTGGTCAAAACCTGAGCAAGCAAGAAGCGTCCAAGCTCTTTTGTGGGACATGTATATACACTAGAGTGTGACCAGCCGCATTGGCGGGGACTTTGCAGTGGACTTTGGTTTGGAAAAGAAAGAGCACTGGAACAGTGGTATCACAGCACTGGGCATCTGTGGCTTGGCCTAGGTAGTGCCCCGCACTGGCCACAGCGAGCCCTAAATGAATTCATCCCTTTTCTGGAATGGAGCATTCATCTTATCGATCCAAAGGAGATCCGCTCAGCCTTGCCCAGACTGATAGGACAACCTGGAAGTCCAGGCTGCAAGCAAAGCAGATTTCTTTTGTTCGAGCCGGTAGGTTTCCCTAGCCTTCTGCCTGGGAAGAGATCAAACGTGGATGCATCTTTCGCGATAATTAGCTGCTGCCGCGGGTCCTCCCGAGGTTGCCTGCAGGAAAGTTCCAAGATTTTAGCCCTGCCAACTCACTCTCCCCTGGCGCTGGTCGGCCTATCTCGGGTGTGTTAGCGTTTTCCAACCATGCCGGCTTCCGCGCCACCTAACCCGGAAGCCGGAACCAGCCACGTGGTGGTCGCCGGGGCAGACGACATAATCGCGAAGAGGGCTCATTATGCGCCGCCATGGGCCGATGTGAGCATAATTGGCATCGCCGGCAGCTCTGGCTCAGGCAAGTCGACACTGTCACAAGCCATCGTGAACAAGCTCAATCTGCCATGGGTCGTTATCCTTTCCATCGTGAGTCCCAGAGCAGCCTCCCAGACACGGGGAGACCTATCGCTCATACCACTCGTAGGACTCGTTCTACAAGAGTCTGGACGAGGAGTCGTCCAAAAAAGCTTTTCGAAATGAGTATGACTTTGACTCGCCAGATGTAAGCCACATTTGCCCTTGGAGATCCACGATCAAGAGGCTCATAGTCAGCTCAGGCCCTAGACTTTGATGTCCTGGTAGACCGCTTGCGAGACCTCAAGGCTGGGTAAGTGCTGGGCTTCCGCTGGGTTCAGTACCATGACTAGTCGCCTCTGACGAGTGTCGAATGTAGGAAACGGGCCGAGATCCCTGTGTACTCCTTTGAGAAGCATGCCCGCCTTGACCGGACAACATCCATCTACTCACCGCACGTCCTTATCCTAGAGGGCATCTTTGCCCTCTATGACCCTAGGATCCTCGAATTGATGGACATGAAGGTGATACAGTGCCTTGCTTGGACTGTGCTGCTCCCAATAATGCTGATTTTTTCCTTGGATACAAGATCTTCTGTGAGGCCGACGCAGATACCTGCCTCTCGAGAAGGAGTGCGTCTGAGCTGTCACCCCTCGCGTCACCCGACATCGGCTAACTGGCTGAAGTACTGCGCGACCAAAGGGACCGCGGCCGCGACATTGAAGGTATTATCAAGCAATGGTTCACATTTGTAAAACCGAATTTCGAGAAGGTGAGTTGGGTGCCCCAGCTGTCTTTGTCTAGGATAGCCCCTGACTTCCCAATGACAGTATGTCAACCCTCAAAAGAACGTTGCCGATATCATCGTTCCTCGAGGCGTTGAGAATCATGTGGCCATGTGTAGGTTGATAGCCCCGTCACATTGCAAACAAAATGGGTGCTAAACAGAGCAGCAATGGTGGTCCAGTTTATACAGCAGAAACTACTTGAGAAATCGACTCACCACCGTGCAGCCCTTACACGCCTTGAGATTGGGGCCAGCTCCGAGCCGCTCTCGAAGAAGGTGGTGGTCCTGAAGCCGACGTCACAGCTCCGCGGTATGAACACCATCATCCACGATATCGACACATCCAGCGAGGATTTTATATTTTACTTTGATCGTTTCACAGCCTTGCTCGTGGAAGAGTGCGTTGCTTATCCCTGCGTTGCACTGTTACGCCTTCTAACCTTGCCGTAGGGCGTTCAACAAGATTCCGTTCGTCTCGGCAGAGATTACCACGCCCCAGGGCCTTCCATACGCCGGGCTACGTCCCAAAGGGGAGGTTTCTGCAGTCATTGTCCTCCGTGGTGGTGCGGCACTGGAAGCGGGGCTCAAACGTGTGATTACGGACTGTAAGACGGGAAGGGTGCTGATCCAGAGCAACATTCGGACCGGCGAGCCCGAGTTGCACTTCCTGGTCTTACCCAAGGACATCGACCAGCACGAAGCGGTACTGCTCCTCGACGCCCAAATGAGCAGCGGAGGCTCGGCCCTTATGGCCGTGCAAGTGCTGGTAGACCACGGAGTCAAGGTAGACCGGATTGTCTTGGTCACGTACAGCGCTGGCCGGATGGGTCTCCACCGATTAACCAAGGCGTTTCCGGAGATTACGGTCGTGGTGGGCAATGTCGTTCAGGACACGGAGCAGAGATGGGTCGAGAAGAGGTATTTTCGGTGCTAGAGATGCTGGTTTGACGGGCTGGGTAGCGTTGACCCTGCATCGGAAGGGTCAATGCTAGCTCCAATTGGTGGGTTAGAAGTTGACATCGACTCAGAGTTGGAAATACGTCTTGAATTAACGCATTGGATTGCCAACGGAGACGAATATCTAAAGGTGTTGATATATCGCTCAGAAGCCACTATTTTGGCGTTTTCAGTCCAAAGACCCTACCAATGAAAGCATATATCACTCTTCCCAATCATACTAGACAGGGAATCCCTCGAAAGCCGACTTCGCGTTACTGTATGACTGTATGTATAATATCATGAACACCCCACGCTCATCCCTGGCAGTTGCACCTGAATAACAATACGCCGTAGCATCGCACAACGACAAAAACAAAGAAACATTAAAACAGATCCTACGTGAGCCCCCTTGAAAAACGATTCCCGCCGGCGGATCATATCCAGTTAGTTTCAGTGTGACTCGCCGAACCCCTTAGCTGGTCGTCGCTCTGGCTCGCGCTCTCGGGGGCGTCTTCCGACTCGTCCACGGGAGCGATATTTGTCTTCCTGAGCATGAACATGGGCTTCTGCCCTTCCTCATCGAGCTGTTGGAACAGGATGAACGGCTTCTCGTCCAGTCCCATACAGCGCTCCTCGTCGCCGTAGACTAGGTACAAGGCGTACTGAGTCCAGGGCGCGTTGATCTGGTATTTTTTCAGCGCCGCTTGGAGCACCTTGTCACAGGTTGCGTCCATGCTGAGTCCCCACGTCTTGAAGATGAACTCGGGCATCTTGAGCGCTGGGGTTTTGCGTTCTGCACGTCGCTGGTTGAAGGATGAATGGGCTGTGTGAAATATTGTGTATGTACAATTCACTGTAGGCAAGGTAGTTGAATTCGTTGAATTAACTGGAAACGCATTTCCTGGGCATTAGGTGACTTTAATTGCTTAGGAATGTTCAAACTCAAAGACGGCGAGAGCCGTGGGATTGTCGTCGTGGCTGCGGGGTTGCCGGAGGGTGTTGGCGGAACCGGGAACGCGAAACGGGAAAAGGGGTTGATGTGCTCATATAACCCTAACCCAAGGTCCCGGTGTTGGATAGTTAGGTAGCGACCCGGCTCAGCCTGGCTCCTGTAGTAATAGGTATTCCATCTTAGTGTTCCTGAAGTAGCTCCCTTATGATAATGCAGTGTACAGTACCTAAGTAATTGTGAAGCTGTAGCTGTCTCGAGTTGAGGTACAGGATTTATCTTCATCGTTTGTACAGTTCAATGCTGGTTTGTTCGTTAGCGCAGAACTCCCAACAAGGGTCCTAGTCCTAAATTCAAAAAGATGCCTCTAAACAGCCATAAACCACAACTCAACGAAGAAAAATAGAGCATCTAGTAATACTCAAAAAGGTGGTTTTATCCAAAGCCTACTTGCAGGCGAAAAGTGGCTATTTTGATGTTGAGATCTGATTTTTAGGTTGATGCTTGACTTCAAGTCAGGCGCTAGCGAACAAACCAGGGGGACATTGTAACGGACGTGGAGTGTTGCCAGCACACTTGCCTGAATTTTACCGTAATGTTGCCTAGACGGACAACCCTGGCCCCAATCGATTGGTCCCAGCTGCAGTGCTACGCTAGCTCCGCTTCCAAGCAAATCACTGACGTCGTAGCTTAAGGGATCCCCAGTCGATCTTCTTGGAGCTGGCAATTCGAATGCCCTCAACGCCAACGACCAATTTCTACATTCGTTTTGAATCATCCATATCTTCTGTTTTACTCTTCAATTAGACTTCCCCTCTAGATTTCCAATAGTACCTTCAGCGGCTCATTTCGGATACCCTTGTCAGCAGCAGATCATTCGCACCTGAGTCCTTCTGTTGACGTCACTGGGGACGGGACTTTCTAGCGCTCAACACCACCGACACTGGCCAGAATGCTCAGCTGTCGGGCAGCTCGACAGGCTGGCAATCTGGGATCCCGGACAGCGAACCCTACTGCCAAGATACGGTGGCACAAAACTCAGGCTCATCCTTTGTTCACGAGGACGTCTAGATCATGGCCAATTGCACAGCGAACCCCAGGCGCAATTGGGTTACCGTCAACGAGATTCCCTCCAAGTCCCGCGAGAATAACGCCCGTGCGCCAATTGTCCGGAGAGCCACTTCCACAACGAAAGACGAGATTCTTAAACTTTGGGTATCGTCTTGCAGCAGTGTTTGGCAGCTCGGTACTGCTCCTCGGCCTGGGAGTGGTTGGTTTCTTCATCTATGATGCGTCAACCTATGCCTCGCACGCCAACCAGGCCGACATTAACATCTCCCGGGTCGCGCTCAGCCCCCGACGCGGTGGTCCCAAGAACCTTCCAATATTGGAGGTCTACCTCGACGATGAAGACAGCGAGGAGATGCGGAGACAAAAGGACAAGCCCCGGCTGGTGATCCTGGGCGGCGGCTGGGGCGGCGTCTCGCTTTTGAAGGAGCTCAACCCCGAAAACTACCACGTCACGGTGGTGTCTCCGACGAATTATTTTCTCTTCACCCCGATGTTGCCGTCTGCGACGGTGGGGACTCTCGGGCTAAGGTCGCTGGTCGAGCCGATCAGAAGAATAATACATGGAATTGGAGGACACTTCCTCCGTGCCCGTGCCGAGGACATCGACTTCTCGTCGCGCCTGGTTGAGGTGTCTCAAGAAGATTGCAATGGTGTCGAACACAGGTTCTATGTCCCATATGACAAGCTGGTGATTGCTGTTGGGTCGGTCACAAACCCGCACGGCGTAAAGGGTTTGAACCACTGCCATTTTCTCAAGGACATTAATGATGCGCGGGAAATTCGCAACAAGGTCATCCAGAATCTAGAACTCGCCTGCCTGCCGACTACGACCGACGACGAGCGGAAGCGGCTGCTCTCGTTTGTTGTGTGTGGCGGCGGGCCCACTGGCGTCGAGTTCGCTGCCGAGCTTTACGATCTCCTGAACGAGGACCTCATCCAGCTCTTCCCACGGCTCCTGCGGAATGAGATATCGGTTCACCTAATACAGAGCCGAGACCATATTCTCAACACTTATGACGAGACGTTGTCCAAGTATGCCGAGGACCGCTTCGCGCGGGATCAGGTGGATGTTTTGACAAATTCTCGCGTGAGCGAGGTCCGCCCCGACTCGATCGTCTTCACCCAGAAAGCAGAGGATGGCAGCATAATCACCAAGGAGCTCCCCATGGGATTCTGTCTCTGGTCGACAGGTGTCTCTCAGACCGAGTTCTGCAAGCGCATTTCCAAGAAGCTCGGCAGCGCGCAAACCAACCGCCACGCGCTTGAGACAGACACTCACCTCCGCCTCAACGGCACTCCGCTGGGCGACGTCTACGCCATCGGTGACTGCGCCACGGTGCAGAACAACGTGGCCGACCACATCGTCACCTTCGTGCGCAGCCTCGCATGGAAGCACGGTGCGGACCCGGAGAACCTGCAGCTGCACTTCTCGGATTGGCGCAGCGTCGCCGAGCAGGTCAAGAAGCGCTTCCCGCAGGCCATCGGCCACCTCAAGCGCCTCGACAAGCTCTTCGCCGAGTACGACCGCGACCAGTCGGGCACCCTCGACTTTGGCGAGCTCCGCGAGCTGCTCAAGCAGATCGACAGCAAGCTGACCAGTCTCCCCGCCACCGCTCAGCGCGCCCACCAACAGGGGACCTACCTCGCCCACAAGTTCAACAAGCTGGCCCGCGCCGCGCCCGGCTTGCAGGCCAACGATATCGTCGAGGGCGATTTGGACGCAGCTGTGTACAAGGCGTTTGAGTACAAGCACCTGGGCAGCCTGGCGTACATTGGCAACTCAGCCGTATTTGACCTCGGCCCAGGAAGGAGCCTCGCCGGCGGCCTGTGGGCCGTGTACGCGTGGCGCAGTATCTACTTTGCCCAGAGCGTCACTTTCCGGACAAGGGTGTTGATGGCTATGGATTGGGCCAAGAGGGCCCTCTTTGGGAGAGGTGAGTCATTGATCTTATGTCTCCCAGTACAAGAATTGCTGTCTTGGACTGACTCTCCGTTGGCAGATTTGATGAGCTATTGAGTCTTCTTCGCGTTGTAATTGTTTAGAGCTGTCCGGGTGCCTGCATTGGCGTTCTGTCGTCGGCTCCCGGGGAAGCGATGTTAGCGATCATGGACGGATTATTTACCCTGGTAGGGGTGTAGTACTGCCGGTTGCACCATTATTGAGGTGGTTGACAAGAGCGTCGAGTTTGCTTCCAGGTTGGTGTTATGTTGTTGTCCAAGATCTGGTAAAGACTCGGTGTAGTAGGTATAGAGATGCATTCTAATACAACGCAAAAGGCTTCTAAAGCCGGATTTTCCATGCTCTTCAGTCCAGCAAGGTCTGCTGTAGCTATATAACCCTACCCCATGATTTGCCTTGAGTTACTTTAGAGGAGTGTGGTGTTGTACTCGATGTGTGTGGGCACGTTATCCGCCACGATCAGTAAGCCGCAGAGGAAGGACATGTTTCCAAGTTCAATCAATCACCAAGGAAAGATCATGGCATTCCTTCATCGCCCTCGACAGGATCAGGACGAATACATGTATTCTATCCCGAATGCCATTAATATGCTCAGTCCAATGTAAAATCCTTGTACGTCCACTTCTCCGTGATCTTGGTCTTGGCCTGCCTCCGGAAAGGAATCTTCCTCCGGCTCTCCATCTTACCCCTGACGAGGATGTTGCGGTACCTGTCTTTGAGGAGGTTACCTTCAGGTTTCAGGCGCCTGAGGGAGTCCTGGAGCTCGTCCGGCAAAACCAGCTCCAAGTCTTTCTCTGGCAGTTTGAATTTACCCAATTGCCTCCGCCGCAGCACGGTGTCGTCGCCCTCCTCGCTCGCATCGCTCATCTCGACCTTCTCCAATGCCAAAGCCCGTTCCTTTTCTGCAACCTCCAACGCGATCTGCTTGATACGCTCCGCCTGCGCGTGCTTTCGTTTCATGGCTGCTTCATGTTTGGCCTTGCGTTCCTCCTCCTTCCGCCGCTTGATTCGGTTCCTCTCCGCTTGCGTCTTCCGCCGTGGTCTCTTTGCCTTGACGCTCACTTCCTCGCCGGCGCTCTCGAATCCTTCCCAAGCAGAGTCTTCTTCCCACTCCGAGAGGTCCGCCCTTGCTTCAGCTGCTTCAGCCTCGGCAGCTGACCGTGCGGCTGCCTCCAACTTGATGCGCTCGGCCTCCAGGGCTTCCAGGCGCTTCCGCTCTGCTTCCACGGCCTTCTCGCTCTCTTCAATGAGCCGCTGTTGATAATCGGTGAAGGCAGGATTATAGCTGTGGCCGCCTTTCGGCTTCGGAACAGCAGGTATGGGCTTCCCGTTCGCTGAGAGTGAAACGGGCTGTAGCTCCATCGTTTTGGGCTTTTTCGGGTTCTGCTTCTCGACAGGGACTAAGGGGGCGTCTTTTGCTGCAGCGTTCGGGTCCTTCTCTGGCTCGGCCCAGATGTCGTAATCAGCATCCACGACCGTAACCGTGGACTCGTGCTGACCATCGGCCACCCGTTTGATTCTCGCTAGTTCCTTGTGCGTGACATAGTCGGTCCGTTGCCTTTTAACAGGGAGGATGCCATCGGTTGTCTTATCACCAGCCCGCTTGCGTATAGGCACAGCTGGCACAGCTGACCGCTGCGCAATTATTTCATCGGCTTTGAGTCCCTTCTTGGTGCGCTGCTTTGCAATTTGTTCCTTGAGTGCCACATCACCGACAACGTCAATAGTGAAGAGGTCGGACGAGTCCTTCTCGGCAATGACTCCTCTGAAAAAGGTCAGCTAACCGATAGTTCCTATTGGAACCGTCTCGCATACCCCTTGATAATCTGGTCGTTTAGCTCCTCGAGACCCTGCTGGATCTCGGAGACATCGACATTTTTACGCCATGCTTTCTTGCCCTTTCTGGACGGTTGCTTGTACTGTTGAGGGGCGTTAGTGTTGCCCGAAGGTGGCTTTAAAACAGGCATTCTTGAAAGTGGTGAAATAGCAAGAGTGCTGTTTGTCCCGATGGTTGAATGTATTGTACATCTAGGTGATGGACGGCAAGAGAATGTGGGGTTTGTATCTCAAAATTTCAGAGTTGGCGATAAGATAAGATTGTTGACCCTTGCAAGCTAAAAGCGGTGTGGAGCGCTAACATGGGGCCCACCAAGACCGAACAAAGAACGGCGCAGCGCGTGGCGCCCCTTTTCGTTCCCGCCAAGTCAGATCCTCGAGCCTGCCAGGTGCCAAAGCCGACACTACTCAACACCGTCACAAAGGAACCGCAACTTTCGAGGCATCTTTTGGCTCCAGTCTTGAACTCTATTTCGGAGGGTTTTGTGTCGGTATCTGGAAACCCAAGGTTCTGCGGCGCCAGCTCTGTCTTGTGCTTTACACCCTCGCGGGCTCCCTGGGCGCCCTTGATCCCGATCCCAACGATCCGGATACAACCCACCATCATGGCACAAGCAGGAGCTGGCGGGTCATACAACAACCCGCTGAAGAAGTTCAAGTAATATACCCCTTCGGACAACCCACGCTGTTGAACACTACTAACTCGGAGATCAGACTGGTTTTCCTAGGGGAACAGAGCGGTATGCGACTCGGTTGCAGATGGTCAGGGAAGGGAGCTAACAGCGCATTCATACGCAGTGGGCAAGACATCGCTCATCACACGCTTCATGTACGACTCGTTCGACAACATGTACCAAGCCACGATTGGCATCGACTTTCTCTCAAAGGCAAGCCTCGGCCCCCTATGCGCAAAGGTGGCGGGACACTGACTGTGTCCGGCAGACGATGTATCTCGAAGACCGAACAGTGCGGTTACAACTCTGGGACACTGCCGGCCAGGAACGATTTAGGAGCTTGATTCCATCTTACATTCGGGATTCGAGCGTGGCAGTGGTGGTATACGACATATCAAGTGAGCACCGACCGCCCTGTTCTCGGGAGGGAAAGTGCGTGCTGAACAGAACCCAGATTTGAAGAGCTTCGAAAACACCAGGAAATGGATCGACGATGTGCGAGCCGAGCGAGGAAACGACGTCATTATCGTGTTAGTGGGCAACAAGACGGACCTGAACGACAAGCGTGAGGTGACGACACAGCAGGGCGAAGAGGAGGCCAAGAGGAACAACCTCATGTTTGTCGAGACGAGCGCCAAGCTGGGCCACAACGTAAAAACGCTCTTCAAGAGGATAGCACAGGCGTTGCCGGGGATGGAGGGTGCCGATGCCGCCGCACAGGCGTCCAGTCAGATGATCGACGTCAAGACGACTCCCAGCCCGCCACAACAGGAGGGCTGCGCATGCTAGATGTGCAGCGTCGCATCGCTTGAGTTGAAGGTTCGGTTGACGGATATGTACACCCGCTGAGAATGTGCTCACACGCCAGGGAAATAGAGCCGAGTGGTTTATGGTGATTTTGATCGGCTCATAGCGTTTACAACACTGCAATCTAATAATATTTATTCATGAGGCCTGGGTTTGAATCGATAACCATGGTATCGCCTGTTATTCCCCTGCAACTTTTGTGTAAGAAGATCGAAAGTTATCATTGGTCTATTACCACTGGTCCCCGCTCACATCACCCGGTCGATATTCTAAGCCCGTTGGTATGATGAAGCCGGGAGTACCTGAATGTGTAGATAATCAGATAACTTATGACCCAGACGCTTCGCGTAACGCCCATTCGATAGGTAGCCGAACCAAGCACCCCATAATGCCAGGCGTGTGGGCACCATGCGTCTTGGAATACCGAAGCAGGAATAGCATCGTAGCACATGGCGCTCCCAGCTTGTTTATGGGCCTCGTTGCAGGGCTGCCTTGACCCGGGTTTCTAACCCACAATCAGTTTAGACAATGATGGAGATGCCTTAAACTGGACGGCCAAGGGGCGCTCAGACGTGAGAGGATTCATCGGGAGACCGAGGACACCAGTTCTCTCAACTCCGAAAAACCCTTCAATCCGTATCCATCTCCTCATCACCGTCGTCATCGTCGTCATCGTCATCCATATCCTCGTCGACATGGCCGCCAGTCGCCTCGGTGATCTCCTCGACACCGCCGTCCGTCCGCACCCTGAGCCTGCGCACCTCGCCACCAAATGCCTTGCTCTTCTTGCTCGCGCGCAAGTTCGCCAACTCCTCGCGCTCCAGCTCCTCGACATCGACGCCGCGCTCGGCAGCCAGCTCGGCCAGGCGGCGCTTCTCGCTGCCGCGCAGGCGGGGCAGCAGGTGCTCGTTGGCGGCGACGAGTTTGCGGGCGGCCGCCAGCTCGCGGGCGCGCTTGCCGGCCATGCGCTTCTTGTAGAAGACGCGCTCGCGGCGCGCACGGATCTCGCTGATGCGCTCCATGGCCTTGAGCGTCTTGGCGAAGAGCTCGCGGTCGTACCGAACCGGCACGTTCCGCCGGGCCGCGAACTGCAGCGTGCTGTCCACCACCATCTCCTTGCCCGCGTTCTTGCGGTATGCCTTGGTCCACTTGAGCTTGCGCGGGTTGCGCTTCATCTTGAAGTTCTTGTGGCATTTGGACCGGCAGAAACGAAAGGATTTGCCTGGGCCGTGGAGGTTAGTCTCATGCAGGATGAAGGGCAAGGAAGAGAGCAGACGAACCGTCATTTCGCATAAAGGTAATGCCCTTACTTGGCCACGCGGGCCTCCCGCAGAAAAAGCAGTTTTCGACACGCATCTTGGGGCTCGGAACCGACCGTCGTCTTGGTGAGGTGCCGAGGGTTCTGTTGTCGAGCGCACAACCTCGATTGGGATTGATGCAGTTCTCTCGGTCGAAAAAATTGACCGCTTTTGCAGGCGAAAAAAAGTGGGGGCGGGGATTCAGCCTTATCGCATGCCAGCGTTATCGGTCCAGTTACAGTGTGTATGGTTAGGGTTATAACAAAGGAGTTGCAGTTCAAGCCAAGGCTGCCTTGGACCCCAGTGGGGCGCCAGGGCTTAGTGCAGTGGGTGGCCGGACTCCACTTCACTCCCTTCCTTGGCCCCCTGCCCAAGAATTAATTGAGACCGCAAAACCGAGTTGTACCGCTGTTGGCCAGGAAGACGATCAACAAAACTGGTTAATTCAACTTCCCATAACTTAAAAGTTGCTTCGATTTAGATAAGCGGATTGAAGACAGCAGAATGCTTATATTGATATCAGCTTTGCAGCTATTTTAGACGGGTTGTTGATGGTTGAATGTGGTGGGTGAGCATTTGCGGTCTCAATTAAATCTTGGTCGAGGAGCTTGGGACCTTCATCGCCTGGGAGTATTGGCTTGGAGCCCTTCGGTAATCTGCTTGAAGCTTTGCGAACCTGCCAACCTGGAAACGCTTTCCTCATTACGGGCTTACCGTCTCGGGGACTCAGGTAACGTTGTCCTGTGTTGGTAAAGTCCCTAAAGCTTTTCAGATTCGGAATAGGTTGCGTGGCTTGGGTCTTTGGCTGGTGCCAACTCCTTGCACTGGGCTTGGCTTCTCTCCTTTAAAACTGTGTTGCAGAAATTCAAGTCCAACAATAATTCTTCACACAAGTAGACAATTCCTTGAAACATGGCTTGTAAGCTAAATCGAGTCTCTTGTACTCCTCGACTTCTCAATTATCTCTCCTGCAAGCAGCATACATCCTACAGTTGTGTGTAAACAGATGTGAGGTTGGGTCGTTAGGATCAAGGTGCTCCACTCGGTGTCCTTGGCCGCGGGGGAGAATCTGGGGAAGTGGAGTTCCGTGAGCCATGGGTTCCACCAACGTTTTCCTCTGGGGCGCTAGCACGCGACCATGAAGCAACGTACCTGATTCAAACCAGTATCGCGATCAAATATCCAGAGATCTTTCGCAGGAAAGCTCCCTCGTGCCACAAGCACATAGGAATGTTTGTAACTTGCTGTGTTTCCAGTCAATTGGGACAGATCCCGTGATAGACCTTCATTCCTGGTGCCAAGCGGTTGCTTCTTCCCCGCTTCCTCAGCCTGCGCCGTGGCGCCATGTCGAGTCAGCGAGAGGACAGAGGCACGTCTGTGAGAGTAGAGTGACGTCCTAATCAAGCCATGATTGGCCCTTTGGATATTGTTTGGGACGACTTTACCCCGCACGGCACCATGCCTTCCTTTCCCTCTGGGCTCGCTCCCAGGCCGCTTGGAGCACCAAGGTGGCAATGACTGGACGCGGTTAGCGGCGAAGGTGCTGGTCGCTTGGATTTCAGTTGTCTCGCAGCTGCCCAAGGTGTGCCAGGCATGCGCACCAGCCCCGAGAGCTTGAAGGCCCGTGACAGTCACTCATAAAGGGGGCAAGAGGCCCCCTCTGCCGCTCCGTTTCTCTGTGTGACCCTCCCTTACACTCTAGGCCTTTTGTTACCCATCATCAGCAATCATCAAGACAGTGACTGGAAACGACTTTCTATCCATCGGAACTGCGGTGCCTGTTCGATTCACCTCTACGGTCAATAGATCGTCAAAACTCCTAGCAGAGGTAAGCAGAATCACACGTTGCCCTTCAATCTCCTTTCTGTTCCAGCCTCTGTGTCTCGACCAGCTGGCCGTTCGCCCTTTGCTGCTGTTGCATCATATCTCTCTGCTCAAATTATCTACGCTGTCCATAGCCCATCACCATTGAAGACTCTAACACCCTACATTCAGTATCACACTCCGTTCTAACACTCAAACGCCTTTACACAACTTTTCACACTCGCCAACATGCCCGTCCGCATCCCCGCCGCAACCCGGACTGAGGTTTGGTGCATGGGCGCCGCCGGCGTCACCTCGTTGGCCCCATTCTATTTGATGGCCCCGAGCGCCAACGAACGCCTCACCAAGCAAACCACAAAGTGGGCGCCGCGTTGGGAGCGCAACATTACATTCTTCAGGACTCCGGCAGAGAGAAGCATCAACAGAATCAAGCCGCCGGTTGAAAAGGCAGTTCAGAGGCTGGAGCAGAGGCTTCCATTGGAGAAGGTCGCCAAACGTGTTGACAGGGGCATCAAGAAGAACCTTGATCGCTTGGGGGTCAAGCACACCTGAGTGAGGAACCGAGAATGACCTGGATGGAAGTACAAATGCAGGTGTTTTTCCAAGGAACAGGCCCACGGTCATACAGCCTCGTACATAATACCCTGAAGCATTCCTTAGGTTTCCTGCACGATTTCGGTGATCTCGAAGACGGATTCTATTGCCGTTATTGGGTTATTACAGGCGTTGTTGACCCAGACAACGGACAACGTCGAAGAGCAAGGTTGCTCTTGTACTCTAGAGTTAGAGTAGCTATCTAGCCATGCTTTGATGTCCTTTGACTGAACAATGGTTCTCGTCATGAAGCCTCAAATCTTCCGCTGTCCCACCATGTTCGAGAGACAGTCTTCCTATATAGTTATGCTACCGGCAATTGAAGGGCGCTTGCATCTGCTTAAGAAGATTTCTACAAGGCACCAAGGTTTGGTTCGGACGGCGCGTCATCTCTAGCCCATTTCTTTCAGAATTTCTAAATCATCACTCGAGCAGTCTTCTTCCACCGCTGCCCCTTTCCCATGACATACCCGGTTAAAGTCCAGGCTAACTTGCAGCTTTTGCTAATCGGAAATATGCCCCTATCATTATATCTTACTATCATAGTGTTGTATACGTCGTGGGAAATTTTCGTGGCTATCAATCATCTGTGTGATTCAAATATTCGAATCGAGTTATTTAGAGTCGTAGGTGTCCGATCGTGATAACAATGCTATTCCCTATCCAGCACCACGCAAACTCATAGACCCAATTCTGTCAGTAGTGCTCTAAAGAGTAATGCAGAGTCTGCGCGGAATGGGCTAGCCAACTACTTCACGGGTCACTAGGTCCTAGGTCAACATGGTTGAGGTAGGTGCCCACATGTCGGAACACCGATTATGAGAGAAAGCCACGGGAACCAGAAGGGTACAATACCATGGTGTTTATAGCATGGCTCTTCGGCCGTGCTGCCCAAAGGTACTATCCAATTTATCCGGAGATCAATTTTGGATAGACTACGCTTCTCCAGTGGCCCGGGACCGAGCTAACAGGTTGCAGATCTCGGGCGCGCGAGGAATAGCAGAAACCTTAGGAGTTGGGGTTCATTGGCAGCCATAGGGACAGATAAGTCAACCAGACCCCTTCCTTGTTTGTCTAGGTATGGATCAAGGTCACTTTAGGGGGGAGGTCGTGAGGACGGTGACTTAGAGCTGGAATCGTTTTCCAAATCCGGATGTGTAAGTGAGAATGGGCCAATGGTTTCGGGGGGAATGTGGGTTGATGATATATCCACAACAGGGAAGCGATGGACAGCTGGCTCCAGCTGCACATAGTGTTTGTCATGTGGCGACGGTCTGTCTGCCAGGTCTTCGACAATTGCCTGTGCCATCGAGTCGATTTGGGAACTTTGGCTTGTTTGATCGATCGCAAGCTAAGTATTCATCTCACAAAAACAACCTGAGGGGGAAAACAAGTTTCAACATCGTACTCTGGTGTGTAGGCAGCCGTCAACGGTCTTCAGATTCTAAACACACCGTGTGCATAATGCCACAGCAATTGCATTGATTGTCTTGGCTGCCGGCACATCCGGTTCTGGGTGTCCTTGTGCTATTGTTGCAGGTGGGGCAGGTTCACTTCAGGGGCCGCTGCATCTGTCAGGTTGTTCGCAAACACATGCAACCTGCAACATCCGAGCGAACTGTGACTGAATTGCTGGCAGACAAGGTGGGAACTAAGTTGTTTTAGCAAAATGTCGCCCTCAAGGGCTTCCTGTTTCCAGTTGCCCCGTCCCAAGGTATGTACATACATACAGTATTTTCTGCTTCCCATAGGCGGCGTTTCAAACTGGAACCTTGAATATCGCTGACCAACATCGCGCCAGTCTTTCCTCGGCTTCTTGTCCCTCCAGACGGGCACCGAGTTGATATCGCTTGCGCTCGCCTTTAACAAGGCGGCGGGTATCTACGGGATTCTCACGCTGCTCACGGGCTACGCGATCTCGGCGTTGCAGGTGTCGGCGTACCTTGGCTCAATCCTCGTCCTGGTGGCGCTTGCCTTCTGCGTCCCGCACATTCGCACACAGAGCCCCTTCCATAACCTCGCCCTCGCCTGGCTGTACGTTCTCGACACCATCGTGAGCGCCGCTTACACATGCGCCTTCGCGACGAACTGGTACAGCGGCGAATATTCGGTCAGCATCGGGGTAGATGCCGCCTTACCACATGACGGGCAAGTAGAGCAGGACGCAAGCCACACAGCACAAAGCAAAGCGCGTTCTGGCGTCCAGGATACTGCGGCGAGCATAGTCCTCGTCATCGGGTTCACGCTTGTTCGCGTCTATTTCAGCCTCGTGGTCATGGCGTATGCCCGGACGGTTCTGCTACGGTTCGTCGATGAGAACATGGGGGAAACGGAGCAAGCGGACCCAACGGGCGAGGCTCCGCATCCTTTCGCCGTGGGCGCTCCGCTTGGCGGTGGTTTAAGGGGCAAGTTGGGAAGGCTCATGGTCTCAATTGGGAGAGGGTATTGGTTAGGAGGCAGGACCGCAGACGAGGAGTGGACACGGGATGTCAGTTCCAAATTCAAGGACAGCAGGCAGTGAAATATGCCTCAGAGGGACGTGGCTGAAAAAGCACTATCTGATTGCACCTTGGTCAGTCAAACCCCGATTCGAGTCGCAGCGATTGGATTGCATAGCTGGCGGCGCTGTAATATTGGAATTGTCGAGACTACCTTGGATCATAATACTGAAATCGACTTCCCGCCTCCTCGGTGAAGCGGAGTGGGTTAACCGGCAGATGCCAGTATGCCCCCCTCGAACCACGTGCGGCTACTCGGTGTCACCACCCTTGCGTTGCTGAAGCGGGTTAAACGCATAGCCTTGATACTTTTGACATTCGACGAACAGGACCCTTCCCGCAGTAGTAACGCTTGTTCCAGACCAAAGGGACGTCAGTCAAGGAGCTCGGGGTTTTTAATTCACAGTTACCGAGCGAAAGCCGCGTAACAAAGTTGGCTGGGAACATCGCGTCCAGGTGTTAGCGCAGTGATAGAGCGCCAGATGGAGACTCGACTTCACTCCAACTCCATGACAAAGCGACATTCAAATCCCGCGCTTGCAATTCGCTGGATCATCTGGGGTTCTGGGCAAAACCCGGGATGTGAGGCGCTAGGGCGATCACGCAATCGCTCGTCCCGCATACAATCAGAGAGAATTTTGCGGGGCCGGCATACGGAGTTTTTACATAGTAATTGACTGGCCTCCATACATAAAGGAGCTTCGACCTTGAAGGCCGAAACGTCGTTGTTTGGTGATGCTGCTCGCTCCTCACTCATCCCCGTTCTGCTTCTAAGTTGAAGCAATGGCGGACCTGTCAAAGGCCAAAATAGCAACGCCTGAAGAGGCCGGTAAGCACCCTGCAGCCTGTCCCTCCCGGTTTCGGCCATTCACAAGCCGTGCCCCGCGATTGCTGTTGTGCCTAGACACTGTCGTCACTTCCCTCGGATCAGAGGGACAGCTAGCGGGAAGGCATTAATGTAAGAGAGTAGCACAAGCGCTAACAACTGAATCGCTGCAGTTGCTACAATCGCATATCTCGCGAGTGATGTCGTCGTCTCAGTCCAGCCATCGCTGGCCTCCGACTCGGAGTTTTCAGGTCATCTGAAAAGGCTTGCAGCCCAGAAAGTGCCCAGCTTGGTAGCAAACACCAGCGATGCTCTGCCCGAAATTCAGTCAGTGAGGCACAACACAGATCCGCTGCTCTCTGTCTTTACACCAATTCGAGACGGCCGTCTTGTCTCGGTGACGACGACGTCGGCCATTCTGCTGCCCTCGATAGCGCACCTGTACAAGCTCGCCAATTTCCCTGTCGTCCTCCATGTCGCCCTTGGGCCCAGCAGCTTCCCCGATTATTCAGCCATTACAGCGATTCGCAACTCTGGATGGACATTCCTGCAGTCATGGTCGTTGCTGGAGGCTCAGGATATCGCTCTCACGGCCCATGCTTTGGCCGTCCGCTCCGGCAAGGGCGTCATCCACTTTTTCGACCCCAGCTCCAGCATAGGACTTGATCCGATAGATTTCATAGGCTTCGATGTCGCCCGCACTGTGCTGAACCTTGACAATGTGCGGAGGTTCCAATCCGCGCCAATTGCTGGCTCCAGCATTTATGCCAATGATGGCCGGGTCGCGGTTGCCCCTGAGCAGAGAGAACCCGTGACAACCGGAGATGTTGCGGTCAAAAGCGTCACGCCTACCGAAATGGATGTGGCATCCACCGCAGAAACATCTCGGATATCCTCTCAGTCTAGCCAGCAAAGCTCGACGAGCTCGCCTCCTAGCCCCTCCACGGCGACAACCATTGAGCCGGCGGCCCAGGCCATCACCTCCGAAGATATCTACAAATACGTGACCTCGATCTGGTCTCAGTTGGACGGCCTGGTGGGGACGCGATATAGCGCTTTTGAGTGGAGGGGCCCAGCCAATGCTGAGAACTGCCTTCTCCTTTTTGGATCCAACGTGGTTCTCTTCGCAGACGCAATATTCAACGCCCAGGCGGACGAACCTTTTGCGAATGTTGGGCTGATTATTCCGAGGCTATATCGGCCTTGGCTCGGGGCAATGCTTGTCCAGTCTGTGCCCAAGTCGGTCAAGAGGATTGCCGTCCTCGAGCAAGTCTCAAGGAACACAACAAAATGGGGCCCGGTCTTGATTGACGTTCTGACTTCGGTCAAGAGCGCCGTGGGCGGCGTTGAAACAGTTGTCGGCCATCAGCTAGGATGTATCTCCAAGGAGACCGTCCAGCAAGCTCTCCGAGGCGTGTTCCAGAACCTCACCTCTGACAAACCAGTCCAGAACTTGGAGGTTGGCGAGCGGGAAGCACCAAATCAACCCGCAGAATACAGTCTGGAAAAACCAAAGCTCGAGACCGCTTACACCAAGATTCTCGACCAGCTCTTCGGCAGCAGAGCTTACATCGCCAACTCTCTTGGCTCCGATAATGCTGGTGTCTCTGCTACCATCGCCGCAACCCCCGAGTACGGCTTCGGGTCGCTCCTCGCCAGGAAGGAGCGCAGACAAAAGTTCATTGGAGAGGTCAAGCAGGCAGTGAGCTCTGGGCAGTTCCTGACCGAGGTCCCCAAAAGGGCTTTGACCCAGTGGGTTTCAAACGCCGAGGACGTGAAGAAGTCCGAGGAAACTACTGAGGATGTGGTGTCCAAGCTCTCCATTGATAATTCGAGGCTCTCACGGTCGCTGCTGGAAAACAAGCACTTCTTCCGCAAACAGTCTTTGTGGCTTGTCGGTTCTGATGCCTGGGCATACGACCTAGGAAACTCGGGCGTCCACCACGTTCTGGCCTCGGGCGAGAACGTCAATATGCTGATCATTGATTCGACTCCGTACTCCGAGAGAGCCGCAGCCGACGCCAACCGTAGGAAGAAGGACATTGGTCTTTACGCCATGAACTTTGGAAACGCCTATGTTGCCTCGACCGCCGTCTACAGCTCCTACACGCAGGTGCTCCAGGCCATGGACGAGGCAGACAAGTTCAACGGCCCGTCAATCGTTCTGGCATACCTCCCTTACTTTGGGGAGCACGACTCTCCCCTGACCGTCCTCCAGGAGACGAAGAAAGCGGTTGATCTTGGCTACTGGCCGCTGTACCGGTGGAACCCCGAAAACGAGAAGAAAGGCGAGCCCAACTTTTCTCTGGACTCGGAGCGCATCAAGAAGGAGTTGAAAGAGTTTTTGGACAGAGACAACCAGCTGACACAGCTCATGCGGAGGGAGCCGCAGTTCGGCGCTGCTTTGTCTGAAGATTTTGGGACCGAGATTCGAGCGCAGCAGAAAAGGAAAGCCAAGGATGCGTACAATCAGCTGCTGGAGGGCCTGTTTGGAGCACCGCTCACAATCTTGTTTGCTTCTGACAACGGGAACGCGCAGTCCCTGGCAAAGCGGCTTGGCATCAGGGGCAGGGCTCGTGGTCTCAAGACGATGGTCATGGCTATGGAGGACTACCCGGTCGAGGATCTACCGAAAGAGGAGAACATCGTCTTCATCACGTCAACGGCCGGGCAGGGCGAGTTCCCGCAGAATGGAAAGCCTTTCTGGGACGCCATCAAGGACAGCACCGAGCTTGACTTGGCCTCTGTCAAGTATTCCGTCATGGCGTTGGGAGACAGCCACTACTGGCCCAGGAAGGAGGACAAAGTGTACTACAATAAGCCCGGCAAGGATTTGGACAGACTCTTGGCCAACTTTGGCGCGACCCGCCTGGCAGACATTGGGCTTGGCGACGACCAAGATCCGGACGGGTACCAGACTGGCTACCAAGAGTGGGAGCCTAAACTGTGGGAGGCGCTCGGGGTGGCTAACGTCCAAGGCCTTCCGGAGGAGCCTCCACCGGTCACCAACGAGGACATTAAGCTTGCGTCCAACTACTTGCGTGGCACAATCGCCGAGGAGCTCAAGGACACATCGACGGGCGCAATCTCAGCAGCCAACCAGCAGCTGACCAAGTTCCACGGCACGTATATGCAGGACGACAGAGACGTTCGCGACGAGCGCAAAGCCCAAGGACTGGAGCCGGCCTACTCATTCATGATCCGCTGCCGACTCCCCGGTGGAGTCTCGACGCCGAAGCAATGGATTCAAATGGACGACATCAGCACCCAGCTCGGAAACGAGACGATGAAGCTCACGACACGGCAGACATTCCAGTTCCATGGCGTTGTCAAAGGCAAGCTGAAGCCGGCCATGCAGGCCATTAACCGCGCCCTCATGACCACGATCGCCGCATGCGGAGACGTCAACCGCAACGTCATGTGCAGCCCGCTCCCTTCGCAGTCCAAGTATCACCGGGAGGTGTGGGCCTGCTCCAAGAAAATCAGCGACCACCTGCTTCCATCAACAACGGCGTACCATGAGATATGGCTGACGGACGATGATGACAAGAAGACCCAAGTCGCCGGTGATGCGGTCCAGGACTTTGAACCGCTTTACGGACCTACCTATCTGCCGCGCAAGTTCAAGATCTCAATCGCCATCCCCCCACACAATGACGTGGACGTGTATGCACACGACATTGGACTCATTGCCATCAAGGGGAGCGATGGGCACCTCGAAGGCTTCAACCTGCTGGCTGGCGGAGGCATGGGTGCCACCCATAACAACAAGAAGACGTACCCGCAGACGGGCAGGATGCTTGGCTTCGTCAAGGCGGCCGACGTGCATGTTGCGTGTGAGAAGGTGATGTTGGTGCAGCGCGACTTTGGCGATCGGAAGAACCGCAAGCACGCGAGACTCAAGTATACAATCGATGGCATGGGCGTCGATGTGTTCAAGGCCAAGGTTGAGGACTACTGGGGACAGCAGTTCGAGCCTGCCCGTGATTTTCACTTTGACAGCAACATTGACACGTTTGGGTGGACCAAGGATGAGACGGGCATGAACCACTTCACTTTCTTCATTGAGAACGGGCGTATCGAGGATACTGCCGACTTCCGCATGAAGACGGGCCTGCGCGAGATTGCAAAAGTGCACAAGGGCGAGTTCCGACTCACGCCCAATCAACATTTGATCCTGAGTAACGTAGCCGACGAGGACATGCCGGCCATCAAGGCGCTCATGGCGGAGTACAAGCTGGACAATCTCCAGTTTTCGGCGCTCCGGCTCAGTTCGTCTGCTTGTGTGGCGTTCCCGACATGCGGCCTGGCCATGGCGGAGAGCGAGCGGTACCTCCCAGTGTTGATCTCCAAGCTGGAAGCATGCCTGGAAGAGAACGGTCTGCGGCAGGACTCGATTGTCATGCGCATGACGGGCTGCCCCAACGGATGCGCGCGTCCGTGGCTTGCCGAAGTTGCGTTTGTCGGCAAGGCGTACGGGGCGTACAACATGTACCTAGGCGGTGGTTACCACGGGCAGCGGCTGAACAAACTCTACCGGTCGAGCATCAAGGAGGACGAGATCCTAGCCATCATGAAGCCGATGCTAAAACGCTATGCCACGGAGCGCAACGAGGGTGAGCGCTTTGGGGACTGGACAATCCGAGCAGGCATAATCAAGGAGACAACGGATGGGCGGGACTTCCATGAGGGGGTGAGTTGTCCGACGAGCGAATCTTGACCGATCTTGTGCCCTACTAACTTGGCCGTACAGGTTGCCGAAGAGGAGGAGGATGAGGAGTGAGGATCTACCATGAGCGGGTTTGAGTTGTAATTTGCTCGGAACGGGCGTATGCATAGCATGTAATTTGGCGTTGGAAACTCTGCTGCATTTGCCCGATTATTTCTTGTATTCAATATAGAGTGTCTGGATAATCGCATCTCGTTGACTGTGAGAGGCAGGTGTCGTCCCACGGTCCCGGAGCATCCTCTGATCCATCCAGGCCGAGTCCGTGCTCCGCGAGTCAAACGGTCAAAGTGATCAGCAGTCAGGGTTCAGGGACGAGTGGGGTACGTAACCAGGTACGCAACGCTAGTGGGTCTCAGCGTCAACGCCACGCCTGGTTGCCCCGGCAACATTTCGCGCATAACCGCAACTAAACATTCCAACACAGAGGGACGAGTCCAGATGACAGCCGCATTCCGGTCAACCGTTGCCTACTAAACTGCTCTGGACCTAAAAGCAATTGCCACTGTCTCCACGGTGTTTGTGACAGACTTCTAAAAGTCCCTCACTTTTTCTTCCCGGGAAAAGCCGCAAGCAAGCATACCCTTCGTGGTTGATCGGAACTGTCGCATTCCAGAATACCATATCCGCTGACATTGAGTTGCCTTACTTACCAGCGCAAATCGCAGTCATCAATCGGCACATACCTTTCAGTCTGGGTGGCCCGCTCAATTGAGCGCGTGTCTCAAAAGACACATTAACATTCCTCAGCCGTGCCGCCACAGACGCAGTCACTATGAACGGGCGACCTCCCGAGTACACGCTCCCTTCGTATGACGATGTGGACGAGGCGACGGCAACTGGCACGCCGGGTCACGGTGCCGCGGTGCGCCTGTTGACGTCGATGGAGGAGCCCTACGACTCCCGACCGTATGTCTTGCCTGAAGTTCCTATCCCTCCCCCTCTTTCACTCAAGAAAGCACTCCTGCCCGCGGAACGTGCGCAGGGAACTACTTTACGCCTCGAGCCACAGAAGAAATTATTGTCCGGCAAGACTGCTTCTGCCGGAGCCCTAGCTACCACGGGCCTGCGGCCCAAGCAAGTAACAGAAGGGACTGTGGTCGACGGACAGCCAGCCAACAGAGGCCTGACGATAAGGCTGCAGAGGAGAAAGCGCCCAGAGCCAGGTCTAGTCGTCATGGCGGAAAGCTTGCCAATTCTTCCAGAGGGACCATCCCCGAGGAAGAAGGCGCGCTTCCAGGCGCACTGCGAGCCTGACCCAGAAGAAACAGGAGTGCCGCCCACGGTATCCGTAGTCACGCGCTTACAGAGGAACCAAAGCAGGAGCCGAAGGCGCAACTACGAACCCTCGCTCAATTCGCGCCAGTCATCCATCCTCGATCCGCCGACCATGCCGCCTCCCGAGCCGTCATCGTTCAGCGCCTACAACCCGTCTCTGGACGGCTCGTCGCCGACTCGACCATGGACCCCATCACGACCGTGGACGCCGCCGCGACCGTCTTCAGAGTACAGCCGCCCGCCGCCAGTCAGCACCCGGTATGAACCAGCAGATCTCAACGGCAGCCCCAGACCAGGCACCCCGGCCTCAACATACGGCGGCAGTCCTCGACGTCCATTACCGCCTGCGCCCCTCTTCTCGACGGGTGTCCGCAGCTCCGGCCACTCGTTTGCAGACGACGCGACAGTGAGCATCCCGCTGGCCGAGGACCCCGACGACGTGTTTGCACCCGAGTCGGACCTGAGCGAGAGACACGGCCGTGAATCGTACGCGCAGTCACAGGTAACGCTGAGCGAGACCCCGACGGACGAGCCGGTCAAGGAGAAGGTGGAGCGCTACGGGCCCGCGCCCGAGGGCAAGCAGGAGCGCCGGGGTGTTCGCGCGCCGCAGATGAGCAAGAAGGAGGTGCAGCTGATCAACGGCGAGCTCGTGCTCGAGTGCAAAATCCCCACGATTCTCTACAGCTTCCTGCCGCGCCGCGACGAGATTGAGTTCACGCACATGCGCTATACGGCCGTGACGTGCGATCCGGACGACTTTGTTGAGAGAGGCTACAAGCTGCGCCAGAACATTGGGCGGACGGCGCGCGAGACGGAGCTGTTCATCTGCATCACCATGTACAACGAGGATGAGTTCAACTTTACGAGGACGATGCACGCCGTCATGAAGAACATTAGCCATTTCTGCAGCCGCAACAAGAGCCGCACCTGGGGCGAGAACGGATGGCAGAAGATTGTCGTCTGCGTCGTGTCGGACGGGCGCGAGAAGATCCACCCGCGCACCCTCGACGCGCTCGCCGCCATGGGCGTCTACCAGCACGGCATCGCGAAAAACTACGTCAACCAGAAGGCGGTGCAGGCCCATGTGTACGAATACACGACCCAAGTGTCGCTCGACTCGGACCTCAAGTTCAAGGGCGCCGAGAAGGGCATTGTGCCGTGCCAGATCATTTTTTGTCTCAAGGAGAAAAACCAGAAGAAGCTCAACTCGCATCGTTGGTTCTTCAATGCCTTTGGCAAGGCGCTCAACCCGAATGTGTGCATCTTGTTGGACGTCGGTACTCGCCCGGCGGGCACGGCGCTGTACCATCTTTGGAAGGCGTTTGATACCGACTCCAATGTGGCCGGGGCATGCGGCGAGATCAAGGCTATGAAGGGTAAACTGGGTGCGAACCTGCTCAATCCCCTCGTTGCTTCGCAGAACTTCGAGTACAAAATGTCCAACATTCTCGACAAGCCGCTGGAAAGCGTCTTTGGCTATATTACAGTCCTTCCAGGTGCTCTCAGCGCGTACCGGTATCATGCTCTGCAAAACGACGAGACGGGCCACGGCCCTCTCAGCCAGTACTTCAAGGGCGAGACGCTGCACGGGCAGCATGCCGACGTGTTTACCGCGAACATGTACCTGGCCGAGGACCGTATTCTCTGCTGGGAGCTGGTGGCGAAGCGCGGCGAGAGATGGGTCTTGAAGTACGTCAAGGGGTGCTCGGGCGAGACAGATGTGCCTGGTGAGTTGATATCAGTATTTTCAAGCGTCCCCTGTTCACTTCATGTTCCCATATCCTTCAGTCTCACTGACACGACACGACACGGACAGACACGGTCCCTGAATTCGTCTCGCAGCGGCGACGATGGCTCAATGGCGCCTTCTTTGCCGCCGTCTACTCGCTGGTCCACTTCAAGCAGATCTGGCAGACGGACCACACGGTGGCGCGCAAGATACTCCTGCACATCGAGTTCTTTTACCAGTTCATCCAGCTCATGTTCACCTACTTCTCGCTCGCCAACTTCTACCTGACATTTTACTTCATCGCCGGCGGCCTGGCCGACCCCAACGTCGACCCGTTCGGCGGGCGCGCGGCCCTGTACATCTTCACCATCCTCCGCTACGTCTGCGTGCTGCTCATCTCGACCCAGTTCATCCTCTCGCTCGGCAACCGGCCGCAGGGCGCCAAAAAGATGTACCTCGCCTCCATGATTATCTACGCCATCATCATGGCCTACACGACCTTTGCCTGCGTCTTCATCGTCGTGCGGCAGCTCACCATGAAGGACGATCCCAACCTGCAACTCGGTAACAACGTGTTCACCAACCTGATCGTCTCGATGGCGTCGACCGTGGGGCTGTACTTTGTCATGTCCTTTTTGTACCTCGACCCCTGGCACATGTTCACCTCGTCGCTGCAGTACTTCATCCTCCTGCCCAGCTACATCTGCACGCTGCAGATCTACGCCTTTTGCAACACGCACGACGTCACGTGGGGCACCAAGGGCGACAACGTCATGCGTACTGATCTCGGAGGTGCCATTGGAAAGGGGAGCACGGTCGAGCTGGAAATGCCCAGCGAGCAGCTCGACATTGATTCCGGGTACGACGAGGCTCTGCGGAACCTGCGCGACCGTGTCGAGGTGCCCCCCGCGGGGATCTCGGATGAGCAGCTGCAGCAGGACTACTACAAGAGTGTGCGGACGTACATGGTGGTGTCGTGGCTGATTGCTAACGCTACGCTGGCTATGGCCGTCAGCGAGGCCTACGGCGGCAGCTCGATTGGCGACAATTTTTATCTACGCTTCATCCTCTGGTCCGTGGCGAGCTTGGCCGTGTTCCGTGCAATTGGCAGCACGACCTTTGCTGTTATCAATGTGGTGCACAGCGTCGTCGAGGGCCGCATCAGGCTTAGTCTGAAGGTGCCCAAGTGGCTTGGTGGACTGGGCAGCAGGATCAGTGACACCATGAGCAGTGTTGCTAGTAGTGTCAGGAGGTAAGGGGGGTCTGGGCTTGTTGAATTCTGGCGTTGGAGTTGGTTGGACTGTTGCTTTTGCTTTCAATTTGGGGCTTGTTATGAAGACGGAACCTTGAATGGGTACATGGATGGGGAGATGTCGCTGATGATTGGAATGATCATGTGAGAAAATCAAGACGATGACACTATGATGAGATTGTGGGTGTGGTTGGGTCTGTGGGATTCTTGTCAGAGTTAGCCTGAGGGCAATGATGGTTTTGTATGTAGGTAGATACCCGGGAAGGTCTTCGTGTTTCAATATATTATCGTATCATGGTTGTTTGAGCATGTTGCCGTCGTCTCTGCCCCCTTCATGTCGGGTTAATACAGTAATGTACTGGCCAACTGGAAGACTTTGTACCGCCGCTCTCGCCCTTACACCGTACCGTCCTTGTGACCCACAACGATACCGCCGATGATGATGGTACTGACGCATCAGGACTCTCCAGCCAACACTTACTTCGCCGAAGGCAGCTACTGACGCTGCCATCCGCATCTCCTTCTGCGTCTTCTTCGCTGCAAGACGCATAACGCTGATTAGATCAGTGCCGCCCGGGGCATCATCCCAGCTTCCAGAACGGCTTCTTAGGCAACCGGCGTTGGTAATGATCCCTTCGGTTTTCCAGGTCTAGCACATCATGTTCAACGAAGGGATTCCCCGCAAGATCCGTCACTCTTGCTTCAGGTTCCCTTTTCCGGCCCAATGAGCTCATAGCCATGCGGTTCTCAAAGTCCTGATGTGTCCACCTCGTCCTAATCACGGACGACATCTCGGCGCTAGGTGAGCTTGAGCGTGACTTCTCCCACAGTGGCGAGTTGTCTAGCCAATCGCTAGCACACTGCTTGTTTTCGAAGACGAGGGATACAGCACCACCCTCCTCGGCGCTCGTTGAGAGCCCAATGTGCATACGGTCGACATTCTTTGGCAGTTTCATACTGACGGTATAATCGTCATCCCGGCGTGCTCGCGAGTTTTCATGGTAGGCTCTGTCTTGAAGGTGTTTCATGTACGACATTGCCCAAGATGTGTGCGGGAAGGTGATTGTGAGAATGCGATCGAAATCTATATCGATCTTGAGGTGATGGGTTTCAATGGCACAGCGTGGCCCGGCCATCTTGATAAGGTTCGGAGCCCAGTTCTTGATATTAGTGAGTTTGGCCGTGCCAGCAGTATCATTGGGGTCTCATGACTTATAGCTGACAGGAGTGATTTATATCAGCCGTCCAAATATCGGACGCGGGTAACAGGGAACCTAGCTTCTCTTCCTAACTTGTGGCCGTGTGGCTGAGCTTCAGCTGGCAGCAAACCATCATGCAAGGTGAACGAGCGACATCCCGTCTCCGGCTACGCCGTTTGGAACAGTCTGCCAGTGGTTACGGAATTGTATTGGTACCTCTGGATTACTTCCTAGGTACCTTATATGTAGGCTAACGTGCATCTTGGTTGCAGACACTGCATTCTGCATGCATCAAGAACACCATGCTTTGAGTCTTTGACGTGGCAATACTCCACTGGAAGAGTACCTACTCATTATATGCAGTCCGTCTGTCCCGTCCGCAGCGCCTCGATCTGACCTCAACTACTACTGGAACTGCCGTGCCTCCGGCCCTCACACAGCCATCCACCTACCTTACCCCTACGCGCGAACAGACTGGTAAAAGATGCTTGACTGGGGGAAAGAGGAGAGGAACAGAGAGAGGAAATTCTAAGAGAGCCTTAGAAGGCTAAGGTAGATAAGTTATGCGCTGGTGGAAATCGCTCCATGGTCGCCACTCATCTTTACTGCATATCTCAGGTAACTAGCTCCTTCCTTTATACATTTTAACCTATTATTCAAGTTCCGCACCTCATGTGCTCCATCGACGTTTGTTATTTGTAGCGCATACGACTAGCAAGAGCTCTCGAGGTTATCTAATCAGATCAAATCCTCAAGTTGTTAACTCCCTAGATCAAAGTCGACAAAAAGGAAGGACTGTTGCCGTCGCCATTTCACCCGACATCAATACCGACAATGCCGCACCAGGGCATTAGTCTTGACCTTGAGAGAGGAATTCGAGGGGAAGAGACACAGTCTGCCCCGGATCAAGAGGGTAGGGTTTATATTGGCCAAACACTTTCATCAAACGAGCGAGCCCTACACTAATCTCCGTATACTTGCAGACCAGGCTTGCCAGGCTAGCTATAACAGGAGGGCAAGCGCTGAACCACCAGAAGTGCGGTTACAACTCACCAGATCGGATACCCAAGACTCCAAACCAGAACCTCACAAGCCCGCCCTGTCTTTGGGGGCTTACACAACACGGCCAATGAGCCCATCTCCGCCAGACTCCCCAGGCCCAGGCAGCCGCAGTAGAGACCGATCCTCTACATCCCATCCGGAAAGAAAAGTGCATAAGCCAAGGCGTGCATCCAGCGTCTCCAGCTTACGTGCCGCGAGTACCACGCTCGGTTATCCCCATCACAACCCGCGGGCCCCTCCACAGCCCCTTGGGGGAAGCGGCGGCTCGGTTACCTTGCAGCCGGGAGATGCCGTGAGTCAGGGACGGTGGGTAGTGGATCTCCACCGCGACGAACTGATTCGCGAGGTTGTGGGTGCGGAAAGACAGTCAACACGCTGGTTCAAGAGTCTCCTTGGAATCACGGAGCCAGCTCCTAAGAAGAGGATATTTCGCGTCAGCTTTGCGGAACTGCAGAGAATGAAGCTGCGGAAGCTGCAAGTAAAGTTGGTAAACCACGCGGTCGACATGTTCGCAAAGAACGAGGAATCTAAGGGATGGGAAGAAGATTTGGCGCAATACAGTACGTGATCAACGGGAAGATTTGCTGCCGAGCCTGACAGTTGACTAACAAAAGATATAGCTCAAGCAATGAGGGACTACGACTACATGCTTGAAGTTACCAAGCTACCTAATGATTACTTTTACGCCACTGGAGAGCGCGCCGTCGACCGATATGTTATCAGACGACTTGTAGGCGACCTCAGCCTGGATGGAACCTTGACATGCGACCCGGTTGAGCTCTGGGGAGATGATAAGTCGCCCATCGGCGGAACTCGCTACCTGAACGCCAGGAAGACACGCATGAAAGCATTTTGGGAACGCATGTGCGTTGCTACCATTGGGGGCGTCCTCTTGCTAGGGCCTATGTGGCTGATGATGCTGCATGACGATCTCTATACGAGGCTTATCACTACTACTGCTTGTGTGGCTTTCCTTGGGATGTTCAACTCTTTGTGGCTGGAAAAGTCAGATCAGGTGTTGCAGATCACGGCAGCGTATGCTGCTGTGCTGGTGGTTTTTGTTGGGCTAACAAACTCAGGCTCATGAAGGTGAATCGACGGTGATGCCTGCGCGGGGCTCACAAACTTCACATCATATCTTCAAGATTAGCCTGCCTGAGATTGGCCCATTAGAGTCATCACGGTCCTCTTGCCCTGCTGTATCACATCCTCTTTGGTCTTGTTAGCTTCAACACCTCTCCCTCAGACGATTGCACGTCCACTTCCCCTCCTCATCATCAAGTAACTCAGACCCACCAACCCGATGGCCATGGCAAAGGCAACGAACTCCAGCACCTCGTCGGCACGGGCCCGTTGACAGGTGCTCTGCAGCTTTCTGAACACGGCGTTTTCGTCGTCATCCCGACCGATCACGCCGTACCGCGCGTCGTCCCCAGAGCCGATGCGTCCCCGGTTGAGAAGGTCATTGAGCAGCATGTCGCCGCCATCACTGCAGCTTTCTGTGCCGCGGAGGCCGATGGCCCAGGACTTTTTTAAACTACGTTAGCTCCTCCAAGATCATATGTACACGCACGGGAGATACCACGAGTGAAAAATGGAAGACAGGATGAAATCGCAACGTACGATACCGCCCGCGAGGAAAAAGATTGCCATAAGGCCGTCCAAGACGACGGGCACCAGCGGGGGGATGGCGTGCACAAACAGGGCGGCGGCACCGATCCCGCACACGATCATGCCAAAGCCGCCTGTGAAGGTGGTGTAGCGCGTCGTGACGGGGACTTCGCCGATGACTTGTTCATTGATGAGCGCCGCGGCGAGGGCGAGGATGGTCAGGGAGATGAAGAACTAAATGTTGTATTCCAGGTGTGAGTGGTGGTCGAAGAGGTTCTAGCGCGTGATGTGTCCAGCGACAGGAGGGGGGTTGCATACTTGGAGGCCGCGCACGCCCAACGGAATGGCGATGTGCATCTTGGGATGTATGTCGTACAAGAGGTCGGTTCTCTCTCTCTGTTACGGGTACTCGGTAGGAGGGGGTATGACAGTTGCTAAGTATTTTCCGGATACACGGGCTCAATCTCTTGAGCTTGGATAACGAGCTTGGATAACGGGCGAATATGTTTGTCTTCGAGGAGAATGATCTAGGGGTATATAGTCTTGCACAGAGGAATGTGGCTCAGCCCAAGACAAATACCGAGCAGGAAGAGATGGCTCGGAAAATATGTTTCAGCGATCAGTCGGTATTATATCTGACCTCACTATCCACGCCGTGGCGGTTTGCTGCCTTGCGACTGTTGGAGCCTCGTAGAACGCGAACCATGCGGTCCAAGATTTGCTAAACATCCGCCTCGAAACAGGGATGCCTTTTGGAAGGTAGGAGCCAGCCGAGGACATTACCGACATTGGCTGTTGATGACCCCAGCGAAACAGGTGTTTGTGACTTGTGTGCCCCTGAGTCATCCTTGGGGTCCGTCGCACATGTTCCATGCAGCAAACACCGGGATGAGATGCTACATAAACAGTCACTGTCAAAGTACTCCGTATTTCGTACCCGTACATGAAATCCTGAAGGATGAACTGGAATGCAACCCCAGTCTGACAGCCCGCGATGGGACGGTCCCAGTCCTGGTCTGATGGACAAACACGCACTTGCGCGACTCCCTCAGATGGTTCGTTTGTTTATAAGCGATATTGGGGGATAAGTGACTGGGTATAAGATAGCTCTGTAGAAGCAGGATATTCCAATCCAATTCAACTGCTTCCCGTATGAACAACCAGAGACACATCTCGATCCCAGGGTTCTAACTCGGAGGGAGCTATTGGATGCCAACTGCTGCCTAGCCGTCCCCATATAATCTTGGAAATAAGCAGCTCAGCGTTCGTGGGTTGTTGGATTATGTCCGGTCCCAGGATATACGACGGAGTATTGCAGCAAAGTATGCTGGGATCTTGTGGCCTCGCCAGGGCACCCAGTAGCACTCAAAAATGCGCTTCGAAATTGACTAAGTGGTTGAGGCTTTGTATATTCAGAACAGGATCCCTATAATGCATGGACAGCACGTTCGACAGGTTCGCGTTGCGTCTCCCAAGCAAGCCAATCCGATCTTGTTGTCCTGGTAGGTATGTAAGCGTATAGTCCTCAACAAAGAGCGAGTCTTGCTAGCACTCACGGTAATAACCCCATCGAGTTCACCTTCCATACTCCGAGCGCCAGAGCAACCAGTTGCATAGCTACGTATGCCAGCTTGACCTGGAGGATGCGAGCCTTGTTGGACTCGGTCTCGAAGCGCTCAAACGCCTGGTTGGTGGTCAGGATGCCCATGATAGGGTTCTTGAAGGCCATGAAGACCATCATGATGCTGAATATCTGTAACGAGTTGCCCGACATGTACATCATGATGGCCGTCATGGGCAAGCTCTTGATGGGAGCCAAAGCCACCTCCCATGCCTTCTTGAGCTTCAGCGTGTCCATTTCTTCCGGCGTCGGCGGTTTGCGCTGCGCAACTTTGCTGTCTTTTGCATCCTTCTTCTGCGACCGCGACTGCGATTAGTCTTGCAGATAGATAATCGGGACGGGGCATCTTTACCTTGGACGTCGCAGCCGACTGCGACGAAGGGAAGCCCGGGGGGTCAGGCAGTCCAGCTTGCTTCGACTGGTGCGCCGGGGGATTCTTGAGCTCGACGGCCCATGTTGGCATCTGTTTAGCGAGCGCAGACATGATACAATACGTCTGGGTGTCGTATCGTGCAATGCGACGATGTAAAGCCGCAAAGGTGAGAGAGGTGACGTCGATGGAGGTTTAGGAATTCGCATGTGCAGCACGAGAACGTGGAGCTCCAGCTGTCCCCACCCGCTGGAGCCCTTGTAGCACCTCAAATTCCCCACACAGCGGGTGCACAGGGCACATCGCTGAGAAAGGGATCAATTTCAGGGGCAGCCCCACGCCGGGTCTTCCGCTAAACCCCGGCCTTTCCCCGTGCCGGCATAATCCAAACTTGCAACTACTTCGATCCGACTGTGAGGTTAGACATTGCTCCGATATAGCAGCTTGACTGAACGACGGCACATTCAGTCTCTCTGCCTCCATCGCGATCTTGCCCCTCCTCGAGAACCGAACGGCGATTCCCGCGACGGTTACCTAACGAAGTCTCGGATTCTCGACAGTCTGGAATCGGCCACTGACAGCTTGGCGCATCCGACACTGCATGTGATCAAGAAGTTGAATTGGCTGCTTCCATTTAGCTTTCTGTATCGACAGCTGTCGAAACACAAAGGGCGCAGCGCCTCGGCGTAGGGGCCAGCCCCGTGTGTCCTATCCCCTCGAGCAGCAAGAATCGCATACTGTATCCGTACGACGCCGAGCATTGGATCCGACTCAACTGCTTTAGATTGAAATCTCGCCCCCGGAACCAGACGATTACCGTTTCTAAAAAAGCAAAGCAGAAATCATGTCGAGCTCACAAACTGGAGGAGATTCGAAGCTGTTCGCTCGAGTAAGCTGATTTGTCCTTCGATCCTCGTGCCCATATTGCTCTCTTGCCCGGCTTTGTTTCCCTGCCGTGGGGTTGCGGGGAGGAATCTGTTGCTGCGTTCAGCCGTTGTGGTCTTCTTTACAGCCCCTCACACCTCGATCACCACCTATTTATCGCTTGCGTCCCTGGCCTTGTCCTCGTTACTACACTTCTTCCTTTCTATCATCCCCAGCTGCGGGCCGACGCAATGCTGCCGAGTCATCCCCTATCACCGTCGCCAACATGTTTATGGCATATATTCCTCCGCCCGTATACTTACCAAACCGGGGACAGGGCAAAGTCGCGGAGCTGCGCCTTGAGCTGAACAGCGGTGGGAAGAAGGACAAGAACTTCACAATGAAGAAGATAGCACTCAAGAAGATTGTCGCCAACATGACCATGAGCAACAACGACATGGTGGCTCTGTTTCCCGACATCGTCGGCTGCATGACCATCCAGAGTCTGGAGATCAAGAAAATGTGGGGTACTACGACCCCTTTACGTGGCCCGGCGCTCGACTGACGGCTGCGTTTATTCAGGTGCTTCCTATTCTTAGTCAACTATGCGAGAATGCGCCCTGATGTGGCGGTAAAAGCGATACCAGTATTGGAACATGTCAGTCGTCGCGATGGTCCGTTATCCGTGCGCGCCCGCTCATACATCCCAGGATATGGAAGACCCGAACCCCCTGATCAGAGCGCTCGCGCTGCGAACCATGTCCTATATCCATGTGCGCGAATTCGTCGAGGCGACCGTACCCATCGTCAAGCACCTCCTCCGAGATCCAGATCCATACGTGCGCAAGACAGCAGCATATTGCGTCGCCAAACTATACGACCACGACAAACACATGGTGGAAAAGTCGGATCTCATTGATAGGTTGAACAGTCTCCTCAAAGACGACAACCCCACTGTGGTGGCAAGCGCCTTGGCGAGTTTGATGGATATATGGGAAAGAAGCGATGCCATCAAGCTCACTATCGACTACAGCAATGCGTCCAAGATGGTTGCCATCCTACCGGATTGTTCCGAGTAAGCTCCGTACTATGTCCACGAAGCACTTGGACGCTAACAGCAGCAGATGGGGCCAGACATACATCTTGGAGGCGCTTATGTCCTACGTACCGCAAGAATCCGGCGAGGCAGTACTGCTTGCTGAGCGCATCGCCCCGCGGCTCTCCCACTCCAATTCTGCGGTTGTACTTACCTGTATCCGCGTGATTCTTTACTTGATGAACTACATTGCGGATCAGAAACAAATATCCGCGCTCTGCCGGAAGCTGTCGCCGCCCCTAGTTACGCTGCTCGCCAAGGGACCCGAAGTGCAATACCTCGCTCTCCGGAACGCATTGCTTATTCTCCAACGGCGACCAGAGGTGCTGCGCAACGACATCAGGGTTTTCTTTTGCAAATATAACGATCCCATCTACGTCAAGGTCACCAAGCTCGAGCTCATCTTCATGCTGGCTAACGAGAAGAACATCGACGAGGTATTAACGGAGCTGCGAGAGTATGCCACCGAGATTGATGTTCACTTTGTGCGGAAGGCGGTCCGCGCCATTGGTAAGCTGGCCATTAAGATTGAGCCGGCCGCGAGACGGTGCATCAACCTCTTACTAGAACTCGTCTCCACCAAGGTCACGTACATCGTGCAGGAGGCGACGGTCGTGATTCGCAACATCTTCCGCAAGTACCCGAACCAGTACGAAAGCATCATTGGCACCCTTTGCGAGCACCTTGACTCGCTCGACGAGCCAGAGGCCAAGGCGGCCATGGTGTGGGTCATTGGCCAGTATGCCAGCCGCATCGAGAACTCTGATGCTCTCCTTGAAGACTTCCTGTTCTCCTTCTCGGAAGAGCCCGTCGAGGTGCAGCTCGCGCTTCTGACTGCGACGGTCAAGCTTTTCATCCAGCGCCCGACCAAGGGCCAAGAGCTGGTCCCAAAGGTGCTCAAGTGGGCGACCGAGGAGACAGACAACCCGGACCTGCGCGACCGGGCCTACATGTACTGGCGGCTGCTGTCAACCGACATGGAAGCGGCCAAGCGCATCGTCATGGGCGAGAAGCCGGCCATCACGGCCGAGTCGGAGCGGCTGGACCCCGTCACGCTCGAAGAAATGTGCCTCAACGTGGGCACCCTGGCGACCGTCTACCTCAAGCCCGTGCAGACCGTCTTCCGCAACGCCCGCCCGCGCCGCCTGCAGGACTCGCCCGCGCTGCAGCGCCAGGAGGTGCCCAGCCCGTCCGGCTTGTTGTCTGACGCCAACAAGTCGCTTAGCCAGCTGGGCATGGGCGGCCAGCCGGCCGATTTCGACCCCCGCACGGACCGCGGGACAGGGGCAGGCCAGAACGGTAATCTGGCGCAGGCCGTCAGCGACGCCGACGCCTACTTTGCCTCGCAGATGCAAAGGATGCAGATCCAGGAGCATGGGGACAGTTTTGGGGGCAACGGGAACGAAGGGGCCGGGTATGTGGTGAATCAATATGCGCCGCAGACGGTTTACCAGCCTGCGCAGGCCGTTGCGAATAATGGCGATTTGCTGCTATGATTGGGCTGAGCATTGTAAGGGGTGTATGATGTGTTGTTGTCACCAAGTCGACGATGTCCTGCATACCATAAGGGAAGTAATGAAATCTCGAGCTGCTTTGGGTCCATATGTACACTCATATTCACAAGGTCCCCCCTTTCGCTTGGCATATTGTGCAGAATATATCGACTCTTGATTAATCACCTAACTATCCCCTGCTGCAGTTTGCCGGAGATTAACAGGGCTTCTAAGGGTCGTCTAGTGTATGGCTCAAGCTAACCCAGGCACCGCGACTCTTTTGAGGGGATGGGAAAGGAATCAAAACAGCGCTTTAATCAACTCATGCCTGGCTACCTCTCCCAGAAGCCTTTCAAGGCCAGGATTCTAATCAGATACGGATTAATGGGGGGAAATCTCTGCGTACGTGGTATGTTGCCCCTGAGAAGCTTGGCCGCCGACCAGCCGGAGATCGGGAGAGGCCCTGAATTTCCATAGAAAACAATGCCACTGAAACGAGCTTCCGGCGGGTGTAAATGATTGAAAGTTTTCGAATATGATAATGATGGAATAGAAAAAACAAAACCAAACAAACAAACGCAGGGGAATTCGAAATGAAATCAGAGACACCAGTAGCAGCAAGGAACCGTTTATCACACCACAGCCACCAACGCGGCAACAGCTGCGCCCAGGACAAGTCCACCACGCACCCCCGTTTCTCTCGGAGCACCACCGGCGGTGACAGGTGTGCTGGTAGTGCTACTAATAATGGGACTGGGCGTGCTCGGAGACGTCGCGTGATGAGGTGTGGTACTGGCAGGATCGGTTGCTTGCGAGCTTTGCGAGAAGGTGCTCGTAGTCCATGACGGGGAGGAGCTGTTGCTGGCCGCGGGAGACGAAGACGAAGACGACAAGAATGATGAGGTAGTGATGCTGATGGGCGTTGTCGAAACCATGCTCGGCTCGGGGGCCGATTCAGACTGGGACGAACTGGAACTTGTCTGGGAGGTCCACGAGGAGGTCCAGGAGGAAGTGCTCCGTGAGGTCCAGGACGAGGTCCAGGACGAGGTCCACGAGGAGGAACTGCTGCTGCTGCTGCTGACGCTGGTGGTGGTTTGCATGGCGCCAGGGGTGCTGCTACTACCAGCTGGGACCGTCACGGTTTTGGTTACCGTCAGGGTGCCGGTTGTCAGAGTCGAGGTGACGGTCTGGGTGGAGCTGAGGGTCACGGTGGTGCTGTTGCTGTAGATGCTGCTGCTGCCACCCGTGCCGCCCGCGGTTCCGATGATGCCGGTCGAACCTGCTGCCCCGCAGGGGTGGGTGCGCTTTGGGGTGGCGGACAGGGTTTCGGTCGTGGTTGAGGCGCCGACGGTGACGATGACTGTGGCCGTGACGAGCGAGACCTGTCCCGGCCCGGGTCCCCCGCGACGACCAATGACGCGGTGGTGCTTGTGCGAGGGAGACCATCCTTCTGTGTCAACAACGGCGGAGGTGGCAAGGCCTAAGTGAACCGCTACGGCCACGACGGCAAGGATGAATCGGAAGATCATGTTTGAGGATGGCGGCAACTTGAACGGCCTGTTGCCAAAGAGTTTGGTCAGGATCAGCCGCTTGCTGTTTTGGTACGGCGAGATAGGAAACTTGTTGGAGAAGCGAGGCACCATGGAAACTTACAACGTAGCTTGAGATCTGTGCTAAGGTTCTTGCCACAGTCCTGACGAGTTCGAGACAGAGAAGCGGAGAGGATTGTAAGAAGGGAAACCAAGAACTGGAAGTATTTTGCTTGAAGACTCGAAACTTGAACGCTTTCCGAACTACGGTAGTTGGCAGGATAAATCCTGTGATTCACCAAAAGCCAGACACCCACCTCGGTGGTGCCTTCCGTTCCTGTGAACTGTCCTCAACACGCGATGGGATGAAATCCGTTGTTACAGTGCAGCTGAGAACAACATGACACGGCTTCGCCAATCCACCGGGTACTCTACTACTCCCGCTGAGTCCTGCGGTAGAAGTGCAAACATTATGCGGGTGGCAACGCGTATGACAAACGCTGCTGGACATCCATTCGGGGTATGAATGAACATCTTTGCGCTTTAAGGATGGTGATGAACCTGGATCGAAGTACCTGCCACCGTGTCACTTGAAAGGTTGTTGCTCAGACAGGTACATGTAGCACAATGCTTTCATAGACTCTCTGCTGGCAGACCTGAGAGGAGTCGTTCTTTCGTTTAGACTTTAGAGACTGTATCACTACGCTGTGTCCCTAATGTTCTGCTCTGACGTCCTTCGTACGATGGAGCAGTGGCACATCCACTCTGGCAGGCTCTGAACAGTGGTTCCGGGATTATGTCCTTCGATAGGTACTTGCCTAGAGTAAACGATATAGGTAATTGTTTGGTCGTTATGGAGGGGGTGCTTGTGAGAACGGCTTCGCATGAGTAGTGCACACTTCTGCTGTACCTGGCGGTCTGGGCCTACCGACTTTAGGTAGTGGCATGTGCCGTGACAGATACCTTGAACTCAACATTTCTTTGTGGTTTCGTGGGCTGTTACACAATGGGATGTAGAAACGTTGAGCATGGCGAATACTACCACTTATATATGCGCCGAGTCCAGCTTCCAGACTCTCTCACCTCTCCAGAAAGTAGTCGAGGGCTCCTGGCGTTCCATTGAGATTCAAAGCAGCACCTTCCCTACTGATCGCCTGCTCTGAAGCATCCATTTAGTACTTGCGCGCCGACAATGGCTTGGACACTTTCAAACCACGGTACTTCGAGAGTCATCGACGTCTGTTAGTGCAGCGCAATTTTTGTATGTGAAAATTATCCTCTCGACTACCCCTCTTAACAGACCTGGACTGGCACAAAGGTACCCCGTATCCGACATACCACAACGATACCAGGCGGTTGCACTGGTATGAAGCGCACTAAGTGCGGTTTTTTGCACGCTTATAGCGGCACCATAGAACCGACAAAAACCCAACGACCAAGAACAATGTCCGGTGGGAAGAGTCCTGTGAGTACAGAGTACTTAGTCACTACTTACTTTCTCCCATGAGAACCTGAACAAGGCTTTCGCTGCCAGGTATCGCTATAGAGATGGTTTTCTGGGACATGGATATATCAGACAGTAAACCTTTCCCAACGCCTCGAGTCTTGTAGATTGCTCCACACTTGGTGACATTCCAGCTGCCAACGATGGACTTTAAAGTGACGCCCTCGGCTGGTCGTACCTGCGTTTAGTAGCGGGAACGTTCCCTAACCATCCTCTGTTCTTGAGTACGATGATACCCTGTCCACCACGGCAATGTTTCCAGTGAGGATGTCGAGGAAGAGATGGTACTTGTACAGCTTCTCGTTCAGGTAGATGTATTCCTGCTGAGGGCTACATGTAGAAAGAAGGACCGTTTCTAGTCGAGTGAGAGATTCCTCAGATGTGTCCGGACTATTAGTAACAGGGCTCAGCTTGACTGAAGGAATACCTACGGTCTGTATTAAAGAAGAACCGCAATGCCTACCTAGAGCCCATGGTGTTTTAGTAGACCTAAGACGCGTTGAGCGACTGAACTGTCCTAATATCCTGGCAGGTCGGCCCCAGCCGCGGCCCGGCCTCACTTGGGCTATTCCCGGGAGGCTGGAGCCGAGTTCGGCTTCAGTTTCGTGGCGAGTCGGTTGATCATGGCCCGAGCCGAGTCTGACGCAAGGCATTTCCACATCTCCACTATGGCCCGACTATGCAACCTTGATATCTCTTGCTTCTGGGCGAAAGTTAAGAAAATCTTTGCCCCTGGGCGTACAAGTTGTGAGTCGAGTGATGCCGAGTGGGATTCCAGAGTACAGTACGGCCTGCCTCCTTTGGCGTACCTGCTGCAATGGTTAGATCGCTACAATCTGTGTGCTGACTCCGCGTCATTTCTCCTGTGGCGTAACGCGAAGGGAAACTGGTTCACAAGGGGTGATAGCACGGCAGGATACCGCAAGGCAGTTGGCATCCGTTCCGTGAAAGCCAAAGCTGGATGATACCCTGGGCCTGTCGGAAGCTAATCGCGTGAGGTACCTTCAGTTTCTCATGGCTATGGCAGCACAATGTGCTACATACGTAATTCACTGCAGTGGCCTACGTGGTGTGAAACAAAAATCTTACTGCTGTGTTTGTGTACCCGTCGGATGGGTGCAATAAGGGCGGTCTTGAGAAGCAGCACGGGGAGGGATCCTGACCTGAGGGTTCGATTGATAATGGGCCGAATCGGGAAATGCCGAATGGACCGAAAGCCTGGAAAGCGAGTTTCTACGAAATTGCTGTATATGAGCATAAAGCGAGTAGCAGCACCCAACGAGGCATTTCGTCTGTGTATAGGTGAACAGATCTATGTAGCCTGCCTGCGGGTTTCGAGCTGCTCTTCAAGACGGTCTACTAGGGCACCGCTGGATGCAAAGTTCGAGAAGCTTTTGAGAATGCGTCATGAACTCCACCGCGACTGAGCTTGTGGCCCGTGCGTTAGTGGAGTCTCACCGAGCTGAGCGCTGAGCGGTGGGCCTTCCCCAATATCAAGCCATGCCCACAGCAGCCGTTTCCAAAGCGTCCCCGGGAGATCACCTGGCAGGTGTTCCACAATCCTCAGCCATCGACCGCAACTCCTGCCAAGCCTTCTTTCCTATTTCCTTTCCCGCTGCAAACGACCTCTGGCGCTTGAACGGCTGGCTGCTAATGAAAATTCTGGTATCACGTTCTTCTGGTGCCAACAGATGTTCACTTGTTCCGTCCTTCGCTGATTGCGCCAATCCCGAGTTGTTGCTGGAGCGAAGGGAAGAAATATTGGGCTGACGAGCAGGCCGTTTCATCTTCGCTCGCGGCCCGTTCAATTCACTGCGCGCGTCGCGTCATAGATCTCGCTCTTTTGGCTTGTTTCCTTTGCATCGAATCCGGTCGCTTTGTATCGGTAGCCGATTCCTAGTCCGGCATCCCCACTGCACCGTCAAGATTCTAGACTGCGGCATAGCGACTCCCGTCTACCCGGCTCCTAGTAGTCTCACCCTATCTGCCTGTCAGCCGCTAGGTGCTTCGTGTCTTGGACGGAAGAAGGGGGAGATAAGGACACGATCGCCCACCGTCGACCGGTCATCCCTTCGCTAACGTGAGGCACCGCTTTTGGATTGTCGGAAGCCGGCAGCCAATCCGTACCCGTCGCAGTGGGTGACTCGCTGCCCTTGTATCTTGGATTTTTATTGTTTGGAATCGGGGTTCATCGTTGTGATTTGGAGTGCCCAGGCGTCCCACTTCTTCGCTGTCGCACCATTACTCTGACCGTCGGTTCTCTTCCCGCTGTCTAGGCCTGCGACCATGGCGGACGGTTTCCAGACTAGTGGCGGTCAATCGGGGGGTCAAAACGCACAACAGCCTACGCGCCCGATACCGGTAAACGACATAGAGGACGAAACATCAAACGAGCAGACACAGGACAAACAATCAGCGGATGAGACGGCTGCCCAACAGGCCACTACAAGCACCGACGCCGATGCATCGTCTAAGGGAAAAGAGAGGGACGAACCTCCCCCGCCGGTCGAGAAGCAGAGGGAGGGGGATTCCTTGTCAATAGAACCCTCTGACCTGCCGCCGCCCGCAATCCCGCACGATACACCCGTCTGTACCATCACACTTCTCCTCCCGACAGGGGCTCGGCATCCCTACAGACTAGATGAGAAATACCTCGCGAAGCGCAACGTCGAGATTCCGGACGTCACGGACTCGGGTGCCAAAGACCCGTTCAGCATTTCCGTATATAAACTGAAGGAGTTGATATTGAGAGAATGGCGTGAGGAGTGGGAGGGTAAGCCGGCGAGTCCCAGCAGCATCAGGTTAATCCATTTTGGAAAGTTGTTGGACGACAAGGAGCAGTTGAAGAGTGAGTGCGGACCCTTGGCATTCTGCAGAGAGATTGACTGACCGCTTGAGCAGAGTACCAGTTTAGCATAGACAGCCCAAATGTTGTGCACATGTCGGTACGGCCGGCTGAGATGCTGGAGGAAGAGGAGGCCGGCAAGGGGGGTAAGACCAGCAGCCGGGAAGGAAGACCCCGCGAAGGAGGCGGTGGGTGTTGCGTCATCTTATAGTTGGCCAAACGCTGCTGGACGGCCTGCTCTAAAGAAGCTCTACCTGTCTGAGCCCTGGTAGCGTAGTGCTGCTGCGGATGGAGAACATTGGGCTGCCATCTTGGCGTATTGTGTTGGGCTTCTTGCCCTTTGGGACATTGGATTGCATTTATGCGGCAGGGAGCTGGGTTGGACTCTCTTATACGAAGACGTTTTTGAGTTTCATCCGGGTAGGAATCGGGTTCGGCGTTTTGTGCTCGTATAAGTGTCCAAGTGATTGAATGTTAGGATGGGAGGAACCCAATTCTCTGGTGAATCGCCGTATTGCTTCTTGGCTAGCTGTAAGGCTATCGTCTGCAACATAACTTTGAGTTTGCTGATCTTGACGTTACCCGTTCACACGTGTATTTTGTTGCTTGCTCTGCAAGATAAGGAGATGCCGTCAAGTCAGAAGATTGCCGTCAACACTGCGTCCCAACCTTTCTCGCATTCGTAGTGTATTGTCGTGCTGGACCTTGATTCCATGGACTTGAATAAGGTACTGTACACAATTGCCGATCCAACGGTCTCAAAACCGCCCCGGTTGTACCCGAGAGCGTGCTGGGCCGTCGGACAGCAATCCCATCGATTCGCCACCTAAAGCATCTCGCCTATTACGCAGGCGGTTGCATCTTCAACTTCCTCTCGATTTCATCATGGATCCCCACCGGCGCCCTCAACTCCTCTCCAGTGAAGACATCCTCCCACGTGATTGTGTCGTCCCTGCCGCTCAGAATCTCCTCATGCACGCTGCCCAGCCCGCCGGACGTCCCGCCTAGCGCCATGGGTTTCCACTCGCCCTCGCGCGTGATCTTGAGCTCCATCCCGCGGCGGATGGGCTCCGCGATGCCGTACGTCCGCCGCAGCGTCTCCATGCGCAGCGCCTCGCGCGTCGCCTCCCACGACTTGAGCCGCGCCTCGAGCGGGTGTGCGGACGTCGGCTTGTTCTCGGCGGCGCTGTACGGCGACGGCCCAACGCCCGCCCGCAGCGTGTCGTGCAGTCCCGGCGCCGACGGTGCGCCCGCTGTCCGCTCAGCGATGTGGCTGAACGAGTTCAGGTGGCCCTCGGCGGGGACGATGCGGAGTGACTGTTTGGAGAGCGGGATGGGTTAGTGGGTTGGTCTTGTCGACTTGCGCACTGGAGGGATTGTGAGCAGGAGGAACGTACCATCGTGAAGGTTGGCTGGAATATGCAGGTGATTGGTGATGATGTATCGTTTTTGCAGCTCGGCCTATGACGGATTCGTGTCGGGCACTCTCTGTTGTGGCAGTTTGTACCAACAGATTGGCGATGCGAGGGGGGTCGTGACAAGGCGTAAGTCGAAGCACAGAAGCTTGGGTTGAGGCAGTTGCTCAAGGCTGCAGTAGCCTTGCGTTCCGGGGTCAGCTCCTTGTCTCCAGGCGCCAACGGGCCGCGTGAGCAGCCATTAAGGCAAAGGTTGGATTATGTAATATTTGGCAATTAGCCTGCACTAACCGTTTAAGGTAATAATTAGGTACTCCTAAGGAGTTCCACCACAGCCACTGTTGCCGCTTCGAATTATCTCCGAATTTATTAGCGACGATCAGGTTCTCGTTTGACTCACTGTTCGATTTCAACAGCATCATGGCCGTCCAAGAGGTTGCTGGACCTCAATTGGCAGGATGCGTATCCCAAATATTCCTCCTCCCATAATTCGAATCGCCAATGGCACCTTTTACCGGCACCAACCGGGCACAGTCTCGACGGGACATACACATGCACACTCACATCCAAACCCGGCGCTTTTCAAGGGCTTGAGCTTTGAACTTCCTTCACGAAGCGAGACTCCCCACAACTGGGCTATCGCTGGGCCGTCACTCTCTGGGAAGACTACCTTCCTTCACATTCTTCGTGGCCAGCACCTGTGTTTCCCGCCGACCGCCCGCTCTTTTCCGTACCTCAGCACCGATCAGGTATCGCACCGGCTGAAGTCGCCGGCGCTCGCGATCCAGTATGTTGGCTTTGACGCGAATGGCGAGGGTGGGCTTGGCCCAGCCGCCTCTGCCTACTTATCGGCGCGGTACGAGTCGCGGAGAGAGATCACCGACTTCTCACTCAGGGACTTCCTCCTGGGCAACATGCAGCTGAACCCTTCCAAGCTTCCCGGAGACGAGGGTGTGGACTCGAAGCTGTTTGAGCGCGTGGTTGTCGACCTTCGGCTCGAGAGCCTGCTGGATCTTCCCGTCTCGTTCCTGTCGAACGGGCAGGGCAGAAGGGCGCGCATTGCTCGGGCCCTGCTGACGAACCCCGAGGTCCTGTTGCTGGATGAACCGTTCATGGGCTTGGATCCGCCCACCGTCGCTGGGCTGAGTCCGCTACTACATTCCCTCGCCCAGAAGGCGAGCCCGCGTTTGGTGTTGAGCGCCAGGCCGCAGGATCCGTTACCTGAGTGGATCACGCATCTAGTGTACCTCAGGACAGATTCGCAGGTTGGAGTTATGGGTGACAAAGAGACCGTTCTAGATGGACTGAGGAAATACGTACGACGTGTCCAGAATGGTGGTCCAGAGGATGAGGCCCTCCCTGTGCATGCTCTGGGTGAAATGGGCCGAGTGCTCACGAAAGACGGCATTGTGGGCGAGTCACTGGGCGAGGAATTCTCCATCAGCATTGCTCATGGAGTCGTTGAGAAGCCTGTTGCGGACAGGGTCTTAGGAGAACCTCTTGTTGAGATGCAGGGCTGCAGAGTCAAGTATGGAGATAAGGTGGCGCTGGGCAACTGGACCGAGGAGCGAGATGGGAAGCCGATAGGTGGGCTCTATTGGACTGTCCGGAGAGGAGAGAGGTGGGGGGTCTTTGGCCCCAACGGCTCCGGAAAGACCACAATCGTCTCACTTCTCTGTTCCGACCATCCACAGACCTACTCTCTGCCGATCAAGCTCTTCGGTCGCAGCAGATTGCCCGAGCCTGGTTCCGGGCAGCGCCCGCTGACTTACTGGGACATCCAGTCCCGTGTCGGACACTCTAGCCCCGAGATTCATCAGCATATGCCGCGCAATCTGACGGTCCGGCAAGTTCTTGAAAGCGCGTGGGCAGACACTTTTCGCAGCAAGCCCAATCTTGACGACGTTGCCAAAGAACAAGTCGAGGCCACGCTTAAGTGGTTTGAGCAAGAACTCAACCCCGCCTTTGCTAAGCTGCCGTCCCCGGAGAGCTCATCAGCTGTGTCTGTTGGGTGGGCGAGCGACTATATGTTTGGGGAGCTGTCATTCAGCGCTCAGCGCATCCTACTCTTCCTTCGGGCAATCGTAAAGCATCCGGACATTGTGGTCCTCGATGAGGCGTTCAGTGGCATGGATGATGCTGTACGGGACAAGTGCATGCTTTTCTTAGCTTCCGGGGAAGAAAAAATGTACGCGTCAGGCTCCGGCAGCCGCCCACGCACTAGGTCGGCGGTGATCCCGAGTCCAGCGGCGGAGTCCGGGAAGGTGAAAGTGAAGGGCCTTTCGGACCAGCAGGCCTTGATTTGTATCAGCCACATCAAGGAAGAGGTGCCTGATTGTGTGAGGGAGTGGCTCTGTCTCCCGGAAGCCAATACGGGTAAGCCGGCAAGGTTTGGGCGGCTGGATGGCCCGCTGAGGACCGACTCCAGACGATGGGCAGAGATTTGGGGGCTTTGAAAGGGAGCTCGCTCGGATAGAGACTACCTACTAGTACCTCAGCCGTCACCGTCCTGGTCGCCCCTAGAGATCACCAGAAGCAAATCGTCAACATATACCCTAGCGCAGGAGAACCCGAGAAGGCTTCTACTTTCTAGCATAGAAGGTTAAAGCACGTGGGTAAAAACAGTGAAGTTGAACTGTCTGAGTCAATCCATCATTAAGCCAGCTAGAGCGCTGTTTTTGATCCGTTGGACAGCCCTGGATACCGGTGTAGGCCGACAAGGAGGGACGGGGGGTAACACTCAGTATGTATATACATGCCGGAGAACCCCTCGCACAGCCGCACTTAGGCACACCAAATTGCCTTGGAAATTCCTCCACACCTGAGCAAGGGACTCAGCTTTCCTCCCGTCGTTGCGCACAATTTACAGCCCGCAAAGAACAGATCCAAGCACTCTGTTCATCCGTTGAAAATACCTGGGCTGCCCGAAGGGCCATCATAGGACAAGCGCCAAACTCGCCCTTACTTCAGTAAAGTCTCGCTGAAAGCCTCTATCCTGACCTCGTGCGATCACCATGGATTCCTTCGCTGGAAAATCCCCCCATCGACCATTGTCGCCCTTAGACCCATCAGAAATCCGCCTTCTAAAGCTATATCAGGGCGAGCTTGACGACGAGGTCCGCTGCGAGCTTCAGCATGTTTCCCTAGCAGCAACGCCGGTATATGACTACATCGCGCTTTCCTACGTCTGGGGAAACCCAGAGATAACTGCTCCAATACTTCTGTGCGGAGAGAAATATCCTGTCACCACCAACCTGCACTCTTTCCTCCGACACGCACAGAATATGTTGTTATCCGTTTCCCAAAGCCTCCCGTCAGTGTTCCGCCGGCAAAGCAGCTTGCTCATTCATACCATTGTTCGAGGAGTCATCGAGGATGTTTGCTTTTGTGAACCCTTCCCATTCCAAGGCGACCATTTCAGGTCGTCAATTATACAACGTCGAGTCTTGAATGCATTAGCTCGCATGGCAACGCGCCACAGTTCTCTTGGGGGCGAGGAGATCTTCGACAGCTCGCAAGATCCCGGCCTAGATCGCTGCCATCTATACATGTGGATAGATGCACTGTGCATCAACCAGCAGGACCTGAATGAGAGAAGCCAGCAAGTTGGCAGAATGATGGAAATCTATGAGCATGCATCGTCACTTTTTGTTTGGCTAGGGGAGCCTACGAAATATGTCTCAGACATAACACCGGCTCTTGATCTAATCAACGAAGTAGGGCAACTCGCGCAGCAGAAGCGCTCTCTCTTCTCTGAACGCGAGGATACATCCGGTCTGGATGAGTTTCTGGAAGATGTTGCTGCACCAGACTTTGTCAATCCACGACGCTACGCACTTGACCAACTTCAACTGATACTGTGCGACGTCTGGTTCACCAGGGTCTGGATCATTCAAGAACTTGCATCAGCAAGTCTCAACACACGTGTGACAGCCTTGCTAGGATTCACGCGTGTTGCATGGGAAATCTTCTTGAAGATCATTGCCCGGCAGCGCCGCACATGGCAGAGTCACATACTCCTTCCAGAAGAATCTTACTTTCTGTCAACAACTGGAACCTCTTGAGGTTGGATCGTATTTGGACGAATTATTAGGAATCACGAACGGTTGCGACTGGCAGTGATTTTGGAGGCAAAGGCCCAACCTTTGCCCTTGCACACGATCTGAACGCTTTTTTGCAGCTTTCTTGCGGAGCATTCAAGGCGACCGATCCGCGGGACCACCTCTATGCTCTCCTGGGTCTTTTGGGCCAACGTCGGGTTCCCCATGAGCTGTGTCCGGACTACAGTCTTCCCATCGAGCGGGTATACCATGAATATGCATCATTCCTACTGAAGCATACCAAGGATCTCCGAATCTTAGAGTTTCTACGGCGAGATATTACCGGAGTGCCTAGCTGGGTGCCCGATTGGCGCTTCTTTCGGGCGAAGATGGGCGAGCACGAGCCCCTCAAGGTTGGTGCCCCATGCTTGGAATTCTCGGAAGATACAGAGAAGATGAAAGTTGAAGGTGTCCAACTCGGACGAGTTGCAATTGTTATTCATTTGACACACTTGACAACGATGGCGGGAGATTTGGCAGATCTGCCGGCATTGGATGGTCCGAGAGCTGAGGAGCAGTTTTTGGGTATTATTCGAGCCTTTCAAACAATGAAGAGGGTATGCCTGCAGAGACTGGAAGAATTCATGCCCTCAGTCTCATCAGATAAATTCTTGGTCCGTTGGATACAGTTCTGGAGCTTGACGGATGACAGCATCAGTCGCATGATGAAGACGAAAGTAGATCCTGCAGCCTTCACGACTGCCCTGAGCTTGTTAGAGGGGGAGCTGGAATTAAGCCAGGATTATGGATGGGCGGAACATATGCTCCTGATAATTGATGCGGAAATGGCGGGCATGTCGTTAGGACGCATCGCGGTTCTGGATTGTGGGAACATTGTTTCAATCTCCCGACTGGACGAGTCGATTCTTTCAGGAGACATTGTTTGCATGCTGAAAGGGGCTAAGTCGCCTACTGTTCTTCGTCCAGCAGGGGAACACTTCACTTTTGTCAGCTGCTGCGGGAGGACGTCTTTCCGGGTGGAAGATCCCGATGAATCGTTTTACAGTCGATTCTCGGCGAAGAGATTCACTTTGCGGTGAGCAAAGGGAAGGCACAAGGCCCTATCGAGTTCTAGGATCCTATTAGGAGGATTGACCTATATAATTGTAACGTTGAGCACGATGGCGGATGGGTCCAATCCATCCATGGCCTACCTGTGTATTGGCAAGTTGACAGCTGCCCATTGGCTTCCAACCCTGATATCTTACACGGTTACTATATCGCATGTCTGGGGTGTCCATTCCGTCGATGAACAAGAGCTCTTCAATTTTTAGAGCTAGAGGATTGCCAGAGCAAGACTGAGAGTCACCAGACACTGAACTGGCCATATCAGGAGATTCAAGGCTCGGTTGTCTCTCCTAGTTTCTGTACCGATGGGCACTACCTAGAGTCCTAGGTAGGCAGTAAATCGATCTTAAGCTAAGGTGTGTCCTCGTAACCATGATCGGATGCCGACTTGAGAATGCTTGTCCGCTCAAAAGAACGGAAACTAAACGCCGAAGGCTGAGGGGCATTTGCGTGATGATCGGACTCGGCCACTTGTATAGGCATTTGTAAGCTGGCCGGCGGATGTATGGGACCAAGCGCCCGCCAAGTCGGGCATCTTACATTGGTATTGCCGTATTAATAATGGAAATGTGATCCGACCGCCTGAAAATATTCCTAATTGGTTTGGTATTGAGGACCATGGGACGTTGTGAATGGCTCTAGAGACCCTTCATCCGTCTGTTTCGGCCTCGGAGGCGCGGCGACTTTCACCGAGAAAGGAAGAGGAAGTGACGACGGCCAAGGAGCGGTGATATGGATTGGAACGACTACTTCAAGTTTGATTAGAGCTGGTTCCGGCGTCATGGCCACTTCGTACAAAAAGGGGGCACTTCACTCCGTTTCTGAGTTGAGGTAGCCATCAACAGTCTCCGAGTCATCAGTCCGATATCAAGTCTCACATCAGAATCGCCCGTCGACGGCTACTAGTATTTATTTGACTGCAACCCCGACAACAGCGAGGTTCACGCTTGACTAGTACAGTAGCCTACGAAGCAAAACGGCCAAGATGTCGACCATCTCTTATTACGATACCGCCATTGACCTAAACAAAAAGGCGCTCAAGACCCTTCTTGTCATCATGAAGAGAGCCCAGGAGCATCCCGATGCGGCTTCTCTACCCTCAATTCGCCTGTACGAGGACATGCTCCCATTCAGCTACCAAGTACGAGCTGTCTGCTATTGCAGCGAGATGGCCGTTGATCGTCTCGCCGGTCAACCGGGCAAGCCGCTGCCGCCCAAGGGCCGACCCGACGAGGACGAGTCAGAGAAGACCATGGACGAGCTGATCGCACACGTCGAGGAGGCGCTCGCACTGCTGGACACCGTCACACACGAAGAACTGGATGGAGCGGCGGACAGGACGACCGAGGTTACGGGAGCGGTTGGAACGGCTTACATGACGGCGAAGCAGTACGTCCTGGATTACAGCATCCCGAATGTGATGTTCCACCTCAACATGGCCTATGCGATTCTGCGGGCGAAGGGCGTGCCGCTGGGCAAGATGGATTACTTGGCCGAGTTTGTCAAGGAGTTCTTCCCCGCTATAGTGGGTTGAATTGCGGAGGATGTATCTATAAAATCTAGGGTGATGCTATATACCTATACCATGATTAGCCGTACTTGGCGAACTATCTAGCAGGGAGGTGGGGTATCTCTTCTGACATTAGGACGACATTATTGACAACATACTGTCAACGTTATGGCCATTGAGGTGCCTAGAAAGGTGTCATGTTGTTCTCCACGCGCCTTTGAACATGTGCCTGACCAAACACTTGCGACTGGTGGCAAGTCCCCAGCGCAAACCCCAACTACACAGATAGTCGGCCCTGAAGCTGAGAACCGGCATGACTGCTATATCTCGATAGTACCTCGGCTCGTCCATGCCTTGGAGGTCAGACAGGCCGGTGACAGTGGCGTCAAGCTCTTTTATCCCCGCCAAGACAACCTCGGACCACGCTCTCGGGCCGGAAAGCTGCAAGACATCTTCGTCGCCTAAGCGCACCTGGTCCAGGGTCGTCCTTTGCTCCTGGGCCAGATGTTTCAAGGCCTCGATGGTGCGGTTGACCATGCGATGCAGGATGGGGTGATTCGGAGCGGCCGCGATCGTCCACTGGCAGAACTGGACCGGGTAATCTGGGAAGCCGGGACCATGATCCCTCGAGCTGTCCGACTCCAGGCCGATAATTATTGCTGCATCGCGCCGCTTGTGCTCGGGGAGCCAGTCCTCGGGACCCACGAGGGGCTGCGTGTCCAGATCGGTGTATATGCCCCCGTGAGTGAGGAGGAGTAGGTACCGTAAGAAGTCCGACTTGGCCCCTGGATTCTTGAGCGCATGATACGTCTGAGCAATCTCGGGCCGGGACGTGAAGGTGGTGTTGATGAATTGGTCTGCCTCGAGCGTGTTGAGCAGCGAGTATGCGTAACCGGGCGTCATTGAGATCCACTCGGACGCAAAAAGTGCGCGCTTGTCAAGATCCTCAGCATGGGGAGGCGAGAAGAAGATTTGCCATATTTGACGAGGGATCGGGGTGTCGAATGCTGCTAGTAGCGGCCGACGGGCGCCCGTCCGGATGGTTGTGTTCGGGAGGAGCGTTGAGGCCAGAAGCAATTCGACAGTCACGAGACTCAAAATGAGCGCGACGAAAATTCGTGCAAGTCGACTCCACGGCCACGCGTGGGATCGATACATCATCATGATGGCCCCAGCTTGCGATGCATAGACTCTGCGAGCTTGACAAGGAAATAGGTGGTCGGCGAGCAGGTATTGGAAGTATCATTTAAAGGGCGTCGTTGAACTTGATGTACGGAGTATGAATTATTGTACTTGTAGATATCCGTACAAGCAAGGTACAGTAAATTGAAGGTAGCAACTAGCAAGGGGTTAGGCGAAGTGGCGACCCGCGTCGAGGCTGATACAGTGTCTCCACTACGAATCAATGCTCATCTTCTGGGCACCGCAGGATTAATGTAACATGATCTTAAGGTGTTAAAAACATGACTGCATATCAAGCTTGCATCGTGCTGCTTATGTATTAGAGTCTGAGGTCCAGGCGCACCAATCTGGGGCTGACTTTAGGGGCAGGATGACCACCATCGCTAAATCCAAAGAAAAAAAGTCCGAAAACGAACAAACAAAATGGGAAAGGACCTGCCCGCCTATGATCCGTTGGTGAATTTAGCGAAGCGCCGTGGCTGACTCTGGCGTTTTCAGCCTCCTGAGCCCTGTCAAACCCAATCTGCTTCATAGTTATCCGTACCTATTGTGTAGTCCGAATATCCACCAGGCTATTATAATAACCCTTTGCCCGAATCAGGGGGCAGTGCTCATACTCAGCCTCATACATGCCTTGGCAGTGTGGGACTCACACCTATCCTAACCCTTAGCTCATTGCATTCACACGCAGAGCGATCTACTGTACCATACCCACCCCGCCATCTACAATCAAATTCATCGCAGTCAATTGTCGCCATCAATCCGTCGAACTACATATTGCTTCATCGCGATCAAATATCTTTCTACGGAAGAGTAAAGGCGCGACTTTGAATGTCTCCCAATTGAAGTTCCAAACTTCCTCCAGCTCAGTGAGTCCGCTTCTCCTAGCTACATGCAGGTTGAGCAACTTGAGCTTCGAGCCTGAATATACAGAAGTTCAGAACTACCTCGGAGGGTTCTAGGCCGTCCGCAATGCGTGCTTTGACTCCTCTCCTTGCCGAGATCATACTCTAGGTCCTGATGAGGCACGTATTCACGTACACACATAGTACAGTACCAACCTCAGCTACCTTACTCAGTTAGTAGCCATCGAATATCGTTACCTTAGTTTGGACGACGTCCTTACCGATACCTTCCATTCCCTCGGCTTCGTTGGATTATTTGAGGTACTACCCCGTCATCACATCGTGTATGCACATCATACGTGGAACAACCACTGATCATACACACTATGCAGCTCATAGGACAGAGAAGCGAGGAGAATGTACGGTTATGTACAGTACGTGTAACCTACCTGCAGGCAGGCAGCAGTCATTAGTGCATGCAGTGTCTGCCTAAGGTAACCTGAGCTGCTGTGCAACCAGTCCCTTCGTCCAGAAGCGAGCCTCACTTCATTGCTTTCAAATTTTGTCTTTCCTGCTCTTCCTTGAAGGAATCTTCGGCCTACGTGACCATGATCACTCCTCACAGGTCCAACCTGACACTGGGGGCCTATCTATTGGGCACAATCTAAAGCGAGGTCTACCGTACGACAAAGGTCAAAGTCCGAGAATGACATCTTCTGAGGAGTCCAGTGATACCACTCACGGCAATGATGCGTGCGGCGCGGCATGGAGCTCGCTTGTGCGTCGCAGCTTGGAGGCGTGGCAAGCACTCGACGGGTCCGAGACGAACCTACCTGCAATTGCGGTGTCCGACTTGCAAGAGTACGCGACTCTAGATGCCTTCTTATCTGGAGTTGCCATGGGCAGCGGGATCTTCTTTTGGTTTTTCCAGCGGAGGGAACCATTCCTAGCACAAAAGACAATGGCCAAATGGAGCAAGGATCGTCTAGACGATTACATCCTTCTTCCAGCCATGATGGGTTTCGTGCTTCGGAGGGAATGCTTCTTCGTCAGCCACTTCTGGCAGTCGAAAGATGACCCTGATCCTGGCGGCAAATACTTGCGCCTTCATCAGAGAGAATTACGGCCACAGGCTTGGTCGTACATCTGGATCGATTGGACTTGTATGCCCCAAGAGCCCCGGACCAAGAGTGAAGAGGCATATTTCGAACGGGCTCTGCAACGCATGCCCTTCATCATTCAAAACTGCGGGTTTGCATGGTTCTACCCGCCCTTCGAACCACGGCTGTGGATCTTGTACGAAATCGCCCAATTCATCCTCACATGTTCCGGCGAGCTTCCGCCAGTTGAAGACATTAAAGAGTTTAGGGATCACGTCAATGAGATGGTCCAGACTGGGGTGCGCTCGACTCTGCGTAAGCACGGTTACAGATGCTCTTTCGACCGCGACAAGGAATTCCTTACCTCCTGCCTAGAGCTTCTCGTTCTCTTGAAGAGACTACCCGTCGACATTATCCAGTTAAGGCGGATTGTGGATTCCCTCACTTGGTTTAGTCCTACGGCCTCCCTATTTACGCCGACCCCGAACGGTTGGTTGGAGATCCATCGGGACAAGGGGACGTTGCGTCTAGGAGATGATGAATACTCTTTTACGCCATTTCCTACATGGGTAAGCTGGCTCCTGTCGTGACCGCTCTTCATTCTAGTACTAAGTAAGCATATTGATGCCAAACAGCAAAACGGTAAATTCTCTACTACGAATCCCAAGCCCCAACCAAGCACCACACCTGCATAGCAATACTTATTTATCATGCTGCGGAAAGGACCCTGAGCTCTGGTTAAGTCTGGTCAATCTCTCAGAAACTTTCGGTTATGTATGGATGTCTGGTATTCATGCTACACCTATAAGCCTTTTCACTTTCTCCTTAACGCTTTCCTTTGTCCTCCTCAGGCGGATACACGACGATCTTGTCCAGATCAGCCCCTTTATAGTCAAATCCGTTCCACAGCCCACCGACGGTGATCGTATTCTTCTTGCCCTTCTCCAGCGTCAAAAGCAGCGGCGTTGAGAGTATAATACCCTTGTGCGTGTCCCGCTGGAACAGCGTCTCGACCTTGTCCGTCTTGCCGTTGACCACGACGCTCGCAATCCGCCGCAGCTGCCACGAACCGCCAATCCGGTCAGGCGTGCCGCCCGGCTGATCGCCAAAGCCCATGTCGTCCGTGTTCTGGTAGTAGAATGATACCCACTGTGGCTTCCCGGTGCCCTCTATGCCCTCGAAGGTGACTGTGCTGTCGTTGCCGTAAATGCCCGTGGCAATGACACCCTTGCTCGCAAAGTTTGCCTCTTGCTTGAACGCGCCGCCCGACGTCCTGGCATCTGCGGCGAAGTACGTCGTGCCCTTGACGGGCGACCATTGGCCGGTCCTCACGTCCAGATCGTACACGTCGTTCCACACCAGCTTGAGCGTCTTTTTGTGGTCGTCAATCTCCATCGGCAGCCAGATGTAACGGCTCTCCCAGAGCGAGTTGGAATCCCACTGATCTCCGAGATACAGGTACGTTGTCTTCTTTTTGCCTTTGATGGTCAGGGTGAAGCCCGATTGGGAATTGAATGTCCGCGTGTTGAGAGGGGCCACCATGAAGGGCTGCGACCACGGCCCGGCGAGGGAGTCGGCTCGGAAGGCCACCACGTTGTTTGGTCGATAGCCCGTCTTGTGGCTCATGAGGGCGTAGTAGCTCTTGTCGGTCTGGACGATGGTGGGGGCTTCGAGGTCATACTTGTCGAAGCGGTGGATCACTTTGTCGAGTTCCGTCGTGTCCTCGTTGAAGGAAGTAAGGTAGACGTCTCGACCCTCCTTGCGGTCGCCGTTGGAATAAAGCGCATACGATCTTCCGTCTTTGTAGTCGGTGAAGATGCCAAAGTCTTGTGACCAGTTACCCAGGGGGGCGGTGGCGCTCACGAAGGTGTAGGGACCGGAGATATTCTGAGACCGGGCAAACCCTTGGAGCAGCAGGCCGTAGGTGGAATTGTCCGCGTGCCACCACATCTACTCTTGCACGTCAGTCCATTCACGGCACTGAGTGCGCGGTGAGCGCGCCTATTATACATACGTGGTACTCGTTGCTGACATTACTGTAAACCACCTTGGGCCGCTGGATGATATGGGAGGGCGAGATATAGGGGTGGCCCTCAACAGGGGCTGTGCCAGAGAGTCAGCACATTGCACGAACAGAATTCGTCCATAATTGCGGTTTGATCACAAACCCAGAGCAAGGCCGTGGCTCTCCCATGTTGCGAGGTCATCCGAGCTGTAGACTGAAACACCTCCACCTTCAGTCTGACCTTCAACCTTGTACTCGCCAAACAACCAGAACTTGCCCGTCTCCTTGTCGACCGTCACACATCCTGCATGGGCATTGACCAGGTTGCCGTCTGTGTCGTGCCACCTGCCGCCGGGGACGATATACTTGGCGACCGAGAGACCGGCAAAGAGTAGAGTGGTCAGGATTTTACTCCTAACGGTTGCCGTCAATTGCATCATGTCAAGATAGAAGCACTGAGCCCAGTTGGTGTTCAGTCAGTTGGCAACGAACTGAGCAGCGCAGATCGTAAATGAGTGAGCTGGTGACACCCAAAAGCCGATGTGAATTGGGGACAAGAAGACACAAGTCCTCGATGGTCGGATGGTTGAGCCATCATTCGCACCTCTCTACCCTATGTGCGGGTATTTAAGCATGGCGACCTTGGTTATCGGGCGGGTGGGTTAAGAGTCAAGACCATGTCCAATTCGTGGAAATTAAAAAGTGCAGTGACATCGCTGATTCCGTATGAGGAGGCGCCTAGGCGGCAGTCGCGAATAACATTAACCTGATGTTGGTTGAGCCGTTGAGGTATTCCATTCTCCCAAACATCCCAAAACCCTCGCACCTTTCTTTGGATTGTAGTCCGCACAGCTTCCAAAGCCGGTCAGGTTGAGCCTTAAGCGTACTTATCATGTAGGTGCAATTAGGTACCTACATAGGCGCTGTATGTATCATGTATGTACTTGTATGTACATGATACCTTCACATTCACAATTACACACTGTCACACTCACAAAACTGCAAGACCCCGCCCGGGTTATGGGCGTCCTAATGTCAACTTGAACCGGGAGACGGGATAAAATCATGTTCCACTGCAAATCCATCAGAGCCTGTATGGTGGTACTTGGCAAGCTCGAGGCAAGGTATTCATCGAGATCTGGAAGGCGAACCACCTATGCGTAAGCCTTCTGGCCTTAGGCAACAGTGCAGGAGCGAGCACTGGCTGATGTTCTACCCAAAGCGTTAGGCTCTCAGCTCGTCTCCTCGTCAACTGCAACCTCAGTCCTTGACTCCGCTCAATTTTGGTTTGGATCATAAGCGACAAGATGTCGGGGCTGGAGCCCCTGGCCGCCCTTGGGCTCGCCTGCAACGTTTTTCAAGTCGTCAGCTTTGCCGGTGAGATCTGGACCGTCTGCAAGGCCCTCTACGACGATGGGGAAGTGCGGCTCGGAGACTCGGACATCACAGGAAGCCTCGACGGTGTGGTAGATAGCCTCAACCGCGCGTTCCACCAGGTCGAGTCAAGTGTGACAACAATACCCTCAACATCATTGACTGATAACGATCGGGAGATCATCAAAATCGCTCGAGAATGCAGGAATGAAGGGATCTTCCTAAAAGGAGAGATCGACAAGTTGATTGACACCACCCAAACGAAGGGCAGAAGGGGGAAGTCTCTTCTGAAGGCCGTCAAGGTGGTACTAAGCTCTAGAATCAACGTCAAGAGATTGGGGAGGTCCGAAAAGACGTTGCGGATGCACCAGAAGACACTTGAGACAAGACTTCTCCTTCGGATATGGTGCGATTCCTGCGGCAGTCGGGTAGCTCCCTAGTTTTTATTGCCTACTGACATTGTTGTGCCCTCAGCGACAAGACGGACGCGGTAAAGCTCTGCCAGCAGGAGAGCTTCAACAACCTTGACTCCAGACTGCGCGCTTTCATTGCCGCCTTCTCAGAAGGCGAGACGCGGATTTCGGCGCTACTTAGCCAAGAGTCCAGTTCCATCAAAAACCACACAACGATCGAGACCAAGAAACTGGAAACGACCATCACGCAACTTGCTGCTGAATCCCGTGCTGGAATATCATACGACATTAGGAATCTAGAGGGCTCTTTTGTGCGGTCTACTTTGGATAGCACGGAGAAAGCTAGGCGGGAACGCCTGCTCAGAAGCCTAAAGTATGCCACCATGAATGAGCGGCGGAACCAGATTGCCGACCCTCACACTGAAAGCTTCCAATGGATCTTTGAGGACCCTCCGAACAGTGAAGCCTCCGAGTTAGGTTGGGACGATATCGAGGATTTCCACGATGCCAGAAAAAATGAAGAGGCTGTGAGGCTGGCCTCGTCTAATTTCCTCTCTTGGCTTGCATCTCCAGAGCAGCCACTGTTTTGGATCTCTGGGAAACCTGGGTCTGGCAAAAGCACACTCATGAAATTCCTGGTCCAAGATCCAAGGACCAAACAGCATCTCACATCGGGACTGGGCCCGACCCAGATCCTTTCGCATTTTATATGGAGTGCTGGCCAGCCGATCGAGGGCAGAATCAAAGGGATCCTCTGCTCACTCCTTTATCAACTCTTCGTAGCGGCCGAACCCAACTCGTTACAGTCGGCCTGTGAGACATTCCCCGAAATAACTAGAAAGGACACGCACTCCGACTGGTCGGACAAGGAACTCCAAGCAGTAGTGGAGTTCGTCATCCAGAGTTCATCCGTGAACTTGTGCATATTCCTTGATGGCCTCGATGAGGTGCACCCTTCAGATGGGCAGATCAGTTTGTTGAAGCTTGTAAAGGATCTGTGCAAGCTCCGTGGGCTCAAGGCTTGTGTTTCAAGTCGCCCAGAACCCATCCTGAAGCGCAATCTCAACGGCTTGCCAACATTCCGTATTCATGACCTGACGGCGCGGGATATACAAAGATACGCATCGAGCATGCTTCTACAGAGGTTCTCAAGCCATATCAACAGTCCAGATTCGAGTATATCGGCATATGACTTGAAGAAACTTCATCGCGAGCTATGCAACCGAGCTGAAGGTGTGTTCTTATGGGTTGCTCTGGCCCTGAGGAGCCTGCAAGATGGCTCCGAGAAAGGGGATAGCCTAGGCGACCTACATCGGCGCATACAACTTCTTCAGACAGATCTCAAAGACTTATTTGGGACTATGTGGGATCGATTGGGCGTCGATAAAGAGCTTTACCAGAAAGACGCTGCGATATATCTCAACCTTGTTTTGACCGCATCAAACATTATTGAGCGCGTACCGTGGAGGGAAACTGAGGATTATTCCTTCACCAACAGCTTTCCAATCCTTACCGTCCTCGACGTCGTCTTGGCCACGGACCCTGTCCTCACAGACGAGTTGCTCGCCGCAAATTCTGACGCAAGGTCTTCCCTCTCTCCGCTGTGCCGGGACCTGGCAAAGCGAATAGAGGTGCGTTGTGGAGGCCTTGTGGAGGTAACTGGACACAGCGATGAGTCGATGATGTCGTTATCAGTCGTATTCGTCCATCGGTCAGCAAAGGAGTTTCTGACCACTTCAGTCGAGGGCGATCGCCTTTTGCGGCAGGATACGTCAGTGAACGAGGACAGAGTATTTAACCTCGTCAAGGCCTGGATCGCCAGGACCATGGTGGGCTTCAGCACTTCCGGTCTATTGCTGCCCCCCCCAATAGTTCCGCGGTTCTCCAGAAACCTAGTGTCTCTTCTTAGGTACATAACCAATCTGGCGTCGCTATTGCCTGGCCGTCATTCGATTATCCTCAGTTGGGACCGGGCGATGGAGCTCGTTTGGGTCACTCGACAGATGGTTGAGACCTGGACATCCGAGGGCATGTTGTATATACCGAAGGTGCCCCGTGATAATGAGCTGACACAGCTGGTCGAATTGCACCATGGACGAGTAGACTTCCTTGGACTCCTAGCCATGGTCATGACCGGTGCAGTGGAAAAACGTCAAAACGTCCAGTTCTTCGCTGCTATATCTCACCGCATTCGGGTGCAGCACGGGAGAGAAGGAGAACCGTTTTCGGCTATGTATAACGCTTACCTTCTCCACGAAATTACGAATACCGAACACTCTGCGGCCACATCTACACTTGTTCATAGCCTCCTTGGACAGGATCTCAAGGTCGATTTTAGACGTGGCGGGAATCCCTTGATCAGTTCTTTTCCCTATAGAACAGAGACATCCAGAAAACCTACGACCCTAATAGAGTCAGCAACATACCAGTGTATACGTCTGCTCCTCAACAGATTAGTCCCCAATAGGCCCAAACCCAATTCCGGCCGTGCCACCAGAACGTACCTGCTTTCCCTCGGTTCTTGGATAAGGTTAATTTCCCGCTTACTGGACCTTGGGGCGAGTATATCAGAAAATCATGTACTCTTGTGGATCTTTGTCTCCTCGCGCACCACCTACTATTCAAATCTCAGACTAAGGGTCGGTGGATCGCCTATAGGACGTTTAGGAACTGACCGCGATCCCGCAGTCTTGGTTGTGACAAACACAGCGGTCATTCTCGACTTTCTCTTGCGAAGGATTAGCAGTCTTGACGGGATGTTGGACGCAGCAGTTGTTGAAGACTTCTCGACAAGGGTGAAGGCAACGGCAGTTTCACCTCACGTAGCCCGGGTTATCGTGGTTCCCCATGTTCCGGATGAACGGCTTCCTCATATGTCAGACGATAACTTGAAGTCTCCAACTAGCCAAAGTTTGTATCTTTTTGGGGAAAGGCCTTGCTACGCTACAACAGATGAGCGCTTCACGAGGCGAATGTTGGCCTGTCTGGAGCAAGCCCGTGGAACATCAACGATTGCGGACGGAAATATTCGAATGGACGGTCTCCAGAGGCTGGTGGATGACATTATGGAGAATACAGCACAAGCAAGTATAGGTCTTGCCGAGCTTGAAGATGACTTGGTTGTAAGAGATGTTCTTTGGCGGCCAGACGACGAGCGGAATCGTCCACCGCCGTATTGGTAGCGGCGTAAGAATGAAGGCATCGGCGTGTTGAGATTTCGGGGGCAGAAAAACCATAAGCCATCCTGTTACAGGGTGAAGTACAGTACATACGGGTGCATGGTTTATCTTATTTGTATCTACCTTAGGTAGGTACTTATTCAGGCTGCTCCCCAGGTCCTTAAGGTAACTACTCAAGGCTGAATACAATCAACTTCGTACCCATAACTAGGTATGCGATACAACACATTGATAGCACTCCCTAATGCTGATAGAGCGTACATCTACTTAGGTAGCTGGTCAAGCATCAAGAATGTCTCCCAGCCAGAGTTGCTGCCTGTTGGCACTACCTTCAGGACTTGCCTAACATGAGCCCATGTACATTACTGTAGAGTCCGAGACATGGCGCTATCAATGTGGTAGGTAGTATTCCGTACCCTCGCGCTTGGATCTCGATAACTAGGTAAGGTAGGTCTCTGGCCGGCTCATCATTATCTCGACCTTATGCTCTGCCTTGACCCCTGAGATGCACTCGCACTCGTCGGCGAGAGGAGAATATCGAGCAACTGCCCATTCCCTAGCTGTGTGACAAAGACTCTTGTCGCGAGCTCCGTGTCTCGCAGGTCCTCCCTCATTAACGAGCACAATTTCTGTACCGACAGATCCGACATGTCACCAGGCTGAGTCCGATCTAGCATCCTGCACAGCGACTGCGTCATGGCATCGCACGGAAACGTAAAAGCGGCCGGTCTGTCGTTTCTGAATGGTGCAGGGACGCAAATACCCAGGAGCTGTTTCGCCGAAGGCGACGAGGCCAAACTGGTGCCCGCACCTATACTGCGCATGATCTCGTGCTGCTCCGCCCGGGCACCGGGTAGCCCCGTGCAGTCAAATACGAGCAGCACATCGCTGGTGCTTTGCATGATAGGGCCCCGCACGTCGTCCCAGAAGAAGATGCCTGCCGAAGGGTCGGGGTCCCTAGTAGTAGTTGGTCAGCTCTGAGGTCAATACGTCAGGAGTCCCAAGTGCTAGCTTAGCCACGGCACTACTGGAACCCCTTAGTCCCATGTCCCGTAGTGTTGGGCATCATATGCATATAGTATCTACACTCGAGAAGGAAATGGTCAAACCTCACCTCAAAAACATCATCCTCTCCTCACCATCCAAACAGCCCCAGCCGTGATAGTAAATCACCAGCAGCACGCCCTCACCTTCTCCGTCCTCCTTATCAACATCACCATCCTCCAGAAACCGGCCCAAAATCGTCTCGACAGCCGCCGTCGGATAGTCAGCCGGTATCAGCCTGCATTGAACACGGTACCCTCTGCGCTTGAAGCAGGCGCGCAACGTCTCCGTGTCGCTCAGGCTGTTGAGGCTGGGCGAGAGCAGCTGCCCGTCCTCGCCCCGGCGGTCTGGCTGCTTTGCCCAGGTCAGGATGAGCACGCGGACTTCAGAAGCTGCTGGCGTCTTCTTTGGGGTTGATTGTGTGACAGGGGTGTCGGCTCTGTGGGTATGCAGCGTTGTGGTGGAGGCTGCTGTCCGGTCCGCGGTGGCCGTGATAGGGTCTGGGTCACCGGCTGCCAGTGTGTTATAGCGGCCGGTGTTGTGCTCGTACAGTAGTTCATGTTGCTTCTGAAGGATGATGGGCGGCGGTGGCGACTGTAGTCTTGCCAGTCGCTTTCCCGTGCTTCGTGGCTCGGACGTGGATGGTTTTGAGGTCACCGCATAATTGATGCCAGGATGGTGGTTGGAGGATTTGACCGTCCTCGGCCAGCTGGTAGTCTGCGGCGACGAGATTGCGGTCTCGGTGTAGCCCTCTCTGTCCATGAACCACGGCGGCTTTGGGCTGTGCGATTCTGTCGTGTTTGGGCTTTGTCTGTCTTGATTGTTAAGACTTGATCGTGACTTGCCCCCGACTCGCTGAGGACTTACAGTGTCAGATCATCCAAGCCATCTACTATCTGGCTGCTCTTGACATCCCAAGCGTGGTCCTCTCCGCCATCAGCGCAACGGGCGAGGCTATCAGCACTTGGAGGGCGCGATGGCTGGCTAGGTAGCGCCTCTACACTTGCCCTCGAGAAATCGTCTCGAAGAGCACTTAAGTGATGCTGCCACAATCGCGAGAAATCAGTATCCATTTTTTGTTGAGAACATTGACAAACTGAACTTCTGCTAACTCAAGATGCTTGAGTCAGTTCAAGATATCCGGACCAACGTAAGCAGTGGGGTCACAACGAGACCTCAATCAAGCTGCCTGATATTGAGTCCCCCCCTGCCTTTACTTCGAGTTAGCTGCTAATTTGCAAAGTGCTGCCCGGGCACAAAGACGGACCCAGAGATGATTCAATGCCACTATGACCCGGTTAGAAGCACACCATGTCGGCTAAAGACGTCAGCCTGGGGGTAGCACTGCAGCAGAACATGTCTGGATTACAGGAATAGACCCGGGGCGGACAAGCATTGGTACGGCATCTGACTGGCCGAGATGCGTTCTGATAAGCAGACCAAAGGACAACTAGTCGCCTGTAAGCAGACAGCCTTGGGGTGGAAAGGCGGTTGGATTGTCGGCATTGGCCATGGCTAGTACAGAAGAGTCAGCCGTCGATGTTGTGGTTCTCGGCATATGGCTTACCTTGTGGTAAGACAAGCGCCAACACCGACCTGGGAAACTCACCACCGTACCCTCATAGGCAGTCATTCCAAATGTATTGGGGACATGCAAGGCAGCTGCCGGCTCCTCTGGACCGCTCCGTGGGGTCCATTGAAGTTGCAACCGTGCCGCCTGCTCCGGTTCCGGTCAGTCCTTACCATCCTCTCGGGATCAACTGCCGTGCCCGGTTGTCCATGTGCCATGTGGTATCGAATAGCGAGCCACACAGGAAAAGATGTATGTCATTAAAACAGCTGAAGTATAATCCGACCCATATCCCGACATTTCTCTCAGACAGCCGGCTACTCCAGACTCCAACATTGGCATCTTGCCATGGCAATCTCAAGTGGTATCTCAGACAATCAGGACCAACAGCATGTACGGCGTTACAAGCATTTCAAAAGAAAATCCCAGGAACCAGACCCTCCCAGCCCAAACTAAAACATGTCATCATCATTACCAACAGCATTCCACCGCTTCGCCGCTAGCTTTCTCATCTTCTTGGGGCTCGCATTCCCAGCAGAGCCGCTGCGAACCGAAGCCTGCCCGTCACTAACGCGCAGGTTCTCCAGCTTCTCCCGCAGACTTCCCTCATCAAATCCAGTTCCGCCGCTGGGGCGTGGACTTCCTGACTCCGCGTAGGATTTGCTCTTGGCCACAAGACTCGCGTCGCTGCCGCGTTCCTGAAGCGGCTGTCGTTTCGTGGGACTCATGGCGGCCAGCTCGCGGCGGAGGATCTCATTGTCGCGTCGCAGCCGCTCATTCTCCTCGTTGATGTTCTCGAGGAGAACATTCTCCTTATCGTCGTCGTCATTGTCACTAATAAGTGCCGAGTTCTCCCCGCTCGGCGCCGTGATCGTGATGGTGGCCGTGGCCATGCTCCGCTCAAACACCTCAATCTTGCGGCCCCAGTGCTCCTCGCCGCGCTCCATCTCAACCTGCATCGTAGCGCGCCACCGCGCCATCTCAATCTCGAGCCGCCGCTCAAACTCGGCCGTGCAGTCCTCCCGAATCACCTGCTCCAGCTCCACCATGCGGTCCTCCATCGACAGGAGGTGTGACTCGGCCTCCTGCCGGGCCGACCGCTCCTCCTCGAGCGCTTGCCGGAGGTATTCGACTTCCTCTGATAGGCGTGCAATCTCGAGGGCGGCGGCCTCCATGGTGATGCGGTGCACGTCGCTGGCGGGGCTGCCCGTTGGGGAAACGGTGCGGACAATGTTGGGAGAGGACATGAGCTGTGGGTAGGTACCCGAACCATGTCCGGGAGGAGAGAAAGGCCGGCGGTGCAAGGTAGGTGATCCAAGTGGGCTTGAGCATGGTTGTGGTGGAGCTGGGGCTGAGGCTGCAGCTGCAGCGGTGAGGATGGTCTGTGTGATGCTCGGGATGCGCGGAACTGTGACCTCACGTGCTAGAGCACTGTACCGGAGGATCTGTGACGTCGCGTTGAAGTCGCCGCAAGCATCGGCCGTGACAATCATGACAGCTTTCTGGGGGTTGCGGTGTCGTGCCGAGGCGTATGCTGTTGCCGATGGAAAAGAATTGGAGAAGAGCAGCTCAGTCAGCTTGCACTGCCGGAATGGGACCAAGTTTGGCTAGTTGCTGTCAGTTATGTCTCTGCAGCCGGTACAGGGGTCCGGTCCTGTCTCTTACCTTATCCTTGTTCGCCGCATCGCTCTGCATTTGCAAACACTGTCCGAGGTACATCAGACTCTCGTTGATCTTGCCGGCTTCGGCAAGGGTTGCCCCCGCCGTCTTTGCGTCTCTCGCCCTCTCGCTCCCCGCAAGGTCGACGATGGTTAGTGTGCTACCGCTCCATGGCATCTCTACTCCGTTTCTCCGGCTGCTGTTGGGTCGCTTCTTGACTTCCACGCAGAAGAAGCCATGACTCCGAGAGCTCACACTATTGCTGCCGGTCCCAGCAACCCTCCGCTCGTGCAAACCTGCCTCAAGCACCATCAGTGCTTGCTGTAGGCTGCCGCAGATCACCTTGCGCAACCCGGCCACCACCTTCCGATCTGGGGATCCCTCGGTCGACTTGAAAAGCAGAGGCCGGCGGCGATACTCTTTCGTAGCAGCGGATTTCGTCGGAGGAGTCAGGAGGTCGAAGATCCGGTCGTTGTACACTTCATACATGGAAATGACTACGGCGTATTCGGACGAGGGATCGCACGACACAGAGAGGGCGCCAATGTCGGGTTGTTGGGGGAAGGCTGACGGCCGGTGCAGCCTGCGGGATGGCGTCTGCGCTATCTCGCTCTGTGAGTGCAATGGTTTAGTGCTTGTCTTAAGACGCATCGATGCAGTTGTGGTCATGAAACGCTTGACGCCAGCCACCGCCCGCGGGAGGCGACTACCGTGTCCCGAGCCAGGGCCGTGGGTAGTGCTACGAGGTAAAGCAATCCCACGACCGGCTTGACTTGGATTCTGAAGATCTTCCCTATGGCGAGGGGTTGAAGGCGGTGTTTGCGGCGCCACTGAGTCCTCCCGTGTGACAATGCGGATGGTCTTCTGTGCTTGCAAGTGTTGCATCTCGCCTGCTTCTTGATTATGGTAGTACTGAGGAAGAAAAGGAGGAGACCCTACAGTCATGGGAGTGGGCGCTCTTGAGCTCGCCCGAAACGGTGCTGCCTCAGCGTACACGCTATCGACGAATGTCGATGCTGCAAACATGGCTGCCTCAGAGGGATCCGATGCCGCGACGGACTGCTCGAGCATAGGAGTGGAGTCGGGGTTCACGAGGTTTTGGCCAAGCGATCGGAAAATCACGTCGAGCGCGAGTTGCGTTAGACCGCGTTGGGATCGTGAACCGAGAATTGTGTGCGTCTGTAGACACAGGTCAGCGAGTTCCTTTCCTTGGTGGATAGATGAGCCAACCTTGCCCGACCCCGTGACGCCCAGCGTTGCCAGCAACGCGTCTGTCCCGTCTCCCCCACAAGGTGCCAGAACTCCCTTGACGAGACTTGCAACTCCGGTGCAGTGGAAGATGTCGAGTTGGCTCGCATCTTCTTCAAAGACCTGGGTAAATGCAAACTTTTCGATGGCCCGCCGTCTGTCGTTGGGCGGGTTGAGCGTGATATGCTTGGGGTTTTCGTTTTCATCGGGCTGTTCGACATTCAGGAAACGTTCTCCATTTGCGCCTCCCTGTGACGGCCGAAGCCGCAGGTAGACCTGGAAAAGATTCTGGGATTTTTGTGTGGACGTTGACATGGCCAACTCCTTCTCCATTACTACGCGGCCTCGTTATCAGTCTTGCGAGGAAGGCTTCAGCTGTGAGATGGACGAGGTGTGGGCTGGAAAATCGAAGTGGGGAAGTACAAAAAAGGGTTGAGGCTGCACCGCGTCAGACGTTCAGTTTTCGCGGCATCAGCAAGCCGCAGCAAAAAATTGTTTTCGAACGTCAGTTTCCACGGCAACTACGAAAAGACTAGAAAATCCAGGATCTCGATAACGCCAGCAACGATAAGATAAGATCTGCCAAGCCTTGCCGGCTTGGCATCTGTTCGAAGACTTCCAAGTTGGAGAAAGAGAACCTGTCGCTCAGTTGCACAACCGTGACTGCCAAAAACCACATTGAATTGCGGACAAGCCTTAGGCGTAGCCAATTGGAAGGGGCATGCGAATATCAGTCCTGCCAATCCATCGAGTCACAAACTCTTATTTTCTGGTCTTCGGCGTAGAGTCATAACGTCAATTCCTTTCCCTCGTTTCTCTTTTCGCAAACCGCTTGTGGCGGGGCTGGACCTCTGATGTCCGAGCTTGCTTTAACCCGAACGTACAGTACAATGGGACTTTCACTTGTATACCGGTATGTCTGTTCTACTGGTCTCAAGGCTCGCCTCGACTACAAAGTGGTGGGCAGTTGACACCTGGATGCCATTGTGGGACTATCCTCGTGACCACCTGCTTTCCCTAGACAATTGTGAAAGGAATATTCGCTTCGGACGGAAATTGAAGATGTGGAGAAGCTGTCGTTCCAGTCATGATCAACACGTAACCTTCGTCATGTATGCGATGCACCTCGGGTCCCGTCATTGTAAGCGGGTCGTCAGATGCGGGGCAGCGACTGATCGATCATGCTGAAGAACTTGGGCTCAGAAGATACATCACCTCAGCATGTCCAATGCTTAGCAAAAACCGGAAAGACAGTAGCATATGGATGTCAGTAGGACCAATTCCAATGGAGACCCAAATGCAAATAGTAGAGAAAGCAACTATCAAAGAAACAATTTCAAGCCTGAGAAATACTCTTGTCTGTCTGTATGAAGCATCCCAAGGAAAGAGCGGTGACGAGAACCGAGGGGATGGTGGTAAGTTTGTCGGACCTGGGTCTCCGCTGGCTCTGCAAGTGCTGTGGATGAGATGCAGATTGCCAGCTGCCGGGTGCAGAGTGTCAGTGCCGCAGGGGTCGTTCACCTCTTGCACAACGGTGGACGAGCCAATCCCACCTTTGTGAGCCTGGTCCCCACTCTCCACAGCTGGAAAAAAAGTTTGGTCAAAAAGCGATCAGACGGCCCGCTCTCCCCTCCTTGACCCTCTCTCCCTCTTCAAACCAAGTAACCAAATCACCAGACAACGAAGTCGCACTACCACATTCGGATTCTGAACATTGCACAATACCAAACTTCGTCGAGATTTCAAGATGCCGTCGGCCATCGTTGAGCTTTAAGCGCCCACTGCGGGCGTGCCAATGCCCCGCGCACGCCCGCAGTCCAGCAGCCTCAACGAGATATTCAACTCTGCCACCACCCTCGACGAAGTTTTCCAGACTCTTACCGTCTTGAGCCCGTCACCGCTGCCGGGGACGAGGCTCAGTCTTTGCACGACAAGGAGAGTCTGCCTTTGCTCTGAAATTATACAGGTTCTATCCCAGGCCTTCGTCACTTAGGCCCAAGCGACTTTTAACAATTCCGATCATCACCCCCTCCCATCTGTTTCTCTGCCCCTACTTCAACCCCACGACTTGATCACCAATTCATTACCCGATCAATTACCCCTCTCCCGCTCCGGACACGGGCAGGAAATTGCAAGCTACTCGAAGCTTGACTTTTGACTACTACTACTGCGCATCGTTGCAAGGTTCACCGCCGTTCTTGAGGGGTAACCGTGCGCCGCCTTATTCACGCCCAGCACCTACCCCTGCAGGTTTGAGATCATGGCACGAAACATTCGGCAAAAGTATCCCCCGCCACCGGCCCGGGCCACTAAAAGGCGGGACTATGATTCGTCTTCCCTGGACCTCTCTGACGACACCGGCTATTCCGGGGTCGAGGACGTCAGCGATTCCGACGATGAGGACGAGGAGCATGTCGTTGCGGCCGAGGAGGAGCATATAATATCCAATGCATCGCGAAAGCGATCATCGGGTCCTCCTCGGCCGCTGATGCAGGACGACGACGAAGATGCAGAAGATGAAGACAGCGAGGCTGAAGACGGAGAAGAAGAAGGGGAGTTTGAAGACGGTGATGCTGCGGATGATAGCACAAGCTGGAACGGCATTTCATCGGACCATGATGACGACGTCTTGGGGGAGCGGTCTAGTGATGTCGCCGATCAGACTCCTACCGTCGAGCGCCATGTTCGTTTCGCCGGAATCCCGGACAGCGACTCCGACTCTACCACAAGCGAAACCTCGGACAGCATTAATGATTTCTTTCCTGACATCTTTGTGGATCAGAGCACCCTGGACCCTTCTTTCCGCCGCGAGATTGAGGATGATGATGATGCTTCCTCAAACAGCTCGTTCTGGGATTTTCACAGTAGTTCCCAGGACATCCTCGTACCCGACCCTGGAGAGGTGTTCGAAGATCGTGATGCCACCCCGATCGCAACACCCAGGGTGAGCGAACTCCCTTCCGAGCTGTCAACACCTGTCCCTGCAGAAGTGCAGGACCTCGATGGATATGAGAGTAAGTTGGCTTGCCAAGAATATGCACCCTAGTGCTAATGTTTGTCTATCAGCCGATGGCGACACCACGGAGGAGGACGAGCCGGAACCGATCGTGCGCAAGAAGCAGATGCGCCGGGTTCAGGCCGAGCTGTCGTCCGATTCAGATACAGAGCGGCCAGTTCGGTATGGACGCGGGAAGCCGCGTGTTGGTCGCTTCAACCTGGACAGGTCCGATAACAAGCCAATAGGCGTTGTCGATCCGGCCTCTGGGAAGATGATCATCTTCACCCCACGCAGAATGAATCAGCTGGATCTCTCGCCCGAGTCGCTCCAAGTCGATTTTTCCGCACCGGATCTCTCTTCATGCACGCCGCTGGTGAGAAATCCAGGCTTCATCATGATGGGTGCCATGGTCTCCTCCAATACCTATGGCGATTTCATGAACATGCAGCCGTTTGGACCTGCCGAGGCATTCTTCCCCTGCACTTCAGATGCGCTGACCGGAGACGAGAGCGATGATTCTTTCTTTGCGGGTGTCGAGGAAGACGAGGAAGAAAACAAACTCCGGCTCGAAGATTTCCTCACAATCGACAACGATTCGTCGGACGATGAAGGATCAGGACCCGACTGGAACGGAGATGCTTCTAGTCCTACCCGGCCCAAGACGGCTGCCAGTACCGCGAGCGGAATGACCGATTCTCCGGCGGTCCATCCCCTGCTCAGCCATTTCGACAACAATTCGGATCTCGTCGGCGCTTTCCGTCGCAACCAGATCAATCAACAGCTCATCTCCAGCGCCAAAGCGACGCAAGAATCACTCGCCTTTTCTGGCCCCTACTATCACGGGACACTCAGAGGCATCAAGTCGGGCAGCATGGGGACCGTTACGACAGCCATCACCCCAGAGCGCCGGAGAAGAAACAGCATGGTAGGGATGAATGGATTCTCCGATTTTCAGCAAAGCAGCCCACTCAACATTATTTCACAGAAGAGGAAGGCTTCAGGCAATCACGCCGACAACAACATGCACAAGCGACACCGGAGCATCTCGGATATGGAGGTATTGCAGATTTGACAGTCGGCGGGACTGGGCAATTACGTCGGAGGACGGCATGGCTTTGGGTTCGGTCCCGAAAGATGGGTCCGACCCAGCTATCCCTGGCCTCGCATTGTAACACGACGACCTTGGACTCCTGATTTCGATTTTCCTGTTTTCTTTTCTCATTTCTGTCTTTGAAATGTTCCTAAAAGTCGATCGAAATCTTCCGATTTCCCCTTGTGTTTTCTCGAAGGGTTTCTTTGGCGTCTCAAATACCTCGCGCATGATGCTGATGCCGGTACGTTTATGACTCTTAACCATGTGCGTATCCGTTGCTTGGAGCTTGTGGGAATGGAGGCATCTAACGGTATTAGAACGGGGATGGATCGGCACGATTGGTAGAGGTAGACAAAAGCGAGTTGCTTTCATGTCTTTCGAGGAAGCCAAGGATTGTCGTACCATATAGGTAGATGCGTCTCTAGAGCTGGCAATGCTTCGAATCGCAATTCTCGCTTATCCATCTGCGGATGACTTCATGACTTCCCAGTACTGACAGCTTTCTGAGTGCTTGCGGGTGTGTCCTTGTCATCGGGTTGTTTCCACTGCATCTCTTGCTTCAGGAACTCCTTGAGCGCCGTCTTGATTTCAGCCACTTTGCCATTCCTGTATATCCATTAGCTTGCTATGTGACTAAAGAAGATCGACAATCTCGAGACCCGGCCGAGTTGTTCCAGCTGCTTTCCAGCCTCCCAACTTGAAGACAGCCGTAGAAGGTAGAGGACCCACCAGTTGGATCTGATCTGGCTTCCATCGGGATTCGTCTTGGGGTACAGAATCTCCTTGCTGCCGCCGCCTGCGCCTTGGGCCAGAAAGGCCCCAAGATGCAGGACTCGTCCCTTGCCTCGCGGTGCTGCGGCGTTTTTGCCCAGCGCCTCCTTAAGCTTGACCATGTTGTCGTGCTCTCGGCGAGTAAAGACAAAGATGAAATCGAAACGAGCGAACATGTCTTTCCTCAGGCCGCGAGAGGTCCGACCACTGGCCTCGTCCCAAACGGCCCGCTTAAACGGGTAGTCGTACCACTGATTGTCAAAGACGGCTGCGAGTGCCGTGCCTACAGGCTTCTGGCCGCCCGGCCGCCAGTCCTTCTTGAAGGAGGCGAAGCTGTACTGCAGGTTGTCGATGACGTCGACGCAGTCGCTGCCGGCCTTGACGAAGAACCCGGCCGATTGCACGTCGGAAATGCGCCAGTCTGGGCCCGGTCCTCCATTGGTCTTCAGGTTCTTGGTCCGCTCGCCGAAGAGCTTGAGCAAGGATTCGGCGATCACGCTCCGCTCTGTGTTGTACGGGTCGACGAAAAGGACTTTGTAGTCCCGTCGTGACTTTACCGGAGAGCCAGCGGGCTTCGCGGGCCGTGCTGCTCCAGCGGCTGCTTTGTTAGTGATGTTGGGTTTCCTGCCAGCAGCGGGCGGCCTTTGCGGGCGGTCGATGGCCATGATGGCCATGTAGTCGCTTAGCACACTTCGGTCGTAATCAATCTCCTCCATGATGAGCTGGATTTTTTCCGGGCTGTTGTCGATGAGGGAGAACCAGATGTTGGATATCCATTTGGCGCGGAACTCCAGGTCCATAGACCGTGATAAGATGCCCTTTTCATAGCGCTCGAAGAGGTCGTAGACCTTGGTTACATTTTCCTTGATGCCGTCCAGAAGTTTCCCAAGGTCTTGCTGTTGCCCTGGATAGAGCGACGCAGAAGCTGTCACGGGCTTGGTCTTGATAAACACCTCGAGGCGGACAAGAAAGATGTTTAGCTTTGTGAGTCGGCGGCCCAGTTGCGACATCTGCTGGGGAAGGCCATCGATGCGCTTGTAGATCTCGATTGCCTTGTCGGCGATCTCGATTATGGCCAGGACAGTTCCGAGGTCGAGCGCCATTGCCAATCAAGTAGGGGGGGTCGCAGTGCGTTTCTTGGCTCGCCCGCCTATTTCATCCGTCTGGATACGTTGGTCGATAACAGCAACTATTGATGAGCAGGAGGCCAGGTTGTCGCGATGAAGATGACTACTTCAGCTGATGTAAGCAGGGTCCTGCCTCTTCCAATACATGCACCACATTTGTGCGGTGGCGCAGCCCCTGATCCTATCTAAGCCCGTTCCATCGCCTAGCTTAAGTCGTCTCTAGCGCTGTTCTGCCCATGCTGATGTAGTTGAAACATGAACATGCCAAATACCTCACATGTAGTTGAGAACTCTGTACTTAGAGCATCAACGAGTAAGCAACTCCTACGATCATTACCGGCACTAACTTCCTAACATCAACGAACTATGTGCATACTGCATGCCATCATACCCGCCTTGACAGCGAACATGTACTATACTTAAGTCTCTACATTGAGTACATTACTGCCTCTTAGCCTTTACCTTACCTCCTTTAGGCCAAGCACCCGCCTCCTCCAGATATTCAGATTCGTGAGTAGGACTTGCCCTGGAAACTTAACAACCCTAAGACGTCGGGACGTCTGGAATTTTTCCGGGGACTCGAAAATGCCCGGCTTATTGTTGTAAGACTCTTCAACCCCTCAGGGCCCTCACGTCGTGTGTCACCCTGCTGTGATTCGTGTCCATCCCACAGATGCCTAGAACAAATAGTGCTGTGTAACCTCGACCTATGCCAATAATCTGCAGGTGGCTGCTTCGCTACCACTCAACGATTCTGACCCTCATGGCACACATATGCATTTCTCCCAACTTCCCAAGCTGCTGCAGGGCAGAGTTACACCCACCCGCTTTGTTCTCATCTCTGGATGCGGCTTACTCTGATGTTGAGTTCCCGACTTGAACCAAAGACATGCAAAGGACATGAACCGGGTACAGAACCATGCATGTCCCCCCTGGCCGCAGTATCTCAATACTACTACTCAGGCTCACCAGAGGCCAGCAGTGGAGCGGATAGGCTCACCTTTCTGATGTTGGCGTCAAGTTCTCGTCTGCCATGTTACCCTCAGCCGATATTCATGCCAATACTTGAGGATCAGCAATGCATGTCAGACGCTGACATGGTCTGCACAGTGCTTGCAGGTGGTCCTGAGCATTCAAGTTGAGCGCGAAGCCATGATGGTATGGCCCATATCAACTCTGGGAAGGTCTGAGGCAGACTCCCAATGTCTTTAGTGTCCTCTCAATCTCTAAGTCTTCCCCTTTCCCTCTCTTAGACATTGAAGCCCAACCTCACCAACATGATGTTCATTAAATCGATTCTTTGCCTTGCAGCGGCGGTTAGAAGCCTTGCGTTGCCAGCCAACATTCCAGCCTTCCCGGATGCTGCCATCGACTCTGGGTTGGCTCTGAAGACGCTCAACTCACTGGCGGTTGCGGAGGCCTTCAAGCAATTCGGGAGGGGTTGCAGTGCATCCAAGGTCAAGTTTCGACGGGAATGGAGAAGCATACCCAAACCCCAACGCAGAGAATTCATCGCCGCCGTCAAATGCGTCCAGTCCAAGCCGAGCATCCTGCCTCCGGGCGAGGTGCCGGGGGCTAAGTCCCTGTACGATGACTTTGTCTGGGCTCACGCGAGGCGGTCTGGCCTTGTTCATATGAGTGCCACCTTTCTTCTGTTTCATCGTTACTTCCTCTTCGCGTACGAAGAGGCGCTCGAGCAGTGTGGGTGGCACGGCGGACTGCCTTACTGGGAGTGGGGCCTCGACGTCGACGGGCCGCACAAGTCTCCTGTCTTTGATGGCTCGGACACGTCACTGGGCAGTGATGGAACGTTTGTGCCAAACAGGCAACCGCAGGTGCTTCCCCTCCCTGGGTTCACTGAGCCGGTGATCCTTCCACCTGGCACGGGTGGCGGGTGCGTGATCAAGGGTCCTTTCAGCGACTTGCTCGTTCGGCTTGGTCCGTTTCCCCCAGACCCGGATCGATTCCTCCCTGTGGAACCAGTGGAGGGAAGGGGGGACAACCCGCGTTGCCTTGTACGGGATCTTAACGCTGACCCCCTACGGAGATGGTCGACTTTCCGCAACGTAACCGAGCTCATCCTTGGCTATGACAACATCCGGGATTTCCAAGGGGAGCTGGTACATTGACCCGTCCTTAGTACTGAAAAGCTCTTACTAATTTCTTGGGCAGGAAGGTGACCCTCGAGTCACGACGCAGCCCATGGGCTGCCATGGCGGTGGCCACAGCGGCATTGGCGGGTACGGCAATGACCCGGTCATCTCGCCAAACGACCCTGCATTCTGGCTCACCCACGGACAGCTCGACCGTGTCTACTGGATTTGGCAGATGCTAGATTTCAAGAACCGCCAGGTATGAGTTATCTGTAACATCATGTTACTCCAGGAGAGGGTGAAATTAACTGGGCCATGAATTCGCAGGATGTGTTTGGAACAGGGACTTACCTGAATGTCCCTCCCAGCTCGAATATGACAGCGGAAGACACGATAGATGTCTTGCCTCATGCAGGTCCTGAGAAGCTCAAAAATCTCATGAACTCGGTGGGCGGCAAACCATTCTGCTACATCTATGTGTAAGTGCGGCTGCGCGAGCGATGAGAGGTACGCTCAGTGATTGAATACCACCGCAAAATCGGCACATGTGGCCGGAGATTCTCTCACCTAGGGTAGCCGGTAGATACTAGTAGTTGATAGTTAGCGTGGCGTAGGTTTCCACCTGGCTCTTCCGTGGGTACGGTTTCCCTGTCCAAACCGCACAAATGAAAGAGTGCTAGAAACCGGCGCCTAGGCAGTGAGAGAGCAAACCGGCAGTTACCGGGTATGGTACCCGACGGATGGCTGCGATCGAGGTTTTTGCCATTTCGTGCGCGTTGATTGAATTATGGGACTTGAAACGCTGTGAGATTACCAAGGCTGGGTGTGCTCAAAGTTGATGATCGTGTAACCGTGTTTAAATCGATGGACTACCGTACTTGTGAACCTGAAATCATCTGAACAGGTGTGACGGGCCGTCACCACGGCCCGACATTATCATCGTAAGTAGGGAAGTTGACCAGGTCCAGGCCCCACCTGGGGCCAGCCAATGCCAAGCCGTGGAAAGTCAGGGCCAGCTCTCATTGGCCGTGGTTATTTCTGAACTGGTTAACTTCCCTGCTTACGATGGGAGCCTTGGGGTAAGTTGTGGGAAGGTGGCTGAGGGTGCCCAGCACACCCTCGATTTTAGGTAGACCGCATCCTGGATCCTGAACAGGCTGAATGCTCTGCACGGAGGTGGTGGGGCAGAACGCGATTATGAAGCCCTGACGAGTACCTACAGCTCTTCCATCGTCCTCGTCTTCAATGGAACCCCGTTCCAAGCGCCTGGAGCAGGTCGCTGGGGCGTTCCAGAATCAGATAAAATGGCCGATCCATTTGGAATCCTTGGTCTGATCGGCGTGGCCACGCAAATTATACAAATCGGCGTGAAATTTGGGCTGAATTGGAAGGATGCGCCCGCTGATGCCAAAAGCTTCGTCCTCGAGCCTCAGGCTCTGATATCGGTTCTATCCGAGACTCAAAAAAACATCCTTGACAACCGAGACTTCGCCGACATATTCCAAGGCCGACTTCTGCCTTGCTATCGCAGCTGGCGGATTCGACCACTGACGCTCGGCTTATGGTGACAACTTGTCAATTGGAGTTGGCAGCTCTGCTCAAGGAGTTACAAACCAGATGTCAAGCTCATCGAGTGGGCTGGGAACGGCTGAAGGGCGCTTTTCTTGCCAGACAGACGCGGGAGGCTGTCCAGAATCTTCATAGGCAGTGCCAAATCTTGAACAGCATGGCGGCAATTGACGCCCTCACTCTTGGAGCGGATACCAATCGCGAGGTCAACAATATTCGGAAAGAACTGCAACAATTACGAGGAGTGGTCGATGGGGTGCAGGATTCTCAAGCCGACTGTGAGGCCGCCCGAGAGCGCAGGGCAATTCTCGACTGGATTACCCCAATCGATTATGCCACGCAACAAAGCGACTTCATACACCGGCGACATCCCGGAACTGGGGAATGGCTCCTCGACTCGGCCGAGTTCAAGAGATGGTTGGGGACAAAGAAGCAGACGCTCTTATGTCCGGGCATCCCCGGAGCCGGAAAGACAATTCTCACGTCAATCGTAATTGAAGATCTTGTCACTCGCTTCGGAAAAGACGAAAGTGTCGGGATTGCCTATGTATACTGCAATTTTCAGCGGAATGATCAGCAGAAGGCCGAAGACATCCTCGCGAGTATTCTGAAACAGCTGGCTCATGCACGAGCATTGTTGCCCGGCGAACCCGGCCATCCCTTGATGAAATCTGTCAGTGCGTCGGTTCTGTCGCTGCAAGATATTCAAGACTTTTCATCATGGTCGACGCACTTGATGAATGCACAGCTGCCGGCAGCCGAGCGAGAATTCTCTCAGAGTTACTCAACCTCCAGGATAGTTCTGGAGCTAACATCTGGGCCACATCAAGATTCGTTCCCGATGTTATAGAGAAATTCCATGGCAGCATGCTTCTGGAAATCCGGGCTAGCGAACAGGACGTGCAACGATACATAGAAGCCAACATGTCACGCTTGCCATCCTTTGTCGGACGTAATCCGGATCTTCGAGAGGAAATCAAGACTGGGATTGTCGGGGTCATCGACGGCATGTATGTGGCTCGGGTTGCCCGGTTCATTCCGAAACGAGCTGACCCTTTAGGTTTCTGCTTGCTCAACTTCACCTAGATTCCCTAATGGGAAAGAGGTCACCCAAGGCTCTTCGAATAGCTCTAAAAAATCTGCCGTCCGGTTCAGAAGCATACGACCGTACATACAACGACGCAATGAAGCGGATCGAAGCACAGCATCAGGATCAACAAGAGCTTGCTAAGCAGGTCCTGTCGTGGGTCACGTACGCAAAGAGACCGTTATCAACATCTGAATTATAGCACGCCCTCGCTGTGGAAATCGGCGAACAAGAACTCGACAAGGATAACCTCCCCGAGATAGGGGATATGATCTCGGTATGTGCTGGATTGGTCACAGTCGACAAAGAGAGCAACACCATCCGGTTGTTGCACTACACAACGCAGGAATACTTCGAGAGGACAGCATACCGTTGGTTCCCGAATGCGGAGGCCGATATTACGACGTACCTTGCTTTCAATGCCTTTGAAGAAGGGCCTTGCACAACGGACGACGAATTCGAAGAAAGGATGAAGTCGAATGTTCTATACGACTATGCAGCACGAAACTGGGGACACCATGCTCGCAATGCTTTGGACATGAGCCAGCAAGTCATTGACTTTCTGATATGTAACGAAAAAGTAGACGCGACGAGCCAAGCGCTGATGATATCCTTCAGCAAATACTTTTTTCACGGCTACAGCCAAGAGGTTCCAATGAAATTCACAGGCCTCCATCTAGCGGCGTACTTTGGGATTGAGGAAGCGGTTAGAACTCTGCTCGAAAGGGATCTCGAACCCAAATCGATGGATTCCCACGGACGGACCCCGCTAAGTTATGCAGCTGAGAAGGGGTACTACGAAGTGGTTAAGCGGTTGCTCGCCGAGGACGGCGTTCACACGGACGCCAGCTATTTTCGTAGATTGAGGTTGCTATCACGGTTGCGTTTCCATCGTTTCAGGAAGTTCCTACAGACGCCGCTCGCACATGCGGCGAACGAAGGGCACGAGGGAGTGATCAAGCTGTTGCTTGCCGAGGATGGGATTGATCCGGACATCAAAGTCAAGGATGGCTATCATGGCTTCACCCCGCTCTTGCTTGCCGCCAGAAACGGGCACTGGGCGACGGTCAAGATCCTCTTGGCTACCAAGAGAGTTGACGTAAACTCCACTGTCCGGGACTATAACTATAAGGGAACATATACACCACTTGGACTGGCCGTTAAAGGGCATCATGAGAGGGTTGTCCAGCTGTTGCTGGCCAATGGCGGACTTGATATAAATTTCAGAAACATGGATGGAGGCCTGGATCAGCACGGCTCAGCTCTTCTTCTCGCGGCGTCGGATGGGCAAGAGGCTATTGTCAAAATGCTACTCGGTACGATCGGAATCGACGTTAATCTCGGCGATCAAGATGGTGAGACGCCACTTTCTGGCGCCGTCCGGAACAATTGTAGCGCCGTTGTCAAGCTGCTACTGGCCGCGGCTGATGTCAACGTGAACGCCCAAAATATAGACGGAGAGACACCGCTGTTGATTGCATCAAGACATGGGCATGAGGTTATTGTACATCTGCTGCTTGATATACCCGAGGTAGACGTGAACCACGAGGACAGGAACGGCCGGTCGCCGCTTTCTCATGCCGCCGGACAAGGACATGAGACCATTGTACGGCTGCTACTCAACAACGGAGCCGCTCTTGAATCGCAAGATGACTATGGTTGGATTCCGCTTCATTATGCGGCGGAGGAGGGTCATGCAGCAGTCATTGAGCAGCTGCTCGCCACCAGTTGCATCGACCAAAAGGCCAAAGATATCTATGAAGGAATTATACTAATAAACGCAGCCAAGCAGGGTCAAGGGACAGCTGTCCAACAGCAACTCGCCAAGGGCGTCAATATCGACACACGGAATAGTCGTGGTCGGACGTCACTTCACCTCGCCGCCAAAAAAGGATACGAGGCTATCGTCAAGCATTTGCTCGCCGAAGGCGCCGACGTCGAAGCGAGGGATCCGTCAGGCAAGACGCCGCTTTGGCTCGCTAGTAAACGAGGGCATATACCCATTGTCAAAGAGCTGCTTGCCTGGGGCGCCGCCTTGGAGTGCAAGGACATGTCATACAGGCAGACACCGCTTCTAGTGGCTACAAAAAATGGACATACCGGTGTGGTTGGACAACTACTTGCCGAGGGAGCCAATGTCGACTCGCTCGACAGGTCTGGCAACACGCCGTTGTCCATTGCATGTGGTATAGGCCATGAAGCTATCGTTGGCCAGCTCCTTGCCAAGCAAATCGACGCTCCGAAGGATCTGCTTTTTCCGCTACTGAAATGTGCCGCCGAGAGGGGGCATACGGCTATTGTCAAGCAGCTGATCGCTAACGGCGCCGACATCGAGCCGAAGAAGAACAGCCGCCCGACACCGTTGCAATGTGCTATTCAGAACCAGCACGAAGACATCGTGCAGCTTTTACTTGACCAAGGTGCCGATATCGACATGCTGGACGCTCTGAGTTACGCTATTAGGTGCGGATATGACAATACTGCTAAGCAACTGCTCGCGACGGGCAGAGCTGATGTTAATGCAAAGGATGCCTCTGGTCGGACAGCTTTGAGTTATGCCGCCGAGAGAGGATCTGGGACCCTCGCGAAGCTACTGCTAGCGACTGATGAGGTCGATGCCAACTGGAAGGATAATACTGACCAGACGCCGTTGAACTATGCTGCTAGAGGAGGTAAAACGGCCATTGTGAAGCTACTCTTAGCAACGGCTCAGGTCAATGTCAGCACGAAGAGTGATCAGGGTCTCACGCCTTTGCACCAAGCTGCCATGCATGGCCATGGCCCTGTATTGAAAGTACTGCTGGAGACGGGCCAGGCCGAGGTTGACTCGAGGGACAATGATGGCCGGACAGCGCTAAGCTATGCTGCCGAGTATGGTTATCAGCCTATTGTGAGACTACTGCTAGACACGGGTCAAGCAGAGTGTGACTCGAAAGACAACGCTGGCCGAACACCGCTCAGCTATGCCGCTGAGAATGGGTACCGGCATATGGTGAGGCTACTGCTAGCGACGAACAAGGTCGATGCTGACTCGATGGATAATGATGGGCGGACACCACTGAGCTACGCTTCTGAGAATGGATACAAGGCTGTGATGGAACTGCTGTTGATGGCTGGCCAGGTTAGGGCGGATGAGTAGGACAAGGTACTTCTGTATTTTGTCCTTATCTTCTTCTCTTTCTCTCTCTTGAAGTCTCACTCTCTATCCTCTTATTCCCCTTTCTTTTCTTCCTTCCTTTCTCTTGAGGTTTACTTGAAGCCCCATGACTATAGAGGCACGTTACTCCTGGCGGTATTCCTAATATGCAGCTCCCTGCGGGGGAGTTAGTGGGTAGGTAGCTTACGGGTAGAGACCAACTGGTTTCAGACTGCGTCTCCAGATTCCCAGCTCCGCCTCTCCACGTCGATCTCTTGAGAATAATCGCCAAACTCATTGAACACACCCTGAATCCAAACATTATACCGCCGTGGCCATCTGAATCCCTCGAAAAGTGCCTTCGTGCATTCCCAATACTCTGGATAGTATCCTGCATTTCCCAATCCACAATGCCCTTCACGCACCAGCCGGTGCTTCCATCCGACAGAGTGACTCGGTCAACCAGTATATTGCGCGGGTTGAGATCTGCGTGTGTGAACACAATCTTGTGTCCACGCCGGGCAGGTTCGTCAGAGAATCGCAGGACTTGGCTGAATGCTGCCTCGTTAGCGAATGGCCCAACAGGCATTGCGCCCCTGATGCGCCGGTCTCTGCATGCTTCGCCGAGCGTATTACTTATGGCTTTGTCCGGACTGAATGGGATGGGGATAAATTTGAGCTCGGCCAGGTAGTCTTTCAATTGTGTCGCGATGTGATCACAATCCCTATCCGATAGCACATGCAGGCAACGCGAGAGGGGCACACCTTGTACTCTTGTGGTGAGAAGATAGCTCGTAGTTGGCGAAGGCACCACGTCCAGTGCTGATGGTGTCGGGATTGATGTACGCTGGCGCACGACTCGTAGCGCGTTGAATTCATTCCGGGTTTCGGGGGATTCTCCGTATTTCAAGTACAGTCCGAATGGTAGTCTCTGGACCTCTGAGGTCTCAGCTCCGTAAACAAGCCTTCCGAGCTTGTGCAGTATACCATACGCCGCAAACCTGATGCTGCTGGGGGCAGCACGCCAGGCCGTAAGAAAAGCGCCGGAGACAAGACTGAGAAAGCCAGTCAAAGGTTTCAGGAGCGCCGAGCTTAGATGTCTCGGTGCTGAGGAGGTCCGAAAGGCTAAAAGTTGGCGCCGGGTTTGGGGTGAAGTCGCCTTTGAAATGTCCAGAAATTGAACACCGTCGCACAATCGAGCATGAGTGCCTATAAAGCGAGGGTCTACTTTCTCGAGGCCCTGGCGTGAGTGATCGCCCAACAACGGGTACATGCCATTGACCTCAATCGGCTCCACCGGTTTGATGAGAACATGTCTGAGTTCGTACTGTCAAGACTTGTTAGAATGGGGGCCGGAAACACCGAAGTTGGGACAGGTAGAAAAGATGGTAACTCACCTCAACCATGGAGGGCTGGAGCCTGTCTAACCTGACCAGGCCTTGTGCAAATGCGTCAGCGGCAGACTTTCTGACCAGCCAATGATTCCTGCAAGGCGACATATGGTTGGGGTTTTCGGCATAAGACAGCCACCAATCCAGGTAGGGGGTTCCAAAGAAGGCATCGAGCATGTCGTTTATCTCGTCCTTTGACTGTCAGTCGGTTCTCAACCGATGGCGTTTTCTTGAAAAGGCGGTCATACGTTATCCGTAAGCCAGCCAGACGGAACACGAAGAATGGGCACAACGACAAGAGGATCATGGAAGGTACCAGGCTTCCCCGTGATACAGCACCTGTTACCGTCTCGTGCAATAATAGCCCGCCGCTCCGTGGCGCCTGGAAATGGTGGGGCAGAACCATTTTGGGTAACTGCCTATGGTTATCAGGGAGGGGGACGGCAAATGAATGGGAATGTAAGAGGATCAAGGGCGAAGATGAGCTTACTCGATTCGATGATATAAGACCAATTAGCCACCAGTGAGGGCCCCTGGCCCTGCATCAACCTCCTCTTCACATAACGGGCAGCCAACGGAGGACTCAAAGCTTCGGTGATAAACGATGCCAGAAGCGGGCCAGAAGGATGTGGCAGCCCCGCGTCCTCAATGAGGGACAATGCATTCTGGACCTCGTCGCCAGTGGTATCCATAGCCCATGCCGAGGTGATGTGAAAGTGTAGGTGGTGATGGAAGGGAAGAATAGGTGTTGTTTGGATTGTAGTGCAAGGTTTAGGGGAACTTGAGGGGAACTACGAAGGTACTTATGTAAAGGACTTAAGCGCCAAGCGGGATGAAACCCACAGCAGCTTCCCCACAGCCTGCGGGTTGGTGCTAAGCAGTAACCAATCAGGGCGGAGTACTTGTGCCCCGCTTCATTTGGCCCCACCTATAGGGCTGATGGCGTTTGCCGGCTGCCTGATGCTTCTCTGCCCCTCATTAAACACCATGACGTCCTCACTCATCAGTTGCAAAGTATCGATCGCTTTGAACCACCACAGCCTCCTAGTCAACGAGATATTCACCGATTCATTGCAGCAACCATCGGAAGAATTGATCACGGCTTAGTACGCAATCAAGTTACCATGACGACCGACCCTCTCGGCCCAGCCGCTGTGCTGGAGAGCATGGCGAACGCGTTGCCAACCCACGAACAGAACGATACGACGTCAGACCTCAGCAGCTCGCTGGACTGCGTATCTCTCCTTGCGCATGCATGCATGGTAAATCTTGGCTTCCGTCTCTTGGGTTTCGATGAGGACAAAAAGATTGGTACGTCCGCTCCCTCTTCCTCCAGCTACCCTTACGACTTTCACTAACGGGTTTTCGACCGTCCAGAATCAGAATGCGCCCGCATAGCTCCCCGTCTGCCTCCGCAATGGAACAATTCCCTTTCCTCGCAGAGTTTTGTGTATGCCCACACGCAATCCTCTATGCAGTTCGTAATCCGCATCGACCGCATGGGCGCCAAAATCGAGCTGCGCGGCCTGGCCATTGGCGACGAGCGCATTGCCCGTTTCGACATCACCGCCCGTGACTACATATCCTCTGCTGCGTTGCCGCTGCGCATCACCATGACTGCCGACGGCGTCGAAGACAGAAGCGACCTCCAGCAGAAGCTCAAAAACGTATTCATCTCGGAGGAGCGAATCAAAGGCATGTACCGCCCCCTAGCATGTACATATATCTCATGCAATCCATCCCGACTAACCCCTTTCGCAACCTCAGACCTCGCCTCCCTGCTAAAAGTCTCCATCATCCAACGCCTGCTCCCCTCCCTACAAAAAGAAGGCTACACAGAAGAAGAAGCAGAACCCGCCCCACCCCGGCGCCAGCCCCATCCACTAGCCGCTCACCAGCCGCCACGATTCCCCCCTCACCTCCCAGAACCAGCCCAGCCCAACCCGTACCCTGCCCCGGACCCGCTCGCCGCCCCTCGCAACAACCCCATCCCCACAGCCGACTTCCCGCCGCCCGACTTCGAGGACCCTTACGAAGTAAACCGCCCCCCGCGTGGCCCTGCACCTGCACCGTTTGGCGGCGGGTTCGGAAACCTCGGGCAAGACGATTTATACCCTGCCGGACTAGGCCCGCACGATCCCATTCGGGGGTCATTCACGGGCGGGTTCGGGGCTGGGGGCATCGGGCCGGAGGGGTTGAGGCGTCCCGGCGGGGCCGGGCGCGGGGGAGGAGGTGGCCGGACGGGTGGTGGCGGCGGCATGCATCCCACCTTTGACGACCCCTTGTTCCGGGGCCCGAGGGGAGATGGGGGCGATGATGATACCTTTGGCGGGCAGATCCCGCCCGGCGCGAGGTGGGATCCGCTCGGTCCTGGCGGACAGCCGCCTCGTTTTGGTGGTGGGAGGCCCGGGGGAAGAGGGGGCGGCTTTGGTGGATTTGGCGGGTTCGGGGGCGATATTATCTAGGTGGGCTGTAGAATGTTGAGCGGGCTCAGGTTAGGCCGCGCTGAGTTGGACGGGGACGGATCAGGCTGTCGATGCGCCGGGTTATGGGGCAGTGAATGTAGGTACGTTGCGGGTTAAGTCGCTGATGCAGGGTGGCGCTACGAGTGATATTGTTGGAAGGGGAAGTTGCTGTGGGTGGATGCTGTATGATGGCTGCGCTATGGTAATGAAGGGATGTCCTATATGAGGAAGTGATGGAATGAGATAATGTCTACCTATGCAATTGGCTGATTTCATTGTGCTAGTGATGGGAGCAATAATTGTGAGGTAGTTACTCCAGAACACTGGAACAAGAGGATTCAGTATCGACAAGGCAGTGAGATCAGTCTGAATGAGGCACGAGTAACCGCAGTTAAATACAGAGACTGATCCTTAGGGAGGAGAAGTCCCCCCTGCGGATCATCTATGGAACTGTCATCTTATATACAAAGTGCCTTGCGCACGTCATTCGCACGGTCCTCGCCTCTGCTTCGTACTCTGCCCTGCAGTCCTTCACAATGTTGTATGTGTATTTGGGGTAATCGAGTTCTGGTTTGGATATTTCTTACAGTACTTAATGCGTTCTTCCCCGACTCCTATCGCTCGCTGTATGTGAACGTTTCGATTGCCGCTGTGAAGAGCCATACTTCCCTGTAAACACGCTTACCCCCGGTCACCCAAGCGCTCTTTACTTTCGCCCGTCCTAGGTTAAGGGATACCGACCATACATGTTCCCTGGTGTATTCTCTGATTGCTGTCCACTCATGGGTAGTGTCTTTGTTGTCTCATCTCCGTCATTAGCATCTGGTCCACCTTGCAAACTCGATTTCTGCCATCTCAGGCTACAGCCCCCCACTACAGCGGCGTTTGCACGCCTTCAAAAAGGTATACGCGTCGCTCCACACCCATCATCAATTTCATCAACATAAGGGGTATCAGGAAATTCCTCCGCTGTCAAGCTGCTGTCGGGCGAACCTACTGCGCCGCAAGCTCGTGCAGCTTGAGTTTCTCGTCGTCGGTAAGCATAGCAAACCACTGCTGGAAGCCAGAGATATTCTCCTGGGCAGCGCGGATGAAGAACTCGGACAAGTAAGCCTGCGTCTCGTCATCACGCTGCCTCGAGCTTCCGCCCTCGATCCAGCCCATCAGGTCGGCCTTGGTGCCGCCCAGCGATAAATCGAGCGTGTCCCCAGGTTCGTCCTCCCACCCCTCATCGCCGTCGTCCTCGTCCGCGTCGGTAAACTCGTTCGCTGCGGCCGCTGCTACATTGGCCGCGGCCTGAACACCCGATGCGGAAACTAGCTCTTCTATCAAGACTTTGAGAATCTTCAAGGGCGCCGGCACAATGGTGTACTGATCGGGATCTATGACAAAATTTAGCCGCTGACGGAGCCAATGACCTTTGCAATGTACCACATACTCAGTTTAGCCCTGGATCGGGTCATGATCCTATCACTGGTGGGGACGATAAGATCACCCTTGACGTTTGTCTGGGCAACGCGGGAGTCATTCAAAGAGTAGAGCTTGGAGAGTGCAATGACACTAAGAAGATTAGTTACCGCCGGGCTTTGACGTTGGTTTGACGGGAACCTACTTTTGCCGGATCTCATCGTAGCCCGCAAAATTGACCGAGTTCTCGAGCCATTTGCTTAGCACGACCTGCAGTCCGACCTGGCCGTTTATCTGAATATCGCTTAAGAAATTGACGACATCCTGAGCGCCGACGAGGGAAAGACGGGCGAAGACTAAGATGAGGGACTGGATGAATGGTGCTGCCTGAGCGGTGTCTAGGCGGCTGGCGACTGCTTGGAGAAGCTGCGGCAAGAACGGCCCAAGCCGCTCTTGTCCAGCCTTTTCGACCAGTTCAGCCGCTAACCCACCAACCTCGGATGCGGCATTGTCTTCGATTTCCCAGCTGAGGAGACGGTCAATGATCCGGAGGCAAACCTCAAGGCCGGATCGTCCTTGATTGTCACTCCAGCCGAATACTTGGTGATGGTCATGCATGAGCATGTACTTGACAGCTTCTGCACAGGGCCGCAGTATTTCACCTTCGGCTGAGTTCATCAAGAGGCGACTGACTTTGGGGAGGGTGCTAGCAACGAAACCAGCAGGGAGCGGCTCGGTCCCGTACTGAACGAGGAGAGATAGGAGATCGGCAGCGAGCTACACCATGGTTAGTACTGGAATGGCTCATCACCGGAGACAGATACGCGTACCGTAACCAAGGGATCATCCTGAGTGAGATTGGCGACGTCAAAAGTTCCAGTAATGGACGGCAAGACCTTTGCGCAGAGGGCTGTATATAGCGAAGGGTCCTTCATGTCATTGAACGTCTTGGCAATGTCTTCGAAGGTTTCGCAGACAATCATGGTAACTTGAAAGTTCGCCGCGCCATGTTTGGCGATTAGGAAGAGCAAGTCAACCGCCTTGCTGTCTGGTTGAATCGCGATGCGGATATCCATGCTGATAGCAGCGCGGAGCGTTTCCAAAAGAGTGACCAGAAGATCGTCGGCGTCCTCAAGCTCGCTGAGGTCCTTCGCTTCCAAGAAGCGCTGAATGGCTAGGACGACTGGAACTTGGCGATCAACTGGAATACCGCCCTTGATGAATCCTTCGACTGCTTTGACACAGGAGACCTGCACAAGCTCGGACTCATCTCTAGTCATGGCGCTGATAACGCTGTCAAGCAGTCCTGTAGCCGGCTGATAGCTCGCGGCCAAAGCTCCGGCGACGAGGTAACCGCGGGCGCGCAGCATGGCCTCCTCTTGCCTGCTGATGGCGTAATTGACCAGCTCGAGGTAGGCGTTGGCGATCTCAGCGGGTACATTCTTGTCCAGGTCCTTGAAGTCGTTGAGGATGGTGTTAAACAGGTAGAGGGCCGCTTCCTGCTTCTGCCAGCTTCCGCCTTCTGCCGTAAATAAAGACTTTGTATAAGCGAACAGGCCTTCCAGCGCGCGCTGGTTCAGCCACTCCCCGAGTTTGATCAAGAGATCACCGCACGCAGTTCTCGCGGTGTAATTGGACGACACTGAGGTTTCCTCGGAAAGGTAGAGGGAGACATCAATCTCCCATAATCCTTCCTCCTCCTGCGTAACCTGGGAGAACGAAACGAGAAGTTTCATGAGGTCCAACACCCATGGTGTGTCGTGGACAGCACCATGTGCTGTGATCTCGGCGTCCAGCTGCTTCTGCACTGGCGGAGCCCGCATGCACTGATTGAGGAAGTCTAGAAGATCCAGGACCAGGAAATCCAAGGTGAAGGGGAGGCCATCAATGTCCTCCAATCGGCTCTGGGCATCAGAGTCGATAAACAAGGCCCGATACGACGGAGCCAGTCTTGAGAGCTCCTCCCAGGTGGCGGTGAAGAAGGTAGTGCTCCGAGGAAGAAGGAGGGAAGGGAAAACGCTCCGGACCTTGATCAGCGTTTTTACCGCCTGAATCTTCAAGGCAATCGGCCCGTACCAAGTCTCGGGCTGCGAGCCTGTGTCGCCGAGCGGGGGGAGGCCCGACTTGATAACCTGCTCCAGGAAAGGTAGCCACCCGCTCAAGACTTCCTCGGCAAACGTTCTGACCTCCTTCTTGTGATCCTCCTTGACGATGTCCATGAGATCAAAGCAGCTCCGGAAAACCAGAACGGCCAGGCTGCGGTGCGTCTGTTTGCGGTTCTCATTGAGTGCCACATCGTAACAGGCCTTGATGATGTCCCTCGCCAAACCGAAAAATTGCTCGTCGGTCAAGCTCTCCTCCACAATGTCTTGCAGGATCCTCAGCGCACCATGGAGTTGAGCGTCCGTTCCGGTGGGCATAACGCCGAGCACGGAGGGGAGAAGGGCTGGCCACTGCTCGGGGAAGTCGGCCGTGGCGATCTTGGAAATGACATAGCTGTGCCATGGCCTCTGTCAGCTCCCAGACCAGTAGACCTGGCCAGAGATGCTTACCTTGCGGCGACTTTGACCTTCCGCTCATCTTCCGGGCTGAGCACCAGCTCCAGAATCACATTACGCAGGTGGTCCTTCGTAGAGTCTGAAATCGGAATGTGAGGTGCACCATTGCTCTCTGGGCTCCAGTTCTTCTCAATGAACTTGCGTAGGTACGTGAGTGCAGACTGCCGAATCTCGACGGGGGCAGCCGTGTGGATGCCGATGCGGGCCAGAGACAGAGGAAACTCGGGATTCGATTGGGCGTGCAGGAGATCGAGCTCGGCCTGCTTTCGAGGGCCTTCCTGCTTGTCTTGAGTGCTGGCGAGCAGACGCGCCAAGTGCTCATCCATCTTCGGCGAACCCTTCGGTTTATTTGTTGGGTCCCTTGGTGTTTTGTCCCTTGCTTCTCTAGTTCAGATCGAGCTAGCAAACGTGCCTGTGCTGGATAAAAACGGTCTCGACTCCAGCGAGCGACCTGAGATGGTGTGTTTGGCTTGTCGAAACAGCGGTGCGCTGAAGTGGGGTGGACTTTGTATGGTCAACAGCCAAAGCTTGGGACGCGCCGTCGCTGATGACTGGCGAAGCTTGAGGGGCTGCCTGTATGAAAGTTATGCATGGATTGAGGGCGGTATTGAATTGTTCGCTTGATTACCCAACTTGGTTAGGCCCGGCAATGAACTATGGTCAACCTTAACTAACAGTTAACATTTTTAAGTCACATGCTTTGGCGTCACGGGCAACTACTTTTGTCGCGTCTTCCAGTGAACCCCGCGATTCGCAGGGTTGCAAGGGTAGGTTCACAAGGCAGGAACCACTTACTACACCATCCATCTTCAAGAAAATATTCGCTTCTTTGACATGCCTGGGATGGTTCTCCTTTCTATTTCAAGATATGAAAGTGTATGAGTACGGCGATGACAATGCCCCCTCAACCACCATCGACCCCTGATCCCGACACTACCAACTCCCTCCCCCTCGACCAATCCCACATCCTACTCACATCATTCAACTCCTTTCTCACCGTTGCAATTCACAACGTTCTATACTACCGAAACATCTACCCGCCAGCCACCTTCCTCTCCACCAAAGCCTACAACCTCCCGGTGCACCAAAACCGCCACCCCAAAGTGTGCACCTGGATCCGCGATGCCGTTGACGCAGTCGCGGCACAGCTCTCAGCCGGGCATGTGTCTCGAATCGCAATAGTGATCCACTCACCTCTAGACGCAGCGCTGCCCTTGAGGAAACCAGGCCCGTCTCCTCCATCCCAATCCCAATCGCAATCCCAGTCCCAGTCTCAAAGCGACGACCAACAACTGCGTCCCGGCAGTGTGCTCGAACGCTGGCTGATCGACACGTCGCGCTTCCCGGCCTGGCCCGCACCCTCCGGCAGCGGCAGCGGCAGCAGCGTCTCCAGCAAAGCGATGCGCGACTTCTCGCGGGTGCTAGCCAGGGAGGCGCGGTCCGAGGAGACGCGCGCACAGCTGTCGACCGAGAACAACTCGGACGGGCTCGCCTGGCCCGACCTCGACGAGCAGTTCCGCGGCGCGCTGCGGCGCATGGCACACGTCGCCGAGGGCATGTCGCCGCTCCCTGAAGGGTGTACCTTTACCGTTGCGGTGGAGCTGGACGAGGAAGGCAAGGCGCCTATTGGGGTGGGTGTTCTGTTAAGTTCACTTCGGCTGTTGCGATGCTAACGGAGTTGATCGGAAACAAGCACCCGCAGGCGTGGATTCCTTCCGAGCCAAACCTCCAGCCTGCCTCCAGATCGAGGGAGCACGACGGGCAGGATATAGGGGGCGTGAGGACACGGCCGATCCGGTCGGTGGAGGCGGGGCCGCTGTTCTTCGAGTGCTGGGTTGAGGAGGGAAAGGCGAGGGACATGTTGATGAGAATGGGAGGAATGGAAAAAGGGAAAAGCCAGGCGTCGACAGACTCGACACAGCGCTTTTGAATCATCTACCCGGAGCAACCTAATGATACTTAACTAGCAATAAAACTTGACTGCCCACGTTCTACAATTCCGTACCGAACAGTTATTGTTTTGCTTGCTTTCTCAGGCACTGGTGGCCGGATTGACGGTCTAAACCTCGAACATGCATAACCATATGTTTACATCGGCTTCGCCATCCCTTGGTAGCAGCCGCGCCATAACCTAGAAACACAAAGACCCTAACAACCGGCCAGCATAGCAATTCCCGGCGTGTATATCGACAAAAAACAAGGCCACCAACACCACCCGCTTTTACACCCATAGCCGCTTGCCGTCCTGCAAAATCCATACAAGATCACCCAAACAAAGCACACCGCACCGGCTCAATTCCCATCCCCGCTAGTCGCACCCTTGAGGAGCATCCTCAGACTGACCATCTCCCTCCTCAGCCGCGCATTCTCCTTCTTGACGCGCAGCGTCTCCTCGCCCGAGTCCTTGAGCTTGGCCACGAGCTCCTCCTTGTCCTCGCGGCCCTTGCCCTTGAGCGCCTTAACAATTTTTGCCAGCTCCGAGTTGAATTTCTCGTACAGCAGCTCGTTCTCCGCCGTGGCCTCCTTGTACAGCTGGTCAATGGCCTTGACCTTGGCCTCGGTCGCCTTGAGCGTGGCCTCGAGGTCGCGCTGCATGACGGCGTGGCGCTCCTGCAGCTCCTGCATGACCTGCGGCACCCGTTCCTCGAGCGCTTTGACGGCGGCCGAGAGCTTACGCAGGTCCGTGGTTGCCGACCGCGGGAGCGACGAGTTCACGCGGGCCATGTCTTCCGAGATGCGGGATAGCTCGGTCCTGAGCTGGGCATCTACCTCGTCGACCGCTTTTTTCTCCGTTTGCAGGCGCTCTCGCAGTTTCTGCGGGGACTGGAGACGGAGTCTCTGGCCGGGTCCTTGGGGCTTTCCGGGACTTGTGGATGGACGAGTGGGCGATTCGGGCGGTGGGGCGGGGATGCGTGATGTCGGCTTAAGTGTTGGGATCTGGGAGAGAGTGATGGTCTTGGCACGTGCTCTTTGTGGCGTCGGTAGATCGCTGTCGGTAGAATCGGCAGGCTGTTCCAGCAAATCCCCTTCATTCTCTTTTTGTCGGGGTGATGATATCAGAGGCTGCAGTTGGGACAGAGACTGCGGGCTGACCGGGATTTTTGAAGGCGACAGAGGTCGCGGGACCGAGTTGAACTTTTCAGCAGTCTGCTGCCTGTTGATGCGGAGGGGCATGGGCGGCTCGCTCTCATCTTCTAGACTTGTCGCGGCCAACAGAGTCTTTAGATCAGACAATGAGCTACGCCGTTTCTTCTTTGTAGACTTCGTATCCGAGGGCTCGCCCAATTCGGGCTCGCCGATCGTCTCTAGCAGCCGATGAGAACTTCCGGGTCGGTGTTGAATATCGTCAAACGCCCCTGCCACTGCTGGACGATCACGGGAAGCTGGGCGACGGAGCCTGTTTGGTAATGTGTAGTGTGCTCCCATATCAACCGACTTTGACCTACTGGCCTTTGAGAGACTCCCGCTCTCCCCGGAGCCGGGTGTCTTGCCATGCTTGCTCAACGTACGCCATACTGATGGCCGGTCGGCGTCCGTCTTGCTGTTTTGGCGCAAGAGAGTGTCGAAGCCAAACTTCCTCCGAAGCGACGAAGTGTTTGAGGTCATTGAACCCGTTTGTGACTTCAGGCTCCGACTGCTTGCATTCAGGGAGTCCTGCAATGAACCCTTCAGGCTCAGCAAGTGCGCGTCCGGATCAGCGTTCTCAAATACGCGGTCGCAGTCTTCAACAAGGCGGTCGAGGAGGTTGATGTAGTCGGAGGCGCTTCCGTCATCGACCAGCATCTCAGCAAATGCAAGAGTCAATGCCCCTCTATCGCCATCATTCCCGCAGCCATCAAGCAGATCTGCTAGTAGTTTGATGAGAGCAGTGAAAGCACGACGGTTCTGAGGCGCCATGTCACTGAAGATAAAGCGGACAAAGTCGCCAAATTCTCCGGGCACCTTCTTGGAAGCGCGGACTTGTAGAGCCTGGAGCGCCTGAGTTGTCATTACAGGCCCCATCTGTTCACGCCACGCAAAACGGATAAATTTTTCAAAAGCCGCGAAGATAACCTCCGTCCCCAGATCCGCGGCAGCCTCAAGGTCGAAGGGAACCTCGATCAGGCGATTATAGAGGTGATTAACGGCCACTTCGTCAGCTATTGACCTGTTGAGCAGAGTGCGACCGATGAAGTAGCCCTTGCGCGCTTGCATGTTGGCCACGAATCCCGTAAAGGTCTGCTCAAGTCGTACTAGCGGGTTTTGCGGCCGTTCGTCCTCCACTGTGAGGCGAGGAATGTCCCGGGACTTGGCGGATCCCGTTAGTACGGGCAACTCTCTCTGGCTGTTGGAGCGAGTATGCTTATGCCTCGACCCGGTGGCAACGATATCGACGGAAGTCGTGCTGGATGATGCTGCGTTCCCGACTAGCAGGTTTGAGAGCAGCTTGACTGGTGAGGAGGACAGGAAAGATCGCGTGTTCTTCTCCACCTTCGGTGTAATGTTCAACGCCCGTAAAGTTTTGGAGTGATATGAGACCAGGGCGGGGGTGAGCCTCATGTTGCTCACGCTAAACTGGGTACTGAGTAGCTGAATGATCCTTCGCGACAGGGTAGGAATAAAATCTTCCAACGCAATTTCATCCGTAAATTTCCTCCCGTTCAGACCAAGGGTATTCATCGCTATCCTAGGCATGTCGCCGCTCTTGACCTCGACGACGATCTCGACGCCGTAATGGCCGACAGGTGCTCCCTTGGTACCTTTGTCGTTGTCCAAAACAACGCGAATGGGCGCGGGCTCCCTGCGGCCGCTGATGAGCTGCTGAGCGCCCTCCTGGAAGACGGCAGCATACAATCCAAGGTTGTTATCCTGCATCCTCACTGAACGAAGAGTCCAGCTGGGATCCTCCCTCTCTTTCTCATGAAACCGGCCCTCAATACGAGCTCGGACAACGTCTTCGCCCCACTTGGTAGCTTTTCCCTGGTAAGAATCTTGAAGAAGGAAACAACGAGAAGTAAGAGCTTTGCTGATGAAATAGTCGCCAGTATTGGCTCCTTTCATTTCCTGGGTCGAAGTCATCCAGATGAGGCGCCCATCCAATGACTCGGTGAAGCGAACGTCAGCGAGGTTATGCCAGCCGGTGAAAACCAATTCCCAGGTGCCTGGTCCGCCAGCGGCGTTGGTCATGGATGCCAACAGGCCAGCGGGGGATGGCTTGTCAATCTCACGCAACAACTCGCGACCTGTGAGCTCCGAATTTGGTTTCTTTTGGAGTATAACGACACAGTCGGAAAATAGGAGTAGGATGCCAGGCCGATCAGGTACCTCCGGGCTCTGCGCGTCGCAGACAAAGGGCGCTGCAACCTCAACGAGGTCAGCAGCCAGGATTAGCCGCCCTTGGGGTTCTAGATCAAGCGGCCAGGACTCAACCATGGCACGCAGACGGTTTGCGATGTGAGGCTTATCCGGCAAGGGATCATCCATTGAGCAAATGTTCGTGATTATGTCCCTTGCGCGGAGGAGAGGCTGCAGCGCGGGATGCGTGATAGGAAGGCATGTGACGATCTGGTCGATGAACAAGCTATACCTGGGCAACCGCTGCACAGGCTCAATGAGAAGTGAGCGGACAGTCTGCTCTCCTGTCTGAACAACGCGCTGGCGGAAACTTGACTGCTTATCCAGGAAGGAGTTGAGGATCTGGGGGAAATTCTGGCTCGCTTTGATGTAGTCCTGGTAGCACTCGGTGAACTTGGGAAACCATTCAAGGAACATCCGTGCCATTGCGAGGGCACCGCTTGGGTCCTTGGTCCGGTTGGGACCGCCCGGCTTAGTCATGGCAAGAGAAAACGGAAGTTCCATATCTCGGACGGCCTCCTCCTCGGTGTCGTCCATGATCTTTCGAAGCTCTTGCATAAAAGCTGAGTTGATTTCGAGTATACTGTCGGCCGACTTTGGGAACAGCTTTTCCAGGTCCTCCTCGGTCGGACTGGTACTCCCGGCGGGGCGCTGTTTGGCATGCTGGCGGAAGTCGTTGGCAACGTGATTGACCAGCTCGTTAAGTTTGAGGACGTAGCGCTCCTCGGTATCAACCAGCTCCCCCATCTTCATACGCAGCTCCACCTTTTGGTTCTTAGAGAAAGACTTGCTCCTGTTCAACGACGTCGGCTTCGATGGCGCTCGCCGCAGCTTGGAGGTAGGCACAAATACTGGCTCGCCAAACAGCTTGACAATCGGGGCGTATCCGCCATACTGCCGTAGGGTTGGGTCAAGGAGATCATCTTCATCGTCGGGCACCTCCTCGAGATCCGCATTTCCCAACGGTACGATTGACCCCGGCGGGAGAACGAGGTCGAGGTCAACATTGTTGATGTGCTGTGTCCGTAGAGCATGTTCCAGAATGCTGATAACCTCAGCTGTGTTCTCGGCCTGAACTGCAGCCTTGGCGAGGTCGGCCGCGTGCTGCTCCCCGAACAGCGATGGCGCAGAACCAGGCCGGCGGTTCCCAGTCGTTGGGTACTGCTTTTTTAGATGGTTCTTGACAACTTCCGGCAGCTCGCTAAAGTATTTGAAGAGACCGAATGCAAGCCCTCGGCAGATTTCATCGCCCTGAAACTCGCGCGGCAAATGCTGGACCACACCATAGAAAGGGGAGTTTGGTGAGACGGTGATGCGCGGGAAGGACTGGAAGCCGGCCGGGCTGTATATGTGAATCTGGATGCGGGAGCTGTTCAGGGTATAGTTGGCGGTCGTTGAAGGGCCGTGGAAGATTAGAACGGGCAAGTTGCCGAGCAATGGGTCGCTGGCATAGTAGAGAGTGACGTGCTCTGGCGAGATCGCCAGTTCCTCGGTGACACGAACCATGGTCGCTTCAATTGGCCGTGGTCATGGCGATAGAGAGGGCGAAACGAGCGGTTTGCAGTGCGGCGCAAGGCGACGATGATATGCCGGGCTGGCTCAGCGGGCGAAGCAGAAGGAGGGGAGCGCGGGGTGAGTGCTTCGTCGGTCTTGCCGAGGTAAACAAACGCGCCGGGCTCGGGGCACTGCAGCTGTGATCGAGTCCTACTCGAATGAAACAGGCGGTGATGTGAGCAAACGGACTTTTTAGTCGTGCAGCTCGAGGCGCACAGCAGCGTCGGCGCTTTCCCTGTTTGCGCCGGTGAAAACAAAACAGGCGCGAATCTAACAACACATGCAACGGAGAATGGGCCGCTAAGTTGGTGATGGGCAGCTTCGCAAGTATCACCCACAGAAAACAAAGGACTGTGCAAGAAACGAACGAAGTCGCTATGAAACTAGCGCGAAGGGTTTCCTCCGAAGAAATGTGATCCGAGAAAGAACAGCCTTCAGGTTTGCTGGATGAATGGTGTCGATGTTGCGGCCAAGATAACGAACAGGAAACGGCCGGGGTCGGGCATCGAGAGCCGAAAGTCGCTGGGTCCAGCCTAACAAACACGCTAATCGCGCGATCGTCCAGGTGGATGCTTCGGCCAAGAATTAGTTAAGTGGGGACAGTAAACATGCTGACCAGCCAACCGATCCGTGCCGCAGCTGCCAAGACTAGGGTTCGGAAACGAAAATTTCCATTTCCGAAATTTCAACCCATTTTCGAAAATTTCAATTTAAAGGGCCCCTTGAATTTCAGCATTTTTCACCCAAGGATTTTTCCTCCCATTGGTCAGGGGCTAAAGAATAGGCTGGGTAACAATGTCCCATTTTCCTACGAAAGTACTAGGATTCCTAGACATCCTCGCTGAAAATTTAGTTAATCGTTGTTATAGGAAGGAAATCGAGGATGGTTGACCACCTTGATGGCGGGCACTGGGCAGTAAGGTTGGAAGTTTGGGCACTTACACACAGAGTGGGGCATATATAGCCCTAACCCTGTATGCTCACCGTCTCCCCAAAGCGGTTAGCGGAAATGGCGGAAATTTCGAAATTCAAGGGTCGATTTTCAGTTTCCGAATTTCGAAGCCAGGTTGGAAATTTCCGAACCCTAGCCAAGACTGCGATCAAGCGGGGCGGTGTCACGGTGCCCCGCCCCCTTTTTAACTTTGACTTCAACGGCTTTGGTGGAATGGACGCCGACTTCCTAAAACGGCAAAAACATCAACAGAGTGCGCCTTAGCCCCTGGAGGCTCAAAACGTGGGACTCTTGGCTGGAGCAATAATCGCAATTAATCTGAGTTTGGCGCCCGTCTTTGCCTCGTAAACGGACTCACGTCCGTTCAACAGTGCTCTCATGCGTATGTCCACGGTTTTCCAGAGTGGAATAAGTACGGATAGCTGACTCGCTTTCGCAGTTCCTGAAAGTCCTGAGATGCTACCTCATTTACATCACAGAGCAAGCTACTACAAGACGTTGAGGGAATTTGGGTAATTTACTGGTTCTGCTCCGTAGTAAGGGCCACATACCATTGAGATACCGAACAATGAAAGGTCCCTAGGACCATAGCCTTAACAGTTTTCGGAAGCAAGCAACTAACCAAAACTCAGGGACCATAGATTCTCAGTCGCAGCCAATGCGCCACCCCCGACCAGTGTATCGTCCGCTGGATCCAAAATAGGGCGGTAGGCGTTCATCATTTGGGGCAAGGAAACTTACCAGAAAGTCAAGGACATGCCATAACGTGGACGCCTTCTGCGCTCTGACTGACATGCCCCACGATTGGCCGCCAATGTGAGTCCCCTCAGCCCCCTAGCTCCCATCCCGACTTACATAACCGAACAGATATTGCTCTCAACATCCTCGTGCAAAACCTTTGCCAAGGCCCTCCTCTCCATATATTCTCCAAACTCTTCCAACTTCTCCCAATAAACAAAATTCTGAAATCCAAACCTCGCCTCCTCAAATACCTCTGCCATAATCCTCAGGCACTCCTCGTCCTCCTCATGCATCGCCAACTGCGTCAACCCCATCCTCTTGAAGTGGGCCCATTCAATGTCTATGTCGTAGGCACGCACATACAGCCTGTTGCGGCGTTCCGCCAGCCTTGCTTCAATCCTTGAGAAAACCATCATCATCGTGCCAGTGACCGAGATGTAATTTAAGCTTGAGAGCGGCCGGACTTCGCCCGAGATGTCGAAGTAGAGATCGGCCTTGGCAATTTCAAGAATCTCACGGCTGCTGGGCGCGAATGCGTGAGTATTCGTTGCCTTGGGCTTTTCTTTGAGGAATGGGTTCTTAGGGTTGGTTGAGCGATGGATTCGGTTGTAGCCGCCCGTGATCGGGCCGCTTTCTTGTCCCATGGTACCGACGCTCGAGACAAAATCCAGCATTACTTCGTCTGTCATGCCCCCAGCCCTTGCACGTTTGATGAACTCCGTGTCCTCGAACTTGGTCTTATGGGAGATTGGATCAACAATCAGCTTTGTCTGGGAGATGCGGAGTATCGCGAGCGGGGATGTAAGCGGGATGTCGGCGTCGGGGATCGCGTCGATGTTCCATTTCGATTGTCTGTATAGCAACAGGTCAGACTTGATTCTGAAGAAGCGGTGAGCCTCCACAGTCATCATGCGATGAATGTCGTGCTCTTTGGTGGCCAATTTGCGCGCTATATCCCATTTCTTTCGCGTCGAGGTTACTGCTCGCATGCGGGCGAGGAATGCGGCGGAAAAATCGGACGAAGGAGCTTTGCCGTCAAGGAAGAAAGCCGGCGCAATGAGTTGCTCGAGGGTCGCATACAATCCCACGGGCTTTTTAAGATAGCCCTTCTTGACGAGCATATTATGCAGATGTATGATCATCATGGGCTCCGGAAGGCGCTCCCAAACCATCATGCCTGCAAGGTAGGCTATTTCGAGACCTTCCATGAGGCCAACACCACATAGAAAGGGTGAATATTCCCATAGACCATTTGCATTGGTGTTGGAGAAGCGAGACGGGGGAATGTTGGTGAGGCCATGCATGTACTTGGACTCTCCTAACCAGTTGCAAAATTCATAGTAGAAACCTTCCAAAAAGTCATCAATTTCGCGATGTCGGTTGGGGTCTTGGTGAAGTGCTGCGTCTTTAACGAAGAGCTGTCTCAAAACACTGACTGCTGTAAGGAATCCATGGCCTACCCTCTCATTATTCCGGTCGAGGAATAGGTCGACATCACGCCTGGGCCGGAAACTGCGGGGTGGCGGGTTGACTATGTGGCCTCTCAAGAGACTGAGCGACCAGCCACGAGAAACAATTAGGGAGTCGACAATACACTGTAGTTGGAAAACATGATGCGGCAGGATGCGGCTTCGGATGTCTGTCCCTTGTTTCTGCATCGCCAGGGACGTGACCAGGCCTGCAGACTCATTCAAGCCGAAGAGCCTCCGGTGTTTATCCCAGGGCCCATCCGGCGACCAATCGACCTTTTCCAAGACGTGAGCCTCGCCTTTCATGGTATTGCGCTGCACGACAATGGACGAGAAGACGTTGACCAAGTCGTAGAGCCAGTTGATGGTATAGGAGCGGCGCCACCGGATCCTCTCTTGATTCGTGGCTTCCTGGAGATCGAACTCGGGGTCCCAGTCATGAATTTCGGCGAGCATGCGCTTAGTTGGCTTGCCCGAGCGTGTTTTCTGGAAATCCTCAATAAAGTCGATTAAGTCGCGATACGTATGAATCATGAACTGCTCCTTGACATCGATATCACTAGCTGTGACCTTCTCGGTCTCGCCGTTGGGCGCCACTGCCATAAGGGACGCGGTAAACCTGCCCTGAGCCTTTTCCGGATCACCACGAGTGATGGTGTTCAGAACGGTCTCGTAGGCGTCGTGTGCTGGGAAGTCGACAAACATCTCGAATGCAGATCGCTGGATCATGGCAACGGCCAAGATGGAAACAGTGCCAGCAATGGCGCTGTTGAGGCCATCGTATGCAACCTCGCGCTACACACCTTGCACGTACGCCCGAAGGTCACTCCACTCCTGAACTAGAGCATAAACAGCCATCAGGTAATCGGTGATGATGCCCTCGGTGTCCTGGATGATGCGGTAGCTGTCGAGAGGAAGATTATCCAGGTGCGGTTCCTTGCTAGATGCGGGCAGCTGCTGCTTCTTGGGCCGTTTCCCCTTCTTGCCTTTCTTTCCTTTGCCGGGTCTTGCCTGTCGACGTCGGCCCGGAGTGGAGCCAGAACCGTCCCCGGTGTGCTTATCACTGGCGGCCTCATCATCCGATTCTTCGCCTTCTTCGTCGGCGCCGGCAGCTCCGCCCAAGTCAAGGGCACCATACTGATTCGACAAAACAAGGCGATCGAGATTGGCCTTGAGCTGGGAAGCGTCGGCGTCGGCGTCGGCGTCGACATCACTGCTGCTGTCTGTCGTGTTTTCAGGCAGCCAGTCCTTCCCTCCCAAGTGTGTGGAATGCCTCAGTCAAAGCGTCGATAAAATGCCTGTGGGTCAGATTTCTCTTCTCGATTTCGGGGTCTGGATTCTCGGCCACAATCTGCTGGAAAGCTTGGTGGACAGCGGTGCGGGCGTCAAGGACGCGGCGGAACAAACGGAAGATATGGGACGGCACAGCGGGAATGTACTTCGCAATGAGGCGAGAAAGAGCTACCAGATCGGCGACTGTGATCTGGCCCGTCGTGTTCAACCGCACTGCTTTGAGCCCCTCATCGAGCGTGGTCGCCGACTTGATGATGCCATTGGACGTTCGGATGATCCAGTACAGCAGCTGACTGGTGTCCCGCTTGTACGCGAGGTAAACATTGCGCGGGGCCATACCCGTGTAGAAAACAAACCGTTGAATCCATCCAGCGTTACGGGCTAGACCTATGATGATCTATCACAAAACCTGAGAAGTAGAGACTGAGTTGGAGAGTTGACGACGAGGGGTCAAGTCTCGAACGACTAGAGAGTGGGGCTCCAACCCTCCGGAACCTGGCAGAAGCGTGTGGAGTATCCTCTCGCCCAAGTTCCAACATTTCTAGCTTACAGTACATGGACGAGTTTTGCTGGTCATCGCATTGATAATTTGGTACATACCTAAAAGGTATGTATGTGCCAAACAAACAGCATGTCGTGGACACAGCTGAGCGACTCTAATAAGTCGAGGTCTGACGAATGACAATAATGTTGGCGTTGTGACAGCTGATCACAGCTGTCACCTTCCTCAAGTAATGACTACACTACCTTACGGACGTGGGTACGGATATCTCCTTGCAGGTTGTCAAACTCCAACACGTCGGCATCATCGCTATCAATGTGCTAATGATTGCGAATTCCACTGCGTGTTTTTACGGATGGTTCTATTTCATATGAGTTAGATGCCGTGAAGTCTAGTACAGGTATGCATCTACCCTAATGTTGTGCTCCTGCCACTGCGTCGTGTACGTTACGTATGTACTTTGTACTGTACTGTACAGTACACCCATGGAGATAGGTGGTCCCATCTCAATCGAGTCAATCCCCAGCAAGACAGGTCGCTATCTCCTGACCATTAATACGGATCGTTAAGCCATCACTTGCTTGGCCCATTTGCGCCTACTACTTTCAACATACAGGAGCCAAGACATCCATTGCAGGCCTGAGGGTGACGTGTTCGCCAACGCTGCCCCACAATTCCCACTCTAAGGTGCGCGATCCAGTCCCGGACGAGGAAAGCCCCCATGTACTGGAAACGGCGCCCCTCCTCACTTCACCGGCTGGGTTCTTCCTCCAACTCGAGCATGACAACTCCGGCTACCTTACCTTGTAATTGGGGACTCGACTTATCACGAATACGCGAAAGCACCGTATATATACTACCTTGAAACAGATTACTCCATGGAGATGTGAATCCCGATGCCCAGGGTTTCGATCCGGAAGCCGAGCCGGCGCCGGAGCCGAAAAGCGGGGCCGCACCCCGCAAAGTACCTGGTGAGGTCCCACAACCGACTCCGTGTCCCATGCAAATGCCGTCCCGCCCAGTAGCTTGACGCAGTGTCGAACGACTGCAGCAAGCACCCTTCGCGGGTACTTAACCAGCGGTCCGAAGTAGCACCAGAGTTCAAAAGCATCCGGAATGGGATTCGCGCCTTCTCACCCAGGCCCCCGGGCTTAATTAACACCACGTTTTTCCCACGCTAGGTGGATATTAAACCACGGCACCATGACTGCCCCTCCTTCGTTCTCATCCTCGCACTCGATATATATATGTCGACCCAGAAGAATCAAACTTCCTAACTTCCTTCAAGTTCCTTGCCCTTTCTAAAATCTAAACCATTGACCACTACACAGTACCATGGCGCCAGGAGATAAATCCTCAACATCAAACACGAACCCTTTCCGCATCGCCATCATAGGCGGAGGCATCGGCGGACTCACGACGGCGCTCTTCCTTCAGCACTTTTGCACCGGCGCTGGCAAGTGCGGCTCTCCAACCTCGCTGAATCCCATCGACATCGACGTCAACATCTACGAGCAGGCGCCCTCGTACAGGGATACCGTGGGCGCGGGCATCGGCATCGGCGTCAACGCAACCAAGCTTCTCCACCGCATCGAAGGACTTGGTGATGCGGTCAACGCCATCGCCGGCGAAAAGGACGGCATCTGGTTCACCCTGCGCCGCTTCGACAACAGCGAGGAAATCACCACCGTGTATTCCAACGACGATGGCAAGATCAAGCAGGCGGCCGTGGCGCGGCCCGAGTTGCTGGCTGTGCTGAGAAGCTTTGTGGAGAAGAACGGGGCTGCCAGGGTCACTTTGGGGAAGAAGTGTAGGGCTGTGGAGGTATGTCTCTTTTTGCCCGGCTTGTCGTGGCTTCGGAAAGTTGTGGAAGCTGATGGTAATCTACTTCTTCCTCGCAGGATCTGGGCAAGGGCGTAAGGATGCGTTTTGAGGACGGGACATCTGCAGAAGCAGATCTCGTCATCGCCTGCGATGGCATCCACTCGGCTGTGCGACAGCAGTTTATCCAGGACAAGGCCGTCTACAGCGGCAAGTTCATCTACCGCGGAACAGTGCCTATAACGGACCTTCCCTCGCCCTGGCCATTCCCTTCCTACTCAACCATGTGGATTGGGTCGGGCAAGCACGTCGTCGTGTATGCCATCAGCGCCAACCAGCGGCTCAACTTCGTAGGCTGCGTCTCCAAGAGCGAGGATAAGATCCGCGATTTTAGGGAAAGCTGGTCTTTGACTTGCGACCGGAAGGAGCTCGAACAGGAGTTTTCCGACTGCGACGAACTGGTGCAGAAGATCATCAAACTGCTGCCCGAGAGGCCATCCAAGTGGCTCATCAACGATCGGGATCCGCTGGCCAAGTGGACGTTCATGGGCGGGAAGGTGGCGCTGCTTGGGGATGCGGCGCACGCCATGGTCCCGCACCAGAGCGCGGGAGGCGGGCAGGCCATTGAGGATGCCTATATCATCTCCAAAGCCCTGGCCGAGTACCTGGACGAGAAGAGAACGAACCGAGCGAGGGCGCCAGGTCTGGAGAAGTGGATGAACCTGTACCAAACGATCCGCCTACCGCGGTCTCAGCGGGTCCAAGAGACTAGTAGGGAGGCAGGTCTCTTGTTTCAGTTGCAAGTGCCCGAAATGCAGGGCAAGTCGTACGATGAGAGCCTCCCGATCCTGGTGGAGGGTGTCAACGGCCGTTTTAAATGGATCTGGTCTGAGGACATTGACGTTGCGTACGACAGAGCCAGGACGGAGTTGTTGGAGAATGAGGCTGTGAGGAGGAGTAAGCGGGGATGGTGTTTCTGTATGTGATGTTTGCCATATGGCGGCTTTGATGGCCCGTATGCGGACTATGCGCATTGCAATGCCGGGATTCTCTTAAACATGGGGCTAGAGATTTAGAGTCATAGGACAAATCTCGAAGTTTTCATGCTGACCAGGAAGCCATTGCCACGACATGGGTTCAAGCTCGCCTGATGCCCAGCTAGGTCCTGAGCAGTCGCATGATACGTTCAGGTACCTTAGTTGTAGTATCTGAGTAGCTCCGACCTGCCATATTCAAAGAGAACACGCTTTGAATTCTCAAATATAACTAAGTCTAGTCAGACATGAACTTCTTGGGAGCAAGAGGCACCCATCCAGTGACGTGGTAGGGTACCAAGCATAGTTCGGAGAAGAAAGGGGGGCGGGGCTTCCTACTTTTTATCTTTTGTGCCATTGTCATTACCACATGTACTAGTATCCTCTCCAGACAATGCAGCTACTCAGGGAGGTGCCTTAACTGTGCCGGCAAGTAGTAATCAGGGAAGTTGTGCTGATGCCACGGTGAAGCGAGTATAAGCTCAAGTGTGGTACGAGTGACTAAAACCAGCCTGGCAGCAAGGATGTCTGGTCAGTCACGGTGTTAGCCAACCTTGTACAAATCTAAGTCAGGGTTAAGGAACTGATACCTACTGTCAACGTTAACAGTGTGCTCATTGACATATCCATGTAGGACATGCAATCAGCAATGTAGGCATCCGGCCACAACATCGAACTCCCCATTTGTCAACTATATCGTGATACTCAGCTCTGTCTCCCTGATGGCTTTGTTTCTGATAGCAAGTCAAAGTGTACGTGTTCAAGGGCGCATTAGCACCTTAATCTTTGTGTTGTTCGTGTTCTATCAGCATTGTGATGCTGATGTTTGTTCCCGTCTTTGGTGGACGTGATTCGTGAACCTATGTCTCCCCCTAGTATGGGATTCACGTCACTGTCAGGAACAAGAAATGTACAGTCTTTATATGATCGGTTTTTGATTCTATGTTATATCTATTCATCCTACTCACATATTGACATGATAGTGCATCAAAGCACTTAGATGATCCTGTGGGCATATGTTGTTGAGCTACCTTGACTTGACTGCTTGCATAGCAACGTACTCACTGATGGTGCCGTGCTGCTGCTCGGTTCATACAATTAGGTCAACACCTCATGGTGAAGCCGGGCAGCACAGCTTGATGACAGAGGCTTCCTTCCCCTGTGGGTGAGAGTTCACCTGCACGTGAACAACTGTTGATAGGGATTCCGTCCGAACTTCAGGAGATAGGGGATCGTCTTCACAACGCCAGACCGCGATAAGGGCAGTTATCGGAGCCCTCATCTTCAACCACAGGAAGGTGCTAGAAGTAGAACGCGTTGATGAAAACCCTCTACGCGTAGATGACGCGTTGAGCCCTTCGCCCACCGACCAGCAACATAAATTCTCCCCTCACCTCTCCCACTTTCTCTCTCCCAACCTTCCCACCGGCCACCGACCAAAACGCTTTCACACCCACCACCACCACCACAACAACAACAACATGGCCACGTCAAGCCAAGAGGCCAGCAAGGCTCGCTCTCGTCTCGGGTCTCCCGAGATGTCGGTGGGAGTCCAGGCAGTCAAGGCCATGTTCATGAACCGGTGGCCGTCCCACTCCCTCCGGTCGGTGCCGGAGCCCTCCAACCCCAGCCACTACTTTTTTTCTCACGTGGTGTACCTCTCCTTGACCTATGAGGAGAGAAGGATGTTGGAAGGGGTTGTGGGCGCGGTGCTGGGTGGCGACGCCGACTACGCCGCCTTGGTAGAGGCCGGGGACGAGGACGATGAAGCCGACGCCGCCGTTGACGGCCCCCTTGCTGTCGATCCCATTGGCAGATACCGGGCCCTCATGCGCTTTAGCAAGGGGTACCCGCGTGAGCAGCTGGATCGGATTGCCTTTCTGTTGTTTCTCCGGTGGTACGTACTCGTCCCATCTCATCACAAGTCCCTCTGGCGTCTTCTTCCCTTCGGTTGAATTCAGGGTTATTATCAGACGAACTCTGAAGTCTGAATTTTGAGCCTCAAGAACTGACGCGACCAAGGTCTCCCGCACAGCTCACCATCCGGAACCTGCTCGCCGAGCTGGGTGAGTGGGTCAAGGACCCGGCGACGCCGGGTGAGATGATGAAGTCGTTTGCCGTCGGCCTCAGCACGAGGCACGACCCGTTTCTGCCGTGGTAAGTATGATCCTATGCGGCGTTGCCGCTTCCCGCTTTCCCCAATCCTGAGACCCAACTTGAAGTATCCCTCCACCCTCCCAGCCGGTCGCCCAACTCCGAGTGTCTCTCAGGCTTGCGCCGAGTCTCCCCCTCCATATGAACCACAGGTGTACCTCACTAGTTTTCTAAAAGCAAGTGTCCTTCTCTCCTTCCCTAACTGAAACTCCAACTCCCCCTCCCTCCTTCCCCCGACTACAAGTGTTCCCTCGCTTGCAAGAACGGAGAGGTGGCCGGTGCTTTCCCAGTCAGGAACATAAAGCCCACCGGTACCTCTTCGTCCGAAAACCCTCTTCAAACCTATACACGCTTCACATCGCCCCGACTGAGAACAGAATGACTGAGCTTCATGTTGCTTTACAGGGACTCCCGCAAAGAGCGGGCGACGGAGCTGCTCAACAGCTTTACCAACCGCGAGTTCTGGGCCGCCTTTTCCAACCAGCCCAAACGGATGGCCAAGGCGGCGAAGGAGGGCGAGGTGGGAGTGATGCCGGCTCCCCGCGACGTGAAGATATGGTTTGTCTTCCTTTTTTCCCGTTGTTTTCTCTTTTCTATCTTTCGTTTGTTTTTCCCCTTCTATTTTTTCGAGTTTTCTCAGCCTGATGTTGCTCGGCTCTTGGTTTGATTTCGGATTTGGAAATCTCCCGGTCCATTACTTGCATTACAGCGTTCACACACGAGGTGGCAGTCCTGTCGGGTAGCGGCGAATTGCGTCTGTTTGTTGGGAGTCGTTTGCTCAACAAATCAACCACGAAAGTGAGACTAACGTTATTTTTTCACTCAACTGCTAGGCGCCAGCTTGCGTACCTCGTCATGAGGAAACACCGCACCTTTCGGATGTGGCCGGGCGTCCACGACGCCGCGGATTATGCCGCGTGGTACGTAGGGCCTCGCACCGCGGCTGAAGAACCAGAGTATCCATTTTATGACGCCTGGTGGCAAGACCTTGTCAAAGCATCGGCGCCAACGACGAACCTCGGAGCAACCCCTGACGGCGGCCATGGGGACTCCGTTAAGGAGAAGAAGGCTACCAAGTGGTTGACCGGCCGCCTTGAAATGTTTGGTCTCTGGTCTGAATCTGCTCAACACGATAAAAACTGGGCAGCAACCATGTTTGGGTTGTGCGATCTTGGCGACACCTGGGACTCATGGATATTGGTCCGCATGATCCAGTCTACCTTGGTCTGGAGAGAGAATGAAGTTCCTGCTGCATTGCTCGAAGTACGTATATCTCTTCCATCTCTGAGTACTATTACTAGTAGTAGTATTTGCTCATCTTTCTTATGATGAGAGCTAACGTCTTATTTGAAGCAACATCACATTCTCACTGACGAGATCCCGCTCCCTTTCACCCACCCCAGCACATTTGTTGAGATTGCTCGATACGACTCGCCTGCCTACAGGATCAAGTCCGTACCGGACACGGAGGTAGAGTTAGTGAGAGAGCTTGTCGAAAGCGTTGGTCTCGAGCACAACGACGCTTGGGACCTTGTCTATTTCGAGGCAACCCGAAATGTTCTATTCCCCCATTTCAGCGTGCCCGGCGAGGACCGCCCGCACGTCTTCTACTTGACTGAAGATGTGAACAAGCGTTACCTTGCCGAAGGCCGCCAGTTCCCCGGCCAGTCACTGCCTTGTCGCTGTCCGCGCTGCGCTCCGAACCGATATCAAGGCAGTGCTATTGGGATGTGGGATTCACCTTCCCACGTTTCCAATCCAAAGACAGTAGTATTCTCCCGCCGCAAACTGCAGGACACCTCATTCCTTTCCAACCCGAATCGTTTCTGGATCGATTGGGTAAGCATGCGCCGCTGATGTCCCTGTCACCTTGGAGCACTGAGTACTGTTTTGTACATGTACTAAGTCTACCGCTAGAACGACTGCATCTTCATCATGGGCCGCGGTGAAAAGGACGGTCATATCATCGACGGTGACACTATCTACATCCTGGAGACCCTCCCAGGCATCAAAGCTCGTGCCTTAAAGGAAGCCCGTGTGGATCGAAATGACGAGCGGCTTGGTCTGGCGTCGGCCAGCCTCTTCTTCAACCTAAGACTCGCACATCAAGGTCACTGGATGGATGGCAACCGCAATCTACTCAGAGATATGATGGGTAGTCGCTACCGTCCCCATTACAATGACTTCGCCTATGTGATCCCGCCATCCGAGTTCAACTTTGGAGAAGCCGTGCCACTTCGCCACGGCAGCTATGGCAGAACATACAGTGTTCCCTGGGGAAAAGCGCGGCAGTACGATCTTAGCGGAGACATTGTGTACGTGAATGGGTCAGCCATCATCAAACTCGTCGCCGACTTTCGGCAGACGGATTCTCCGGTCAATCCGGCAGAGTTGTTCCGCACCAAGGTGAGCCGGCTCACTTACATGCTGTTCTCATCGTAACAAGTCTGGACGGTTACTGACTCTGATTCTGCGTTTACCACTTTAGTTTGAAGCTTTCTACAACGCCATTGCCGGCAACCGATTCCATAACATCGTCACCTTCTTTGGCTACACGCCCGTGACCGTTTGGTATACCGATGACGACGAGCCACACCTATCGAAACCCAATATTACCGCAGGTACAGGGCTCCGTAGTGAGCGTGTGTGGGCTTTTGTGTTTGAACATGCCACCGAGGGCCCCCTTCTGGCCAAGATAGCGGAGCTCGTCAAACTTTCCATGCCGCGGATGCCCGTGGATGAGACCTGGTACACCCTGTTCAAGCTGCTTTTCGAAGTCGGCACTGCTATCCGGGGCGTTCACGTCACCGGACCGCACCGGTAAGAGCCCTCCCCCTCCCATCATTCGTTCAACACCCAAACCTTCTAACATAACGACTCACAGCGCTATCCACCCGCTCAACATCCTCGCCCGCAATAACCCCATGCACCCTCGGGCGTCAGTCTTCAAGCTCCCACGCACCGTCGACTCGTTACTAGACGAGCTGCCCATTGCCGAGCGGTACCAAGCCGTTCTCTGCGAGCCGAGCGACGTTCCTTCAGTGCACCTCACCACCCCCGGCGGACTCTACCACCATTACCTGGCACCCGAGATCCGGTTTGCCACTGCTGCTGCCACCGGCGGATATGATACTAGCAATCACACCACGTCCACCGATACGTATGGTTTTGCGCGGTTCGTTCTCGACGCCATACGAGTCGCGGGGCGCAAGGGCTTGAATGATACATATGGAGCTGGGGGTGTCGTGTTGTTTGTCGAGATCTTGGCGTTGCTTGAGGGTATACTGAGCTGGCACGACCGGGCCGAACATGACGAGAAAGTCAAAGAAGAGGCGACTTGCGATGACAACTCGAAGAGAGATGGTCACACGGGTAATGATGGACAGCCACACCCGGTCTGGCAAGCAATCTGCCGTCGCTACATGGGTCTTGACCGCGAGCAGGCCATGGACGAGCTCGTGAAGATCATGCGTGATGTGGTCACACAGCAGGTGTACCTCGTGAGGTCTTACCTTGTGCCGTCCGACAACATCTGGTACGACATGGAGAACACCGTCCCGAACGTCTGGTCGGTGTTGGACGAACCGATGGGAGGGTTGAATCGCAGCACGGTGCAGCTCTACTCGATCTACGAGCAACAGGCCGTTGGAGGACGCTGGCCAGGGGACTCGTCGAGCGATGGGGACGACGATTCAGAGGATCATGGTTTGGGTGATGATTCAGATCATGATGACGGTGATGATGTAGAGGATGAGGGTGATCATGATAGATCAGAGGATGACGGTGACGATTCAGAGGATGAAGACGATGATTCAGGGGGTGGAGGTGGTGATGATGATGGGGATGAACCTGTCTGGAGGGAGCATGTATCGTCGCAGGGACCGCAGAGTGAGGATCATCTCTTGAGCGGGCCCTTGAGCCTGGGCTCTTACCACGCCGTCGGCGATGTTGATTTATGACTCTTCCCTTTAATTGTTTCAGGCGGAGGGTATTTGTCAAGAATATGTCCCGAGTTTCTTTCCATTTCAAGATCGAGTATAACGATTACTGGCTCTTAGTCTTAGGTACTTATCACCTTGTGGCGAGGACGAATAGAGCGCAGCACCAGACAAACGTCGCAAAACTCAGAAAATAATCCAGGTGACAATCCGAGATGCACTGTCACGGGATAGTAAGTTCGCTCCATGCTATCATATGCCCCGTCGTCGTGGGTTTGGGGTTGCAAATATACCACTGGCGGTCTTACGCCTTTTCTTCTCATGCCTCAACTTCCTTAGCTTGCCCTTTACCAAGACCTGGTCTGGCCCCTTCCTTTTCCTGTTCACCGCCACCTTGTCCATCAGGCTGCACGTGTTTCTCGGGGTCCTGAGCGTTTCCGTCCTGGCGCATTGGCCCCGAGGCCGACATGCGCGCCGCCATCTGCGGGAACAAGATGCCAGGCGGGAAGACGGCCAGGAGAATGCACGGGATGAGGACCATACTAATTTTCGTCCCCTAGCGTCAGCAGCTCAGCGAAAACTCATGGGACGGATGACTTCACTCACAATCCCTCCAGGACAATAAACGAGGGCTCGTCTTGCATAATGGGGTTACCCCAGCCGCCAGCCATTTCGGCGATTCTGCCCGCAACCATGACCATCAATGATCAGCGATTTTTCCGTCAGTGAACCAGACCTTGGGAACAAACATACCGGTAAATGCACCGTATCAAGATGCCGCTGTACGCCCCGGCTACAGCGTACACAAACATCCTCAGCTTCTTGTCATTCCACAGCGCCAGAGCCTCTGCGGCGGCCTCGCCAGACTTGATCCTGATGAACTCACAACGTCAGTTCAACTGCCCTGTGCCTGCCGCAACCATCGTAATTGACAATAAGGTGCTCCTAAAGACCCACCACTTCCTAACCCGCAGGTAATAATCGCCCGCCGCAGAGCCAAAAAACAACAGTACCACCACCTGCAGCACAATCCCCGCGAGGATAGCCCTGTTGCCGTGCTGCACAATAGCAAAATTACTCCGCGCACCGCTGGCAGCCAGGGCGCCGCCGATGGCCTGCACGCACAGGCACGAGACGTCGAGGGGGACAAAGACGAAAGGGTACAAATGCGGGCGAACGCGCGACAGCGCCGGGTTGACGGCCAGACACAAATGCTTGAGCGTCAGGTAGACCGAGATGCACACGAGCGTCGGCGCCAGGATGATGGCGACGATTTGTGTTTCGAAGGCTTGGTTGTTCCACGGGTTGTCGGTTAGGGGGATCCGCGCGGCGTAGCCTGCGTGTTTTGTTGACCTCTGTGGTTAGTGCCTACTAAGGGGGTTGAACGGTGAAAGGGGTGTCTTTGCATGTGGTGGCTTGGGTTTGTCGGTGTCGTCCGATAACAGGCTGCATTTGGGGTCCTATAGCCTCAAATATGTTCATGAAACAACCGAGGCATTGTGCAACTCATGATCGAGGAGATCATAGCACCTACCAGCGAGCTCCAATGCGCATCCTGCCGCCAAAAACGCGGTGTAACTCCACGTCTTCTTCCATAACCCAAAGACCAGCGTCACCACCATGGCGATGCCATAGCCAATGGCAAAGAATATGTTGATCCCACGGTTGGGGTAGTAGCCCAGGGTTGTGGCCTCGACGGGGCAGAACTGGGACACTTCGCGGCACGAGTAGTAGTAGGTGGCGATAAGGTTCTCAAGGTCGTCCGGGTCCGTCCCCGGTGGAAGCATGGGTGGGTCTATCTTGTCCAGATCCATTATCGCGGCCGTTCCGTTTACCAGCGTCTGGATGGCAGAAATCTGGGTGATACGATGATACAGGCAGCGGGAGCAAGATGATACGTTTAAAATTGATGCCGGCAAGAGCTGATCGGGACTATCTCTGATCGACCTGACTCGTGGGTCAGGCCATATGTGGTGTTGAGGTAACCCAAACGAACGTTGCGAGAATTGCAACTCCCGTGAAAAGCATATCGAGGATTGACAAACCGCCCTGGAGGCTGGGAACGAGACACTAGGCGCGGGCCGCACACGGAATCCCGGCTCCTATTATACACGCATTAGCCGATGCCCTACGCCGTTGACAAGGCGCCAGGGTAAAAACCTAAGGAGCGTAGGTCAACATGGCATGACACCTCGCGGAATCCGTGCTCGTTACCAATGTCACCTGCTCTCCATCTAAGCCAGGGCCGGGTAGCGAGGCCTCGAAGTTCCCAACTGCCACCGAATAAGCCGAGATTCCCAAAACGGATTGGTCCCTACCTCATTGCGGAAACGAGGGTTGCATTGACATGTAGTTTGCTGGGCTTGGATTCTGCTCGGATGGAAGGAGGTGAGGTTTTATTGGTGATGCGGGCGTTGCAATCCGATCACGAATAGCGTTACACCAGGGGCGCGACTAAATTCCCGCTCGCGGGGGGACAGTGAAGATGTGGCGGCATGTGATTCAATCCAGCAGTTTCGATGCGCTACTCCTTGCCTCCTAGCCACCGGTAAACAACCGAGAAATCACGCCCTTTGCACCTCTCTTCCGCCTCTGCATTCTCATATATTTCTGATGCCTTATCCGCCAGAGGAAGCTTCGCACCAGCCTCTCTAGCAGCGAGCATGGCGAGCCTCAAGTCCTTCCGCATCAGACCAATGCCGAACCCTCCTTGGTAATCCCGACTTGCAGGCGCCGCTTCCACGACGCCCGGCACGGGGTTGTTGACCTCGCTAGGCCAGCACTTGCCCGTGCTCACATTGATCACGCTGGCAAGGACTTTTGGATCCAGACCCCACTTCACACCGAGATTCATGGCCTCTGCTGTCGCGATATTCTCAATCGCGAGGAGGTAGTTGTTGGCCAGCTTGGCCGACAAGCCCGCCCCTTGCGGGCCGCAGTGCAACACCCGCTTGCCCATCCGGAGAAGGATAGGCTCTATACGGCTGACGAGGGAGTCGGGGGCCCCGAGCATGAACGTCAATGTCCCAGCTTTAGCCCCAACTACTCCACCAGACATAGGAGCATCGACAAAGTTTCCTTGGCCATTGGGAAGCGCTGATGAGACGGCCGATGCAACTTCCCGTGAAGAGGACGGGTCGATGGTCGAGCAGTCTATAAAGAGCCGTGGGCTTGGAAGAGCTGGAAGCCCCCCTTGCAGAATGGCCTCATACGTCGACTTGACGTGCTGGGGCTCCGGAAGGCACGTGATTACTACGTCCTATGTTCGATACGCCGTCAATTAGCGAGGCTCGGTACAGAAGCATTCTCATGTTGCTGTAGCAATAAGAGAAACTGGTTGCCCGTGGGCTATCAGAGGATTGGCTTATGTTGTATAACAATAATCACGGTAAAGGCCAGCAAGCCGGCCCCAACTTAGAACATCATCGATAGAACAAACTCATCATACAAGCACCCGGTGGTTGCAACCAAGGAGAATAGATGTAGAATGGCACGTACCGCTTCTCTTGCAGCATCCGCAGCGCTCCCGAGCACGTCTACAGCTGCTCCGCCAGCTTGCGCATCCTTCACCTCCTGCAGCAGCTTGTCCGCTGCGGCTTTGTTGATGTCGAACAACCGGACGGTGTCGCTCGGCGGCAGCTTGGCTTGCAGGTTACGAGCCATCTGGTACCCCTATCCGAGCGAAAACAGTCAGCAGCAATCCAGGAGACATCTGTGGCCCATATATTATAGCATACCATCTGGCCCAAGCCAATGAAGGCATAGTTGTCCAGTCTTCGAGGCGAGGTGGAAAATGGCCGGTACTGCGCCTGCAGAGCAAGTCTCCATACCCTCACGGTAGATCTCATCTTGTTCAGTAGGATACGCTTTGTCGAGGGGTTCGAGGGACGAAGGTCTCCAACGAGCCCGTTTTACTGTGTGGCTTCTGGAGGAGCGGAAGCACCAAACGAGGGGGTTGCGGGAACTGGGTTCAAAGCCGACCATTGCCGGCCGTAGCCAAGCTGTTTATTCGAACATGGCTGAGCTCTCCAGTCGCCGGCTCGGCCAGGCAGACGCGCCTGCTGGAAGGGGTCGAAATGTCAGGTAGACTAAGGACAGGAGCTCCTCCTGGTTAAAGTCAGAATCACTCCATCCTGATGGACGAGGAAAGGATTTTGTCGTAAACCAAGCTGTAGGAGGAATGAAAGATAGGTTCCATAGACGAAAGATTTGTGTGTGGAAAAGAGCTCAATCAAGCTGGCCCGAGCGTTTATCGTTGAATTCCGTTGAAAAGTCCGAAGCCCGGCCCACCGGTACGTACCACAGGTACCCTGGCCCAACTTGGGGTACAGTACATAAAGTTGGCTCGGTTGGGCATCATCCGTCAGCTGACAACTCGCTCCAGGTCCATTCATTCTCGGTTGAAGAACTTCCATTGCTTGTGATAGACGCCGTACGCCTGTAAATCGCGTTGTGCGGAAGGGGAATGTTTCCCATCCCGTTCATTACAAGAAGGATAACCGTGCTAATCTTCGCAAGGCAATGTCAATACCCGACAAGATTCCCAACCTCGAGCCAACACAACGTTTTCCGCCGACAGTTTATACCCTGGACCATCCAAGGCGCCCCGGCGTTGCCTACGGCGGCCGGGCCCGTCAATTCGGACCCTTTCCAAGATTGTGCTTCCCGCCCACCTTCACTATTTCCTTTGTCGTTGGACGCGGCAGCCGCCGCTTAGGGGTATGTGCAGAAGAAGAAGTAAAAATGTGAACTGTTTTGCCAATAGAACCAGTAAAGACACTGTCGCCCACCCACCCCAACCTAGATTCCACGCCAGCGCCCCCAAAGTAATGTGACGGCGAGGAGACGGATGAGTTGAAGCACCACCGCGGTACGGAAGGGTGAAGGACTCGCTCGGCGCATCACCAAGTAGATGGACGTATGCAAGAGCGGGGAGCGAAATGCCGGCAGTCAAATCCGATTATAGGGCGTTCATGACATAGGGCCCAATGACCGGAACCAGAGCACTGTGCGATCTTTGTCAGCCAAACCCAAGGTGAGTGACAGGGGCACAAAAACTCAAGCCTTACCCGAGAGCTCCTACCGCAACCGTAGCAGTGAGACCTAAAAATGCTCTCTTCCTGATCTTCTCCTTGCGCAGCTCGGCTTCTGTCTTGACTTTCTTTGCCTGGGGCGGTTCCACATCGTCCTCCGCATTCTCCTTGTCCTCATCCTGAGCAATCTCCTTAGCTTTCCGCTTGTTCTTGCCGCTGCTCGGAGCGGAGGTAGCCTCATTGTCAGCCTTGACGGCAGCTTCAACCATAGCCTTGGCTTCGTTAACCATCTTGACCGCATCTTCGGGAGAAGGCAATTCCCCCAGGATTGGCACCTCGAGCTCGACTTTTGTGTGCTTTACCTCTTCACCGTCCGCATCCACCTTTGAGTCTTGGTCGACATGGACCTTGATCTTGGGCTCCTCCTCCACGGGTTCCAGTACCACAGCAGGTTCCCTCTCAATCGCTTCCACCCTGACATTGGTTTCACTCGTCTCCCGAACGCTTGCCAGCTTGGCCGTCGTTACGGCTGAGACGTGGGCGATGGATGGAGCCTCTCCATTGACCAACGAGGGAGATACTGAGTCCTTGTTGCTGGTTGGGGGAGTGTCAGTCGCGATCGAAGATTGGGAAGCAACCCTCCGCTTCCTGGGGCTGGCAGCGGTGCGTCTGCTACCGATCGACTTCGTCGGGCTAACAGATCGACGGCTGCGGGAGGTCCGAGTGGAGGTCGGAGTTGGCGGAGCAAGGCTCTGTTGTCCGAAGAACTTTGGCGGAGCGGTAATGTTCTTGGGAGGACTGCTCTCCGCGCCAGCCGGGGTGATATCAGCGGGGTCGAGCAAGGCGCGAACCCATGGCAGGATCTGATATTCCTCGGCGAGAATCAAGGCCTGCTCGGGAGGGATCCACACGTTCCCAGCCGTTTCCCCGTGGCTGGTTGACGCGAGGGACTTGATGTACTTGCGCTCCGCCTCCTCCTCCTCCTGCGATGCCCACGGGAAGGTCGCCTTGAACATGCCAGTAGCGGAAACATAGCCATCTTTACTGCGTCGCATGAGATAGTAGCTCTGAGGAGACGATTTGAAAATGCCCGAGACGATGCCTTTCGGGAGTGGAGCCCGCAAGTGCGCGTAATCAAACGCGCCAAGTGTCGACGTGTCGACTTCGGCGCCGGGAACAGCCGCAACCATGCGCGGCGTGAGCTGGGTTTGTCCTAGCCGGCGACGCGCGACAAGGTCTGCATCTATGCGTACAGTGTAAGCTAGCGATCAATTCCGAGGTCCGAAGAGCAGCCTTACGGTCTGGTATGTCGTTGAGTAGCAGAGGATTGCGGCGCTCCGGAAGATGTCGATTTGCCGCCATCGTTGTGGATTGCGGTATAGAGGACTAAAAGATCTCTAGCGGAGAGCGCCCGTGGCAATATAAATGATCAGGAAGATTTTAGGGAAGGATGAAGCGCGAAGCGCGACGAGCGAAAATCTTTTGCGCAGCAGCAGCGGCTTCGGGATGCTGAGCCGCCCTTGCGCGCTTGAAATTCGAGGTTGAGAAGAAGTAGCAAGATAAGACTCAAAATAATCAAGAAAAAGAATTGACGAGACCGAATTAGATGGGACGGAACGAGCACGGTAATGGACCTGGTGCGGTGACGGCAGGCGCCAAACATGCGATGGGATTGAATTGATTTCTCGATCCGAGCGCAATCTTCAGTCTCTCTCCGGGGGTGCCAGCGAGAGAGTGAGGGAACGAGGCACTGGGGTCGGGATGAGAGTGGAATGGAGAGCGCGACTCGGCCTGCGGCCAGTGGGAAATGTCCTAACCAGCGTGTCATTGAGGGCACGGACCATCATTTCCCCAGTCACTTCGAATTAAAGAAAACGCCGGTGCAGCATCAGCCAATGGATTTCGATGGATTTGGGTTTCTTACCCCACATGAGTTGGGTTCCAGCACATCAGGGGACCGACAGGGGATTGCCCACCCACGCGTTGTCCCTCCTCCACGAGATGCTCAAACCTTATCACCGACCAGCGAATTGATGGTGGTAGATGCCTCGACCGCCGCACTCTGCAGCAGCCACTGTTGAGGTGGTCACCAGCTAGCTATCTCCACTCTTTCACTTCTGTGTTGACCTGCCTGGCACTCGAATTGCCTTGCCACGTCTTTTCGCCATATGCGGTTTGATAACGCGTTCGCAACCTGGAGAAGTTTTCAAGTCCCGAGGGATAGGCAGAGAATGACCGAGGTTTGGGAGCTCCTATATCTCGTCTCTCATTCAAACGATGTCAAACGCAGCAAAGCAATGTTAATTTGCAGAACAGGACCGAATAAAGGGGCACTCAGCGTTCTTGAATCGCATCATTTCTACCTACTCCGTTTATGTAAGGTACCTTATGTATTGTACGAAGGTACGGATACCTTTAACCCCTTGGCAACCACTCCGCGGGCACTCCTCCAGCTACTGCCCTGGTACCGGTAGCACTTCCTGCTAATGAGGGTTAGGGTTACTGCAGCCCCCGCCCCCCCCCCCCTCTCTTCCGTAAGGGGTCGGCACTCCATCCCATACAGTATAAGGTGGGCACCTAGGCATGGATTCGAACGAATATGGGGCTGAAGCTTTGCCAGTGCCGCAGCTTAGATAGCTAGGTAGGTGTTGGGTAACGTAGGAGAGAAGGCCCGGCCCAGGCAATTTGGATGTTTGAGGTGCTGTGACAGTTCGACAGGATGATGATGGATTTGGGACACTCACAGCCGCAGCCAGAAGGCCCAGAACCCCGCTAGGGCGGCTGGGCACGTCTTTGGTTGGCCCAAGCTGAGACGGAACCCCTCCCACGACCCAATGCCCCACCTTACCGTTCAAATAAATAAGGGAAGCTCCTATCGACATGCCATCACCGCTGGTTGCCCAAACTTGCGATCAGTGGCCGACGAGATTGTATCTCATACCCTCACGACCCGGCGAGCCCGGTTCTAGCAGCCAGCACATTCATCTTCGACGTCTTCAGTCTTACTCATATTACGATTCGCCCGCCATGGCGCCCGCCGATGATGAGCTGTTGCCCGAAAACACTTCGGGTTACAAGCTCTCTCAGCCCAAGCAGAGCTTGGCTGACTACCAGAAAATGGGTAAGTTCCGGGGAGGAAATGGAGGATTGATCGATGTCTTTGCAATTCTTGTAATGGACTCTATTATTGTGAAATCACCTTGAGCAAGTGCCTCGTCGCCCGCCTCCGCTTGTCCTCGCGCCGCCGTTCCTCTCCACGACCCGCAGAACCTTTATCGTTTTCTCTTGCCTCGTCCGCCACTCCATCTCGATCTCCGTTTCCGCTCAGTTGATGTATGCCCCCTCGATCGTCAATCATATCGCTCTACATATTCTCTGAAAGTCAAGCCGCAAGCGGCGTCGACGTTTGTCTTCCCATCCCCTGTCCCAGGGCACTTGTCTCCTCCTCAACAATTCAGCGACATCTCTGTGTCGGTAACCAATCACCACCCTACTCGAACCACCAATTGCGCTCTTAACCCAGCCCGTCAATTGTTGGAATCTCAAACCCTCGGTCGGAAATTTAACAACATGTCCCCCCCCTCCACAACTGGTCCAAAAGTAACCTTTCTCGACCCGGAGTCACGACAATTTCGCAATGGTCAAGACGCCTTGACGAACGGAGAGATTGGAGGATACACCCATGGAGCCGTTAAGCTCTATCCCTTTACGAGACATGGTTCTCCTTATCCAGGCGCTCAGCCAATGAACGACATGGCCGAGGACCTGCTCGAGGATGAGTGGGAGCCTCTGGCTTGTGTGCTGCAGAAATCGCGCAGCTCCGCTTCATCCTTGCGCAGCCTGGTTTCTTCAATGCGTACTCTTTATCGCCGTCACACTGACAAGAGTTTCACGTCTTCAGATGCCGAAGATGAGTCGCTCCAGCGCTACAAGCAGTCGCTTGGACTGGGTGGCGGGAAGGATCTCTCGGACCCGAACGATCCCCGGGTGTGCATCATCCAGTCACTCACCATGGAATCCCCCGGCCGTGATCCTGTTGTTATCGATCTCACGACCCCTGGTAGTCTCGACACCCTCAAGAAGAACCCCTTCAAAATCAAGGAGGGCGCGACCTTCACAATGAGCGCCACGTTCAAAGTCCAGCACGAGATTCTCAGCGGTCTGCACTACGTCCAGGTTATCAAGCGTAGTGGCATTCGTATCCCGCACGGCAAGACGGACGAGATGATTGTAAGCGATTGACATACCGTTCCCATACGCTGCTGGATGGAGCAAGGATCCTAACACAGTTCACTTCACAGGGCAGCTACGCTCCAAATACCGACAAGCAGCCTGTCTACACCAAGAAATGTAGGTTACCTTTCCCATTTTCCCTTCTCAACACCCTGCTAATAATCCCGGCATCAAGTCCAAGAAGAGACAGCACCGACCGGGTGGACTGTTCGCGGCACGTACACCGTTAGCTCCAGTTTTGTGGACGATGACAAGAAGACACATCTGCAGTTTGACTGGGCCTTTGAGATTACGAAGGACTGGTAAACGTCTTGACAAGCAGCGTCTTGCAGTATGCTCCGATCTACAAAGAAACCGAAGCTTTCCCGAATATGCATGGTTCATACTAGACTTTGTTGGGTGGTGGATGAGGCTTTGAACATTGTCCCGCTGTGTCGGGAACGCGAGCACCGAGCGGGAATTTGGAGAGCTAGGTGGTGAATGGAGGAGCCTTATATCGCAGTCATGCTAACTCTAAACGTGGATTGGAGAGCCGGGTAAAGTTCACTCATTTTCTCGTCCATTGCTGAGCGCAACCAGAGGGAGGTATGGAGGTACCACATTACTGCTTGCTGCAAATACCCCAAACTCGCGGATATTGCGCATCTTCTTCTCGAGACAGGGAGAACCCTGTACCTTTCGCGCTCCGTCTCAGCCTCTCTAGCCCTAGGCACAAGCGGATCGTCGTGTCATAGACAAGAATAACACAAAACGTCAAAGAGCGATGACCCGGGCAGTTCTTATGGCGGGAGGACTAGCAAAATGCATTTCAAAGCAGCATACAAGCCATTGGCGGCGAGGCGCCGAGTTTGAAAACCCCTCTTGGTATCATCATTCATCGTAACAGCCTATGCTATAAAACATTCCGAGGCAAGTGCTGTAATCATTCCTTCCATATACAATCAGCGGCAGCATGCATTGCTCGCGCATATCACAAAGGATCAACCGTCAAGCCACATCCTCAACACACCCTTTCCCATTCTGGGAAATCTATAAGAAGTAATCCGGCAGGGCGCCTCCGTCGGCTGTCTTGTCCCCACCGGCCATCTGGGCGTCCTTGACCTGGTCGTTCTCGGGCGCCGCGGCAAAGACGTTGAAGAAGCGCTCGCCAGTGTCGCTCACCTCGAGGACGCTGGCCATGTTGCCGCAGCGGTAGCAGTAGTTTGGCGCGCTCCAGACGGTGCTCAGCCGGTCGTCGTACAGCACCTGGAAGCCCTCCTGGCAGAGCTGGTGCGCGCGCAGGATGTGGTTCATGTTGTTGACGGCGAGGAACTTTTTCACCACTTGCGCGCCAAACGTGTAGCCGGCGCCGCGCGGCGAGAGGGAGAACTCGTCGCGCTCTGGGTCCGGGTCTGACCAGACCAGGTCCGCCATCGGCCCCTCGTGGGGGATCTCGCGGAAGCGGTCGATGATTTTGATTTGGTCAATTGAGTGGATCGAGGGGGAGAGGCCTGGTTTGGGGGGGGAAGTTAGGGCGGATAGTCGACAATGGATAAGAGAAAGGAGGGTGGCTTACCTCCATGCACACAGAATATTTGGTCATTGATCACCACGCTCAGCGTTAGGAAGTCGAACATATCCGTGAAGTAGTGCCACACGTTGGCATTGCCATATTTGCGAGAACATTCTGTGTAAAAGCCGTATGACTGCGTGACGCCTCGTGACTCGTGGTTCCCTCGTATCAAATGGACGCGGTTGGGGTATCTCAATTTTAAACAGACAAGAAGAGAGATTGTTTCGACGCTAAACATGCCCCGGTCGACATAGTCGCCTGATTGTTTTTGCGGTGCCTGTCAGCACCGAATTGTGACTGATAAGAAGTTGATCGGAGGAATGACGCACCTAGGAAGAGGTAGTTCGTATCCGGGCACCAGCCGCCAATCTTGAATATCTCGATCAGGTCGTAAAATTGGCCGTGGATATCGCCCACGACAGTGACGGGCGCGCGGACATGGACCACATTGCTCTCGCGCATTAGCAGCTCCTTGGTCTTTGCGCATATTGCTTCGATAACCGACTCGGCTAGAAGTTCCTTCTTGTAGAGACGCGAGATACACTCGTCAAGGTCCACGGAAGCTATAACATGGCGAGTCAGTGATGATGTTCTGGTACGTAGATGGCAGGGTCATAATAGTCCGCCGAGCAGGAACGGGCCCGTTACCGAATTGCCAATTCATAGACAGGGCGACTTACAAGGGAGTCCGGGCATTGTAAAGGGGAGGCGATGCGGACAAGAAAAAGTAGCCGGCGTGCTCCAAAATCAGGGATCGCAAAGGGGGCGACTGCTTCTCCCAAGTCGAGCGAAGTCAATGGTGAAGGTGCGTTGTATTCTGCGAACCAACATATTCGGAGGACGTGTCACATCGAAAATGGGGGTTGAAAATGCCAATATTTCGCAGCCTTCGCCGGCATTCGTGTATAGGATCTGGCAGGAACGAGAGCTATACAAGGCGTGTCATGGCGCCCAGGCCATGAGAGGATGAGCGAACCATCCTGTACGAGATTCCTTTTGGGTGACATGCAACGAAAGCCCCACTGTGGCCGACAGCGCAAGGCGACAGCGAGCAGACGCCACTGTGATATTTTGGTTGGAGCGGATTAACCTCGGAGAGGGTCCTTGATGGATCCGTATCGATAAGCCAGAAACCCCACCTGGCAGCTGCACCACACGTGCCGCAGAAATTCCCCACTTGAGCACTGGGGAAGACATTTCATTCAAAAGCAGACCACTTCCCACCCACTTCACCTGCTCTGCTTCTTCCTCAATTCTCCCGCTCTTGTTCACCCATGCCGCTTCTCATACACTGGGCCCAATCTGCGCTGACCAACCCGCAGTGGCCTTCTTCGATGACGATTGTGATTCCAGCGCAGGAAGTTTACACCCAATGTGTCGAACTCAGTCCTCCTAGGCGTTGCAGGTTCCATAGATGGGCCCGCAATTCTTTGCCCTGGTGTTCCAACCTGGAACTACATTATTTTCGCAGCTTGGTCTGGCTGGAGCTAGGTGTTTTCTTGCTGCTTTTCAATTCTGTCTGGTCATTGCTGGTCGTATCGGTTCGTGTCCCTCAACTTTCTCTTGCAGAGACTACCGCTACACAAGCCTCCCTCTATTACCTAGTCCAGGCCGAGGCTCAATCTCGCCACGTAGATGGAGGATAGGTTCGCGGAGGTTTTAGCTTCTTGTCTCATGTCTCTCTCGCATGTTTACTACGTCCCTCCGGCATAGTCCATGCTTCTCTATCGAGTTGCCACCCCCAGATCCAGGGACAAGGAGAACCAAGTTCCACGGTCTCAGGTGTTGGCTTCGTGTGTCCTTGAACCCTCTGTCCTGCCTCAGCTGTTAGCGGCTGAGGGTTCCAATATTGCTTGGTTCATGATGTAGCCGCCCTTGGTGGCCCCTTCTCTTTGCAAAGGCAACAGCCGATAGTAGTCTTACAATAGTAAAATGCTTTGCACTTCAGTTGCAATCATCTCTCCAATGTCGCAGCTTACCTAGACGAAGCGAAGACCATACTGTGTTTAACGCACGTGACCGCGGAGCCAATGTCAGCCTGCCCCGCGAAGGCGGCTGAAAGCCCAAGCGCCTTCAACTGCGACCTCTGAAATTTAGGTTGGAATTCGTTGCAAGCCACAGTCGCAACAACATTTTGGTTCAGAGTTCAGACTGCAACAGGCGAAGCGGGCCCTTATCATCTCTTGTTTCTTGATGCTCCAGCCTTATCGTTGCTCACCTGGGATTCAGGGACGAGGACCCGGAGGGCGAACGGACATCGTCGGCCGCGAGACGGGAGGAGCCGGCGTTGCGTGAGCGGAATCCCTACCCGTCAACGCGGCCCGCTACCGATTGCGCGTTGCAAGTTACAGGCAGTGGGTTCAGGGATTGGCGACAGCAAACTTCGTGAATAGGTATTGTTCCGCCTGAAGGACATTCCATCTCAATTGTCCAGACTCGCGTTTGAGTTCAGCCCAGACAATCCCGTCGTCCCGCAATCGGCAGCCAGGCGCTTTACCCATGTTCCTCACTACCTGAATCTGGTCATTCCAACATCGATTCAGTTCATAATACAACAGCCGACTTTCTCATAGCTCGTCAAGATTGAGCTCCCAATCTCATTCTTGAGACTATCCATTTTGCCCACCTCACTTGTCTCTCATTATTTGACACCCTTATACCCACCGCCCTGAGCTGGCGCCATCATGACCAGCACAGCCCCTGGGCAGTCGGCTCCCCAACAGGAACCGGTGTGTTATAATTGCGGCACCAGAGGCCATTGGGTAGTTGCTTGCCCAGAACCTACACGGGCGGTTCCCGCGTAAGTACTTCCCTACAAACCAAATTATCCCATTCGTTGCCAGTTTCCATGGCATCGAATTCCATCTCAACTTTTGGCAATATTGTTCGCTAACAAAGCTCCAGTGGTCTCCAGCAATGGCAGTCGCAGCATCAAGATCGCAGCCAATCTGAACGGAATGTCTCGTCCCGCGAGAAGAAAGGCCGTCCTTCCATAACCCGTTACGGCCAGCCTCCGCCCCCAAGTTTCCCCCCTGGTGTGCTGCCGCCGCCGCCGCCACCACCACCACCACCGCACGGGTATTCGCAGCCGGGTTATCCTCCCGCTCCGTATGCCGGATCCTATCCCCCCGCGCCACCCTCGGCAAATTACGGACAGCCTTCAGGCGCTGCCCCGCCACCGCCTCCTTATGGGCAGCCCCAGTATCCTGCGCCGTACCCTCCGTCGCTGCCGCCGAGCTACTACCCTAGCGCCCTTCCGTATCCTCCCCCCTCGGTTCCGCCTCCGCCTCCACCTTTTGCTCCTGGCACCTACCCGCCTCAGCAATATGGGCCGTCTCCCCAGCCGCCCCCTCCCGGAACAGGCCATTACCCCGCTCTACATTCAAGCCCACCACCTCCACCGCCCGGTAGCTACCAATACCCTCCGGGACCGCCGTTGCCATATGGAACACCGCCTCCCGGTGGGGGCCATTACCCTCCTGCTCCGGGGTGGAGTCCGCCGCAGTATGGCCCTCCGCTACCGCCTCCCTCGGCGAACCAGATGCCGTCGGGGACTCATCGTGGTAGGAGTCACAAGAACCAAGCATCTAAGCGGTCCAACCACCGGGACAAACACCGCTCCGGGAATGAGAAGCGTGGGAAAAGCGGGTTCTCTCGCAATGAGCGGCAGCAAGAACGGCAATCTAAGCAAGACGAACCGACATTCAAGGCTGAAGACTTGCAGGCACCGGCGTCACCGGCTGAAAAGGAGACGGAGGAGGATGGGGAGTGGAATCCCGAATCCGAAGAAGATTTGAAGCAGGTATTTCCAGAGATCAAAGCCAAGCTAGCCGACCCCGTCGGTATCCCCCTGCCTCCCGAGTATACCGACGACCCGACCATTCCACCAGCATACAACGCGACCTGCATTAAATCCGCCTTCTTCAACGAGGGCAATCAGGACGAGTTTTCGTTGTCAATCAGGGACAGCCGGCATTGGGCTACGCTCAAACATGACCCGGCTTTCAGGTATTATTCAGGGATGATCATGAGGCGGTTTGCAGGGAGCGAGCATGAGTATCCAACCTACGAACCGTGCGATCCACCAGCGGCTTCGGCTCCTATCAAGATGCCGCCTCGCTATCAGATAGACAGGTCCGCACTGAAAGGAATGGAACAGAGAGCCTTCGCCGACCGTGAACCCAGTAGCAACCGCAATGGTTACACGCCTCATCGTTCGCCTCAGGACTACAGGTCTCGTGACTCGGGTCGTGATCGGCCAGATAGGAGTGACATGGAAAACCGGCGACACTCAAAACGAGCCCTGGACGCCGCTTTAGAGAACGACCAAGATGAACGCAGTCTCAAGAGAGGAAGGTGGTCTGAATCTCGGCAAGACAGGTCTCGTGAAAGTCACGGTCGAACAAATTCGTCTCCGCGAAGACGAAGCCCGTCGCCCAGGTTTAATCTTGAGGGCGATCCTTGGTCACCACAAGCGGGTGAAAGCCGTGCCAATGGGCACCGGTATTCAGATCCGCACAAGGGCGATACCCCGCCGTCTTCTCGGGAGGAGAGGGTGTCGTACGCTGACAAGCGGCACGATAGCGGCTACTACAGTGGCGATAAACAAACTCGGCCGCGCCGTGACAGCGAGCGGGAGCGCCGAGCGCCGAACCGGCCCTACCAAAGGCGCAGAACGCCCTCCCGCAGCCGCAGCCGCAGCCTCAGCCGTAGCCGCAGTCGCGCTTCTTCTCTTGATAGGAGTCATCGGGGCCGCAGCGAGTCACCTTTAACGGCGCTCGAGGCAGAGTTGCTCGGCTTGACCGAGGAAGAACCTCGCGAGCTCAAGCCTAAGGCCAAGGTGATGGCAAAGAAACCCATCAGGAGAGTCAAAGTTGCGGCAGCATTTGGGTAAGAACACAAGCACACCCTCTACCACACTGTGGCCCCTCTTCTGGATTGGTTGACTAACAAAAAGCCGCAGTCGTCGGTGGTGATCACGAGCGTAAGGACTTCTATCTAATCATTCCTAATGTGTCATGATGAGTTATGACAGGCTGCGTGGTATTTCCACTGTCCTACATGGCGTTTGATGCATGGTAGGGTGGTGAACCATTAGAGTGGCGTTTTTTGACAACGGAGCCTTGGAGTTCTGGCCAGTTACCCTGGTGCATTGTGGTCCGTAGAGGCTACTTGGTGGGTTTCAGGTTGTGAACACGGTTTAGTGTTCTTGTTGACATCTACTGTTTGAGGTGAAGCATTTTTGATTGATGTTGCGTTGGGAATAAGGGATGATTCAACGGTCTTCTGGCGGGCGGGCTTGGTCCATTGGCATTTTGCTACCGGGAAAGACAATGCCCTTGTTAGATAGGTAGTTGAATGCAGCTGGATGTCAGAACAGTGTGCTTGACGGATTTGTCCATTCAGTGGCAATGTCACCGTTACCTACCTACTCGGTATAGCATCTCAACAAGTTCCATCGTGGTTTCTCAAGCGTCCCCCGTGAGACTTGAGCTCTACTCATGCTATCTTCACACAGTTCTAGATGCAGTCTGTGGAGGTGGCCTGTACTAGTATATTAGACCTTCAATTGCTAACCCCGAGCGTGGTTCAAGTAGCCTCACTACAAGTCTGATTCCGCCCCTTCTTCACTGCTGCTCACTATTCAGGAACAGTTCATGTTCTCACCTGCACAGCCCACCTCTCGCAGAACACCATCAATATTCCCCAAACAGCATTATCCACGTTCAAGATCAGGTAGGTCTCTACAAGAGCCGTATTTTAACATTACCAGTCGCCCTTGACGGTTCAACAAGGTCCTCGCATGTCACCACATTCGCCGACTTATCTACTACTACCAACCCTCCAACGCACACACTGGCAGCACGCAAACAGACAACATAGCACGGGAGAAGCATCGAAGCATCATCCACCATGACGATCGCGTCCACCTTGGCAGAGTATCTCCTCCCGGCAGCGTTTGGCGGCGGGGCTAAGCCGCCCCCTTACAACAAACTGGGCCGGGTTCAAGGAACCGTCGAGACCGAGACGGTGCGGCTACGCGATACTGACGGCGGGCCTATCCTGAAGACGGGGGAGGGCTACTACGCCCTCCTGGAGCGTAAGGAGGAGCCAATTGCCAGTGGCTCGTGCAGACCCAAGCTGCCGTCAGGGAACAAAACCGTGGATGATGGTGCTACTGACTCCAGCGATGCTAGTCTTAGTGGTGGTGTGAGGAGAAGAAGAAGAGGCGGGAGTGAGAGTTCAAGCGCCAGCTCAGGCTCGGTCTCAGTCACCGCCCCGTTGAGGTTGAGCCCGGATGGTCGCACCCCATCGTCAGAGTCGATCTCTAGTGTGGGGAGTATTGAGAGTGGCAAATGAAACAGTAGGCCTATGAGCGGTTCTGCTGCGTCTTGGATAGGAGATGGTTGGGAAGGCGAGACTACGGGTTCGCTGTGTATATGAACCTCGCTCTAGGACCTAGGTGTAATACTACTAGTGTTGTCTTTCTATGAAGCAAGTAAGTTAAGTGCGAAACTGACCCAGGAGAGAACATAATGTATTTCCAAGGATGATTCTTACTTTTACTAATCCATAACATCCATTGCTGTTAACTGAAGGAACTTAAGGAGCGTACCTAGTCCTACTGGGTCTGTAGGATTCAGGAACCTTCTGTGTGACTGTGTAGTGATACTAGTACTACTAGTCTAGTAGTCTGTGTCCTCGACTCCTCGTTTTGAATTCAAGGTCACAAGACCACCTCCTTACCCTAGCAACCTAGCTTTCTCGAATATACCAGTCACCAGTGCTACATCTACCAACTCACATGTTGATCAGGCCAAGTATTCAGACTTCAACATGGAACTGCGTATTTCGGGTAGGACAGGACTGCGTAAAATCTCTAAGTACATCTACAGTACTTGGCAACTTAGATGACAGCAGAATAGCAAGATATAAGTCAGCCATAAACTTACTTGCCTAAGGTATTCATAACTTAACAGTTAACACAAGCAAGACGTGTCCCAAAAATGTTGGAAGTTGCTGGGATGAAGAACAGGAATCACCTGTAAGGTACTAGGGCTGCATATGGCCTCCACTTCGTTGATTTGTCCCGGCCAGTGAGAGAAGGAACTACCTTGACCGCTGGTTTTCTTAGGGATCCGCCTGATAGGTTGGAATTCACCTTCCCTGTTTCTACGCCGATTTCTGCTCAAGCAATCCAGAGTGCACTGGCAGTTATGCCTTGGCTACTAGTAGCCCAGAACATATAAGCAACACGCAGCATACTGCCGGACGCCCTATAGACGAAGCCCAACTTGGACATTTGCCAAGTTGCTTCGCGCCCTTTACAGCCCTTACGGCCTTTCAACCGCTACCGATTCATGGAGCCGCTGCGCTAGTACAATCCGCCAAGCAAAGATATGACCGAAGCCTTTCACGAATCAGATAAAAGGTTACCAGGTCACCCGATCCCCTAGGTCAATCTTCACTCGAACCAGTTTGCCGGCCTTGCTTGCCTTCCTCCGACTTCTGAATCAACGCCATGACGGGAGCAGATCCCCTATCGCTTGCGACAGCCATCAAAGGGTTGCTGCCCTTAGTTGAAGGTGAGTGACGCACCCTTCGACTCCGAGGAGCATAGACTGACTCGTCTTTCTAGAGGAATTCGCGCTTATTCGCGATGCATTCATATCTGACAGAGAGCTGCGCTTCCACCTCGGGAGAGTCGAGCTGCAGAAGGTGGTCGGTAACCCGTCATGGCCCGTCCGATTTCCGTATCACAAGAATGCTCTCTCACACATCCACCATAGATCTTTCAAGCATGGCAAAATGGCTGGATGGACTCGCGTGAAAGGCCCGATCAGAAGCTTATGGATTTTGCAATCGCCAAACCTTTCTTAGCCGCCGAAATCTTGCAGCAGCTATTTCTTTTCCTTCGGAGTTTCACGGACCCGGACAAACTCCAGAAACGTTATGGACTGAGCGTCCAGTCCGCTGCCGCCAACAGGCTTGGCGACCTGGCCGCTGATATGAATCGTGCGGCAGGGTATCTTTATAATTTCGACAGCCTCCGTCTCACAAGAGAATATGCGATGACTTTCGAGGAGGATCTGGCAAGGCATCTGGATTTCCTACAAAAGATCCGCTTCCTCCCAACGGCCACCGAACACGAAATCGAGAGTATAGTTGCACGACTAGACGAGTTGAACCACAGGCTCCAACTGTTCGCCGCAGATAACCTTCGGGATCGACGGGTCTTTGAGCTAATCGTAAGGGACATCAAAGGGGATCCTGACCGAGCTAAGCGGCTTGCAGAGGCAGCTGCCTATGAATCAAAGTACTCCCTGAACCCCGAGGCTAAGCAGACGTTGGACGACTGGTCTAAGTTTGCAAACTTCAGTCTTGCTCTGCAGTCAGCCAGCGCCGACGCCATGTCCCGCAAAAAGATCTTCAGCCGGAGCGACTTCTCCTTTGACAGCCCGTTCAAGATCAGCGCCAACTCAACACTGGCCCGTCTGTTTGACTATCCTACAAAGTATCAAAGCCGTTTAGTCCTTGTCGAGTGGGTGAGAATTCAGGCTGCCAAGATGCCATCCATCGCAGCAAAGTTAGATGAAATGAAGATCGCATGGTACGTGCTCCATGCCGAAAGGCCGGAGAAGATGCTGTTGCCGGGCTCCATTGGGCTTATCTACGATGACTCCGAGCCTCAGGAGATCGGCTACGTTTTCCAGTTACCGTCACATATCCGGAGCAACCTCCCCACGAAGCATGCCACAGGGCCCTCGGGAGACATTGGCCACCGAGTTGTCCGCTCATCAATGACCATTGCGGCACAACGGATGCCTACGAGCCTGAGGCAGTTGATCAAGAAGGAAAGCAGAGGTCTGGATCTTGGAATCCGCTTCACCATAGCAAAGAAACTTCTCGATTCCCTGCATCTAATGCATGCCGCCGGTTTTATTCATAGGTGAAGCCAGCTCCTGAGTCCTCCTTGATAGTGCGCAGACCTAACATGCATGTCCTAGAAATATCCGCCCTGATAACATCCTCTTGTTCCCCTCCAAAAGCCCCCGTGACGGAGAGCCCGATCCAGCAGCCCTCGACTTCGCCAACCCGCTTCTCGTCGGCTTCCATCACGCCTCGCTCGAGATCGAGGTTCCTCCTCAGGAACAGCACAATAAGCCAATCGAAGGCTTGAAGCCCATCCTCAAGAACAAGAACCCGGCTCGCGTCGTCGCCATCGACTGTTATCAGCATATGGACCGCCGCTTAGATCCCACTTGCCCATATCGCCGGCGGTACGACCTCTACGCCATCGGCTGTGTTCTGCTCGAGCTCGGATTGTGGGAGACTCTGGATTGCGTGAGCGGAAAGGACATTGCCGCGAGGGCCTGCCATCCGACCATTCAGGCGGCAGACGAGGATATTTGGTTGGATGCAAGAATAGTGTGCGAGGCGGCCAGCCAGTTGGATAGGTAAGTGCGGACTTCTGGTGCCATCTCTTTGACAGACAAGGCATAAAGCTGACAAGGATGCTGCGGTAGCATCACGGGGTCTATTTATGCCAATGTGACGAGAGAATGCCTGTTACAGAGCCCGGTGACTGTGGACATTGTGGAATTAGAAAGAGAATTGGCCGGGGCTCTGTCCAAGTGCCATGCCTGATGGTATCTACGGACCCAACGGCGTCCGCGCTAGCTTTTGGGGAGGACAGGCTTGCGGCATGTTCAAGGCGTTTGGACCCTTGTTCTTGCGATAGGACGCGAGCGGACGGTCCCCTTATCGAGAGCAATCTCGAGCTTTTAAAGCTCTCTCAGGATGTGGTTCGGTGTCCCGTGGAGGTATCCAGCATCGCTACTGCTCTAGGTCGCCCACACATGTGGACTAATTGGATGATCGGCCTCAATGATCTCAGTAATTCTTTGGTTCTGTACGAGGACATGCTAGGCGTTCAGAAGTGTTGGTATCCAACCTCCACATGCTCTAAGACGGCCTCAGAGGCTGGGTTTCTTGCTCATCACCACTTTCCACATCCTCACTCTCATCCTCCTCGTCCTCTTCTTCCTCTTCCTCGTCCTCGTCTCCTACCTCCTCCTCTTCCTCACTCTCCTCCTCCTCTTCCTCCTCACTCTCCTCTCGGTTACCAACCCCTGCATCAACCGTGGCCGCAACCTCATCCTCAGCCAGCCAATCATCCAGCGTCTTCTCCCCCACTCCATTCGCCCCGGCACCCACACCTGTCGAGGGCACGGCCCTACTGATAGAAGACGAAGACCGAGCAGATGTGTCCAACCTTTCCCCACCAATTCCAACACCGCCAGGCCCCTTCGTCCCCGCAACCTCTCGATCCCCCTCGCGATCCCTAAGCTTCGGATCCGGCTCCCGCCCCTCCTCCACCCAGGGAGGCAGATCCTCATAGCCCCTGAGCCCGTGCACGCCGCCGCCGCCAGCGAGCACCAGAGCGGAAGAGCCCAGCGTGAATCCGCGGCGGGCCTCAGACGGGGAGGGCGCCTGCGGGGCCGGTTTCGGGGCGAGCAGCATCAGGGTGGCGAGCTGCGGGACCGAGAGCAGGGCCTTGTACAGCCTGGTGCGGTCGCGCAAGTCGTACGAGGTGTCGTAGCGGGCGAGGAGGAGTACGTAGGACCACAGTCTGGCCGCTGGGTGGGGGTCGTCTTCGAGAAGTTTCGGGATTTCGGATGGTGATGATGGTTCTTCTTGGCTTTGGGACTCTCCGAGCTGGCGGTTGAGATGGTGCAGGTATACCTTTGCGGCCAGGAGCACGATCTGGCGCTTTGCAATCTCAGATTCCGAGGCAAAGTCCTTGAGCAGGATCCGCAACACGTCGGCGGCAATGTTGTCTTCCCCATTGAGCCCCGAGAACTCGCCGACTAGCCAGATGATGGTGGCGCGGGCCTGCGGATCAGTGGCCGAGTCGAGGTTTTTCGCGAGGCGGACGACCGTCGCAACGTGTGCGGTCGGATCCTGCTGGATGAGGTGGCGGATGACTGTTAGGCTTTCGGCGGCGAGAGTGCCGTCTAGACTGGTGATCTGGCCGAGTAAAAGTCGTAGGCATCGGGGCGCGGTTGCGGTGTCAGCTTGAGCGCATCTCCCGATGGCTCGAACAGCCTCCCTGACAAGGGCCTTGTCGGAGCCGCGGCTAAAGTGTTCCAGCTCGTTGAGGATGAGGCTTTTCACGTGGGCAGGGGCGTGGGGGAAGATGAGGGTGAGCAGCTCGAGCTTGAGCTCCCACACAGGTTGTGTGTCGGTTGCGCGGACAAGGAAGTGAGTGGCGTACTTGACGAAATCGGCGGGGTAACTTAGGCATATTGAGACGATGTTGAAGAGGGCGACCTGCTGGATGTCCTGTCCGCTGCGGAGCAGGGCGATCAGGGGGCCTATAGCTGATTTCACGTATGCAGGGGTGCCGACGGCGGAGTAACACCGCGCGACCGCAACAACGACGCCTGAATTGCGAGATTGCAGCAGAGGCTTGATGCTGGTGAGCAACAGCTCGAGATCGGGATCGATAACCAGCACCCGCTCGCCTTCTGAGTTGGCGTCAGTCGCTTCGCCATAGAAATCCTGCAGCTCGGCCGCCTTCTCTTTGCTTTTGGCCGTCTTTGTCCGCCTCGGAAAGCATTTGCGTGCGTAAATGGTCATTAGGCGCAGCGTGGATAACTGGCTCCACTCGTCCATATCCACGATCATCCGGACCAGATTCCTGTAGTGCTTGTGTATCATGTCCACTCTCTGGGGGCAAACCTCCATAAAAGCCGTAACAGCCGCGCCAGCCACATAATACTGCTTATCGCCCAGCAGAGTCGAGAGATAATCCAGCAGCTGCGGCAGCTGGGAAGGGTCGAGGCGATAGCATTTGGGGATGGCCAGGGCCGCAGAGCGACGAACGTATGGGCTCATGTCGCCGGCAGCCTTCCTGATGGCCAGCGATACGATTTGGCTGATTACGGGCACTCGTATGCCCGACATGGTGCGCAGCGCCAGCGCCCGCACCTGCGGGTTCGTATCGGAGAGCGATTTCTGGATTGTATTGATAGAGAGCAGGGCGAGGTCGGGCTCCTGTTCGGCATGGTGGATGAGATAGATGTAGACGAGTTTCTTGATCTCGAGATTCGGCGACGCGACGTTTTTCACAACGGACGAAAATAGGGGCAATGTCTTTTGCGAGCGGTACATCATCTACGCAGCGGTCAGTGGACGAGAGCGCCAATGGTGCTCGTAAGTGTAACCAACCGAAACTACCCGCCGCAGGCCATCAAGCACCTCCCTCTCATTCCGACTATCCAGCAACTTCTTCACCTGGGTCCGGTCGAGCGGCTTGGACGAGCTCCGCACGCTCCGGGCAACCGAGGCAGCATCGAGGGTCAGTTCTCGGGCTATAGGGGGGACAGAGTTAGTGACGGCGAACCGTTTTGATGCTTCTACGAAAAAAGAATACATACCATTCTCGAGTAGACTCGAGATCCGAGCTATTGACTCCATTTTGGGTGGCTGCTGCTGCTCAGTCGTGAGCCCCGAGCTCTCAAATGTCGTGTGCACACAAACCCAGTTGGATGTCTCCGTACAGCGGAAGGTGGGATTGGGTTAGTGACGTGATCTGGATCCTGAGCCCCAGGAATTGGCGGGGCAGAGCTACCCACAGGCGCTAGGTATCCGTAGTCAGATTACATATGCGCTTAAACCCCACCAACGTTGAAGCGGGGCACATGTTCACTTAACTAACTCTTTTGCGGGTCGGCCCGTCCAGGGCTTGCCGATCGGGCGATCGAACGAGACCACTGCAAGTCCCAGCCCCCTGGCGATGCAAGCAATTTCCGGGGAATGGAGGGTTGAAGATTCACTTGGGTTCTTGGCCCTGCCGCATGTGAAGACCGCAGCACATGAGCAGGATGCTAGATCCTAGAGCTGCTGGCTGAATCCTTCATCTGTTCATCACATTCATCAACGATTCACAAAAATGGACCCTCGCCCGCATCCCGTGTTTCTCTCCCCCTCCCTGCCATCCGAATTGCTCCACTATGTGACACAGCACTGTAGCTACCCTACCACACTCGTCATCTGCTCCAGCCGATCCGACTTTCTCTCTTCGCTCACGCACGACATCATCCTACATCAGCAGCAGGAGCACGACCAGGCCCCTCACCAACACCGGCCTAGCGATAGCGATAGCCCGAATCAGCCCACCGCGGTGAAGCCGGGCATTGCAGACCCAGATCCAGACCCTTGCCCAGGAGAGCAAGAGCAAGAGCAAAACCAAGACCAATCGTCACCACGTCCCCCGGACAGGCAACCTCCCATCAACCCCTGCCCTCCTCCCCAAAACATAACCACCCATCACCACCACCACCACTACCATCATCATCACCACCCTCTCCTGACCTCCACCCTCCAGCAGACCGCCACCGCCCGGCACATCCGCACAGTCTTCACCCCAACCGTCACCCACCTGCGCGCCTTCCTCTCCGTCTTCTCCCTCCGTTCCAGCACGGTCCGGCCACCGCCACCACCGCCACGACCAGCGAGGACCACCACCAGCATTAATACCTCACAAGACGAGTCGGAACCGCCACCCCTCCTCCTGGTGTACGGCTTCCTCGCCCTGCACCGGGACACCAGCGAGTGGAGCGTCCAGGGCATGAGCAGCAGCGCCGCGGGACTGGTGGAGGCGGCTGCGCAGGAGGGGGTTAGGGCGGTCATCTGCGAAGCACCGGGCAAGCCAGGGATCACGAGATATAACGGAGGGGTTGGGGAGGAGGACCTGCTTGAGGAAAGGGTGCCGGTTTTGAGTGCCGGGTTGAGGAGGGGGTTGGTTGCTGGGGACAGCGGCTGGGTTGGGAAGACGGTGGAGGTGAAGCGGGTCCTGGCGAGGTGGTTCCGGTTTGAGGAGCCAACATGGATGCGGGATGGAGAGTGAGATCGAGGACGGGGGTACGCAAGTTGCGATGCGGTGGGTGGGACCGTTTCGTGCTGAAAGTGTGTACTTGTACTGTACATAGGTACGTCGTGTACGTGAAGAGAATACAGAGTGAACGGTCATGCACTGCGTTTCCCCGAGCCGCCCAAACGCCAGCGCCGTCCCATGGGTATCCTGGAAAGAGCCCTCCCGCCGTGCGCGACCAATCCAGCCGTCCATCCAACCAACCCAAACCGGATTACCACATCAACTCCAACGAAAAAGAAGCGGTGACATGATTGACTCAGATGGCCTGTTCCATCTCGGTGATGTACAGCTTTATGTGAGCCTCCAATTTGAGGTACTCGTCATGAGCCGCGTGGACTTCGTTCTCAATGCTTTCTTTGAGATCGAGCATCTAGTAAAATGTTAGTGGGCTCTAAGCGTAAATATGAGCCAGCATTTGCCACGTACCTTCTTCTCAATCTGCTCAATCCTGACTCTTCGTCGCTCGATATCCTTGCCTTTTTCCGAACGTTCCTCGGTCAGCCTCTTGTGCACCGCCCGCAGCTCCTCCATCTTCTCCTTGGCCCGCTCCGCCTTCTCCTGGCTCTGCGCGCGCAGCGCCTCGGTCCGCTCAGTCCATTTGGCTAGCTGTCGTTGCAGGAGAGCTTCGGTCCGTTCCACCTCGCGCACGCTTGCGCCGCGCTCCGTAAGGGCGTCCCGCTGCTTCGCGTTCTTGGCGTTGTCCTCCTCCTCCTTGGCCAGCTCTACCGCAATCTCCTCCAGTAGCTTGATGCAGGACGCCACATCGGCCGTGACTACGGCAAAGGAGTCGGTCGACGTCTGGAGCGCCCGTGCTCGTCGGTCTAGCGAGTCGATTTGTGTCTTTTCGGCAGTGAGGGTGTTGCTCAACTCGGTCAAACTCGACTGTAGCGCTTGTGGGCTCTGTAGGGTGTATGGTCGCAGCTTGGCGCTATCCTGCTTGAGCGCCAGCTTGGCTGCCGTCTTCTCCTCCAGTTCGGCAGCGAGCTCGCTCTTCTTTTCCTTGGCCTCTTCCAACCGGGCAGCCACCTTCGTTTGGTTTCGCTGCAGCTCTAGCAGTCGTTTTTTTAACTCCTCGTTCCGCCGCGTCTTCTCGGCAACCTGCAGCTCCATCTGTCTCCTGCTGGCGCGCATCTCGTCCAGCTGCGCCTCCATGTTCTGGTTCTCGACGTAAAGCTGCTCGATACGCGCCTTGGTGGTCTCTGCGCGGTTGGAATGCTCGTCAATGACACTCGTTTGGCTCTCGCGGAAGCGCACAAAGTTGATCACGTAGCTAAAAATCTTGACGAGGCGGTCATGGGTCGGTTTGTACAGATCCATAAAGTTGAAGTCGGTGACACCGCAGTCGAGCATCAGGCGGCGCAGCGAAACAAAAAACCCCATCAGGTTACGAGTGTCGGGCGGCATGAGCGCGTCGCCATAATCTCCGCACACGTTCTCGGCCGCCGCACGCATGGCCGGGTCTACGGTTTGTCGCGTCTTGTTCATGAGCAGCTCGCCAAGCCACTCAAATATCATTTGGATTTGAATAGGGTTCGGCTTCTGGAGATCGGCGATGGTGAAAGCGATTCCAAGCTCGTTGATGCAGCCGACAATTTCGCGGTCGGGCAGTCGCATGCTAGCGTAGGCCGCCTCTTCCTCTTTTTTGCGTGACCTCGACTGCTGCTGCGCCGTCGGCAGTATTGACATGCGCGGGTTGAAGGCCATCTTGTACGGTTATCCTGAGATTGCAGTTCCGGCTCATGTACGCGCCTGAAGTCGGCGAATTCGAGACGCGTGATGGGGCGTTGAGCTTCAGACCCAGCGCTTTTTTGGTGGAGTGTTGACGATGCAAAAGGTGGGGTGCGATTGGGTTGCTCGAGAAACCAAAAACCTTGCCAAGAGCGGATAGGTGGCTTATTGCATAATGAGAACTAGGTACCAGGAGTTACCGTTAGGCCGTTAAGCATACTAATCATGTACGTACATACTACGTACATACATACACTATTCGTAGCAGCCTTGGATGAATACATCGTCTTCATCATCTAAATAAGTGCTAATGTATTTACAGGTTAATCACCGGGCCGGTAGAGGTTCTCTCCGTGCAGTCACTGCACCTGCCACTAAATTCCTGGGTTTGCTGACAACTGCACTGACACCTTCCAGCAGCATGGTCGTTTTCAGTAACTGGTTGCAAACCGACATTAGGATGAGACTTGTAGTCCGTAGATGGAAGACACCAACAGCAACGCCAACCCTTTTCAGAGAACTGATAACTGAAGCTCAGGCCCATGTTTACACTACTTTATGACTGCCTCCGCGGACCGGTAGCATTTTCGTCCGAGTCTTGGCATTGGAATATTGCTGCGGCATCCCGTTTCCATCCGAACCGCGAGGGCGGCACCAGACCCGTTTGCCGTGCCGCATCCAAAGTGCTGGCTTTTCAGCCGTGGTTCCCGTTGGACCCTGAAGGAAATGACTGTGCCTCGGATGCCAGCCATCACAGCAGGGAAACGCGCAACTTTAGGATGGTATTGTACGGATACAGTACGGAGTACAGCCGTTCGTGGTAGCTGATGCGAAAGAATGCATCCAGTATCATTCGTAACATCTAGGATAGGACCTGAGGTTTTCGATCCCTAAGCATCCAAACTCCAAAGCGGACTGTGCAATCAGCCATCAATACGCCTGGCGTCGAGAACGAGAACAGCACACGTACGGAGTGTAGGGCAGGATTACGATGTGAACTCCTGGGCAGCGTGATTGGCTTTGCATTCTGGACTCCTGGAGGCAGAACAACAGAACACCGTTAGCACTGAAACAAGGGCTTTTGGAACTATTTCAGTGGAGCACACAATCATCAAACGCGACGGCATTGGTGTCGAACCAGCTCTCCTCGTAGCTATTCCCTCGTGCCCAGCAATAACGTTGAACATACAACCTCGCGTTGCGATTGGTCTACATGCTACTCGATCATTTGGAGGGCGGATTGGTGCACTCGGGGGGCAGCTGCCATCCTAACGTTACGCTAGCACGGCTAGTTTGCCTTGAGCATGGCGGTGACGGGATGCCGAGTGTACGGGTAGGTTGCCGTCGTGGCGTAGCCAATTCCGTTCGGGCCTGTGCCGTTGAGTCTGGTTGGCACTAATCATCGTTCAAGCTGCCATCTGAGCTGCCCTCTCATCCCGCACGAACCGGGGAAAACCGCTTCCTTACGATGCTGCTGGATTGGCCAGACAAGTGATGCCCTGCACTGCGCTGTACCATCGATACACGTGTCAGGCTGACAGCGGTATAACTGCACTCGATGTGCCTGCCCTGCGTCTTGAAGATACTGGTAATTATGCGGTCCTGCAGCGCCGGAGCTTTAGCTGCGGACTCCCAAGCTTCAGACGTTCAATGGTGACGATGAGATCGACAGCATATCGTCATGACTCGATTGGCTCAAGACGACAAGCGGTGCTCATTCGCGGGCTGGAATTGCTGATGGTTGGAAAGGTGGCGACTGCCCAGCGATTTGGCCTTTTTTGCCTTTGTGATGGTACGGTACGACAGCACTCACAGCAGGATAGGTACCTTAAATACCACAATATCCTCACTCTAGGTACTTGTACTGTACAGTATAGCATCTACACCCCTAAGGTAGACGGGTGCTGAGTGCTGACCGCTGGGCTACCAGTGAGAATGACTGGGAGCGTTGTACCTAGGTAGGGACTGGAATGTAACCTCGAACCCAGATACGAGAACTTCAAGTCTGCATTACATTAATAGTACGGGGATGTAAGACTCCGGCTTCGGCCAACGAGGGTCCATAACCCGGTCACATGAACTAATCCTGAAGAAGGCGCTCAAGCTCAACCCTGAAGACTAGTATCACTGGAAACCGCCGTTCACGGGATCGTCGACAATGTTAATCGGCTGCATACTTTCGAACGATAAGACGACACTCACATCAGAAGCGATCAGGGTTTGTAGCGGTGGGGATAGCCCAGAAGCCGTTGGATGCAGTGGGGCAATTGCCGAGCAAACTGGGTGTTGGTGGCTAACTTTGTATCCACTTGCAAGCTAAGCGGCTGCCCTGTTGAATTTCACGTAATTACAGTGCATACAGTACAGGACCCTGAGGTAAGGACTATGGACGCTAATGCGATCAATTGTTTAAAATCGATTTGCCGCAAAAGCCCTTCATTGCGGTGCTTATGGCGAGAAAAGTCATGGAATGATGCATCTTCCGTGTTTGACACAGATTTCAGTCCCATGGAAGCTCACCGCGAAAGAAAGGGTAGCCGTAGGAAATTTCTTCTGCTGGAGAGAGCTCGTGTGCGGTGTTGTGATGGTGATTGGGGCCTCCTGGTGGGTCACTGCCATGGAACACCGGTCCCTTTCTGTCCGTTTCCTCTGCCGTCATTCCCCACTCACTGCGTCAAGGGATGGCGCGGACAGGTGGGTTTGACAAGGAGAGCCGGGTACCTTGCTTCGCTCCATGGGGCTTGGATTTTTTTCCTTGGGATCCTCCCTGCGACCGCACGCACACCACCATCCTCTCACTCCGCATAACTGAGAACCCCTCGGGACCTCTCAGACAATTCCGCCCTCGCTGATAGAAGCAATTACCCAACTATCGAACAGTGAGCATAAACATTCGAGTCGAGACAATTCTTGTCTTATTTTCTTTCCATTATTTTCTTCTCGCACTCTCCTTACCCCACCCCCACCAGACCTTGCGCAGCCAGGTACTCAAAGATTCGACCAACCTGATTGTAAAACCTATTACAACCATACATAGCGCCGCGACATCAAGAGAACATTGTGCGCATCCGGCTGTCCGTGTCAGCCCGAACGATCTTCATTTCCGCTCGCTCCAAATCGTACAAGTTGCTGCCTTCGCGCTCGCAGTCAAAGCATGCTCCTGAGAAATCGATCGCTTCCGACGAAGTTGCCAATCGCAGAACCGTTCTCGTCGTCGAGTGGCTCGCTTTGACACCTTCAGGATGAATCCAGGTTATTCTCCTCCAAGCGCAGATCATCCTAGTCGACACAGCCGCACATCCTACCACTGGATCGTCAAAGTCTTCATACCGAATCATCGGGATCGTTGTCTCTAGAAGAAGATGGCGATGTGGCCATTTCGGCGGAAGAGCGGTCGGAAACGTGGGCGGACGGACTCGATTAATCCCGAGGATTCTGGGAGACGAAGCGGGAATCGAGAACTTCCGCCCCGTAGCCAGACGATGCCAGATATACCGATGGACTCGGTCGCGCCCGCGTTAGAACGACGCGAGACCAAGAGGCAACGGGCGGAACCAAACAAACTACAGCGCCGACCCCGAGCGTATAGCTTTTCACCCGGTCGTCACGATTCCATCCGTATCGGCAGGAAACAGAGCACTAGGACCAAGCGGGGGGGAGAAACGTCTCCGGCCGACGTCGACTTACGGATGGGAGACTACGGTAGCAGCCCGGGAGCCGATCGCGGTATGGGTGCCGTACATGATGAAATGCTGCGACGTGCCCCGACGCTTCATGGCAAGAGAGACGGCGATCATCTACCCCGAAAACTGTCAAGCAAAAAGCGGCAGAAAAAAGATCATCAACGCGAGGCCGAGATCAAGGCATTGAGCGCCTTTGCACCGCTTCGCCCTGTCGCTGAGGATTGGATGTTCGGGCGCCCAGTGAAAAAGGAGAGCAGGAGAACCAAGCTAGGGTTCGGCGGAGGCTTCAAGAACCCTGAATGGGAGAGATACAACCGTTCATCAGACATCTCGTTACCTGTTCAGGAATCCATAGATACCGGGATGTCCTCGGATTCCGATTACATTTCCTACAAAGTTTCCGCTTTGGAAGCTCTGGCTCCACGACCGACCCTGCGCTATACCACCAATACAAGGACCGGAGGGTGCGTTCGCGATGGCACGGGATTGCTCAGGCGCCCTTCCCAGCAAAAGAAGCTGTCCACACCATACCCTGAGGCCACGCTCAAAGCACACAAACGAGTTGACAGCCTCGCGGATGAGCTTAGCGCGAGTGATCTGCGTGAGCTTATGGAACGGGACCGGCGAAGGCGGGAAAGGAAGAGACAACTTGACCAGGAAAAGTTGGAACAAAAAATTGCAAGGCGCGCTGAGAAGCAAAAGGCTGCCGAAGATGAGGCACAGAGGCATGGCAGAGAATCGCCTCCAAATCTGGAGAGGGGTATCCTCGGCCGCGAAGGTGTTGGCTTGGGCATTGACCCCGCCTCCGCCGTCGTCACATCATCCAAAATACGGCGCTCGGTGGATCCGGCAGAGCAGCAGGGTGAGCTCGCGAACGAGAATGACAACCAGGTGATTCGGGACACGGACGTGCAACACCCGCTGGCAGCATTCCATCGAGTAGACAGCATTCCGGCCCCTGCTCCTCAAACTCCGGAGCCCCGGGACCAGCCTATCCCGGCGTCTGCAAGTATCGTGACGAAAGGATCCATTCGCAGAAAGCTGTCTCGTTCTAAATCACCACAGGAATCGGAAGCAAGAACAGAACGGTCGGAGCCAGCGCAGAAGGGGTCCGAGACTAGCAGCTCCAGAGGCGCACTTTGGACCTCGTTTTTCCGGTGGGCCAACCGTCGTAGGCGCAATTCCGGGGGTCCGTCGTCGTTTTCAAACACATCTCGCGATTCGATGCAAACGACACCGGTGCCAACGCCGGTGCCTGCACCGCACCTTAACCCTGCGCCTCGCCGTCTCAATTCTGGGATGCCGAAACGGACCATGTCCCGCTTTCGCGAAGACCTCCCAGAGTTGCCCATTTCCCCCCCTGCGTCTAGGTTACAATCGCCAGATGTTATCGACCCAATTGTTGAGACATCGCCCGACTTGCACCAAGGCGACACGGATGTAGTAGCTACTCCTCCGGCCGTCGGTGCAAGATACGACACGCCTGTATCAGAACAGCGGTCAGTCGAGGCACCGCAACAAACACCTTCCACCTCTAGCCAACCGGATGAGCCTGGTGTCTCCCCCGAACCGCAGGCAATGTCGCTAGCGTCCATTGACTCTGAAGGCTCTTGGTTTTCGGGGAGGTTATCCCGAAAGCGAAAGTCATCAGGGATTATGCAACATGCATCAGGTCTGCAACTACGCCGGCAAACGCCAGAACCAGATAGTGAGCGTCCTTATGGCCATGAAAACCACAACGAGGATATGGCCATCATCGAGGACGACTACTTATCTCGGCTTGCGCCTCCGAGCGGGGACCGCTCTGGCTGGAATCGCAAGTCTACGGGCGAGGCAAGACCGTCAAGCGACTGGGAAGACGAGCCTCATTGGGGCAGCGTCAGGGGCCAGCAGCCCACGGTTGTTCATGCTCAAGCGGTCGGCAGAATGAGGAGCCGCGAGGGCCTGCTCAATTCCTTTGACGAAGAGGGCGAGAGTGGCCCGGAACCCGCCAGCCCAGATGGTGATGACACCGCTGGCGGTGATGCCGAGGAGGAGGGCCTTCAGCGAGCCAGGAGCATCAATCTTGGAAATGGTCATGCGCGACGTATCAGCGCCGGCAGCGCCCGATTGTTGTCCATGTCACCTCGATCGTCGGTTGACGCAAGGCGGACGAGCTTGGCAATAGGAACCGATGGCTCTGGAAAGACCCAATGATAAAAGTAAGGGGGGAAAGGCAACGGAAATGGTAACGACAGGCTGATCCTGAGACATGCGACACTCATTTGACATTTTTCCTTTGACCTTTTGCTTTATTTTGATGCCCAATTGGCATCTCACCCACCGACCACCATTCGCTCCTTTTACCTGTCATTTTCCTAGTCTATCAACCTAAAAAGTCAACGTCCAAAAAAAAAACCCAATCTTGTCTCTTGGATCAGCCATCCAGTCCACGCTACTTCTTCCTCCTTGACCGATTCATGGTTTTTTCCACGTCGATCCTAGTGCACATCAACCTCCGCTATGTACTTAGAGTCGTCCATACGCGTTCAGTCTTTATCACTCGCAGCTTTCATCTCATTATTGTTATTGTCAGTTTTATACAGGTTAGGATACCCCATTTCAACCCCCCAACCCAGCCTCTGGAAGATTCAGTACTTTACGTAGGAGGGGCGGAAATACATTGCGTTTGATTTCCTTGCGGTTTCCTTTGTGTTACTTACGGGACAGAGATACCACAGGGACTAGGTTTGAATTAAAGGTGTCAATTGGGCGGCCATGCTGTAATGTTGAGCATCATACAAGCGCAGTATTCTGAGAGGATGGGCGTTACAGGGTGGGATTTTGCGAAATGTTGTAGAAACAAGATGCGTCTCTGAAGCTTTGAACTTTTGAAAGTCTGAATCAGGTATATGGGCAACGGCCGGTTCGTCTCTCCTGGGACATACGACGCGGCTCCAGCAACGTGATCATTCATTCCAGACGTCTCCATCGTACTTGTGTGTGTTGTATGTACACCACTGATTTGTACCACTGATTTGCACCACTGATTTGTACCACTGATTTGCACCACTGATTTGCATAGCACGATGACATCAACTCATCGACGTTCCACGCGCCTCGAAACCGTTAAGAGGTTCGTCCTCCAGGACGGTACCAGTTCGACGTTTTGTCAATGACCTCTAGCCGGGTGTACAGAGCAGGGAGGCCCAATAGGTCGCCATGTTCCTCCAGGATCCTCCCTTGGCAGCCGAACCTACAGTAGCAGGAACGGTGAACAGCAATCGATAGCCTGTTTCTGGTATTGGTTGAATAAGCTCCTAACAGGCAAATATCATTTTTCTCGATGTGATTCATGTTTGGATCGAAACAAAAGTCAGTTCGATTCATGCAGCTTACCTAGGGTTGCTCAGTTGCTGCCTGGCTCTGAAATCTGGAGGCGGAACAGCTGTCACCAGCTGACCTCGCATTCGCCGTTCAACACCATTCCTCGTCACGATGTCACTTGTCAGTGCTAACGAATGTGTAGGAGTTCTCAACGATTCAAGTTGGGTGGATTGTCAAAACTCCATCTCTTCAGACTTAAAGCATAAATCAGCAGCATGGCTGAGCTAGCTGAGGACGTGGATGATTTTATCCGCCCCGAGTCTGTCCCGTCAACAGCGACCACACCTACAGTTGAACAAGCAGATCACGATGATGATGGTGACGCATCGCAGCGGAAAGCAAGCAAAACCACGCCGGGATCATCGTCGGCTTCAACCACACGAAATGCATTCACCGAGCTGATGAAACCCAAAAAGCCCCACCAACCCGCCGCATTCAAACCTTCCCAGTCCCTAGCCAGCAAAGCTTCGCAGGTCATCCGCGGCGTGTGGCGCGGCGCCCTCATCGAGTACATCACCAACCCGGAGCGATTTCCGACGCAGGTGCTTCGGGTGACGGAGCACACGGTGTTGATCAAGGACGCCTTCCCCAAGGCCACCATCCACCTGCTCCTGCTGCCCCGGTCGCCCGAGCACTACCTGCTGCACCCGCACGCCGCGCTCGCCGACGAGGCCTTCCTCGCCGTGGTGCGCAACGAGGCGGCGGTCGCGGCAAGGCTGGCAGCGGCCGAGCTGGCGCGGCAGCTAGGGTCTTTCTCGGCGAGCATGAAGGCGAGGAACGAGGCGATGGATAGGGGGGTTCCCTTTGACGAGCTGCCCCCTGGTCGGGACTATGGCAAGGAAATTAAGGTTGGGGTGCATGCCCATCCGTCGATGGCGCATTTGCATGTTCATGTCATTTCGAGGGATATGCACTCGGACCGGGTCAGGCATAGGAAGCATTATAATAGCTTTAATACGCCCTTCTTTGTGCCGCTGGCGGATTATCCGCTGAAGGAGGGTGACGTGCGGCTGGAGACGGCGTATCAAAATGGGAATTTGGCGAAGGATTTGGTTTGCTGGCGATGTGGAAAGGTGTTTGGGAATCGGTTTGCTGAGCTCAAGAAGCACCTGGACGAGGAGTTTGAGGAGTGGAAGAGGGAGTGATGGCACATGGGTCATGGGGTAATGGTCGCTCAACATGTCTGGGGTTGACGAGGGGAGCGAAGACTGCTGGCTGCATACCTTACGGGCGTTGGAGGTATTGAATTTGGTAGCACCTGGGCGCTTTACCGTTCTACTATAGATGTCGCATCCCCGATTTTCGTTAATGATTTTGGGGCATGTACGGGCATCGCCACTGCCCTGAACCATCATCTAGGTGTGGTTGTGGTACTAGTAGTTTCTACAGCGAAATAATCATTGATACTCGGCCACCTGACAATGGGAGTGATATAACAGGGGATATCACGGTCGCCTCGTGAAGGGCAGATCGAACTTGTCGACTCGGAGTTTCAGGAGCTAAGTGTAAGTCCGGGAGTAAAATCCGGTTACAAGCAACCTTCCCAATATGTTGATCAACCTTTGCAACCTTGTTCCAACCTGCCGCCCTGCTCTGATACGCGGAGAAAAGAAAAAGTACCCGTTGGCTCGTCCATATACGTTTAAGGGGCACTATTAAAGATGACGAGCCAACGGGTATAATGGTGCCCCTGAATGTATATGAAGGACGAGCCAACGGGGAAAAGATAAAAGAAAACAAAAGAAAAAGGGAGAAAGAAGAGACGTAACTATTTGGTCCAAAGTTTTCTTTAAAGCTAGGAAAAATAAAGCTGCAGCAAGTCCTCCTTTCTTCTGCTTTACAACTTTTTTCCTAGTTCTGTCCGAGCTATCTTTGCCTTAGCTTCACACTACACTTGTACCACGATGGAAAAAGTGGAAAAGGGTAGCGACGCCAACGATGGCTCCCAGAGCGGCGATGCTGGCGACCAAACTATCACCCAAGAGATGATTGTCGGGTGGGAAGGCCCCGATGACCCGGAGAATCCCATGAACTGGGCTAGCTCGCGCAAGACATTTACCATTGTTATGGTCTCGGCGGTTACCTTTAACATGTAAAGCAACCATACTTCCAACCTCTCGTCCATCTCGTGGCTAACACGAAAATCAACAGATCACTGGCTTCGACCATCTTCGCGCCGGGTGTGCCCAAACTGATGGCCGAGTTCGGGTCGACCAGCTCGGAGCTCGCATCGTTTGTCGTGTCAGCTTACATTGTGCCCTTCATCCTCGGACCGCTCGTATTTGCGCCGTTGAGCGAGCTGTACGGGCGCAACGTGGTCATGAACTCGTCCAATGTCGCCTTCCTCATCTTCACGGTGCTGTGCGCTGTCAGCCAAAACATGGCCATGTTCGTCGTGTTCCGGGTGCTGCAGGGTTTGGCCGGTTGCGTGCCCCTGACGCTCGGCGGCGGCACCATCGCTGACTTGATGCCAGCCGAGAAGCGCGGCAGGGCCTTGAGCGGTTGGCAGCTCGGCCCGCTGCTGGGTCCTGTTCTCGGTCCTGTCATTGGGGGTTACATTGCTCAGGAGGCGGGTTGGCGGTGGATGTTCTGGCTCGTGGCTATTCTTTCCGGAATCCTCGCCGGGGGATGTCTCCTTGTCCGCGAGACTTACGCCCCGACCCTCCTAGCCCGGAAAGTGGCCCGTCTCCGCAAGGAAACCGGCAACCCCAATTACACGCTCCCGGCGACGCAGGGGCAGGGCCGGTCTCCGGGCGTCTTGTTCCGCCGAGCTATCTTCCGACCGCTCAAGATGCTTTTCCGGTCCCCCATCGTCTTGTTCATGGCCCTCGAAGTGTCCATTGTCTACGCCTACCTCTACCTGCTTTTTACTACCTTCACCTTTGTCTTCCGCGTCCAGTACGGCTTCGGTTCCGGTGCTGCAGGACTCGCATATCTCGGGCTCGGTGTCGGTTTTCTCGTCGGTCTCTTCGGGACGGGATCCACGTCTGACTACATCGCCAAGAAGCGGGCGGCGGGTGCTGCCATCAAGCCTGAGCATCGCCTGCCGCCGCTTATGTTTGGCGTGATCCTCGTGCCCCTTGGTCTCTTCTGGTACGGGTGGACGGCCGAGTACAAGGTGCACTGGATGGCGCCCATTGCCGGGACATCGCTCATCGGTCTCGGTGTGCTCTTTGTTTTCATGCCCATCCAGGCCTATCTCATCGACGCCTTCACCATCTACGCCGCCAGCGCCATCGCCACCAACACCGTCGTAAGGTCCCTCTTTGGCGCAGTCCTGCCCCTGGCCGGTCAGCCCATGTATGCCAAGCTGGGACTGGGCTGGGGAAACAGCCTGTTGGCCTTTATCGCGCTTGCTACCGTTCCTTTGACCTGGGTGCTAATGAAGAATGGAGAGCGCATCCGGTCGAGCCCCTGTTTCAGGGTTGACCTGAATTAAATTCAAGTTGAATTCAAGTTCGCATGCCTCCTCACTGACTCCAATACTTCCTCGCCGCAACATCGAACTCGAGCGGTTTCCTCCCCAGAATCTTCTCCATTTCCCCCGTCACCACAGCCGTCTCCCCGGCCCGAATTGCATCCCACGCGGTAGCCCACGTCCTGGCTTTCTCCTCCGACTGGAACACGGCCTGCACCTGCTCGAGCTTGACGTACTCGTCCACAGAAACCTGCCGAATACGCACCCGCGTCCAGGCAATCTCGGCCAATACCCTCACCGTCTCCTCTAAGCTCCACACCTTGGTTCCCGTAAGCAGCACCGTCTGATTCACATACTCCCAGCTCTCCCCTTTCTCCTCGGCAGCAGCATACGCGGCAATCAGCCGCGCCGTGGCCTCGCCCAGCTCGTCACGCGCAACCCACGCGACGCCGGGGCCGGTGCCGTCGTGGGGGATCAGGATCTCACTGGGTACACCAGCACCGGCACCGGTAGGCTTGAAAAACGCCGTGTAGATGGGCGTCGACTCGGCGTACAGGCCTTCGCGGATCGACGTGTAGGTGAAGGCGCTGTTGGCGGCAGCCAGCTCGCGCAGGTGTGCCTCGGTCGCCAGGTGCGCCTGCATCACCTCCGCCAGGGAGCTCGTGGAGCTTGCCGGGCCGGCGAAGGCCAGCGAGCTGTAGAAGATGTGCTTGACGCCCGCGCGCCGCGCGGCATCGACCGCTGGGAGCTGGACCTGTTGTCTAGATTAATATGTGGATTTTTAAGGGTAAGAAAGTGGTTTTGGTAGTGGTTTACCAACCTTGATGCGGTAATCGCGGACATGGGAGGGGTAGGATATAAGGAAGAGGATGTCGATTCCCGCGAAGGCCGCTTCCAGCTCGGAGGGAGGCGTTTCGTAGGATGCTTGACGGGTGCGCACGCCGGCATCAATGTACTGCTGTGGTACCTTCTCTGGGTAGCGGCTGATCAGGATCACTTTATCGTTTGGCACCATGCCGAGCAGGTGGCGGTAGGTGCTTCCGCCAAGACCCCCTGAGGCCGGGAAGATGCCAATCGTCTTCATGGTGATGGTTGATGCGAGCTGGTGGACACTTGTCAGTAAGCCAGCTTGGGTGAAGGACTGAATTGCGTGAAATTTATTTAGATCTCCCTCCGGCCTCCCGGAAAATATGCTCGCGATGCGAGTCGGCCGCTTATTAATTCAGTATGGAGTCTTCGCTGGTCATGGACCAAGAGCACCCCACAACTAGTGTACTAACCCCAACCTGAGATCCCATTCCAATGTCTATGACGTACTGTACCAATCTTCCAGTTTGCAACTCCCATCGGGCCTTATCAAATGAGAGAATGAGGTTCCAGAGATATACCTTAGGTAACAGCGGTTGTGAACTACCGGTGCCGGTACGGAATAGTGCAGACTCATCCCAGTTCATAGCGGAGTCTGATATATTGTAACTTCGTCACGTCCTCTTTCTCGCTATTTCTCCGGCAATCTCCGCCCGGGCAAGAGAAGTTGCCGGGGTGGGCCAACCTTAAAAAGACTTCTTTGGTGTACTTCGTAATCAATCTCATCTCAGCATCATGCTCAAGTCAGCATCAGACCCAACAAGAAGAGATGCATTCAACTTCGAGTAAGATTGTCATCAAACCCAACGCGAAAGATGAAGGCGACCCCGCCACTCAGCCTGGCACGAGCTCGAATATCGGCCCAAACCTCCCGTCTCGCATGCTAGGGAGGAGTTATCTTCTCGAATTGCGTGAATATTCGATACTCGATCGCTTGGCTGCGGGAAGGCCAATAATAGTACGATAGCTTCAGGTACATTCCTACCGACCTACATTAGTGCCCGGCAGGATGCCAGGATTCGAGTCCTCGGTCAGGCACGCTGCGGGTCTGGCAGGTTGAACCTGTGCGACGTGCTTCCCCGAGCTGCACGAGCTGGGAGTGCTCTCTGAGTCGTCACATTGGTTGACACCTTCCACCGCGGGGAAATGAACTGGCAAACGGCGAAGCCACAAATGGTGTGCAGCTTGCCGCACACTGACCGCCACCAGCGGGTTCCGACCCAATGCTTCGTCTGATCCGAGGCCAAGACTTGCGGCTGTTGTCCACTTGTTGCATCCGTTGGATATCAACTCCATGCAACGGTCCCTGCAGCCATGCCCATGCTACCACGCCGCGAATTTATCATAATCTATCGAAAAGGAGCAGGTGCCAAGGGACGTCAGCTGCCTAGAGCAGCAGCCTTGCGGCGGCTTTATTGGACTGAGTAACCCACGATGTGACACTGACAACGCAGGGCTGACGCTTGCTAGCAAAAGCTGCTAGCGAAACGAGGGTCCAGAGGCGAATATCCAGCTGATTCCCGCAGGGAGAGGCTTAAGGGCGATCGACGAAAGCCTCGGCCTTAGACTAGCGCTGAAAGCAGCAATTACCTTACCTACTAGTATTTGCCGTGTTGTATTGACCACCTCCTCCCTACCTCCTGAATCCACCTCCCTAACACAGAGCGGGACCGCGATGGCTGTGGGAGTATAAAGCAAAGCCAGGCGGTCCCGGAGGTTCCAACCATTTCAATCATCAGTCTTCCGTTAGACAGGGGAAGCATAAAGACACCATAAGATCTGTATATGCTTGACAAGATGATAAACCACGGAACTTTGTCGGCTCTGCTTGCTGGGGCGGTTGTCGCCTCGGGGTGTACCCTCCCCACGGATCCCATCCCCAACACCATCACCACCCCCTTCCGGGCCCAGGTGCAGAATGCATCCCGCCCTGAAGTCCACAACAAGTACATGAACCTGTTCCAGGCAGGCGGCGGCGACCAACATCTATTCATCGGACCCGTTGGTGTCCCCACGTACGATCTGACCTTGATAGACGGCGTCATCAACCACATTCCCAACGGCGTCCGAGCTGTCATTGGCGGCGAGGTGGGGCATCTCCTCCCCTCACATGAGTTGCAGAATGCAGACTGCGACGACTAACACGGGCAGCAGTTTTCCGAGATCGACCACACCACAAAGATGTTCATGACTGGCCGGGGCGATCCCAGAGCTGTGTTCAAACCGACGTATGCCTGCAATCCAGACACGGACGAGGTGCAAATTGAGCTGCAGTTCGTCACTTGGGAGAACCAGCCCGAAGGCGGCTGGATCTGTGTGCGGCACGCGTTCGATGGAAGCCATGAGTTCCGCTACTACCCGCCGGGCAACGAGTGTACGAGACCTCGCATTCCACTGAACCCACCCCTTTCAGCGCCCATTCCACTAACACCATAATCAGTAACCGACCCCGACCGCGAGTGCATCAGAGTGACGCTCGTCTTGATCCCAACCGACGGCGTCCCACCCACAAGCGTCAGCAGCACCACCTTTTCAACCAGCACCATCCCCGCAACCAGTACATCACCCACCTTCACGCCCACAACGCCGCCCGACATTCCCGCATTCACGGACATGACGGCTCTGGGGTGGCGGTTCCTCGGCTGCGCGCCGGAGGAGCGGTGGGCCAACGACGGGCCGTTCCGCACGCTCGCGGGCGCCTTCCGCGCGGCCGACGACATGACCAACGAGGCATGCATGGCCTTTTGCTCCGACGCCGGCTTCCGCTTCGCGGGGACCGAGTGGAGCCGCGAGTGCTGGTGCGACAACTCGTACGCCCCAACCCGCCAGCCCGCCACCACCCTGGCCAGCCTGTCCACGTGCAACTACAGGTGCGTCGGGGACCAGGGCCAGACGTGCGGTGGTGATGCGTGGTTGACTCTGTATGAGCGGTGTGAGGAGGGAGAGGCTTGTGAGAATGCGGTGTTTGTGTGAGGCTGTGAGTGGGGATCATGATGCTCAATGAGAGAGGACGGTGATTCATAATACTAGTATGAAATGCTGGTATATAGTAGATCAGCGGCAAGGTAGCAGTACAAGACTCAACCTAAAAAAAAGCTCAATTGGTTAGTGGGTGCTTTAACGGTGGGAGTCTTCAAAAATGTTGAATAAGCACCTGTCTCGCCGACATCAGATAGTAGCCACATGTTCATATCTCCAGCTAGACAGTTCATCCCACTGAAGTAAACCTCTGAGTCAAAGAAGCTTACTAGACTGCTAGCCTCCTGGAATCGTGGGACACGGTGTGACTGAGGAATCTGTGCTCTCCGTTGATTATCTGTTCATCATCTGTTCATCGTAGTACCTGCTCAGTTGGGGACTTTGTACCGCTATGACCGAAATGGCCATCAGAAGGAGCTAGAGCATTGAAGATGAATTTCAACTTGAGGAGTCATACTCACGTTAACTATCAAGCCAGGGCATTGGTTTTTCACTTGCTCCATCTTGCGTCAGCCGACGATGGAAGGAGTGGGAACGCGAAGGCATGCTATTTGTAAACACCGACTTTGCGATCAAAATCTTGTGGCATTGTGAAATGTACTGTACCCGATACAGTAAGCGGGATGATTTGGAATCATGGGGTGCTCTGGTGCTCTCTGGTAAAAGTTGGTGTTGGGAAGCATCAACTGATTGGGCCCCTTCAGGGACGGGAAGCAGCTAGGGCTTGGCATAACGAATAAAAGCAGGTGGGGTTGCCTCTGGCGTCATCCGTCCCTGACAAATCCCGCCCAGCAGAATTACATCATGCGCCATTGGCGTGAAGCCTTGTGAAAATGTCTTTATTAACCTCAAACTCCCTTTGCCGTGCAACCCCACCTCTTCCCAAATGTCGACGAGATTGTTCCCCACCGCATTCAGGACTCTCCGAGCCTCACCGATATCTGCTTTTCCGATCAAATCAAGACATTTCACAACAAGCCTGCCCAGAATGACGATCCACATTATCGCTACGTGAGTCGGTCCCTGAAAACGGGCAGTGGCACCCAACGCTTCCCCGCTTCCCCTTTGCTGGGCAGCCTTGCGAACGTCCGCTGACTTTTGCTTTGTTCCACAGCCCCGAACAGTTCAAGGAGACCATCGCCAAGAACCCCGTCGTGCTCATCGACGCCTTCGCGACATGGTGCGGCCCTTGCAAGGCAATTGCCCCGATCATTGCCCAGTACGTGTGCCCCGGCCTGCTGTCTGCTTTGTGGTTGTGCTCGGACCGGACATTGGAACTGACCTACGATCTCTCTCTCCCTACGCAGGTGGGCCGAGTCCGAGGAATTCAAGGACAAGATCTACTTCGCCAAGTTTGACGTTGATGCCGTCCCGGATCTCGCCCAGGAGCTCGACGTTCGGGCCATGCCCACCTTCTTCGTGTTCAAGGACGGCAACAAGGTGGATGAGTTTGTCGGCGCGAACCCTGGCGCTCTTCAGAACCTGCTGAAGAAGTACCTTTGAGTAGAAGCTATGAAATATGCTGGTTAGCTTCATAGGAGGAGGGTGGTTCTCGTGCTTACGCTGGGGTTGAAGAGGAGGACAATACTTTGGGCGAATAATACCCCGCGACTGTCGCTTTATGGAACGGATGCCATGGAATTTTGATCCGGCTTCGGCCCCAATACTCTAAGCCTAGCGCCTCGTGGTTGCTAAACGGCTCTTCAATTATGTCAAGGCTCCCGCTATTTGGGCAAACGTTTGTATCGCTTCTTGCCGGCTGCTGTTTCTCTGCCCGCTTACCACGGTAATACCTCCTTAGTACAGCTGACCAAAGCACTCTACTGCTGGGTACTGGTGTCTCAGCATAGTATGTGAGGAGGGATATCTCCTAGAAGCGTTGTCGCCTTCGCGCTGCCGTTCTCTTCAAACTGACAATACGAGCCGAAGAAGCATCTGATTGGCTTGGTGGTCTAGTGGTATGATTCTCGCTTAGGGAGAACCCTATAGCCTTGTGTTGCGAGAGGTCCCGGGTTCAATCCCCGGCCAAGCCCCTGAAACATTGATTGATTTTTGCTAGATCATTATGACCTCCTTTTTGTCTTTTTCACTAATAACGTATGCGATCAGATAATGACTCTGAATGCATGGTGCAATAGCTTGTAATGAAAGCCATAACAGTAGTCTCCTGCATTCGTGCGGGTAATCGTCGATTGTCTAGCCAGACGCCGCCTTCAGCCCTTCACGCAGTACGGAGTATGGAGTATGGTGATCATGATTCCCTGGTAGTTCTACTAGTAGTATGAAGCGAGCTTTTAGAATCGGGTCACGTAGACGCGAACGGAGTTGCGAGTGTTGTAAAGCAGGGAGTCATACCTAGCGCCAATTCGGGTCAGCGAGGTGCCATTGGAGACACTACTACTGTTCAGCTAGACTTTGCGCTGTTGGGCCTTCGAATGGATCTCACCGACTCTGCAATATCTCGGAGACCTTTACCTAAATGAATAAGGGATGATGAAGGGCTGTAAGTACCTACTTAGCTACTAATACGAGATTCAGCTCAAAGCGTTCCAGGGGTCAGTTCACTGTGATATCGGCTCTGATATTAGGCAAATGTATAGTATAGAATTAGGCAAATGTATAGTATAGAACTGGTAATCAATGACTATGACTATATAGCATCTTGAGTTTCAATTGGAGATTAGCCACCAGAGAGTCATAGGTCCTTGAGATGTGTAACGGTTGTAATCCCCTTTCTCTTTTCAACAGACAAAAGGTAATACACGAGGAGCTTACAGCTGGCGCTCAGCCCGCCGAGCGGAGTCCAACCTAAGTGTGTATCTACTAGTAATCAAGAGTAGATCGCCTAATCATCACCCTCCTGCTCCCATGGAAGAAGTCGACCCAACCAACATCAAGGCTGAGCGTACCAAATAGATCGGAGTATACACAGACAGTTAATCTCAACTTTAATCAGTGATAGGTATCACGATTCGGTATCACATAAAACACTATGCGATAGTCAACGATCGGCTATCAAGGTTCAGGGGCACTCACTCACTGCGCGACTTGAAGTTCTGAGATCCATCCATAGGTTCGTAAGGTGTTCCACAACGCCAACGGATACCAGACCTGGACAAAAAGCTGTACACTGTCCGCTCCGAACGTCTAGACTCTCAAATGAGCAATATAAGCACTTTGAAGAAGCCACTGCATGCGTGTGGACTACTGATACCAGTGTTGCCGCATCTTTTCTCATGTCATCTAAACCCCAAGAGTATCCCTGACTCAAATGTCAAGTCGTGACTCTCCCGGCGGCCTCGTTTCATTCATGTTGTCAAAATCCGGACCTGAATTTTGGTCTACTGTCTGGTCGACTTTTGTCATGTGTCCGGCCACGGCCGTGGCTCGGCGGCAGTTGTTGGTTGTTGGTTGAGAGCATGCAGAAGCGAGTGGCTACCATGAGGCCGAGACTTTGTGAAACGCCAAGTTTCTTTGTTCTCTTGCATGGAGTGTAGTTACACCCACATTAAAATGCCCAGTAAGAAGGGGGAAGACAGACGGTAGATCCGCCGGCCGAAAAGTCAGACTCAGATGTTCGTATCCTAGAAATGATGGCGGCCTCTCGTGTACAATACCAACTGGGAGACAAGTATATAGGGAGGCATGCTTCCCTGTCATGCTTGTATCCTCCCCAAGTTCATAATTTCGCTTTCGTTGATCGAGTCTTGATGCAAGATACCCGTTGACTGACTCAGAACTACTGATCATCATTTCTCAGGGAGGGAGATGGATCGCTCCAGGTCCGGATTCCTTCTCACTCCCCCTCCCGAGCCAGACTACCATTTCCGCGAGCATACTGAAGTCGACTCCGATCGCAACAAGCATCCTGAGGCCGGTCTCAGGAAAGACCATGAAGCCGACGGTCTCAGGGAGAGCCCTGGCACTTGCCCAATAAGCCCCGTTGGGTTCGCAACGCACTCGAACCTTGAGCCTCTCACGCCTCCTCATGGTATCGACAATACGCTCCGCAATGTGGATGCCGGCCTCCTTTACCCGCGCGATCTATCTTCATTGAATGTCGGAAGCTCTTCTTCGGACCACCAAGCGAGCTCGCGTCCGTAGAACGCGGGCAGCGACCCATCACGCAACACTGATGGCGGATTTGTCAACTTCTGTCCGCCCGCCAGTCTGGGGAATACCTCGATTCTCGTAGACAAGACCGATGCTCCGTGGGGGGTTGTGACTGTCGCTCAAAGCAGTGTCCGTTTGGAGCCGGATGCTGTGACCCTAGTCGCAAGCAAGTCCTCCAAGACCGAGGGGATTCCCAAATCGGACTCATCCGACAATCTTCAATCGTCACAGGTTAGAACTTCCCTCGCCTTATTACCAATCCGGGTCCCTATCGTAGCTCCCATGCCGATCGCACCCGTGGTACCTTCCGCGTGCAGCCACCATTGACAACCGGACGCCAGTTCTCCCTAACCGACCTCCCGGATACCGACCCAGTCCGCCGGGTCCAAGCCGCCAAGGTGCGCACCCAGGCCAGGGCCATCCCGGGGCCCGGCGACATGCCGTCAGGAAATCGCAGCTTTCCGCACTACTTCGGAAACAGAGAGCGACTGCCGCTCAACAACGAGCCGCCGCTCATCGAGCACCCGCTCACCCCGGACAAGCCGTACGAGCGGGACAGCAACCCCGGCTCGGCCCGCATCATCACCAACTGGTGGGATCGCTCGACGCCCGAAGTCGTCTATCACGATCCTCTGACTCCCCCGCTGCCGGGTGCTACATATCCCCCGTTCAAGATGGCAAATTATCGTCCCGCCTCGAGAGACGGGGTGGAAGGCTCGGAGGCCGCCGCCCCGAACGACGAGCTGGGCCGCACCGGTTTGGCAACGCTTCGAAGGTCCACGTCGCTCTAGACAGAAGCTGAGAACGTCAACTGGTTTGTCAATGGTTGGAAGATTGGGATGAAGGCAAACAGATTGTCAAGGGCTGAAGGTTGGAAGAGAATGGTCTAATTGCTACTCCGCATCAGCGATTGGAATCCAGGGAACAGACTGCTAAGCTGAAGTGTGGGATAATGGGAACGAATCCTGAAGATCAAACTGCTATATACTGCACATCAAGTCAGCGTCTCTGTTGCAACAGGATGCCGAATAATCAAACCAATGATATAGAGGATCTCTCGCCGCACCGTAGTCTTTTCTCACTACACCGTAGTTCCACATACTGCTGCATTTTCCACCACACCCCCTTCCTTTCAAGTAATACTACCACCTTCAATCTTCCACTTCAATCTTCCAATTCAATCTTCCACTTCAATCTTCCACTTCAATCCTCCATTCTCTCTATATATAGCGATAGCGACTGGAACTGCGATACAGCGACAGCGACTGCAATACAGAGACTGCAACAGCGACAGCGATAGCGATAGCGATAGCGATAGCGACAACGATAGCGACTACAATATAGCAATAGCGATATAGCGACAGCGATAGCGATATAGCAATAGCGATAGCGATAGCGATAGCGATAGCGATAGCGATAGCGATAGTGATAGCGATAGCGATAGCGATAGCGACTGTAATATAGCGATAGCGATATAGCAACAGCGACTATAATATAGCGACAGCGACTATGACTGCGATCTAGCGACTGTAATAGGGATAGCGATAGTGGTACTAGTAGGATAGCCTCCAAGCTAACGACGCTAACAACAATATTGTAAACAATGTTGTTGCTAGCGAAGGAGGATAGAATATAGGGTAGGGCTAGGGTAGGGTGTAGGGTAGACTGTAGGGTAGGGTGTAGATTAGTTAGATAGCTTTGTTTAGGTAAGAAAATCGTATACGATTCTACGAAGATAATATTAAATAGCTAGATTTATGTGACGAATCTCGGTCCCCTACCACTGAAAGGGACGCCTCAGACTGAAGGTTGACTTGAACGGGGTGAGGTTCGGTAGAGCCAAAGGGTCTACAACAAGTGCACAAGCAAGTGTTCACACAGTAGTAAAGACAACTGCTTGCATTGCTTACTGGAGAACCTTCTGAAGGTCCTCCTAACGAGTGACTATCTAGCTAGTATATATAATCCTTGTTTCACTATGCCCTGGCGACTATCACCAGTGACTGTTCTGTATTCACTGTTGATACTCCGTTGTCGACAGTGATTTCCCATTATCACTAGTGACGGCTTGATCTTGGCAGTGATAATCCTCTGATTGGTCCGTTGAATGATTGGTCGCCAGACGTCCCGCGGACCCGGCTGCAGCCCCTCGGGCTGCCAACAATGGTCATTCCATGACAATTTAGCTCAATTGAGCTTAGTTATATTATACTCAATTGAGAGTATAACAGTATATTGTAGGCAGTATAGTAGTTGGCGCCGAATGTGGAAGGCGGTGTAGGAACTACAGTGTAGTGAGAAAAATGCTATGGTGCGGCGAGAGATCCTTATGATATAACCATCAAACTACCTATATAGCGACTTGGAATACTGGATAGTCACATGTGTTTGCATTAGTAATGCAGAACATGCTGTTGCATCCGCCGGGTTTGGCGGCCCTCCCATCGGGTATAGCGCTGCGTCAGACTCGTGTGCTCGCACGGCCCGGCTACGCCCGCAACATAAATACGAGCCGATCCTCTCTGATGTCGCTTTGTTGTACTCTCGACTTCTTCCTTCATTCCTCTCCCTTTTCCTTCACTCGGCCCCTGCCTCCTGATAATGCGCTCGTCGCCAATACCTCTCTGATCGCTCATTTCGCCAAGGCGGCCGCGTTTCCCTACCGACCACCCTTTGCCTTCCCCTCTTTCCGTCGCCTCAGAGCCTCGCCTATCGCCTCTCGCGGAGTACTTGCGCTGTTTGGCAGCTATTTCCCCGGAGCCCTTCTCCTTACCGCTTGCGTTCCGGCCCATTCTCATTACGGCTTTCACTCGCCTTATTCTAAAATTTCAACTCGACTCTGAGCTTCATCTACACTAAGCGATCGAAATCCGCCTGCTCTCTGCCATCCAGGATGCCTCCCTTTGTCCGTGGCGGGCAACGTCGCGTCTGCCTGGTAGGTCCCCTGTAAGAGCGGTTTGCAATGCATGCTGATTCTGACCAGTCACAAAAATGCCGCAGATGTCAACTGCGTCCGATATAGAGACACTGACCTCCAGATGCAGACATTCCCAATTTGCTAGGTACGAAGACGCCTCCTAGATAATCTCGTATTCGGACCGAATGTTGGCGCAGCTACAGCGGAGCCTGCAAGAGATGGTTACAAGAAGGGCATGTTCGCGTTCTAATTGACTGTGATCTGTTTCTGGGTTACACGCCGTGATTCAGCCTGCGGCGGACGGGGATAGAAAGGCCGAGCCGACAACGAGCCCTTGACGCGGTCCAATGGGGACGAGTTCCAAAGAGATACAGGAGGGCCGTTCGGCTCAACTCTGGTCTCGACATCAAGCTTCCTCTCCCTTTGGAGCCACCCAACACTTGCTTTGTTTCTCCCAGTCAGCGACGTCTCGTTTCATCCATTCCCCTCCACTCTGCTTTCCAGGGTGCCTCATTTCATCCGTAGGATCAGAATCCATGCCTGCCTGGCAGATCCTCGGCCCCCTCGTTCCCGCGTGCAATTTACAAGACCTGCATGTCCTGGCCAGTCAGAAAACTGCCGCAGGTATCGATTTCAACACATGCGGAGACACCAGGGGGCCTCCTCTCGCTTGGATGCAGAGCGTCTCGGCGTGCAGATCGCAGAACAATCGGACCGAATGCCAGCGCAGCTATGGTGGGGGATGCAGGTAACATTTCTGGGCCACACGCCGGCCGCAGCGAACAGAGATGGCAAGGCCGAGTCAAGGAGGCCGATGCGGCCGCCGAAACGATGATGTGGCCTTGCTGGCGCCGCTGCCTTCGCTTCACCGATGGCGAGGCAGATCGGGTTCGATGGCGCGTGTGAGACTGCCTGGGGAGATTCTGCCTTGCCATGGGTAGTACTAGAAACCGGACGACATGAAGGAGGCGTATGCAGACGGACGTAGGAAGGCGTTACAGGAGACGATGCGCCAACCCCCGCTTCGGCTGAGCCGCTCTCGGCAACCCCTAGCAACGTCATGGACCACGGGGCCTCAGGGCAAGGGCCGTGATACGTGGCGATACGATGTCCTGCGACGGCTCCCTTTTCCTGGGCCCTCTCCTTTCTTTCTCGGCAATTGCATGATTGGCAGAGTTGCGAGGGACTGGTGAATCGATATTCCGTTCCTCTCCGCACCATACTGGGGAACCGCATGGAACGAGACGTTTCACGGCCGAGCACGTTCCTCATTGCGAACAGGGGTTGGGAATTTGGTGACGACGGAGAGCGCGAGGCCTGGCTCTTTGCCAATTCAGCGATCGGGTCCGCCCTTCCTCGGCACACAGATATATTTCGTACGTTCCCCGACACTATAGGAATACGAAGGTGAATAGCTTGCATACCAAACACTTCCGGGACCATTCTTCCTAAATCTTTGACATCTTCTGCAATTCACTAGCGCGCATTATCACTAGTAGCGAGATGGCAATAGTCTGCCTCGATAACTAGGTCTTTTACAACTCCCCTGTGGCGGTAGGCCCTTGCCCTGCGAATCGCGGGCTTCTCCTTCGGAAGGGGGAACCCTGTTCCTTTCCTTCCGCCGCCGCCACAACAGGATGCGCATGATTCTCGACATGGTGGTGGAGCTGAAGTTGTAGAACAATGCGATCCTGATCCCTGATAGCGAGTCCGATGACGATTCTGACGATGGCCGATCCGACATGTCTTTCGTGTTGCTTGACGAGCTCGTCGCTGCTGCATCCAAAAAGCTTGAATCTAGCGGTGTTGCTAGTGTAGGTATGTACCTAAATTTCCTTTCCCGGGTAGGCGAGTTTGCTAATATGCCTATGTAGGCGAAAGTCCCGATACTGTTCCCGACGATATCGACGTATTAAAGCCTTCGGTCACTAGTGAGCCTGGCCTAGACGATGAGGTTGTAGACGAGTAGCAATAGAGAGATAGCCTAGGGCCTTCTCTAGAGACGTTGTCTGACTCTCCCTGGCCGTCCGGAAAGCCGTGCGGAACGACGTCGAATCACGACGGTTCTATATGCCTTGGTAGCGAGAATGGGATAGGCCGTTCCCATTTTCCTTCGCGGTGATCCGGTAGAAACGTGCTGCTTAGTTGCAATCTATGTTGGACCCTTATAGTCCACGCCTAGCTACCTCTAGTCTTGGGTTTGAGTTACAGTAGCAATCCGATAGCCATTGCCTTTCTTAGTACTATGATCGCTGCGGCGATAGTAGTTAGAAGGGTAACCCAGAGCACCATCATCTGATCCTAGATGATAGCGAAGAGCGGGCACGAACACCTACACTGCCGGATGACAAAGAGTACTACTGAGCTCGAACTAGCGGATACTGAGCCACGCCTTCGGCCCTAGAGCCTATACAACGTCGCCTCCAGCCGTGGGGTTGATCTACAACTGAGGTCCGCCAGCTGCCGCCTCTCGCAACACCCTGATTACCATGACGACAGCAATCCAGCGAGTGACGGAGAACGCCATCCTCTCCTTCCGGAAGACAGAGAGTAGGATGAGGATGGCACCCCCGCCCTCCAAAACCATCGAGCTGTGTCCAAATCGACTAGTGAGAAGACAATGCAGCAGTAGAGCAACCTGGCTCTGGCGATAGAAGCTTCGCCGGTGAAGTCTGCGGGGATTCTCCCCACCCCCGACACTAGGGCGATGCGTCGGAAACATGTGTTGTTCGGCCGCGACGTGAAGCAAGGCTCTGGAACAACGAGGGCTAGTACCACCGAATTGCCCGACGTGAAGAAGGTCAACCTTTAGCAGTACCCCGGTCGTTGTCGACAGCGGCGTCATTGCGATACTGATAGCAAGGAGGACTGCTTCCCTAGTGTGGAAAGTGACGTCAAGCAAGGCAAAGATGGGGATGTCATTCAGCCGCCACAAGGGAAGCGCCGCAAGGTAAACAGAGCGCCCATGAGGCAGGCACCTCTTCGCAGAACCTCCCTATCGCTACAGGCTCAACAACCATCACCAAGCCAAGGTCCAAAGCGCCGCCAAAGCCAGCGCAGGAATTCCGGGCCGCAATTTTCAGGGGCGTCTGCTTTGGAAGAGGGGGCACTTGAATCCGATTTCGCAAGCTTTGAGGAATGGCCACTTGAAGCGGTCCTCAAGCGCGTTTGGGTGGGCAGGGCAGCGACGTTTCAGGTGGAGTTCACGTGGAATCCTTGTACGAATTATGGGCAACATGACCGCGTACTAGAAATCCCGCGGCGCAAGTCACTAGGAGGGAGGTATTCCTCGACGGCACGTGCTCTCTCTTCAAGAGTTGCCCCTACGACTAAGAAGGTTCAAGGCGACGAGTATTATAACGTCGAGGAGATTTTGATGTAGCGACAGGGAAAAACGGGACTGGAGTACCTGGTCAAGTGGGCAGGGTGTGGGAAGAAGCACAATTCTTGGGAACCCACTGCCCATTTCGAGAAATGCCCCGAGGTGCTAGAGGCATTCCACCAGAAGGTGCAATTGTCCACGACTCCTTCTATGTAAATTCCAAACAGAACTTCACGCAGCGCGCCTTATAGTCGTTGGTAGATGAAATAGAGTAGATAATTTATACATTCTTCACGTGACGTTTATATATGCTATCTTCCAGCTAGTGAGAACATTGGGAAGTAGTGCTTGAAAAGCCCTTTGTTAAGAAAATATAGGACCGTGATATCTCAGCGGCAAAAAGAAGTACCGAGTGGCAGAAAAGGTACGTACCAATTGGCAGAAAAGATACATACCAAGTGGCAGAAAAGGTACGTACCAAGTGGCAGAAAGGTACGTACCAAGTGGAGAACTCAACCTCTTGCCACCGTACGTATCTCCAATCTGGATTCCAGACTCACCGTCGCCACCACCGTCTCTACTGAATTGATCGTCTGATCTCTGATGAGGATCTCACGATGTACAACTGCCTCGGTGAATACATTGCCGACGTGGACCCTTGCATGGCCCCCCATCCTGACATCCTTGGTGGAGTTCCTTCCCGCGATTGTGTCGATCTTCTGTGCGTACTCCCGGCACCGTGATCTTCTGCGCTGCTGCCTTGACCAGGGCAACTTCGCTTCGTCCCTGCAGATTACTCTGATACGGTCTGGGTTCCTGGCTTCCTTCACTACTGCGGCGCAACGCCAGTTTCCTTGGCTCTCGTGTGTCTGGATCTCTGCCTCGATTGCCCTCCTTATGTCTGCAACTTGGAGTCTCCCTTTCTCTCTTTCCTCTACTCTAGACGTATCGACCGTGCAGAACAGTGTATCCGTCAAGGTCGTTGGCGTTGTGTTCGACAAGGAGATAGTTCGCAGTCCACTTGATTGACTTGCTGGCAGCGTGCGAGCAACTTCTGCATTAAACACCCTCGGACTCGTTTGAGTTGTATGGAGAAGGGCTGCGTTTTGTGCAACGGTGCCTATTTAGTCTCGGACTTGTCTCAATTCCTCAGAGAGCTGCTGAAGCACGTCTTGCTGTTTGCTGACCATATCGCGGGCTTGTCTCAGCTCTTCACAGAGCCGTTGGATCGCGTCTTGCTGCTTGCTGACCACGTTGCACAGTTCGCAAATCATGTTTCGTTGCTCGGTAATTGTCTCGCGTGTCTTGTTTTGCTGTTCATTAATTGCCTCTAGAAGGGTCTGGAGCGCTGTTTTACCCGCTTCAGCCTGGCCATTGGTTCCGCTCCCGCTTCCCAATCCGGGTGTTCCTTTCGATGCGGTACTCGGCGTAATACTATTTATGGTTCTTCTCGACGTGGTGGCCACATCCTCAACTGACTGCATCGCTTCGCGGACTTTCGCGCTCGGTTTTATTGCGCGACTCGGTCGTTTCGGCAAGATTGAGCGGTCGGCCTCCTCGATCACTGCCGCGGGTTGTGCCGACGCCGCCATCTCACGATCACTTCCTAGGTAGGTCCTCCCTTAGAGAAAAATCCCAAGGAATTAGTGTTGCACTCAAATAGCCACAGTTTTCCCCAATGCCCTATGGGCAAGCCCGCGACACCACCGAAAGCACCTGTTCCGCGAGGCCACGTGATAAGCTGGCGGCTGCTAAAAGAGAAACTCTCCTTGCACTCCTTACCGAGTACCGACCGGCTCGAGCGCGGCAGATCAAGGCCTTTGACGGGCCAAGACGCGTCTATCTTCCACAACGGAAGGCGACCACTCATCCCCTGGCAGCCGATGGCCGAAGCTGGCGCGGCGACTAGTTAAAGCTCACCAGAGCAATCATCCGCGGCGTGATCCTCAACCAATAGCTTCGTCGGGCACAGAGCCGCTTCGCTGATGCACGTCGAGCAAGCGCTCGTCAGTAGCGGCTCGCTCTGCGCTTCTCTATTGGCTCATGTCAAGCAACGCGCGGGCGCGAAGCGCGGGGCGGTCAGGATGCCCAAAATGTTGCAGCCCACCCCCTCATCAATCGACTCTGCCTTGTCGATTGCGATTTTCAGAACAAAGTCTGCCATGCCTATCTGAGGCTGTCTGGTTGACCAACTTCTGAAACGCTTTTTTTTTTTTGCGTGTTTACACTGGTACGACACGGGTTTACCATACCTAACCAAGCTGAGAGTCTAACTACATTGTCGTAGGAACTGGAGACATGTCTGGCGCCGAGATCATGGGCCTCATCTCTGGCATCATCGCTATTGTCGATGCGACTACGAAGGTTTACGCCGCCGCCAACAATGCTTCGGGCCTCCCACAAGCCTTCCGCGATGTTGCTATGCGGCTCCCTTTGGTCCACGAAACCCTCGAAACCGTCTCAAGACACCTGAACACCACCAGCCCCGACGAGAACTCCTGCAAAGCAATAAGCCGTATCTTACAACGCTGTGAGAACAGGGTAACACAACTAGAGAAAATATTTGGGGATGTTATCCCGCAGGCTGATGCCTCGAGAATGGAGCGATACCTGGTTGCCGCCCGCACCTTAGGCAAAGAAGGCACAGTGGAATCGCTTATGAAGGGCATACTAGAGGATATCCAGCTTTTGGCCAGTAGTCGCGTGATGGAGCTGGCGACAAAGGCTAGTAGTATTCCATCGCTGATACGGAAAGCGATAGAAGAAGCGTCTGCAATTCCGCCATCACTGCCAGACGGTATCTCTCCCGGACCGACTTTTGAAGACGTCTCTAATACCGAACAGGTATATACTCATCCACGGCGTGTGAAGCCGAACGAAACGTCCTACTCAAGGAGCTAAAGTGGACCGATCCCACCATCGACAAACTACGCATTGAAAGAACAAAGGGTGGGCTACACGAAGCTTCGTCCAGCTGGATTCTCTCCCATCCCAGTTACCTGAAGTGGCAAGACGGCGAAACCAAGCTGCTCTGGATCAAGGGCGCTGCCGGCAAGGGCAAGACGATGCTGTTGATTACCATCATCAAGCAACTTCAATCTCAGATCAGACTTGACCGCCCCATCGCCAACTCGTCCTTGTCGTTCTTCTTCTGCCAGAATACCGATAACCGCTTAAACAATGCAGTCGCCGTTCTCAAAGGGCTCATATACCTCTTGCTGGTCCAGGACGTCAGTCTCGTTTCGTACCTCAAGAGTGACTGCGACCGGATGGGCAAGGGCATCTTCGATGTCACTAACAACAGTGCCAATGCCTTTGACGCGCTGTCCAATGTGTTCAGGCAGATGATCCAGCACTCGCGGTCGGATACTGTGTACTTAGCTGTTGACGCTCTCGATGAATGTGAAGACGGTCTGCCGGACCTCCTTAGCCTGGTTAGAGAAACTGCCTTCCAAGAAAATCGTCTTAAGTGGATCTTAACGAGCCGTAACCGGGTCGACATTGACGGAAACCTCGCGCTTGAGAACCCGGGAGCGAAGTTAAGCCTGGAGGTGAACTCGGAAGCCGTGTCCCAGGCGATCGAAACTTACATCATTCACAAGGTAGCCCAAGTTTCATCACTTCGATCCAGCCCTGTCCAGCGAACCATTGTTCAACAAATGCTGCTCGAGAAGGCTGAGGGTACCTTTTTATGGGTTGATCTAGTATTGCGATCTATCCATACTGCCTTGGCCGATGATGCTATTCGCCGTGTCGACGAGACACCGCCAGGCCTACCGGCGCTTTACGATCGGATGATGGGAGATATTGACAAGTCTACGAGTGACTACCGAGACTCGTGTCTTGCTGTGCTTTCAGTCGCAACTTTAGCGTACCGCCCTCTCCACATCCTCGAGCTCAAAACGATAGCTGGGCTCGGGTACGAAATCGCTGATCTGGAGAGGATTGTCGACATGTGCGGTTCCTTTCTCACGCTGATGGACAACCACGTCTATCCGATTCACCAATCGGCCAAGGACTACCTAGTCAGTGACACCGCCGTCAATAAGGTTTTCCCGTCTGGGAAACACGCTGTTCAGCGCAGCATTGTCGACAGATCAATTGCGGCGATGGGGAAAATACTACAGCGAGATGTGTATCAGTTGGTGCATCCAGGAGTGCTCACCCGTGACGTGCAGGCGCGGCCACCCACAGAAGATCCTTTACTTCCAGTGGGATACTCCTGTACATACTGGATCGACCATGTCTGTGAAGCCGATAAGGCCGACTTACAAGGCTCCCGACGTTACCGGGTAGCAAACACTTTCAGGCGGTATGTCGCAGGATCAAAGAAGAGCATCCGAATAAGAGACTTGATTAAGGCGTTCTTCCACGACCACTTCCTTCACTGGCTTGAAGCGTTGAGCCTCCTCGGCGTTACCTCGAATGGAGTCCTCTCTCTTGCTAGGCTTAGAACTATCGTCGAAGTAAGTTCTGACTTTCTGCTACTTTGAACAGCAGATAACTAAGTCCCTAGGTTAGGCAAGGATGGACGATTTTATGAATCTTGTCGAAGACTCATATCGGTTCATTTTACTGAACCGGTGGATTATCGAACAGGCGCCACTGCAGACATACATATCAGCATTGCTCTTTACTCCCGTTGACAGTATCATCCGTCGAATGTTTGTCAAAGAAGAGCCCCGTTGGGTGCTAACAAAGCCGGTGGTCGAGAAAATCTGGAGTCGATGTCTTCAAACATTTGTGGGCCACAGCGGTTCGGTTTGGTCGGTAGCATTCTCCCCGGACGGCAGCCGAATCACATCTGGATCGGGCGATGATACCGTCCGCATCTGGGATGCCAAGTCGGGCAAGGAGGTACAGAAGCTCAAGGGCCACAGCGGTTCGGTTCGGTCGGTAGCATTTTCCCCGGACGGCAGCCGAATCGCATCTGGATCGGACGATGATACCGTCCGCATCTGGGATGCCAAGTCGGGCAAGGAGGTACAGAAGCTCAAGGGCCACAGCAGTTGGGTTCGGTCGGTAGCATTCTCCCTGGACGGCAGCCGAATCGCATCTGGATCG